AATATACAAGAGTCCAACTAGTCCATTTACAGCAGACAGATGATCTGTTATAATCTTTTTAGTACCTTAATACACCTGCAGCTTAAAACCAAAACCTCTTTAAATGTTCTGCTGCTTGAATGGCCCTCAAACTGAGTGGTTTCAAACCCCCTTAGTAGTTAAACAAGGATGTTCTGCCTCCTTCGTTGTTTCCTCTTAATAGAAATGACTTGGTCCTGGAAACTCTGGGGCAGAGATTCATTTAAAAAATTCTACTTTGGGTATTTTGTTGTATGCAGATGATGTCACTCTATTGGCTGAATCGGAAGATGATTAATAATGTTTGTTGAATTTGTTTAAGACTTTGGATGGAAGTAGTCAATAAATCCTGATCAAACTCAGATAATTCATATCAGAAAGAAAGGGTGTATTTGATGTAGCAGGAATAAGGGGGTACTAAGACTGTAAAGGGATTTTTCTGGGGTTATGAAGTAGACTGAAAACAGGGATGTTTCTCTATGATATAACTAAGCAAGTGAGGGCTTTACTTACAAGATTGACTACATTTATATGATAATTCTCAATGCCTGTAACTGCTGTGAGGGGGTAGGTACACTAAAGGAACAGCCTTTATTACTACAAATATTTATAGTGAGTGATAAACTTCAATGTGGATGGACACAAGGAGGTTTTTTATAGATCAAGACCATTTTCACATTAACACGATGAAATCAGCAACAATACAAGGGTTGCCACTTTGACCACAGGGGGTGCCAAAGTACACACGGACAGAAAGTTACTCACAGGAGCTTTAATTATACACAGAATAAGTCCTTAATGATTCTTTATAACTTGTCATAAACCCTTGCTAAATGCATTCCTAAGGTTCTCCAAGGACTTCTTTCTTTTTTTGAGGACACAGAATTACAGGAAATCTATTGAAATAATTTAGTTTGTAGTGTGAGCACAATCTTGTTAGATTTGAGTAAAATAAGTGAATGAAATTCTAGTGAAACCGAAACCAAGAAAAAAATCTGAGAGTGATGTTGCCGCAAATTCAACTGGAAGTCAGAGGTTGCTCAGCTGAGAACAGAAATCCTTCCTCTCAGTTTTGAAGTCTGCAGATTATAAAACATCAGAGAAACACAGACTGTGTGAACTCTGAATTAGGTGAAGCTGAGCATTTTCTTTTGTATCACTCTTTATATGATGAGTGAGGAACTTTTCTGATGAATGAAATGTTGTTTTAAAGTCCTGATATGTTTTGGTGTGCTGATGATTGGAACTTTACAGTTAGACTTTTTAATACTTCCTTTTGTTTCTGAGATACCAAAAATACCCCCCCCCCCCCCCCAAAAAAAAAAGGAAAACAAACTGAAAAGAGAAAGCTGGTGCTCAGCTGTTTGCAAAATGTGCTGTTTTTTAAACAAGCAGGAAAAGAGATGGGTACAGGTGCAGTCCTTATTAAAGAGGAAACACACTCACCCACACACACACACACACACACACACACACACACACACACACACTCACAGGAGCAGTATTTGTCTCTGGAGTGAGAGGCTGATGGGTGTGCTATTGATCAGGTCTGAGCCATCAGCAGCTCCAGACCCAGGCAGCCGAGCTCAGACCATTAAGGGAAGCTCTCTGCCGCTGAGGTCACACAGGTGTTGAGACCTGCTGTCTCATTTCCTGCCATAAAAGTGAAGCAACCAATCAATAAAGAAGTGGCAGAGCAACTTCTGCAGAAACACACACACACACACACTAACATGGCTGGCCTGTATTTACAGTAAGACTTGGAAATGTTCCTCCACTTCTCCGTATGACAGACGCTTTGAGACAGCTGCTCTCACATGTATGCACACAGGTACACACACACTGACACACACACACTGACAGGTGCTGCATTGTTATGGCATGTCCAACTCTGGCAGCTTGTTTTCCTCAGACCTCTCACCCTGTGTGATGACTCAGAGACGGGGACATGAAAGGAGAGGCAGGGACAGAGGGGGGAGGAGGGGGAGGCAGGGAGTAAGAAGGTTAAGTAAATCATATCATTAATGCTATGTTAAAAGATTGCTTTGACCTCTGCTTGGCTGTCTGCATATGCAAGCATGTGTGTGTGTGTGTGTGCGTCTGGCCTTTGTCCCAGCCAAGCAGGTGGCAGTGGTGACGTTTGTCTTCTTCCCACAAACACACACACACTCTGACGCTCTCCACTCTGGTGTCAGTCTCACCAGATTCTATCGTGCTTCAAATTCACTCATCATATCGGGTGGCCTCACTGTGCCACATACTGACACAAGTTTGCACATGCATGCAATGACACCAATACACACACACACACACACACACACACAAGTGCAGGAATAAAATGATACACCCTATGCCGACTCTTTTTTTAAGCCGCTATCTTTTCGGGCCCTGCTTATATGGGGCCCCCTTTCCCCCCTTAGTTTGACACCCCTGGCACTAACACAGCACAGTGGACTGACTTGATTATACAAGAGGAGCAGCTCAACCTGACAGAGGAACAAGCACTGAAAAGGAAACACGAAAAGAATATAAAAGGCTTATTTGCCCGTGTTGTATAAGCATGTTTCATCTTCCCACTCTCGCCTACCCTCACCCACACAGGTTAGATCCAATAGCTAGTGCCAGGCCGCTCCATCTCGCAACACAAACATCTCCGCGTGAAGGAATATTGCAGTCGAGTTCTTTTTTCATAATCTCTTCCCTCTACACCCACACATGCACATAGTGAGGGGGTGAGAGGGGTAAAAGAGAAAAGAGAGAGAGAGAGAGAGCTGGTAAAGACGAATATGAAAAGAGGAGAGGTGAAGGGGGGGAGGGGAGAGAGAGAGAGAGAGAGAAAGAGAGAGAGAGAGAGAAGTGCTCATGAGAGCCAGGAGGTAGTTGTTATAGTAACTGAGTCTCTATACCTGTCAATCAGAGCTATTTCAGGCATCTCGCTTCCATGGGAAAAAAGAAGTAAGAAAACGCACATAGCACGGCTCCAGGGCTGTAACGTCGAGGGCGAAAATTATCAGCCAACGCACACGCACTGATACTGGCAACTTGTAAACTGTTAAGTCTGATCAAATTAACACCATAAATGAAATTCAGCACTGTGTCATTCTTTACTTTTTCACATTTCTTCTTCACAGTGCACTTCATAAAAGTGTGACGAAGAGCATCTGCACACTCTGCTGCATGAAAGGTGTACACTTTTTTTTTCTTACAGGCAGAAAAATAAAATCACAACCAACAGGTTTGTTAAAGCGGTGTTTAACCACTAAGCCCCCTGATCATCTCTGACAGACTTAGCTCCCTCGATGACAGCCGTCTCATCTCTCAGTCGTTCATTCAGATATTTAAACCTGAAAAATACCAAAGTCAGTGGTAGTGAGTGAGTTCAGTATAAGTAAACCTGTACACATTCAGAGCTGAGCCAATACTTGGATCAGAATAGGGCCTCTGATTCAGGATAAAATGTCCTGAGTAGCCAAAGTGCACCTGTCAATACTGATGTGAATTAGCCCCAAAAATCAAACTGCTACAGCTAGCTCTCTAGCACCAGCTATTTATGACATGTGGCGGCCAGAGTAATGGACCACTACCATGAACTCATGGTATTGCATATCTTTTAGCACCTACCAATATTTGAACTTTTAAAAAGATGATTATCATCAAATGAGTTTACTGCAACAACCTTAATCCAAATTTTCACTCAAAGCTGGATGCTTCAGGTGTTTATCATCTCATTTAGAGCCAACAGCAACAAACCTGTTTGACCGAAGGCAAAGGAGTCATGACCTAGAATTTATCAAATCAATCACATTATTTTAGTTTCTAATTTCATTTTGTTAAATCATTTTCCTGAAGCCATATTAATCCATTGTTTACCCATTACTTTTTCCTGATTTATATTTTAAGATCTAGTGAGAAACTTTTGGTTCATGTCAGTTTTGGTGCCCCCTGTGGACAGAGCAGTCTTGGCTTTTCTTGTTCTCTACATGGTTGAGTAGTGTCATTTCACCATAAATTAAAAAGGATTACAGTCACAAAAGTATATCCATGCTATAAAGATCTTGGTTTTCTCATGATTCAATCTTAATAAAAACAGATGGGTACTTTTTCCTTTAAAGCTCCTACAGTAGCAAACCAGACAATCAACAACCATGTAAATTTTGCTGGCTGCATCCACCTAAACATGGGCTGGTGTCAGACGAATTTCTACGCACTGAAGAATACATTTTTTTATAGCTAATATTCACAGCTAACAAAAAAATTCACAGAAGATAGCACAAGACTTATGATAAGAAACACTGATGTACAGGACTAAATCAGCAAAGATGTAAGACAGTGGTTCTCACGTCCAGTCCTCGAGGCCCACTGTCCTGCATGTTTTGGATGTTTCCCTGCTCCAACACACCTGATTCAAATGATCAGCTCGTTATCAAGCTCTGCACCGGCTTAATAACGAGCTCATCATTTGAATCAGGTGTGTTGGAGCAGGGAAACATCCAAAACATGCAGGACAGTGGGCCTCAAGAACTGGACTTGACTACCGCTGATGTAAGAGGCACCTCTTTGTCCAGAGAGGGTGCCAAAATCAACACAAAGTTCCTTACAAGTGCTGTAATTTAAAGTGCATTTTCGTTACGTTAATCTCCCTTATCTAAGCTTGTAAACTCTCCTTTGGCTGACTAGTTCAACATTAAAAATGTTACTCATGTATTTCTTTATCAGCCATTTATTTGTCACTTTTGACTTTGCTTCTTTAGAGGTTTTTTTCTTGATAGAGTTTATCAATTTCTTGATGTGGTATACAGACCATAACTTTCATTTCCCTCCTTTACTTTTTGCAAACAAAGATGCAGACCCGATGGTTCAAGTATTACTGTTCGTAAAAGATGCTTCCTTGATCACACACTTGATTTAATTCTATCATGACTATAGCCAAGATAATCCTTTTGTTCCAGGCTTATTTTAGACAAACACATGGTGAGGAGGAGAGAGGAGCGGTGAGAGAAATGAGTGGGGGAGTAAGAATAGTGCGAGCACCAATATGGCTGAGTGCTGAGTTTGGGAGCCATTAGGCAGAAGGTAATTAATACCTGTCACCGCTGTGCTCTGTTCGCTGCCTTTATTCTGTTTCGGACCAATTAAAATATGACACTCCTCCGATGGAGAACGTCTTGTTAAAATTAAGCGCCTGAGACGCACAGACACCTTTGATAAACACATCCAGAGCTACAATTGGTTTTGGCAGCAACAGCACTCTGCAGTCAGATAGATGGAGAGGGAGCGAAGGAAGGAAACATGGCAGTGTGTACTTGTTGTGTCACTTCCAGAAGGATATGTGAGCTGTTAGATCTGATTAAACGAGTGCACCCTTCCATGTGAGTTTCACTCTTAAACACACACACTCAAAGGAGACTGACGTGATGTTATGAGACGCTTATGAGCCAAGAGACACTGACCAGTGAAGACAAGCCGCTGCCAAAGATTCTGCGGCTTGGATGGCAAGGACAGATGAATGGTAAGCAAAAACAGAAGAGCCAGGGGGAGGGTGAAAAAAAAAAAAAGGTAGAGCAGCTGAGGATATAAAAAGACAGGTGGCATTACAAAAAAAAATAAAACTTAGGAGCAAAGGAAAATATGATGAAGAGAGCGTGATAGGAGGGAAAACAAAGGATGGGGAAGAGCTGGGGGAAAGTGAAGTGAAATGTGGTGAGTTTTTCAAAGCTGATAGCAGCTCCAGAAGACAGATTAGACGGAGAGAAGAGAAGGCAAAATGGAGAGAGGTGGAGTGATGGATGCAGGCAGGGGACCAGCAGCTCTCTGCCAACATCTCCATGCATCCTTCCAGACATCACACTGCGCTGCCATCTGCCTCCCTGCCACACACACACACACATAAATACACACACACATACATGCAGAGAGGAGATATGTGAAATCATTAGCGTCTCCTGACACTGAATAAATATCTGCAGATGAAATCTGTCTATGGAGAAATCACCTGCGGGGAAATATGATTGGATGAGATCACGACCTCGCTGGAACGTAATTTGCATGTCGTCTAAATGGGATCTGCCCCCGATGCTTCCGGAGGTCAAAAGGCATCCGATTAGTCGGATGGGACAACTCGATTCCTGATTGGCTGAGGAAGACAACAATGGCAAGTGATCTGCTGCTCAGCAGTCGCTCCCTCTGAGAGCTGCAGGACTGCCCTCTTCTGGCTGCTGCACAGACCTCCACAGTTTGACAGAAACGCACAAAGACACAATAAAGACGTCCAGCAGCTTCACAGAGAGGTTCTGCTTGGCAGTTGTTGTTTTTTTTTTTAATCACATTAGAGCTGAAGAATAAAAATAACACAAAGAGCATGAGAGTGTAGCACATAGAGTGTCTCGGTTAACCACGTACAGAGTCTTATTTATACATATATTTATATCATAGAACCATTTCTCCCACTTTTACAGCCTCTGATTGTAACGCAGAAATATACCAACATTCCCTGGATGAGAGAGAAAAAGAGCAAAAGAAAGAAAGAAAGAGAGCAAAACTCTCAACAGTCTTCTTCTACATTAGAAAACCTACAGGCCATTCATTTTTAGAGGTTTATACATCAGCGAGGCAGCAGTATTCGTTACAAAAATAGGAATATAGTAGAAGCAGTAGGGTTGATCGAGTGGGTGTGGGTAGTGAGGATGTGGCTGTGCCCTCGACTTGTAACGACCACCTGTACGCCCACCCGCCACATACACCCGAATCAGGGAACATCCAAGGATTCTGTGCGCCTCCGTGAGTGTGGGACAGCAGTGCAGCGCAAAGAGTCAGTTATCAATGGAAAGTGGTTAGGTTTTGAAATTAAACCAACGAAACCTTCTGAGATGAGTGACTACAAAGAAAGTAACCCAACAGAAAAAGGAGGGCTTAGTGCATCTGTGAGAGTTGAGAGAGTTTCTGAAAAGTGCCGTCAGAGCACGGAAAAGATGAGGAGGAGAAGAAAGAGGAGGAGAGAGGAATAATGGGAATCAGAGAGAAGTGCAAAACAGCTCTGATGACACCTTTCGCTCAGGTTTCCAAAGCTGCTGTTAGTGAGAGAAAACAGAAGACAAAGAGGAAGAGAGGGGGCTGGCGGAGGTGAAGTGTTATTGCTGGGGGTGTTTTTTTTTAATTTATTTGGTGTTAACTGGTGAGAGGAGGGATGGGGGGGATGAAGAGGGGAGTTATTGCTGAGGGTAGAAGGGCTGCTGCTGTGGGGGCTGTTGGGGGTAACCAGGGTACGGCTGTCCTGCAGGAGGGGCTCCTGGGTATCCTGCCTGTCCTGGGGTGGCCTGGTAGGGCATGTAGGGCATGTTGTACTGGCCATAGGCAGCGTAGGGGTTGTAGCCCATAGGCATCTGGTAGTATCTGCAGGGGGAGGGTCAGAATTTAGGGCACACTGAAAGCTCATGGGTGGAGTCATTTTAAATTTGTATTAAAGACGTGAATACAATCATGGTCCCTGCTAAATCTAATCTTCACTATTAAACAAAGCCTCGCTCACCGTCTGTCAATGTTTGGAGTGAAACCCTGAGACTCCTCTAACTACAGTCTGGCTTTTATTCAAGCACAAAGACTCAAAAATTGGAGGAAACTCTAACTTTGCTCTTTCTACAGATACAAAGTGAAAAACCCTCACAGGTGATCATTTTCTGACTAATTTGAATAACATGAAACGCTAAGTGAATAGGCTGTTTCCCACAGCTGCATAATCCCCAGACAGACATGAGAGTGGGATCGAACTTACTCCCTGGAACAGACAAAACAACTCTTGATGGGTTAATTGATTTAACTCGTGATGAAAGACGAGCTCTGAAAACCAGAGCAGGACAAAGATTTCCAAGGAAGAAGACGGCCTGAAATTTAATCTGTGATGAAGTCACCGTGCTGAGTCATGTGAGTCGCTCTGTGCTCAGAAATCAGACTGTTGTGACTCACCCTGGGTAGCCCTGGTAGGTGGGGTAAGGTGGTCCCTGCGCCTGCGTTGGTGGGGCCACAGGTGGTGGGTTTCCACCCGGAGGGCCGGTGGGTGGTGCGCCGGTGGGAACGGGGGTGGTGGCGGCTGCCTGAGGGTTGAAGGTGGGTGGAGGAGGCCTGGCAGGGGGGTTGGGCTTGGCTTGGGGCTGCTGTGGGACTTGAGGGTTCTGGGGAGAAGAGACAGATTAATACATCCGCTTCGATTCTTCTTCTGTGGTGACCTGCAGTGGGTGTGTGTGTGTGGAGGCTTACAAAGACGGTCCTGGGTGCAGGAGTTGGGCCAGCAGGGGTGGTGGCGGCTCCAGGGGCAGCTGGGGTGCTCTGATAGGCGGGGACATTGAAGGATGGAGCGCTGGGCTCTCGGGCGATGCTCTGCTGTAGCTCTCTGAAATACAATGTAAATATTTATTGTTAAAAAAAGTTGAACTTTTCTGTTTTAAAGTTTGATTTTTTGACTCTTTACGTCACGTCACAATGTGTTACATGTAGAGGATGGAATATTTATCAGCACTTCAGCGCCTTAAGCTCCACTCAACATTAAATCTGCCTTTAAGACAGCCGCAGAAATCCTGCTCTTGCCTGAATGTTTTTATGGGCTGCTACAGTCTTCATTAAGGGTTTTCTGGCCCCCACCACTGAAAATCTGTTATCAAACTATGATCCACTAACATGTCTTAAAGAAAATCCCTTCTGCGGTCCAGATCACTTCATATGACTGTCCTAAAGCCAAAGAGACTAAAGCCTGGAGAGTACTTACTTAAGCAGCTCATCCCGTTCCGTCTTGCGAGCGAAAACAATGTCGCTGCACTTATTCTGGAACTTCAGCAGGATTTCTGTCAAGTCGTTGTAAAACTAAGGAGGGGAGAGGAAAAAAGGGACAAAAATAAACCACCCAGTGTGTGAACCACATTAAGGCACAAAAGAACAACACGAGTAAAATGGAAAGTTTCCGACGCGACATGCATTAAAGCGGCAGGTGTGTGCCGGCGTGTTGTGCTGAGCGAGTACCTTGGTGCCTTCGCGCAGGTTGCTGCTGATCTCAACGTAGCTGTCATGAGCCGAGGCCAGCTTCTTCAGGACCTCCTCCCTCTGATTGGCCTCCGTGTTGGACTGTTTCAGACTGCTGAACTCCTGGTGGGCCGTCTGGACACAGAGAAAGAGAGAGAGATCACAGGTTGAAGAGAAAAGAGAAAGATCACAGGGTTTTTAGAACCCCGGTAAACAGAGTTTTAATCCTCCATGAGGGAAGGCTCCCTCAAATACTTTCAAAGTTAAGGGTTTTTGTTTGGTATGGGTGACGCTTCACTGGCTCCTGAGAGGAAAGTACTCCTAATGACCTTTTCCAGAAATAGAATCTTTGATTTCTCAAGCCCTTAAGACCCCCGACAAATGAAGTTCAAACACACGGCAAAGTCCTAAAAAAAACAGAGCACGTGGAAGTGGGTGATGTCCTCTGAAACTTTTAGGAAAGGGAAAGAAGAATTTGTGTGTGAGAGCGTCACTGTAACCATGACTTCATGCGCAGGATGCTTCAGCGTCATATTAAAGGGGAGCTCTTGAACTTTATGGGAATGCTGGAGTTGACCTCTTTATCGTCTTTTAAAGCTCCTGGAAGGAACTTTTTGTTTGTGTCAATTTCGTGGACAAATTAGATTCTCTTCTCTGAGGAAACTGAAAAAAAAAAAAAACAGGACTGTTTCTACAGCTGGATGGCCGACGCCTCCTCCTCCACACTGGTTCCAGGCATTAAAAATTAGCAGATTTATCATCATTCTAATCGCTGATGGTCTGGTTTGCTTCGGTTTGTCGTCAAAAGGCCTCAATATGAGATTAATGAATTTTATACATAAAGACAAACTTCCCACAGGAGCTTGAAATCTCTCTTTTTTTTTTAATCTGGGTGAATGTTAAAGGCAGGATCTTGTATTTTTTGTCTTTTTCACTCTTACTGTTTGTTGGTTTTTATTCTTCTAACATCGTTTTAATCCTTTTTTATCTTTTGAGGGTTTAAATCTTTTTATTTTACGCCATTTCCTTCTCATTTCTGTCATTAATGCATCTCTTATACCTCCTTATAAATCTATCAATCAGTCTTTATCTCCAACGTTGTGATATGACTGCTGTTTGAACAGGAACCCTGCTATAAAAACTACAGTAGGCTCTCACTGAGTTTGTTCATGTGGTGGTGATTTGCTGCTTTTGTCTTGAACTCTGAGTGTTCACCTGAACTTGTCCCAGCAGCTCCTCCTGTGAGCGGAGGCTGGTCTGCACCCTCTGGTTGTAGCTGCCGTACATTTGGTCGAGCTGGGGTAGAGACAGCTGCTCCTCGTTGATGGCTCCGTCTTTAGCCAGCGCCGTCAGGAAAGTGGTGGACATGTCAAAGGTCACGGCCTTGATCTCCCCCTCAATGGTCTCCCTCTCTTTCTTTATCTCGTCCAGCTGAGCGAGCTGAGCGCGCAGCACGTTCACGACCTGTCAGCAAACAGACGGGTCAGCGCAAGTTTGTGGTTTTTAAAACTCAAACAAATCTCTAACCCTTTCAGTTCTCTGTCCAACAGGGATATCTGACCTTTCGCCCTTTTATCGCATTTAAGCATGACTATATGCACACTGTGAGAAGACATGCACTCCTTCCTCTCTGTTTTAGTTCTGCTTTCTTTGTTACTTGTGATCCCCTGTGACACACAATGCACAGTCAGCAAACACAATGAAAAATGGAGCCTCTGCAGGAAGGAGGGACAGGGCCATAAAGCACAGCGTCCACTGGGGTTTCAGTCGGTGGTTATTCAGCACACTTAACAAAATTGGACAGCGCTAAATACCTCAAGCAGAACTAGCCCGCAAGTATTCAAATATACGTTTACATCATCTGTGCCTTCAAAAGATATAAGAGGAGGTGGTGCAGACCTCGCTGCCCTGCAGAGTCTTGGTGGGGTTTGCAGAGGGGATGGCGGCATTGAGCTCGTTCTCTGGTTTACACAGCAGCGCGATCATCTCACAGTGGGTGTTGTAGCGGTCCTTCACCACCTGGTCGGCCTGTACGGCCTTGTCCAGAACGTTGCGGAAGTTTGCTCCCTCTGAGAAAGAAAAGGGAGTAAGAAAAGGAGGTAAAGATGGAGGAGGCAAGGCAACATTTTCTGTGTGTGTGTGTGTGTACCTGCACGAAGAGGCTTGTAAAGGTCTCCAGAGGGGGTTCGGTTCCAGCGCTGGTTAAACTTGCTCCTCAGCTCGTTGTCTGTCGCCTCTTCATCATCCAGCATCTTCAGAGACTAAACCAGCACATACACACACATTAGATCCACTGACGACTGCCGCTTCATCAGTGATTGACTTTTTACTCAGAAACGTAGAAAAGCCTTTCATGTGGGGCTAAAAGTGTCATTTCCACTAATTTCTGATTCTACTTCATAATCAATTAATCCATTCATGTCTAATTTGCCTGAAAACAGCAAAAACAACAACAAAATCATGTCTTGAGCTGCTAATTCTCAAACCTCAAGCTGTTATGTTTGCTTTTTTTCTTGATGAATGACAATTATTTAAAAATTACGTAAAACAATCTTCCCTCTTTTCTTTAAATCACCTCTTTGTTTCCTTAAATTCCCTTTCTCGGTGTAAGAAAAGAAGGAAAAGTCATGGAAAATAATGAAATGCTGCTCAATAATTTGAAGTCTGCTTTTGGCCGGCTGAAATGTACTTTTCCACTCTTTAATTCTCATGTTCAGTTAAGTTACTTTGGCTGTAAAAAACACAAACACTTTTTTTTTTTTTCTCGGGGAGGGGGGAATCAGAACATTTTGGTTTGTTCTTTTCGACTCTGCCAATGAATTTGGAAGCAGCCTCGTGTTTTATGCTTCTACAGCCGTCTGATTATTTGTTTGTGAGTGAGATGTGTAAAAAAAGCAGGCTGGCTGGAGCTGGTGGACAGATAGTCCTTGGCCCAAAGATCAGTGGATTAGTTTTTTCAGTGAAGATCCTGATTTGGGATTTCAGCCATGAGGGATGATTAGGGGGTTTTTAATACTCGTGTGTTTCCCTGGGAATTGAGGTGGTTTCCAAAATTTCAGGACAAGCTGCTGAACAGCATCACGTTCATATGCTTCTTTGTCAAGAAAGAGGAGCCATATGAGGGACAAGCTACTGAAAGAGAGTGCCTCTTACTTCTATGACAGACTCATGGCTTCAACATGAGTTCACTACACCGGCTATAAGATCCATAACAGAGAAGTCACATATGTGTCACTCAGTGTACGGCTGCATGATTACAGCCAAAATGACCACCATGATTATTTTGATCAGAGTTATGTGCATTTTGGGGACCTTGTTCTCCTACATTAACCATGCAGTCGCTTTAGTTTGTTAGCCCTCTCCCTCTGCTCTAAAGCGACTGCCCTCAACACAGATCATCTTCTTGTCATATCAGAATCATGTGTGAATCTTACTGACACACGAACTGAAGAATACTGTCAGCAAAGCATACGCTAACAGGTGGAGTGTGAGAGGTGTTATTACATTGAGTAGACTGTTGTCATGAATATTAACACCAGAATGAACATAGAGAACATGATATAATGTCAATCGGAGGTCTCAAACACGACTGGCACAAGGCCATCATTGCTACTGGCTTCTTAAAGAAGGGCCACTTTACAAGTCAAGCCCCATAAATACAGAATGGTCCTTTGCACATCAGGAGGAGATGTTTCCACCAAACTCCACAAAAAAAACCCTGCAAGAATCTCCATGTTGAAACTGTCTGCTTTCTCCATCAATGTCCTCTTTTTACTTGGATAGAGAAATCTTAGCGGCAAGCAGCACAAGCTTCAAAGTCCAGCATCCTGCTCCTAAAGTTTCCGAGAACTTGTCTGAGTGTAATTTGACATGATGGGGTAGTTTAACGGGAAACAACTAGAAAGAAATGATCACACTGAAAAAACATCCCAGGCATCATGGAGAGAGGTGATAGGCCAAGAGTTTGAGACCCCTGGTGTAAATTAAATCAGGTAATGTTCCTTTTTGTGACTCTGTTCTTTAATCAGCAGCCACGCTGAGTTTTCTACAGGCAGGACACAAATTCTGAACCTCAATAATGGTGTAATAATGATAATATGAGTACTGTCAATCACGTTATTCTGATTGTTCGAAGGCCTAAACTCTGAGTCAGTGTACACGTCTGAGACTCTGACCTCATCCAGGATCTCCCTGTTGCGGGTCAGAAGCTCTGGCAGGTCTTTGATAAGCTGCTCGATACTCTGCAGTCCTCCCTGCTGCACAATGGACCGCGCCTTCTCAGCAATGGATTGCGGGATTGAGTCTCCTGACAGATCCTCCAGGGCTGCTGGCAGGTTCAGGGAAGCCAAAACCCTGATGGACAGATGGAGTCGGGGTTAGTCAAGTGAACAACTTGATAAATCTTACTCCACAATCCTTGATTTTAATAGAGAAAAAGTTGTGCGATCATTCCAGTTTGGAGCACTCTGCACTCTTCACTAAAGGGCAAAACGCTCCAGCTTTGAAGCACCTATTAACATCCCCAGATGGTGTGACACAGACTCTTGACAGCTATCAGGCACCACACACAAAACACAAGTGCCTTTATCAGCATTTTAATAGTACCTGAAACGCTATTATGTCATGAATTTTTTATCAGCCATCCAGGCATGGACTCGAGAGCACTCACACACACGTGTTCACGGGAAGACAGAGTTAGCTTTACACAGCAGGGGGTGGTAGAGAGAAGAGCATACCCGTTGCAGAGATTGGTTGCCTCCCTCATGGTTCCGACCAGTCTGTTCACAGTCTCAGATTTCCTCGAGTTGTAAATGCTCATGGACTGCTGCACGGCCATGGGGACCATCTTCTCAAACAAGTCTGAAAGAAAGAGGGGACCGATTAAAAATCCACGCAGCTGGGTCATGAGGTCTTGTTCTTGGATAAAGAGAGTAAAAGGGAGAGGGTTGGAAGCTGAAATAGAGAGGGGTGGGACATTTTACAAACAGTCTTATAAACTGTATAATGGTAACGGCAAGTTAGTATTTTGGATCTGATGATATCGAAACATTTCTGTTTGCTGATGACCTTTCACCTTTCTGATGAAGTCCTCATGCAGCTCAGCCTCGCGTCCAGTCTACAGCTGAAGGAAAGTGCTCCTTTAACTCTGTATAGGCTTTCAAAACCTGCCCTCCAGCAGCACCAAAGCTCCCTAATTCACTTGGTAAATCTATTTAGTCTAATGTGAAAAAAAACGCCAATTTATGCTGGATCTCTTCATTCGCTGTGGTGTTTAACTCTCTTTGTGGTTTCAGTAAAGGTGTTCGTGAATCTGAAGGTTCTTGCAGAGGGGCTTATTAAGAGAGACAGAGGTGTGTTTTGTAGCAAATGAATGCATGATGAATTATTTAAGCACATGCAAACAGCACTAGTGCACAGAGCTGTGCAGCTTGTGGAGTATTTAACCCTTTGCGTGTTCTTTGTGGAAGAGGAAATTTCTTTTTGGCTCAGTTGCTCAGGTTCAGAGGGCGTGCAATCCCTTTGTGAATCACTGTACTGAAATACGGACGGTTATATTCCTCAGACAGAGAGGATTTGAGATCAAGGTCTGTCTTTAATTCAAGTCTGCTTTGTATACAGGCCTAAAACCTTCAGCAGCTAAAAGCAAATGAAGGACCCGCCTGATATTCCAGGGTTTAGGATTTATATTTAGTCACATATACTTTGTTTTATGTGTTTCTATGATGCGTCTCATGTCTGTGTATCTAACCTGTGAATTTCTGGCTGAGTGGAGGTGTGATGGCCGTGGCTTTGACCAGTGCTGCCTTGCCGATATGCTCCAGGTCCTTGACCTCAGGTACACGGTCATGGTAGATAAAGTCATTGTCTTTTTTGGCGGCTGTAAGGGCTCGGTTGATCTTGTCACTGAGGTCCTTCACGCTCACATATTCGTCATAGCGGGTTGCAACCGTCTTCACCAACTCTGCTGCATGCTGGAGAAAAAAAAACATCGGCGGAGAGAAAAGGAAAAACATTTGGTTCATTGAGAGGTTTGTGGTTTTAAAGGAGATTTTGCAGAGCACAGTAGCTAATCGAATTAAGAAAAGTCAGACAGGTTTAAGTCTCATGAAGTCTCTGTACCTGCAGGCGAGCAATCTCCTCCCCAAAGCGCTTCTTCTGCTTGGCCAGGACGCTCTGGTGCAGCTCAGCGTTGGCCTGCATGATGCAATGCTTGGCCGCCAGCACCGGCAGCACTTCCTGAAAATAAAAATACTGACCAGGGAGAGGCAACCACAGAGCGACACGCAGGCACACACAAACACATATGTACACGCACACGCACGTACACACACACACACGATGGCAGGGGCGAACGGCAAAATGACAGACGCACAGCAGCGAGGTCACAAATCACAAATGACATCAAGGGAGCCAATCACAAACAAGCACAAGCGATCAGAGGTGTGCAAGAACACAAGCGCACACACAACCAATGCCAATGCCAGCACCACCACCACCACCACCACGAGGGATGCAGGAAGAGAGGAAGACAACGAGAGAGAAAACAGAACAGGCCATGAGTGTTTAACCTTTCTGCAAAAGCTGCAACACCTTCATCAAACGAACCTCTGAGAGTGTGTGTCAGAGTGTGTGAGTGTGTGTGTGTGTGTGTGTGTGTGTGTGTGTGTGTGTGTGTGTGACCTGTTTGATTTCACATATTTCCACATCCATTCATAAAACTACATCAGATTTTCTTACGCTGAAAATATTAGTAACTACCATCAAACTTCAAACTGTTGATTCAGTAAATTGGACTCTGGCATTACGTTAGAAATATATCAATTTGGTTGCTAGGAAACATTAATTAAAGGTACTGACGCAGTGAAATATCCTTCAGTGACACACAAGCTTTAATGTGACTGTTTCAAAAAAATTAGGTAGTAAAATGATATTTTCGGGTAAATTAAAAAATAAAGACTTGAATCTTTCCTAAACAGGAAAGAAGGGAAATTAGAGACAGCCTTCAAAACTGACAAGTGTTTAGTTTTGAATGACCTTAGTTTGTATTTTTCTCTCTTCATGTTTGTTTCATGATAAGTAGAGGTGTATGACATAAAAGGTAAGAAAGACTAATGAGGAGTTTAGGAGGACTCTTGTCTAACAGATTAAAAAAAACAGAGTTTAAGAAGCGTGTTTAATCCTGCTAATCTTCTCCAACTTAAAACAATGTGATGCAGAGTGGACATTGAAATCTTAAGAAAACACTCAAAAAAGTACAAAATATTACAAATACGTACTTTCTTGTCATTTAATTATTGATTCATCTCGTCTATTATTAATTCTGTCTGACATTATTTTTGTCATGACTTCTTGCAGGGCTGAAACAATTCTTCAAATTACTCTAATACCCTGATTTTTTTTTTTTTAATTTCCTTCACAAGCTTTAGTTTAAAACCAGACAATAAAGCACAATGTGTCAGGAAATCAACCAGGAAACAACCACTGGGGAACGAACTCTGACGGCTGCACATGCCTGGTGACTTAAACCCTAACTTCATTTTGGGGTAATTCATTTAATCATTTATACGATCATACAAAAGGGGAGTGCATCACTGCCAACCTCTGTTAATAGACAAATTTACCTGTGTCTGCAGACATACAGAGCTGTGGAGCTGTGTGAACATTTCACTGCATGTTTTTTTGTTGTTGCCATGTTCTAAATTTTTCATCAATGACAGAGAATTGATGTTTGACTTTGTCACGTTTTCTACATTAATTTTCATTTCTATTTTAATAAGCCAGCCCCAGCAGCAGAAATCTCTCTCTCTCTCTAAGTTTGGTAAAAGTTTTCTTTAAACATCAAACTGTATGCGTGTAAGCGTTGTTCCAGCTGATCTTTTACTCCCCCCTACTCATACAGGAGTCGCTTTTTTACCGCCTTTGTCAAACAGAAACTGAAGATCAGCTAAGTTCCCTCCCATCCTCTCAGAGTCAGTAAAGAAATGGCGACGTGTCTAGACTTTTGGACACAACTGGAGCGCTGACATAGGTGGGGATGCCTGGGGTATCAGCTCACACACTGTTTTTCAACTTTTACCATCTCTGTCCTCGCTATCTACTTTAAGAGCTATCATCAAAGTGTATTACTGCTCAGGTAATATATATATTTCTGTGCAGACTTGAGTCTCATAGTGTGTTATCAATCAATCAATCAGTCAATCTAATGACCCTAAAGTATATTTACTTAGGCCTGGTACTATGGCGACATAAGATATTCCTTTCATAGACCTTCAACAGGGAAATTTACACTGTGTTAATGTCACTGGGTTCTTTTGTTATTTTCTTTTTTAATAATTAAACTTATTCAAGAACTTATTAAAATATTTAATCTGAAGCTTTAATTCATGGCAGTCTGAATTTGTGTGTGTGTGTTACAGTGTTAGTGAGTACTTCAGACATCATTGATTAGATGGTGAGAAACCAATCAGACTGAAAACAAATCAAACCACAGCTTCAGTAGTAATCAACCAATCAGAGTGAAACAGGATGGAAATGGACCAATGAGAACAGAGACAGGTAGCAATTTGAACAGTCCCAACACCTGAATTTCACCCTGAAAGTTTCCAGAATAAATACACACGCACAGATCAAAAGACACAATCGGACAGACAAAACACACGCTGCTCCATACAGGATCAGAATTCTGTATGAATCTATGCCACAGTGAAAACATGGCAGACTCTGTGTGCGGGTACATGTGTGTGTGTATCTCTACAGTCAAGCAGTGTATCAGTGCGCCTGTGACTCTCACATACCTTGGGGAGGTTGTCTTTGTATTGGCACTGCTTGAAGGCATCTCCGTAGAAATCTGCAGCCTGATTGGCCAGTTTCGCGATGACGGCATCTTTCATCTTATCTGTACAAAAAAATGAAACACTTTAAACAAAGAGCAACCCAAATGAGATGCGCTTTTGTAAACACATACCACCACCTGATCTGATTCTTCAAACATGCTCGTCCTTTCACTGACTTATTCTCCACTTTTTACTTTGATACGATCCCTAAAAGTATAAAAACTGAACTAAAACAATAACTCATTCTCTCAGCACAAAATGTGGGTCTTTTTATATGACGTAACCTTCAAAACCGTTGCGCTCACTAACTCTAATAAGTAACTCCAGACAGAACTGGGACGTAGGCTGCGTGCACTGGGATCAAACCTGCCAAATGTATGTTTGCAACAAATTAATCTTAAGGTTTAAAAAAAGAAGACGTGTCATAAAAAGGTGTTTTTTCATGGGGTCAGCCATTCTCAAACTTAAGGATGCAGCATCTTAACTTAAAATCTGGAAATAATCCCTGCCTCATGTCGAAGTTACTCACAATTCTTTTCAGCACATGAAGTATTTCCAAGTTACTGTTTATCTAATAAACCAGAACCCAAGTGAAGGTGGGTCTAAGGTTATCCATCCATACTCACAAAACTATTTAAGTATTTAAAGTGCAAATTCTCACTCCAGCTGCAGTACCGTCATGGTCCAGTAGGAGGCCACCTCTCATACTTCAACAATGTTATTGTACTCAATGAAACTAATTTTCATCTTTTATTTTTAGCTGCGGGCAGATTATAGACTTTTAGGCACTTAGTTAAAGAACAGGCAGTTTCCTGTTTATGCACTTTAGTTTCACTTCAATCACACTGTATAATAACAAGATAAATGCATAATTGGAGACATCTCAGACTGAGACCCTACAAGGATGAGTCCAATCCTGACTAGAGGGTAAAGTGTACATCCTTTGGCACCTGAAGTGGCTTTGAGGAAGAAGACCTCCTGGGCCTGGGCCAGCATGATGAGGCTCAGGGTGCCCACAGTCTCAGGGGAGATGTCCATGGTGGGCTCCCTATTCAGCGCTGACAGCACTGTGTCCTTGATGTGGCCGAACGCCCCGCTTGCCAGCTGAAGAAAGTGAGAAAAGTAAAGAAAGTAAGAAACAATAATGTATAAAGTGAGAGCCACTGATGAGGGGTTCAAGTTCTTCTGGATAAATTTGCAGCTTATTAACAATAAAGATTCTTATATTTCTGCAAGAGTAAAAAAAAAACTACAAAAAGCATCAGCGGGGATACAAACAGACTGCTTAAGCTTCATCTTAGTAGTGATTTCATATTGTTAATTTCTGCTTGTTTTCCACAAATAATTCTAATGATTGTGTGAAAGTTGGATCACCTGATAGTATTTAGCTGCAGCCTTCAGTCCTTCGTCGTTGTCTAGGTTTTGCTCAGAAGCGATCTGACTGGCCAGAGCTGCTGCGTTAAACAACACACATGTTTTCTCGTAGCCCAAACTGGCCAAAGCTGCAAAACACAAAAACAAACAAACAAAAAAACATCAGAATTACATATTTGTTGTTTTTAGTGTCGGTTTGGTTGGTCTGAATCATGGAGGTATTCTGGGTTTTTTTTAAGGGACGGCTCACATGCTGAATAAGACACTTTCAAACTGGTTAAACTGCCAGGCAGACTAAATGACAACCTGTTTTTTTTGTGGGTTTAGCTTTTAATCAAACTAACACAAGTCTGTCTACTGGCTTATTTCTCACCCGGAGATTACTGGGAAAAAAATCCGAGTTATGAGCTCTACAGAGAATTAACAATTCAACCCTAAGTAGCAGTGACTATGAACACTGACCTCAACAAATTATTGAAAGAGTATTTGCTCTTTCATCCTTCTATTTCATTTGTGGTTGTAAATGTTTTTTTTTCTCCGTCCCTGACTCACACTCTGGTTTCAACGCACATACCGGTGTCTTTGTCTCTCTCTTTTTCCCAAACGTGACATAACACCTTGTCAAACCTGTTCCTGGAGTGCAACAGGGATCTGTTCAGAGCTAGAAAGCTGCACTGCTTCTTGTATGAGAGACTCGAACAGTCACACAAAAGGACAGATGAGTTTACGGGTAGAATGACAAACATTTATCTTAAAGGCAAAGTCATACTTTTTTTTTACCGTAAATACTCTGAAATATTATTTCCTCCTTTTCTGTTTACACATCACTTCTTTCACAGATAAAATTGGAAAATAGATACAAGTTTGCACTCACCAAGCTTGACTGAGCCACCGAACAGGGATCCTTTGTCAAAAGCATCCTTCCATGTGAAGGTTAGGCAGAGCTGTGGGAACACAGAGACACTTTGTGTTCAGGTATTGGTGCTCAGGGACTACATTTTAAAGCTCAGTCATGTGTGATGTTCAATCTGTTACCTGGTTTTCAGAGAAAGGAAACTTGGGCTCCACGGCACACAGCTGGTCGTAGTATCTGGAAGGAGAAAGAAATGAAAAAGTTGCTTCATGTGTCTTCTTCACACTCCTAAAATAACCCGACTGTTTGTTGTGTATAAGTCAGCTTTTTGTCTCTATTCCTGGAATAGGCCGTACCACACATTATCAGCTGTCAATATTCCTACATCAAGTTCCTGTTCTTTTTATACACATGTTAATGATTCTGCAAACAGGAAGGCAACAAAAGCTGTTGGTCTGTGTGTAGCCACTTTGTCCTGAAGAAAACCCTTTAGTCCAGTGTCTTTGCTTTCAGGTGAGCACCTTCATTTATACTCCTATAATGTCATTTTATGCTCACTTTCTCTACAAGAAACTAATTTTTTTTTCACTATTTACAGTTAAACGTGTCAGAATTTAGGACTTGAAAAAACTATATAAATGTAGTTATTCTGTAATTCATGATTCGTCTTCATCCGTTTGTAAAGAAATCATGTAAAGTTTTAAAAATACTAGCTCAGAGTTAGTTTACGTCTTCAGTCTTTGTCACAATTAAACATCATGATTAAGATGCAGGTTGTGATTATGAAGCTCTTCAGTAACATTTGACACTGAGTCAGGAGGAAGAAGAGGCTGAACAAACACAAAAGTCGGCACAAACACACACATTTCTTCAGCAGCTACTCCTTCAGTATCTGTGTGTCTGTGAAGTGAACCGTCTTTTATCAGGAATGACAACATGCAGGCCAGTTAGGGAATCTCCTGTTACCAGCATAACCGCCTAGCTTAACCAGTGCCAGGAAAATAACAAGAGAGTAACGTCAAAGTAAACAAAGACTGTCTATTTATACGAAAGTATCTGCATTCTGGGCTTCCCTCCTGTTCTCCACTCTAACACGTGCACGGAGGAGAGCCGAGATGAAGTGTCCCTCCGTCTGAATAACTAAAAGGAAACACAAAAACATGCTGGACTAAACAATGATTGCCATGGCGACACAAGAGTTGTGTGTCTGTGCGGCTTTGTAAAGGAAAGGGCCTGTCGCCTTGGCTACCTGGCTAACAGACAACATGTGCAGAGCCAGGAGACGACAAAACTAGCAGCCCATTCTGCACAGTGCCGCTAACTCTCACCATGATGATAATTAAATCCACTATAATAACCCACAGAACCTTCATCTTACAGACAAACTGTTTCTAAATCTTGATTCGTTGGTACAATCATGACTTCTGAAGTAAGAAATGCTTAGTCATATCCTTGAATGGATAAAGAGTTGACAATATTAGAATCATTCAATTTCACCCCCTGAAGTTTGTCCCACAGTTACAATTCTGACACCAATATTAGGTTTCTTTGATTCTGCAGTATCTTCTTTGGGTTCGTTTTGTGTTGGTAACATGAGTTTAGAGACTGTACTGACAGGGAAAAGTACAGAGAACTGGAAAGACGTCCAAAGTGCAGGGAAACAGAAGACCGGCTCTCTCTCAGTTAACACCTGGCTTCACACCTAAACTGGGCAAACCCCACACATTAAGTAACTTCTGAGTCATGGACCATAAAGACAGAGAGGGCAAAGTTTGCATTCATAGGCAAGGAGCATGTGGGTCAAGCTTTTTTTTTTCCCGGGTGTTTTTGTCTTTATTAGATAAGACAGCTGAACAAAGACGGTTGCAACAAGGACTGTGACTTCTGTACACAGGGCGTGCTCTTAAACCATAAGACTAATATATACTTAAAAACAACCAGATTAGTAAAGTTTGATACAATATACTGAGCACGACGAGCCTTTAGTAATTTACAGATTAAACTTCTGCATATTTGGCAGGAGCGAGAAGTCAGGCAGGGTAATTGGAGCATGAGACACAGAGGAACTTCGTCTTACACAGACATAAATCCTATTTTGTGTCACAGTTCCTCCATGCAAAACTGTGAGCATGTGACACTTTGTGTTGCATCAGGAGTTGTCCTTTTGTTTTACATAGATGATGCAGCTATCAGAAACATCAAATCCAAAAAGACAACAATCATGTGCCTCCTCTGTGAGCTGGTTTTGGATTCTCAGACACTCGCAGCTGTTGTGTTTTATCATTCGGATCCGTGTTTGCTCAAATGCAAAGCTGGGGTTATCTGTCAGAGCTGTTCTGGATGTCCGATCATGTGGTCAGGACTGGGCTGAAGGCCTGAGAGTGGAAAACATCTAAACGAGGAGCTGCTGCTGCTGTTGGGACTAAATCCATAATACAGTCAGAGTCTGTGTGGGTTGAATACAAATGAAGACTGCTGACACCTTCAACAGCAGCTTTAATCTCATTATTCAGATTTATTTAAGCTCAGTATGTTGTGTACAGCTGCTCTCCTTAACTGTGTTCCATTATTTCTAATGCTCTTTTATCATTGCTGTTACTTTTAAATCATTTAAGCTCATTTTCTTACTTTTGGACCTCTGTTTTTGAAAGGTGGTACATAAATAAACTCATAAATATTCATGTCTGAGTCGAATGTCTCACATTTAGAACATACTAAGCTCTGCTGACATGGCCTGTCTCGTTTTAAAAGTATCTGACAGAGTGATTTAATGTGAAAGTTGGCCTGTGGGAAACATGAGTCAGTTTAACTGGAGGGAGAAAGCCTCAGTTAGCCTGTTAGCTTGGCCCACACTAGCCGCTCAGACTCACCTGGGCGCGGCAGAGACCGAGCTAAAGTACCGCCACAGGTGAGGAGGCAGTCACAGGAGATCAAATAAAGCCTCAATCAGGTGTGACATTTAGTCTAAGTGCTTTATACCTGAGCAGGATTTCCAGGGAGCTCTCGTGTTTGTCCAGCGGCCTCCCCAGCGCGTTCCTGCGAAGCTTGTTGAGCTCTTCCACGGCGCGGAGATACTCCCCCTGCTCCTCTCCCGTCGGGTATGTAGTTGTGACAAATTTCGACAGCGGCTTCACCAGATCCACCTCAGATGACTTTTTCAACGGGACTGAAATAAACGTCGCCATTTCGGCCTGTAAAGAGCGGAGTCTGACTCAAAAAAAACAAGAGACGATTGGCGACCAGCGAACACAAACAACAGCGAGCGACTCACTTCCTGGATTCTGACAGGGAACGTCGAATTACGTCAGGGGGAAACAGCGACGCACACCGCGCAGTCTCAGTCGAGTTTGAGTTCAAAATGACGTCATTGAAACGATGTTTTTTTTTTATTCTTTATTCCTGAATCATCCAGAGATTATACTGCACCCTTTTTGACACTTACACCAAAAACTTGTGGCAAGATGACCATTTTAGAGAGACTTAATTCATGGAAGAATGTGTTATTTTGTCTCTGTACAATTCAAAGATATTTTTTAAACTATTAATTTATTAATCTTTACAGCCTTTTTTTAAATTCACAAATGCATCATAAATCATGAAAAACGTATTCTGTTGTCTTTCTTAAAAATGTCTTAAAATTCTTTATTAAAATTTGACCGTGTAGAATGGGCATATTTGTTTAATGTGTGAGAGAAATTCAATTTTGGACTTAGCTTTATTAGTTTGATAAAACTATTATACTCAAACCCAACCACTTCTGTTCTTACGAATTCCCAAAAATCCCAACCATTTAGCAGGGTACTCGTCAGGGTTGTCCCCTGAGCCCACTCCTTTTCAACCTTGCTTTGGAACCTCTGGCTATTGCCCTGAGAAGCTGCCCAGAAGTCAGAGGCATCTGGAGGTGGGGAGTTGAACATAAAGTGATACAAAGACCTGCTTGTCTTTATATCACACCCAGACACTTCACGACCTTCCACATTGCCTTTGCTTTCCCACTTTGGCCAGTTTTCAGGATACAAACTTAAACCTTCACAGAAGTGAACTTTTTCCATTGAATGAAGCTGTCTTTATCACAGACTTATCAAATCTTCCTTTTAAAGTTGTTGAAAACAAGTTTACTTGTCTAGGCATTACAGTAAATACTAAATACAAATGTCTTTATAAAGAAAACTTTCTATCTCTGCTAAACAAAGTTAAACTAGGTCTGGCGCAGTGGTCTACTCTTTCTACATCCCTTGCAGGCAGAATCAATTCAATTAAAATGTTCATTCTTCCTAAATTTTTATACCTTTTCAATCGATTCCAGTTTTCATACCAAAATCTTTCTTTGATCTGTTAGATTCAGTTTTGTCATCATACATATGGAAAGGCAAGCGTCCTCGACTCAACAAGGTTCATCTTCAAAAATCCAAAAACATCGGGGGCAAGGTTCTACCTATCTTCTGACTGTACTACTGGGCAGCTAACATGCGTTGTCTCACTTTTTGGACAAATTTCTATGACAGGACAGGACAACCAGAGTGGGTGGATATGGAGCTAAACTCAGCTAAAAACCTTTCTGTTCCAGCCTTGCTTAGGTCCTCACTTCTGGCCCCTTCACATATTTCAATTCCTAACTCTGTTATCAGACAATCTTTGAAAGTATGGACCCAGTTTAGAAAACACTTTGGCTTCACTTGCTTTTCTCTCTCCAGCCCAATACTCTCTAACCCACTGTTTTCACCTTCCTCACTTGATTCTGCCTTTCAGGAATGGCACAGACAAGGTATTTGACATTGTACAGATTTATTCATTGGGAACTATTTTGCATCTTTTGAACAGCTGTGCAAAAAATGTAACTCACTTCTTCAGGTAATTGCAAGCTAGACACTTCATCGGCTCTCAGGTACAAAACTTTCCTGCAGCATCTGATGCAAGCATTGTTGATGATGTGCTTTAATTACATCCAACACGCAAAGGGCTCATTTCCATAATATACAATAAGTTGATAGGTATAAGACACGATCCCCTAGACAAAATAAGGGCTGCCTGGGAACAAGACCTGAACCTTACATTGTCAGACAATCTGTGGGAAAAGATCCTTGGGTATATTAACTCAACATCGATCTGTGCCCATCATTGCCTCCTGCAGTTTAAGGTTGTTCACAGAGCTCACTTATCCAAATCCAAACTATCTTGTTTCTATCCTGAGGTGGATCCCCTCTGTGACAAATGCAGATTAGGTGAAGGCTCGCTTCTCCACATGTTTTGGACATGCCCTAGCCTTGAGAAATTTTTGAGAGAGGGTTTTCAAACTTTATCACAAATCCTAAACATAACCTTAGACCCTGATCCTCTGGTGGCTGTTTTTGGCACAGTGGGGGAGGGTACAAACCTTTCTTCCACTAAGAGCCAAACCCAAGACGTGCGGTTCTTCTCAGATGGAGGGATGCTGTCAGTGGCTCAAAGACCTTATGTCATGTTTAGACCTTGAGAAGATTCGTTACTCTGTTACAGGCAATGACAGAAAATTCAAAATTCGAAAAGACCTGGGGACCTTTTCTAGACCATATTCAGAAACTCAGTGATGTTTTATAATCATATAATTTAAATTCTTATCTCTTTTATGGACTTTTTCAGTTTTCAGCGACTTGTCTATATTTGTATTTCTCTTAACATACAGTAGTTCATTTAACTTACTCTTTTTACTCCTCAGTATCTTATATATTTTAAGATCTGAAAAAAAAACCTGAATTCCAGCACTTGTATTTTTTTATCTATTTATTTATTTTTTATTCTATTATTTTGGTTATAGCTCCAGAAGTTGTTACTTAAGCACAGTCATAGAAATATCCAGCAGTAGACAGAGTTTAGAGGGAAAGGGGGGTTTTGTGAAGTGTTTCTTTGTATATTCTGTATAAAACTAATAAAAATATTGTTGAGTCAAAGAAAAAATGTTAGAAGGACACCTTCCACTCACAACACTTATGCAACATCAATGATCTTTAAGACCTATTTAAAACAGTAAAAACAGGTACTTATCACCGCAAACTGTGCAGATATCAGATCAGGTATTGATTGTGCTGCTTGTTGGCTGAAATATGAAAGTGTATATTTACAGCTTATTTTATTCCAAAAGGGTTCAGCTACAGTTTCCTCTGTCTTGAGGGAATTGCAACTGCTGTTTTAGTATTTTCAGCTTTGTACTAAAGAAAATTTTGTATTGATTAAGGTCATAGAGAGATTTTAAGCAGGTGTTTTCTTATTCTGCTCAACAAACTGTAAAAATCAGAGGAATCAGTGTAATGCAATAGCAAAGAAAACAAAACAAAACAAAAAAATGTTTTGCTACCATCTCAGATATCTGGCAATTTCCCCAAGGGTTAATCTTAGCATCCACTGTGGCCATAATGGTATTTTTCTAAATACAAAATATTTTTTGATATTGATCCTGAGACAAGATGGTCTTCAAGGATTAAACTAGTTAAAAGATGTGTAAACAGGGATTTTTCAAAGTTGTTCTTCATTAGTGTATCAGTCAGTACATAATAAGACTACAGCACCTGTGAAAATGTTCCACCAAAACACAAAAAATGAGGAAAACCTGACACATAGCCAAGTTCATTTGTTTTCATCATAAAAATCCTACTTGATGGTAGGGGGGTTCATCAGTTTTCAGATACTCACCTATTAAAACATAACAGTACTGGTTAAGTTGGGCCATAAATCAAGAGCTCAAATAAATATATTTATTGTTTGTATGTCTTGTAAATGAACAGTTTGATGAAGCAGAAACCAGAGAAAGTTATGAAATCATTTATTCCCAGCACATGTGGTTGTGTACATCTCCAGCATACGGTACTGTGCACATGAGAAGCATAATCATTAACATTAGGCTGTACATGAACGGTGGTCACCCCTCCTGCTCGCATACACACTCTCTCACACACACACTCAGTCAAGCACACACACACGCACACACAGACGGCTGGATTGAGCCTTAAGGGGACCAAATCTCAATATCACATCCGCTCTATTACTCACTAATTCTTGGAGTCTATGAACACAGTTAACTTTGCCTTGTAAACATCACAAGAGCTACAGTCCTGGCTCTGGCGCGGTGAGACAAAAACACACACTCTTTAGTTTCAGACTCGTTTTTTTTTCTTTTGTTCTCCTTCTTAAAGGTGGTGAATAAGAGGTTGTGGCTGTAGGACTACTGACTACACATCGAGCTTGAGTTTGTGATATTCAGTGCAGACTTGGTCTCTAACATCTGGAAAAGAAGAGGGGTCACACTCAAAGACAGGATTATCCCTCCTTTTCTCCATCTTCCACATGCTCTTTACATAATGTCAAGCTAAACAGTTACATCATACCAACAGGGAAAAGTTTATGACACTACTGACATAATTAAAGGATGAAAATGATACACATGCAGACACACACCATCTGACGCTTAAAGTTGTGCAAACTTGATGCACTTTCAATATTGTCAGACACCGTGCACCAAAATCAAAAGAGAAAACCAACAGAGACTCCCAGGACCCGTGTGAGGATTCCTGTAACTTTTCAAAGTAACAGCGCTGGAAATACACACTTTGCACTTCCTCTGTTTAGCTACATTGAACACGACATTTTGAAGATGGAGGTGGAGCTGCCGTGATTTTCTAGTCCACATTTAAAGACTATAAAACCAGGCGTCTGCAGTGATACGTTTCTACCAGCCTGCTGTGTGTCGGGTCGTTTCTGGCGGAGCAGATCCTGGAATGGAGGGTTTTTCTATGTACATGCAGAGCGCAAGCAACTCCAGTGAGATGAGGGTTTGATTTGCCATCTGATCAGTTTTACAAACACTTCTAGTGACCAAGATGTGCAAAGTCAGTGAGGCTTTTTCTGCAGAAAACGCCATTAATCTGAAACCTGTTTGGTCCACGGTCGAGTAGATTTTTTGAAGAGCGTTCCTGCTCTGTTTTTCAGTCATTTTAAGAGTTTTTTCCTCTTTTTTTTTTTTGACATCCAAGGTCAGAATCCTAGAAGTGTCTACAGGGTCAGCTAAAACAGGGTCAGCACAGAAAGTAGAGGGAGTCAAAGATGAGGTGCGTGTGTGGTGTGTGTTAGTGAATGTGAGCAAAAGATCAGGAGATAAAAAAAAAGCCAATATGGCACCAGAAACGAGGAAACAGGATGAGTGCGACAAACACAGCTGATCCATAAATAAAGCATAAACTAATAACAGTAAAAGCGCAGGCCAAACAGGATGCATGTAAAAAGAGACAGAGGTATGGCTGGACTCTACATGAGTTGATGAAATCCGTCCGATTGACAGACTCCATGAAAACAATATCAAATGAGTTAACTTCCACAAATTTGTCCTGAATATTTCAGGCATTTTCAAGCTCAGCCGTTCAATAAATGGATTATTAAGACAACCCTCGTCGAGAATGTTACACAAGCAGAGTAAGTTGGGTTTCTCCTTTAAGCAGGTTGGTTAGTATGTTGAGATCGCATGCTGTTCAGCAGTACAGGTTATCAAATACTGGCCTAGTGCTGGTTGTGCGCGTTGTGTAGGAAGGGCAACGAGCAAAAAGGAAACTCTGCTTTCTTTTTTAATTCCTTCTTCAAGCCAGAAAGCCTCTCTGCCCTCTCTCCTGGAGCCTCCCCCTCCCATCACCCGCGGAAACCATATAAAAGAAGACAAAATAAAATAATAAAATCAAATACATACACCATCATTTTTTTTCCTCCACACCCCCTCCATTCTCTCTTGGTTTAACTAAACTCCTTTGTCAATAGTGTTTTCAATATGAAACAGTGGACACACCCATGTCAGATTCTAACATTTACATGGCTTTCAGCGCAGTCTCTCTGCTTTCCATTGAGCGAGTGTCAAAGAGAGAACCGGAGAGGAGGTGTGAGGAAAGAGCCGAGGCAGGTGAGGGAGGGACGGAGAGGAGGCTTCTGCTCCAAAACAGAGGGAGGAGTATTAGTGATGCCATCTGTCCTCCACACTACTTCAGGATTAGATGGAGTCCTTCGCTCAGTTCATCTGGAAAAGGGAGAGACGGGTGGCACAACAGAAAAAAAGGACATTAAATCCCTGTCAAATGGGGATCGACTTCAGGCCAAGTAACGAAACAACAGACTTGAGGGTTTCTCTGTTTCATGAGCTCACCTTTGACAGTGCAGATCAAAAAACAGCTCTCATCAGGCAAGTTGTAAACCATCTGCAAACAGGCAGACCAGAAAAGGTGAAACACAAACAGAGGTTATCCAGTGTGGGAGCTGTGGGTTCATGCAAATTATATGAAAATCAACAACATTACACACAGTGGAGTTGTTGTTCTTGTGGAATAAACAGTGGTACAGTCAACTTCTTCATCTCCTCAGTGTGAGGATGTCGAGATACTTGATCTACAGTTTACTTTCACTGGACTGATAATAAGAAACACTGAAATCTGTAACTGAGGACTGAAAAGATATAGTCTATATTTTCATTTTTACTGCTGTTTCCTTTACAATCTAACTATCATTTTGAGTCTTTCTAACAGTCTTTTAACCCACTTGCATCAAAATTAAATCAGTTGACTCTGAGAGATAGAATCCTCACTTCTGTTGAAACATTTTCACCCTGGCTCCTTGTATTTTTAATAATTGTTTTATAAACTTTTGACTTTTTTCCCCAGTTATTTTTAGACCAGTTAAAACATATAAGCTGTTGAATTTTATCCTGATCCTATATAAACTCTCATTTGCTTGTATTTTTTTTGTTCCAAGATTATGAGATAAAAAAATACCTGGAGACTACGTTTAAATCAAGTACTTTTTATGTGATATTTCTTGATCTCGCCTTTGTGTAATTTTATGACGTGTTTAATTTTGGTTTCTGTTTGATTTTGTTCTATTTTGCTATCCTGGAACATCACACTGTCACCTAGTTTTAAAAAGGTAGGTTTTTTATTACAATCCCACTATTATAGACATGAGATATGAACAAATTCAACCGAAAACTGTGAAATTTCAAGAAAATTCACCTTGATACACGATTTCAACATATGAGCCGAGAAAACCATAAAAACTACTGTCTCCTCGGCTCACTCGCTCATCATCTCTCAGGTGTTGTGCCTGTACTCACACAGTTGAAATTACACTGAGTGGATTATCTTCTGTAAATAACCATGCTGGTGGTTTTTCCTGTTCACATCACAGAGATGAGTGTCTGCAGTTTATCTTGTTAGTCTAAGGATTTCTTTTCACAAAGAGCCCTCTACTGGTCAGAAAAGTCAGTTTTTATGGAGATGTAAATGATGTGTGTGTGTGTGTGTGTGTGTACCTGGTCACTGAGCAGGATGTGTATGCCGGTGGGACCCTGTCTGTACACCTGGTTGATCTTCCCCAGTGGAAGGCTGCACACATTCGCCATCTTGCGGATGAGCTCTGCAGCTGTGAGCTCCTCTAAGTACAGAGCGTGATACACTGCGCACAAACAGACAGGTGTTTGTAACCGCACACTGCAGACTGCACGACTAACATCAGCAGGATGTGTCTTTGAAGCCGATTTACCTTGTAAGTTTGAAGATACGCTGTGATCTCCATTTTCGTTGGCGCTGTGTCTCTCCAGCAGGGGGCTCTGTCGAGGGGACTCCTGACAGACGTACACCGTCAACCTGGGACGCACTGACCTGTAAACACAGATGATGATTAGAGCAATCAAAACACAGAGGCCCTTTCATAGAGCTAGGCACAAACACACACTTTGTTACACACCTGGATTTTAGTGCATTGAAGAGTCTGATCCCATCTGCCGGCCCGCAAATCTGGACCAGGTCATCCCGGGTTAGCTTCAACAAATCAGAACCTGCAGGAGAAATTCACTTTCACTGCAGCTGTTACAACACCACAGTAACACTTATGTATGTGTGTGTGTGTGTGTGTGTGTGTACCTGAGAAGTGAGAGAAGAGTCGTGTGTAGGAGTTGAAGCGGTTTTTCAGGAGCCACTTCTGTGCGTCCTGGATGGAGGCAGCAGGGCTGAGCTGCTGCACAGGAGGACACAGACACACACTCAGCCCATGGATAACAGTATTTACCTTTCACCTTTCTGGAACTTTTACACAACTTTATGTAATTCAGGAAATGAGTGCAGACTTACCTCGGAGTTGCCATGGCTGCCAGGGTCTGCCTGGTGATTAGGTGAGGACGAATCGCTACAAGAAAAGGGGACGACAATGAGGAGAGGTGAGACCGAGGGGCTTCATACTCCATCACAGGAAAGACTTTTCTCTTGTCTAAACAAACCCCTGTGTGTAACCCTACCTATCTGGTACTGAGGAGGTTGTGTAGGTGGAGAGAGGGGCGGAGCTGAATGAGGGAGTAGCTGCCTGGTTGGGGCTGACGTAGGCGTTATCTGGCCATGGGGAGCACTGGAAAAAAGACACACAAACATCGAAATGTAATAATTTGACTTTCAGGGTTATTTTACATTGCTAGACAACTGCTCCAAAACAAAAGACTAAAGGTTAAAAAAGTGGATTCAGAGTCAAGATCTCTATCTACCCCCCAACCACAGTAAACCACGTTAACAAAAAAGGGTCAGAGAGTCTTTCCAGCAAACTTTAGACTGCAGCCAGATGACTACAGAAATGTGCTGTGGATGTTTGTGAAGGCAGCAGCAGGAGGAGGAGGAGGAGAGTAGAGCGAGGTGCTTACACTGCCTCTCTTGGCCAGGGAGTCGCCACAGTCAGCGGGAAGTGTCCGCTTGCTGGACTTTTTCAGCTCGTGGTCGCCTGCGTCCTCTATAATGGGTTCAAGTCTTGTCTGCACAGACAGACACACAGTAGAGGTTAGGCAGCCAGGGACCAACACATGAACACAACCTCAGACTTGATGATGTGCAGTAGATAACCTGATAACCTCAGTGTGACGGGGAAGTAAACAGTCAAATGACTCATGTGCCATTTCATCTGTGCATTCCTTTTTGTGTTTTAATGCCCTAGCAGCTTAAGCGCCCCACATATAGAGGCAAAGGTTCTCATTACAGTGGTCTCTGGAACTGCCCCCTTTCTCATAACACTGCTAAGACACTATGAGGATCTGGATGAACTCCTGGAACTGCAAAGTGACTGATAATTATGCTTTTTATTTGTTTTCCTGAATGAGCGAGGTTGAATATTTTGTAACTTGTGGTGTCTGAATCTTTAAATGAGTAAAAATCTCGTCAGGACTTCATCCTGGTTAGTGCTCAGTTGGTACCTGCTGCATACTGACCTCTGACAGGATAGTGGTATCATAAGAAGGCTGGTACTTTTCCTTCTCTTGAGCTGAGCGTTTCTCCATCTTCTCCCTGTCCGTCTTCTGCTTGCGGTCCGCCCCCTTTGGCTAGATGAGGAGCGAAGAAGAAGAGACCGTTAGGATGAGGAGGAGAGTTTTATTGAGAGGGCAGACAGAGGTGATGATGTTAAAATCCCCCCCCTCTAAAACAGAGAGAGTGGGTGTGTACCTTAAAGACTTTGATTTGGCAGGAGGCAGAGTGCAGGTGCTCTGTGTACTCTCCTCCCTCTCCCTGGGCGAACGTGTCAACCTGGATCCTGAAGGGGACGCCCTTCTCTCCGCCGTGCTTTCTGGGAGTGAACTCTGTGCTGATGCAGTGCACCTGCAAAAGAAAAGAAAAGGGTGTGTGTGATCAAAAGGTGTGCTTGATATGGAAATTTAGAGGCACGTCTGAACAGATGGTGCAAAGAGGAACTGGTGTGTGTGTGTGTGTGTGTGTGTTTGAGTGCAGGTGCATTACCTGCACAAAAACAGAGGTCCTTTTGTTCAAGTCCCACAGGAACTCTGCCGCATTTAGCTGGGAGGGGTGGGTCTTTGGCTCAACAATGCCCACTGACATGGGGATATCTGTCTCACACAAATGACACAAACACAGGTGCTTGCGCTCAGAGACGGGCACATGGGACAGCTGAAGTACACACTACTCGATGGTCATTATTACCGATGTCAAGGAGACGGTCGCCAGGACGGTTCCACTTCCAGCCTTCCAGCTGCTGGTGCTCTGTGTACTGAAGCCGGCGGTCGTGAAACACCACCCGCACTATGCTCTGCACACACAAACACAGGTGTCATTACTGCACGTGTCTCCAGAGGGTCTTCAGAACGATTTCATGACAAATCAGAGGATGAAAATGCAAGTCTACTAACTAGAGAAGTTAAATTCCAGATTTTTAGACTCGCCCAGTTTGAGGTTACTCCTCGATTCATTTTTAATTAGAAAACCTGTTTTAACTATTCTGACAGCGCGTGTATGCAGGCGACAAGTTAAAAGTAAAGTTCTCTCTCTTCTGCGGCTGAAGAGATCTCACCTTCACCATCTTGTTGTTGAGCTCTGGTAGCTCCCCTGGATTCCTGTTGTCCAACATACGCACCTCATAAGACTGGCCTGAGAGACACAGAGAGCAATGGAGAGAGATTTAAAAGAATACTGACAGAATACAGAGACAAACAGTCTCAAAACAAGACCGTGGAGTGAATGAAACGTTCTTCTTGTCCAATGGTGATCGAGAAAATTGACTTTTTTTTTTTTTTAAAAAGGACTGAGTATCTGGTTGCCGGTTCATCTGCAGTCAGCCTTTAGTGGACACTGGGGGAACTACTGTTTCGTTTTTTTTTAATTTTTGCATCAGCTTCATTTCTTAAAACCAGAGGGTTTGACTCAAATCTGGCGACATGAGATGAATACTTCATGAGATTTGTCTTTCACAGAAGGGACATATGATGCACTTCTTAGATAACAGGCTAATATGCAGAGTCTGCAGATACATTCAGCTTTTATTTCCATGATTGCAGCTACGTTTTGGTGTTACATTCGGGTAAGAGACTCCAGAGTATAAAACCACAACTCACAACAACTGCTGATATTCTCCTGATATCGGGATGGGGAGATTTTTATCTGTCGCACTGCATGTTGTACAAACATTTCATAATTTCTTGGCTGGCTAGCAACTCATGTAATAATCTGTTGTACAAATCAGGGAGAAATGGAGTCAAATTATCCTGTTTAAATGAGTGCAACACTTGGTAATCTGCAAATACAGTTAGACAACAACTTCCAGTTAGCTAATGGGTTATCAAATTACTCAGACTGCCTTCAAATCTGGCCCCATTACGCCGCTAATTTATACTAGCTTGTCTTTTCTGTTCTGGGTCAGTGTGGATGCATTTCCCAGGGTTGATATGATTTACAAGCTGGAACACGGCAGTGAAATATAATCCCTTTGACAACAGCAGATGAGCCTCCCAGTAAGAGTGTGACGTCAATAGAAGAATAGCCACAGTGCGAACATGATGATGTACTTATTTAAAGAGGAGGGGTCACTCCATACAGCCCACTCTGAGATATGGAAAATGTTTAGGGTCAGTAAAGACAGACGTGATTGAAAGATTTAAGGAGTCCAATCTGTTGAAATCCCAGGATTGGTCCTTTAATAAAGCTTCAGGGGAGCATAAACTCAGCTTTTTCTAAAACAGTTAAAGTGTCACTCATTCCTACTTTTAGATTCATCCGTTTACGTGCCGTCAGATGAATAACTTATTATTTCTTGTTGTCGCCTGATGAAGAATCACACTGTTGGGGAGCTACTGAGGTCAGGAGAGGCCGCCATTCTCATCATGAGCGGTTTCATTTTACAGTCATTACACTAATGAGCGGGAGGTTCATGTCTTTACTCATTAAATGCTGATATTATGTGTGTAGCTGTAGCGCACAAACAAATGAGCTGTGTGTGTACTAACAGCATCAAACACTGATGAAACGTTCATTAGATGGTAATAAAATCAGGCGTCCCACCTTGGTTTAGGTATGTGAGCGTCTCGTCGTGCAGCTTGACGGCAGGCGAGGTGGCGGCACACAGCACATACTGGAATGGGGGGTTTTTGGTCTCATTCTCAGGAGGAAGGCCGGTGTCCTCCTGCTTGAAGATGGGCAGAGCCAGCACATCGCTGAGAGGGACAGAGGAGAGGAGGAGAGAGAACATCAGCGTGACAGAACAGCCATCATTCAAGCACAAGCCCGGCAGCGTCGTAGATTTTCAAGAACAGTTTATTTGGTGCATTTTTCTCGCTTTCTGTCCTTTCAGTGCTGAAGTGGCTCATTTTTCACTGGAAATCAAAGCTTTTATTAGATGTTTAAAGCCATGAGGGATCGTAACAATCATCCTGACCTCCCTGAAGGCAAAGAGAAACTCCTCCTTTATCCTTTCAAAGCGGATGTTCTTGTTTTCCTACTTCTCAATTATTGCGGAAACACATCAAATTGGTTTCGGGACATTTAAACTGTTGCATGCTCCAGAGTGGAGAGACAATGCTGCTCCTCTTCATCCTGTGGAATTATTAAACACATCGGCTTATTTTAGAATAAGTGACGAGGGTTCTCCATCGATCAAATGGCCCTCTTATTATGAATGCATGAGGCCGCAAAGGGATAAATGAACAAAAACGACAAGAGACAGTCTGAGCTGCACACACACACACACACACACAATATCTTTCACACTTGGCTGCCACTCTAGACAGACAGGCAGCCCGTCCTCAGCTCACCCCGACAAATGCCGTGGGAGTGTCATGGGGTGCAAGGTTAGTGTTTTCATGTGGGTGTGGGTGCAGAAAGTAGTCCCATTAATACAAAGAAATGCAGAATATGGCATCCAATTACAGGGAAAACTTTCTGGGAGGTCATGATGCTGTTTTTATCCAGATCCAAACTTAAACACCATCAAAGTGCTCAACAATTTAAGACACTTTCCCCTGCCAACACAGCTCCATCCTTAAACAGCAGCCTGCTCGATTCACTCAGTCCCTTCTTGTTCGGTGTGATTTTCCCTGCAGGCTGTGCCAACCCGGACGCTGCAACCCTGCTCACCCTGCTGCCCAGGAAAACTACATCTGCTTCCTGAAACCTGAGGAGCTGGCTCCACTGACACACACCGAGACATTCTGTTCCTACCAGCTGCTGACTCCAAACCTGCCCCGTAACTCACCCCAACACCACCACACAGACTACACAGACACCACAACTCCCCCCTCGACACACACACACACACACTATCCTGTTTGCACTCAGTAACTTCACCTCACAGCCCATCACTTGTGAATTGATAAACCTGTGGACACTCTGCGTCTCTCTCACACACACACAGATGGCCGAGGAGGCTGCTGATAAGACAAATGCATGTCCTGAGAGTTGCTCGCCTTTGCCACACAAATATCATCACCTCCCGTAACCTGTTACATAACACGGTACACACATACCGGGAGTTACTAATTGAACAGGTGCTTTACAACAATGCTGCACTGCTTCCAGCTTCAGCTTTTTCAGAGGGACAGACACAGGAAATGTCTCCATCCTCCACAGACACATAACCAACAGGTGACTAATGATGTTTCCCTGAATCAGATGACCTGAGCAGTGCTGGAAACCCCTGACTCATTTAATTAAACCTGTTGAAGGAATTTTTACTGGTTATAAAACAGTCCAGATTTAGTGCACATGGACCAGATGATCAGCCAGTTAATTTTAATGCCTGTCAGTTGGTTGGATCTCAATGAGGCAGCTCACAGCATGCAGAGCTAAGGAGCCTCTGCTAACATCTCAGCCTCATAAATGTCACTGAGTAACAATGTTAACAAGTAAAAATTACACAGGGGGAGGTTTGACTTCAGAGGAAACTTCACACACATGTGCAGGACGGGATCTAGAGTGGGATCAGACATACTGCTGGGGCCTCAAATTGAACCGCAAGTCCCCCAGAGCTACTTTGACATAAAGGTTAGGAGTCTTTAGGAGGCTTCACGCATTTTTAGCAAATTTATCTCATTGCCAAAGACTCTGTGTGTGCAGAAACTCAAAGTGAGCATGATGTGAAACCTTATAATTTCAAGAAAATATCTGTGCTTGTGATGCAAGAGTTATACAAAACTAGTGGCTACCTGATGCCAATACAGATTCCGCAAGAGCAGGTTTTTGTTTCTAAACTCTCTAAAGTGTGTTATTTTTTTTGTTTTAAAGCTATTAGACTGCACATATTATTCTACGAATTTCAAATAAACACAAGCCACAGAGCGATTTAGGTTTGATGCTGTCATTTAGGATGGAGAACATGTGTTTATATCAAAAGAAGATAATGGTGTCAATACTGATATGACGCTGATAATCTAAAGAGCATTGATCATCCAGATTACTTTTAGCACCATCAGTTTGGAGGATGTAGCCTTGTTCTAAAACGGGATATATGAGCTGAGACATGTTAAACAAAAGCTGTAGATCACGATCATCTACCATGCTCATATTTGTTTTCGAAGATCAAGAATTCGGACGAGTATTCAGCAGTAACATCTGAACCTTTTTCTACACAAGCACTCAGCAGCTGTTGGGCCAAAGTAGGGCTGGGCGATAAAACGATAATGATAAATATAGAAAATTAATTTCCCTCAATATCAATATAAAACATGGTCAATATGCTTTTTGATAGTCGGCATTCTGCCATGTTTTGGTAGACTATACGAACAGCCAATGAAAAGGGGAGTTGCTCTAGGTCCTCTTCGCGCTGAACCAATCATGTGCTGAATTATAACCAAGTGGCAAACGACCGTGTAGTAGCAGGCTGCAGCTACATGCAAACATAGCACTTTAATATGTGAAGCCCACAGCACTGTTGGTGAGTTAAAAAAGAAAATGAGTGCTACCCCTAACAGAAATGCAGATAAAGGCTTAACAGATGATGACATCATCGACAACACTGGCACGAAAACCTCGCTGGTGTGGAGGTATTTTAGTTTTTGAGGTCGGACATGAAACTGAGTAGTGCGCACTGCAAATTATGTCGAGTACATGTTCTCGCAAAGTCGTGATATAAATTGATATTGACTGATTTGAAAAAAAAAATCATGATTATAAACTTTTTCCCATGTCACCCAGCCCTAGTCCAAAGGTTGTCTTACTTGAATTATAATCTGGTAGAAGGAATGGAAATTTGCACAACTTAAAGGAACTTTTAATGGACAACTGTGTGATTTTTGCAGTCTTGTTGGAAGCTAACAGCAGCTTGAACATCATGGATCTGCTCTGTGATTATTGAGGAAAAATGCATCTTTAGGTGTTTCTTTAGCTGCACATGCTTTGTTAATTTTACACGCAGGTTATTTAACCCAATAAAACAACCCTAACAGTAAAAGTCAGACTCATCTTTCTGAAAGTCACCTCCAGGCCTTTGTTTCCCCTCTCTACCTGCTATATGCTGAGAAACAAAGCCACACATCTGCTCTGAGGTATCAGTCTGAGGGCCTTTCTCACACACTTCCTTGTTATCAGGAAATGTACACTACGTCTAGCATGTCATATGTGTATTTGTTCCTTTCTACATAAGCAGGTTTTTCTTCGGTTGTAGCTGAAGTTTATCTTTGACCCTGATCACGGCTCCCTGAGATCTCTGTCCTTCTCCAATCCTCAAAACAAAGAGCAGCCATCCCTCTTGGTACAAAGGGATCAGCAGCCACAGGTAGTGCATGTAAATAAAGTAAGCCCCCTCAGATTCAGGGTTGATCTCTTTGATGATGACCTCGGACTTTATCTGAGAGTTGATATCTCTGTGTAAGCTCGGTCGAGGTCTAACCTCATGCTATAGGCTCCAGCCCCCAGCTCCTGCCCGATGCCGGACAGACTGGCATCGAAGTCGTGCACCAGCCCCGACTCTATGGTGGCGTCGTCCATCTTCAGCACCCAGGCCATCGGCCCCAGCTCCTTGTCCTCGGCTTCTACACGGAGGGCCGCCAGCTTGCTTCAGGTACGAGAGGTCTAGCAGAGAGGAAGTGGGCTGTGCAGCTCTTGAGGGGACACGGAGAAGGGAAAGTTACGCTGCTAGCCCGTTAGCCGCTCCGTGGCAAGCAGGGCAGAGGAACTGAGAGCTTTCCACGCAGACTGGATGAGCCGCCATATCTCCACTCGGGGTTTCTGTGGGGTCGTTTATCACACAGCCAGCACGGAGCTCCACAGCTGTCTGAAAGTCGCTATATGTTCAGACTCGGCTCAGCTAGCTAAATGTTAGTCGTGACTGCAGACGCGAGCTGATTGTCAGCATGCTAACGTTAGCCACGAGCTAGCTGGCTCTCCAAAGACAGCTTCAACATGGACCCAGCAGCCCTTTAAGTCCTCCAGGAGCAGACCCTTCAAACGGCGTGGCTTACTTTGGCCACACAAAACGCAACAAACACTGTCGAGAGTGTTGTTTTAGTCCACACGCCGCATCCCACGCAGCGTCCGCACAGCTGTTGCTACCTAGCTCCCAGGCTAACTAGCATCAACTTCACTCGCTTTATATCCACGCGTGATGTCCGGTGACCTAACAGCTGCTCTCCTCTGCCGCTCCCTGCACCACCCCACACCGCTCTCCTCTTCTCATTGCGGTGCTGGAATCACCGCTAACGCTCCCGGTCCTTGGTACGCACTCCTGAAACCATCCAAAATGAAGCGGCTGACACAAAACAAGGCATCAACATGGCTCCCTCAGCATACAGTCTACAGTGGCTCTGTGAAACCTGCCAGCCCCAGGAAGGATGCCAGCACGGCGATCAGCCAATCAGAGCGCGTCTTCTGTGCCCAGCTCAGGGGGATTGTCCAATCAGAGGCCTTTGAGCTGCCGTCATTGTGTCCTACTGTATATGTGGTCTGCCTCTTAGGAAAAAAAACAATCTAAAAGTCCACTATTTTCCCTCACTTTTGACAGCAACACTTTATCTTTTTTTCAATAGATAATTATCCCTCTCTAACGGTGGTTAGAAAAACAGTTTTCGTATGACACTACTAACTGTATGTTTACATCAGTGTTTTTCACATTAAGACATCAATTTTGTTTTTAGTGTCATAATCACTAGGCGATTTAAGAAACTAACAGAAAGTATATGAAAAGTACAAGAAGAACCTTAATGAAGCATGTTTTTTTTAATCAACTAATTATTCTTTGTTATAATAACAACAGTAACAACAGTTTTCAATGTGCTCTCTTTAAAGCTCCTGTAAGAAGTTTTTCAAAGCTAATGAAATTGACTGCAATTTATATTGATGCTTTTTTAATGACATTCAAAAGCAAACAAGACCATTAGCTACAACACTGGCAATTTCAAAAGTGAAATTTTAAATGCTTAAAAACAATGCAAGAGGATAGGTGTCAGCCACAGACTGTATAGCGAATGGACAGCGTCTACCTCCTCGCTGGGTGAGAGCAGCACCCTCTGTTGACGGGCTGCAGTATAGGTCATAAATCCCGCCTTCCCCAGCAGAGCTTATGGAGCTGCGGACAAACTTTAAAAATTTATTACACAGAATTTTTCTCCCCCCTGCTTGTGATGTTGACATGTAGTTATTGAAAGACTGGTTTGTGCTCAAGTCCTTTTTTTTCAGTGAAGCTCTGTTTTTAAAAGTTATGAGGGGGTTCATGTTTTCTATGATTGACACTTGATACAGCCTATGGGTGTTCAGGGATTGCGTAGCTCACCCGGGGGATACGCCGTTTTAGCCGAGCATCATCACAGAGAGTCTCCGCGACTCTTCGGCCAAATGCACACAATGGTAGTGCGCAGAACTTGTTTTAGGAAATGAAGAAAAATCCCTGAAATACCAAGAGCTTTTTGGCTTCAAATCCGTATACAGGCGGGAGGCGGAACCAAGTTGTCCATAATATATACAGTCTATGGTGTCAGCCAAACAGCTTAATAAACACACCCTTTATAAATACTTTTTCACATAATATATTAACAATGAATAACTGATATCATTGTCAAAAGTCAGCGAGAGGAGCTTTTTGTCAAAAGACAATGCAGAGGAAAAGGTTAGCAAATTTTGGCACCATAGGGAGCCAGAAGTTACTCAAAGAAGCCTTCAAAGAGCCACTGGTGACCTGCCCAATCTTGTCAACAAATTATTTACTCAATATATCCAACCATCCAGATTTCCAAATGTGAATGGCACAGTTAGCAACCATAATATTAGGAACATGATCATATGGGTTAATTTTGCTCTACATGTAATACTGAAGATGGAGTGGGTGGTGGTAATCTGTATTTCATATGTTTCTTGTTGTTATTATAAAACACAAGGTTGGCAATATACACTTGTCAAAATAACACTTGCTACAGTTCTAATAATGAATTTACAGAATAATTTTCACCTGTCTGACGATGTCAACAAGAACTGCAAATGCAGAAGCTTCTCTCAGTCTAATCTATGGGGTGTTCCTAATGTTATGGCTGCTCAGTGTACGATAAACACACAGTAATAGCGCTTCAAAGTGAAAGTAAAGTGCTTAATAGTTACTCATTAACTTAAAATAGCTAAAAAAAAATGTCAGGGCATAATCTAAATTTAATACATATTTCACTGTCAGACTTGTTCACTTCTCACCGTGTATATTCGCTATCTCCGTGTCTCTGTACGGTGGCTCGGAAGTTCTCAGTGTAGGACTGCCAGAACAACATCGTGTCCCCAAAAACACCTGTCTCACTCCGAAAAAGCACGACTCAACCCGGTACCGAGGGGGTCCACACAGGAGGTCATGTTAGTTCCAGTGTGTGGAGAGGAGTTTGCTGCCGCAGACTTGTTATCTGGTCAATTATTACCCTCTGGTCGGACCCTGAACGTGGCGCAGGGTGTTTTTTTTCGGAGCACGGTACACACGCTATTTTGGCTCGTGAGGGGGAAGACCCGCCTCATGATTTCACAGTTGACTCAATGTCTTGGTTTAAAATGTGGGTGTCAACATATAAACTCTCACTATCGTTCAAAATAAAACAAAAAGCTTCTTACACGGTTAAAAAGGTGTATTTAGAAACTCCACAAATCTACTCCAGAAGAAACACTAAACGCTTTTTTTTGTTTGTTTTTGATTAACTTCATCCTACAACTTCCCCATGTCAAAAAACCCCACAGAGAAACTCCTTTATATCAATTATTCGACATACAACAGTGTTGTAATAGTGCATATAATGCAAAAATAATGATGCTTAATTACATTATTTCCATACATTTTCATAGTTTGATTGTATTTTTTTCTCTTGCAGTTGTAGGAGGTGAAATTTATCTTAGTAAATGTCTTCTTTGCTCTTCAACCCACATTTATCTGCAAAGAAGTTCCTCCTTCAACCTGCACTAAAATAACACAGAGTCAAAGTACTCATGGTAGTATGTTGATAGATTTGCTTAACTATGCTGTATTATTAATACTTTGTGATGACAGGCTGTGTATAAACTGGAGGGACTCTTGGCAGTGAAGATGTGACCACAGGGAAGGCTTTGGGGTTTGCAGGTCAGGCTGCTGTTGTATCTGAGACCGTCTTTAGCTGCACCTAAATTTACAGCCCTCTCGGAGCATATGCACAGTTGAAACTTAACACTGGTTTCTCAAATAGCAAAGTTAAGTAAGACATATTGTTATATTTTACACCACAGGCCTGGGCTACTCCACTTTTACTCTTGTTTGCTCTGTACTTGGCTGGTTCATCTGGGCTTCCAACAGAACTGATCAAGCGCTGAAACCTTTGTCAGTTTATTTCTTATTTAACACACTCAGCCCCTCAGTTTTAATGTTTTTAACTTGCAGTTTATTTATATTAAAATAACTAAAATTAAATGGTATTTCCTGAAATAAGAGATGAAAACCAACATGAATTGGTAGATACTGTATGTTTCTACCACAAGGGACTTACTTTTGGCTCAAGGGGCTAATTCATAACACTTCCTCCAACCTCATGCTCTGTCTGTTCACTACTGTAGACCCCTTAAAATGTGAAAAATAAGCCTGGAGCCTCATCCCTAAAAAGAAGCTCCCTAGGACTCTATTTAGAGACTATTCTTGCAGGGAAACAGTCGTTTAGTTTTGGTGGTTTTGGATGCAAAATAAGATCAAAAGGCCCAACACTGCGGACAAGTTAAAAGGAAAAATAATTATGTTTTATGATAACTTTGTACTATTGATAAATTATTTTGGGGTTTTTCATTCAAATGAGACAAAATCTACACTTGTAAATCTTCAGATAATCTCCTTATGTGAGATACAAGTGCTTCATGCTTATGAAATAGACTGAAAAGAAAGATGGCTTTTCATGATACCCTAATAACCAAAAAGGACATCAGTAACAAGACTGGTGATTTTTAAATCCTAATTTTCATGCCTTAAATCAGTGTGAGGCAGTAGGTGTCAGCTGAGCGGCTGGAGAAACAACCGTTTAACAATTTCCACATTCGATACTCACAATAAATGAAACATTGGTCCAGGATGAGACAAGCGTGTGTAGGAAAAGATAAGCAATGACTGGTTTGTCCACACCTTTAAATGTTAAAATGAATGAGTGTCACTTGGTACAGATGAACACATTAGCCTTCTGGCATTGACTCTTCTATCCCCTTTTCATTATTTAAAGTCTTTTCCACAAGAACCAAAAGACGCTGCTCTTCTCATGATCTGTACAAGTTCTTTATTTCATTGTAAGCACAGCTTTGTAAATGCACGGAGGAAACACAACGGTGGAGACTAGAATGTTACAAGAAGAGGAAGGAAAAAAAGACACGATGAAGAGGAGAAGAGAGAATGATGACATGACAGATTTTTTCAGAGCTGTAAATAATACATTTCTACAAGTTTCTCCGCTGAGAAAAACAAGTGTGAGAGAGACTACTGCACGCGCAACAGAGAGTAAAAGAGAGAGAGAGAAAGAATAAAAACAAAGATGGGCACAGGTGCGCGTGTGCACCTCCCAGGGGGGGGACTCTCCTAAATGACACTGTTATTGGATAATCCTTTTTAATATCATATATAGATACATATCCACTATGTGATAATAAGCCATGTCCGGTCATACTTCATGTAGTAAGCAGCACACACTCGTTTTTTTTTTCCACGTTTCCCAGAGATGGATTTATCCAAGATGATCTGGGAGAAATGGACAGGGTGGATTTAGTTCACATTAATCTAAAACCCCAGTCAAAGGGACTCGACTCTGACTGCCGCCAATAAAAAGTTCTTTTTAAAATGAAGTCTCATGCATAGCCAAGCACACAACACCTCCTACACTTTGGACTCTGCCAATGTTCTGTTTGTTTCTGCATCTTAAGGTGTGACCCACTCTGACTGAGTGTGTTAGTGCTGCACGCTGGGGTTGGTCGTACCTTTTTTGGCTTTCCAGCACCTTTGTCATAAAGACGAGAGCGTGTGTGTGTTTCTGTGTGTGTGTGTGTGTTTTAGACAGAAAACTCCAGACATTAAAACTGCTGCAGTAAAAACTCATGACGTAAAATAAACCCAAACTATGACACAATGTAAATTTACATTCCTGTCTACCTGGACCCACTTACTCGCTGCTCAAGAAAGACACAAAGACGGCACCATTCGTTCGTCTCAACCCCGCACTATGAACCTTAGCCCCGCCCCCACCCAAAGAAAGTATGAGATCCATGCAGTTTTTCCACTCCCTGCTGACATCAAGAGGACTGGGGGGGGGGGGGGGGCATGGTTTTGTTTTGAGAAATAAAGGAAGTGGAGAGGACGGATGGTTTCATCCTTGAGTGATTAGTGACAAACCTGCGTGGATGTGTGTTATTTGTTCACGTTTAATGAAAATGTGAGGGTTGGGTTCAGTCAGGGCGGATCCTCGGCGATGCTCACGGAGAACTACAACACTCCTCTCTTCTGCACCAAACAGGAAATGTATGAGGACTGAGTGTGTGTGTATGGGTGTGTTTATGTGTGGAAGCAGTCTGAACGAGTGTTAGGTTGTGTGTTTTGTTCTCGGCCAGTGTGTAGTTGTGAGTTCGTTTGGTGGGCAGAGTTGTAGTTCAGCAGCGGCCCTGAGGGAGGGCGCTGTTGTCTCCTATAGGCCTTCAGCCGAGGGTTCACTGCCGCTGGAGCCGGACTGGGCGCGCTTGATGTACAGATTCAGCAGCTTCAGCTACGACAGAGACAGATGAGGAGAAAAATGTCAAAACCTAAAATACTGGGGAAAAAGGCACACTGATGGAGACTTGCACCTATCTGTAGAGGACTTGGAATTGATCATTTTTGGAAATATCTCTAACTCAGACCCCGGAGAGGCTGCTTATTAAGAGACGGATTATACACTCACCGGCCACTTTATTAGGTACACCATGCTAGTAACGGGTTGGACCCCCTTTTGCCTTCAGAACTGCCTCAATTCTTAGTGGCATAGATTCAACAAGGTGCTGGAAGCATTCCTCAGAGAGCTTGGTCCATATTGACATGATGGCATCACACAGTTGCCGCAGATTTGTCGGCTGCACATCCATGATGCGAATCTCCCGTTCCACCACATCCCAAAGATGCTCTATTGGATTGAGATCTGGTGACTGTGGAGGCCATTTGAGTACAGTGAACTCATTGTCATGTTCAAGAAACCAGTCTGAGATGATTCCAGCTTTATGACATGGCGCATTATCCTGCTGAAAGTAGCCATCAGAAGTTGGGTACATTGTGGTCATAAAGGGATGGACATGGTCAGCAACAATACTCAGGTAGGCTGTGGCGTTGCAACGATGCTCAATTGGTGCCAAGGGGCCCAAAGAGTGCCAAGAAAATATTCCCCACACCATGACACCACCACCACCAGCCTGAACCGTTGATACAAGGCAGGATGGATCCATGCTTTCATGTTGTTGACGCCAAATTCTGACCCTACCATCCGAATGTCGCAGCAGAAATCGAGACTCATGAGACCAGGCAACGTTTTTCCAATCTTCTATTGTCCAATTTCGATGAGCTTGTGCAAATTATAGCCTCAGTTTCCTGTTCTTAGCTGAAAGGAGTGGTACCCGGTGTGGTCTTCTGCTGCTGTAGCCCATCTGCCTCAAAGTTCGACGTACTGTGCGTTCAGAGATGCTCTTCTGCCTACCTTGGTTGTAACCGGTGGTTATTTGAGTCACTGTTGCCTTTCTATCAGCTCGAACCAGTCTGGCCATTCTCCTCTGACCTCTGGCATCAACAAGTCATTTCCGCCCACAGAACTGCCGCTCACTGGATATTTTTTCTTTTTCGGACCATTCTCTGTAAACCCTAGAGATGGTTGTGCGTGAAAATCCCAGTAGATCAGCAGTTTCTGAAATACTCAGACCAGCCCTTCTGGCACCAACAACCATGCCACGTTCAAAGTCACTCAAATCACCTTTCTTCCCCATACTGATGCTCGGTTTGAACTGCAGGAGATTGTCTTGACCATGTCTACATGCCTAAATGCACTAAGTTGCCGCCATGTGATTGGCTGATTAGAAATTAAGTGTTAACGAGCAGTTGGACAGGTGTACCTAATAAAGTGGCCGGTGAGTGTATGTACACAGAATTCTCAGTTGTCATGTTTGGAGTTGCCATAGCTGCAACGAAACTCAGACTATAGAGGCCCAGTAAACGTCCAGAGTGGGTGTATGTAACACAGTATTGGTCCAACTGAGTTTTGAAAAGATATCCATCTATCTACATGTTTGTACTTGGTGTGTATACACATACAGATCCTGCACTCTCACCCTGATGGAGAATCAAACATTGTCTCTTTGCTCAAAGGCGTGGTTACCTTGCTGCTGGAGAGCTGGCTGAGGTGCGGTTTGAGGTCCTCCCCGATCACTGTGTAAATTGCCACCAAGCAGAACACACAGGCTTTCCTCACGCTGCTCTCAGAGTTGTCATAACCCTGTTTAAACAGATTTAAAACTCATTACCAACCTGCAGGACAAACTGCGGAGAGAGCGGACCGCTGACAGAAATATGCAGTTGGTGTTAGTCTGACATCGATAATCTGGTGTAAAGGTAACGACTCTGAATAAGAAGCAGACGTTTGATTTTCGGACAATCTTAGTTAACCATGTTTAGTATTTAAAGTCTGTGTGCGTTACCTGGATGAGCCCTGGCACGATCTCGGGCAGCAGGCTCATCAGGCCCTCCCGGGGAATCCTCTCCACCACTTTGGTCTGCATCTTGATGGCGGCCAGGTTGATGGGGTAATCAGCTGACTGGATGATGGGACACAGCACCTTGATACACTGGTCTGGACTGATGGATAACGCCAACATGGCTGCTGTTTCCTCTGCTGCTCTGACGACCTGCAGACACAAACATGGACGACATCTGTATTAATGACACTATGAATCAGGGTAGGATCTAACCATCAGCAATAACACGACTCTTCATTCCTCTGTTGTAACTTTTAAAGCCTGAGAGTCCAGTGAGAGGAGTCAGACAAGGTGACTGAAAGAAGGCATTCAGAGTAAAATGATGCATTTCACTGTTAAAAGACAACAGGGAGAGGTTGTTCTCCACAAAAACAACTCTACATCTGTGGGACAAAAGGTGAAAGACATCACTTTGTCCGCAGGGGGGTGTAACAGAGCAACACAAGAGTTCCTCGCAGAAGGTAAAAAAAAAAAATGTGTCAGATCAGCGTTATGTTTACGTACCTCTTTGTGGGGATCTTTGTGAGCCTCCAGGGCCTTCATGATGGTTAGCTCTGCGTAGTTCTTGAACCTCCAGGGCTGCTTGCTGAGAATCTCCCTCAAAACCCGCAGGGCCAGCGATCTAATCAAATGCTGGGAGAAGAAACACAAAAACTCTGGGTCAGAAGACGTGAATTCCTCTCTGCGATATTTCATGACATTTCATGACATTTCATGATATTTCATGATATTTCAGGGTACCTCTCTGTCTCCCATCGTCTCCAGCAGGAGCAGCAGGATGGTCTTGAAATGTTCGTCCCACACCTGCAGGGTGTTTTCTCGAATCAGCTTCAGCAGTTCACACAGCGCTGCCTTCCTCTCCTCGATGCGCTCGTTGTGATTGGACAATTCTTTCAGCAGCTCTGCCACCAGCTCTGATTGGTCGAGGCTGCTGTCTGTTGAAATTAACAGGAAGAGGAAGCCTTTAAAAAAAGAGTGAAGTCTCATGTGCTCGACATTATTTTCTGATTGTTTCTTTTTTGTACCATCTGCGAGTTGCTCAGAGTCATCCAGACTGGAGTCTTTGCGGCTGTGTTTGAAGGGAGAGTCGGTGAAGTGCTCGCGGGCTCCCCGGGGGCTCGAGGAGAGAAGAGGGGTGTTTAGGAGGGAAGTCTTGTTGTCCAGAGCCATGCGGCCCCCGTCCACAAAGTCCGATACTCTGTCGGTCCCACCGTCTCCCTGCAGAGACACAATGGATCAGTTTGAAGAAAATCAAACTTAAATATTACAGTCTTTTATTGACTGTCTTCACTAGGGTGACCATATTCTGATTTCCCAGAAAGAGGACACGACTAAACTGGGGTAGAGACACAGAGTCGCATGACGTTAATTTGAAGAGTTTTTCGGGTTGGATCGAGTGTCTTTTACGCGCTTTTAACTCAGTAAGTCCACGTGACACAAACTCAAAACTTCCATGCAAAACCCCAGACATTTGAAGGATTTTATAAACTTCCCCGGACAGTCCGAGCAGCCCCCCAAAAAAGGACATGTCCAGGTATAAGAGGACATATGGTCACCCTAGTCATTATGGCTTGTTTACGATTTAAACAAACCAAAGTGCACACAAAAACAACGCCTACATTCAACAGGTCAGGCATGAAAGCAGCTTCAAACTCTGTGTTGTATTTCACACAAGCGAATTTGACACAAAAGAAAGAGACTCAATCATGAAAATGTGGGTGTAATACTTCCTTTTGTTGGCGTCACGCTGTTCTTGCACTGTGATTAATCATTATTGAGACTGACACACACGAAACCACCAGGGCAGAACTGGAGGAGTTGGGTGTGTGGATTTGAGCGGCTCTTGTTTCTGTGTACATTTACTCTCAAACTGTTAAATGCCATGATGTGAGGGCTGCTTCGGTAAGTCAGGTGTGCTGTGACTGGCAGGCTGATGACACGAAGGCTGGTTGGATTTCAGATGCACCTCCCAGGGAAAATGTCAGGAGGTCACACCTCTGCACCGGAGGACAGCGTGTCCTTAAAAGGGGCCGGGCCCAGTAGGAAAGACTGCAAGAGGACCGGGAATGACGTCTGGAGGTGTAAATTTGGATGGAACAAGCAGAGTATCAGGATAAGCTTGTGTGAACATATTAAGAGGGGAAAGCTCCTGTGATCTAATTTTTGATTCATGATAATAGACATGATTTTAGAGGTGGATGTAGAGGATTAAGTTTACAGCGATCACTCACCCTAACACTTGAAGTGTTCCCACGCTGCAGGGTGGCAGTGGGGCGGATCACATGTCAGGGTCACATATATTTCATGAAGATAGCTGTGTTTGTTTGTGTGTCCGTGTGTGTTAATCCTTTATTTGAGACTTGGAAAACAAGCTGCCAGACTGAACAGGATCGCTGCTCAGCGGGGCGCTGGGGTGACTTTTCCACTGCAGCAGCTTGTTGCTCCTGCACAGGCATTCCTGTTACAGGCCGGGTTGCATGCTATGAATCTGATTATTTCACATGTTGGCCGGTAGTCTTTCTCTGCATAACCTACGACGTATCTTTGAGGATATCTGCTGAAATATTTGCTCTTAAGGTTGTAAGATCGGAGCTTTGACAGTCGCTGTCTGGGTTAATCTGTAATGAACTGTTTAAATTGTAGTTTTTGATTGAGTAGCAGGTCCAGTAGATGGTTTTCTTTTAAAAAAATAGAGCAGGCTCAACCATCTTTGTCGAATATGGAGAAGTAAAGGGTAGAGCTGTATTCAAATATGTGAAAAACTCCTTTTTAGTGTCTGCAGTGTGCATGTGTCTCACTTCTCCACCTCCAGAAAACATTTATGCTGTGAGACATGTAGGCCTGGACGATATAGAAAAAAAGCATATCGATAAAAAATAAATCATATTGATCGATATCGATAATTATCGATATAATTATTATAATTATTTAACATATATTTTAATTGCAGCCCTGGATGTTTTATGCTATTGCTTAATGACCTACTTTTAATAAAGAACACACAAGCACTGAATTCAAATTCAAACCTTTATTCAACCACCTTTTTTTTACCACAACTGAAAGGTTTTTTTAAAAAGAACTTTAAAAAAAAATAAATCAACTTAAGTGGCCTGAGTGACATCAGTAAATACTGACAAACATAAAGACTAAAGTGACCAGAAAATCTGATAAATAAATATTTAAATAGTCTTTTGATGAAAATAAACAAAACAAACAAATATATAAATAAACAGAATAGCTTTAGGTGGGAATAGCATACTACCAGTTTTAACTGTGTGGGAAACTGCCCACAGCCTGGTGTCTGAACACTGAAATATTTCTCCTGGGGTCGGGAGATTTATTTTTTTTAATTATCATGTGATTGACTTATTAAACAAACTAAGCACGAGAAGCAGGACTTATCCACGCCGGTGTTGTGTCGTAGAATGCACCCCTGCCGAATGCCCCCCCTGCTAGTAGCCATGATCCAAATACTCGCGTCTTTGTAAAATATGAGCTCATTTTCTTCCACTTTAAGAAGCTACACCGGAGCGTATTTCCTCCGCACCCTTCTCACCTTTTCAACCCCTGACCCATTTTCATGCCTGAAGCGCTGTGTTTGAGAAATACTTGCGGCCGGGCACTTCATATCGCGGGTCGAGAGTGGCTAGAAGCTGGTCGAAGCCAGGCTTTTCAATGGTAGTTATTGGCAGTATGTCCCTCGCTATGGAGCATGTTACTGCATGGGTGATGTCCTTATGCCGCTTGGACGCTTTGTCGTATTTTGGCAAGAAACGAAGTCCAGTTTGGTCTGCTTCACTTGCTTTGTGCTGGTGCTAACAGCGGTTCCAGAGGATTCCTCCGACGACGACGTGGAGCCGCGGCGCGGCCGACACAGCTCGTACTCCTGCGGGTGCGACCGGTTTAGATGGTAAAACAAGTTGGTTGTGTTACCGGACTTGGTTTTTACTAATTCTCTGCAAATTTTGCAAACGACCGCTGTTTGCTTTTTGTCAGACTTCTAAAAACCAAAACATTGCCATGTTGGTGAACTACTGAAACCTTTTTTCGGGACAATTTCCTCCGCTTCTCCTTGCTGTTACATTATTTCTAATACACGTGCTGTCTGTTGTGGTTTGATAGGGGCTGGGCTTGGTGCCGTAGCGTACCTGGGTCTGCGTTTGTGATTGGTTGGGAGGAAGTAATGACTGTAGTAAAAGCTACATGATAGGCTATGATGAAAAAGAAAGGGAAACTGTGTTTTTCTATCGAACTTTTTATCGACCCGTTTTTTTTCTATCGCTTCACACGTCTATCGATCGATATATATTGTTATCGAATTATCGTCCAGCACTAGAGACATGTCAACTTTTGCCAGCTGTGTTTTCAAACATCCATCTCAACCTTTTCTTTACAAGAATACTGAAGAGAATCTCTACTCTTAATCAGGGTTCCTACGCAAGTATGGAAAGTATGGAAATTTGATCAATTTCTAGGTCTTAGACAGCACGAAAAATGAAAAATAAAGTATGGGAAAATATTTGTGTTTCCAGTGTATTACCACAGTTCAAAAATACTGTTTTCTAGAATAGAAAAGTAGGTATTTCCAAAAATAATTCTCAAACGTAGAGTATGGAAAAGTATGGAAATTCCAGCTGTGTAGGAACCCTGCTTAATGATGTACACTTCATCCATCAGCCAATAGCACTGACCTCTTCTCCCTCGCGGCGTTGGACCGGTTCGTTCATGTCCTCTTGGCTGCGGACGCTGAAGTTCTGGATGGCCTCAGTGACACCTTTCAGTGAGCTGTAAATGTCCTCTGAGTTCATGTTCTCCGTGTCGTAGTCAAATGCACTGCACCAAAAACAGGAAAAACAGGATTTTTAGATTTAGAAAAGGAAAGGGGAAGAAAAGTGAGAGAGGGACGCATGATCATGGTGAAAGATTCATCACACCTTGTGTCTGTTACATACAGTTCAAAAGGTGTTACACAGAGAACACTATTTTATATGACAAAAATAGACTCAGATCAGGCTAAGCCAGAGCTGCTTGTTTGTGGGGGGAGCCCTGACGAGTCGATCACCGAGTGCAGCGGAGATTCCCAGCTCAAGGAAGAACATTTATGATTATTACTTCATGGAAATGCAATCAGACCGCGATGCTAAGAACTACCGTGTCTGCAGTGCAAACTGATTATTACGATTATTATTACTTATGGAAATTTTCTGCTGCACTCTGTGATTGACTCGTCAGGGCTCCCTCCACAAACAAGCGGCTGCTGGAGGAGAGTGGGTGAGTTGTGTTTGGTCTTTTTGCTAAAGAAACCAGGCAAAGTTAAAAAGATGTTTGATGGCTAGTACTATGGCTGGGACCCTATAGTTACTGTTGATGAAGTTAGGTGCTGTTCTGAGCATTATTTGTGGCTACAGAGTGGCTTTTTGGTTGAGGTTTGCGAGTGGAGACGTAGACCGCTGTGTATTGCTATTGTGCGGTCGTTACTAAAGTTGGTATAACTAGAGAAGCAAGCAGTTGGCAACATTCATCTCTCAAGGGTGTGTTTTTGACCATTACTTAATGTTACACCGGAATATCCCTTTAGCAACAACAAGAACCTCGTTTTATCAAAAAAGAGTGAACACTGGACAACCAGAGGTCTCCAGTCCAACCTAAAACAACAAAAACCAAAAATAAAACATGCCTGTTAAAAAGAAAACCTGCAGGGAAAAAACAAGATAAGTTTAGTGGGGTCAAGACAGAGAGAAAGAAAGCGAGAGGGAGGGAGGAAGAGCAACCGTGGCAGTCCCGGCCACATGTAACACGGAGTCCCGGCAATCTACTTTATTCTGTCTTCAGTTCACACCAGTCTGTCAATGATTTTCAGAGTGTATGTGTGTGTGGGAGTGTGTTACCTTGGTGAAGGGGTGTTCTGGGAAGTGTTGGTGGGGGAGGTAACGGGGCTGGACCAGCTGGCTGGAGATCGAGGGGTGTGGCGCGTCAGTGGGCTTCCCATTGGTGCCTGAAAAACAAGTGAGTCAAATATCTTTGTCTAATGGTTGAAAAATTAAGCGCACAAAGCGTGTAGAAACATCTAAAGTCAGAGTTTGAGTGTGACTGTGTGTGTGTGTGTTTCACCTGTGCAACATTGCCGGTATTCTTCAGGTGGTTTTGGAGCAGCTTGGTGGCCCCGTCCTGGAAGGTTTTGGGCAGAGCTGCCAGCAGCATGGTAAACTCTGGAGTGTTGAGCTGGAACAGAGCGATCAACACCGACTGGGCAGCCTGAAACAACAAATTCACTTTCTCTAAAATCACCACAGACTTGGTCGTTTTTGTGTGTTTGAGTGAAACAAAGACAGCTTCAGAAATTCACAGTCACACATGGCAGGCTGGCGAGCACCTTTCTGACATCAGAGCTCTTGGGCTCAGTCGTCCATGTGATGATGCGAGAGACGGCGAGTCGAGTCTCGCTGGAGTTCACGAAGTCTGGCGCTTCCATCTGTAACGTTAGTGTCTCGATGTACTTCAGAATGGCCACCTTCACCTGCAAAACAAAAACACACATTTAAAATAAAGATTAGTGATTGCTGATTAATGAATGAACGGTAACGCCAATTATCTCCTGGAAAAACACACAAAAAAAACCCAGTAAAAATTAAAACGACAGCGATGAAAAAAGACCACCAACGTTCACAGTCAGCATGAACAATCAGCAGATTGTGAATCTCTTGCGGGTCTGAAAATGAAACAATCGGATGAATTAGTGAGACAAATCAAAGTGCATCCATGGTCATGCTGGAAAACGTCTGAAAGGAAATCACTCAAATGAAAAAAGGAAGATGAAAAAGTAAAAGAAAACAGCAAAACAAGAAGTGCAAATATTCACTGTATAGACTCCGAAAATGCCCAAACTGACTCCTGTCCTGATTTTCTTCCATTTCTCACCCTGTTTTTTTTAATCCGTCTCTCTACATATGAACCTCCAGGACCACAACTTCCTCCAAATCACTTAGCAGCGTTGTGTGCGCCATATAATTGCTCCCCCCGGAGCGCACTGACCTGGGAGGACTGGCTCCAGGCTGCGGCTTGCTCGTCTATAGAGCAGGCGTGGCGCCGCGCTCTGGGGGGGAACAATTTAACCCCGGACCCTCCCCTGCATCGCCCTCGCCCGCAACACGAGCTCCGCTCAGGCTTCAGAGAGAGAGAGGAGAAGCACCGCATCAATCAACGGAGACAGAAAGGGAGACGAGGACAGGGGGGGAAAGGCAGGGGGGAGACAAGAGAGGGGAAGAACAAGGCAGGAGGAGGGAGGAAAGAGGGAAGGAAGGGAGGAAAGAGGGAAGGAAGGGAGGAAGGGAGGGAGAGCAGAGAGTTTTAGAGGAGTGAAAAGACTAGAAAGTAGGCTTGGGCGGGTTGGAATATTTCTATTTTTCTGGAAATCAGGTAATACACCATCCTTCCACATGGAGGCAGCAGAGAGCCGTGAGTCCATCAACCAATATCTTGTTATTATGTCATTAATGAGGATTCATGCAAACCTGAATGCTTGATAAATGAATGTTTATGAATTGAGTTTATATTAGAATAAAGCATCTTCACATGCTGTGAAATATTAACACAAAGCAACAAAACTGTGATTCTTATGTTTTTTTTGTGTGCAGCTGAACTCAGACAGGTAAGCGTGTCCTGTCATTCTCTCCACCTCTGTCACAGAACTCCAGGATCAAACAGACTGATTGGCTGGTGGGCGGAGTTTTCTACAGACTGATCATTACCTGCCCGGAGCAGGTTAACAGGTCGACAGTGATCTCCCCTGGAAACCACCAATGCAGTTCTGAAAACCCAGAGTTACCTCTGAAGTTACCTCAATAACCACAACTTTAGGTCCATATCCAGCTGGTGTTTCAAAATACTCTAAACTCTAGAGGTGGATGTTGGCAAAGAGTTTCTGCATCACACTTGTTTATTTTGATTTAAGACTTGCGCAGCATCACGCAGTTTGGCTTTTACTGCCACGTATTGGCTTCATCTTGCATCGCACTGCAGCATTTGCGGCTGAATGGATTCTGTAACATGAGGATAGATGCACTTGTTGGCAAAGACTAAACATTAAAGTGACCTCGTCTATCATTTGATTTTGAGATTGTGCCTCTCTAATCTAAAATGTTGAGTCCTGATATGAACTAAGAGAGAACAAGCAGGTCCAGAAGTTAAAGCCTCTGTTGTATCTTTCAATGTGATCAAATTTACAACAACTGAAACATCACCTGATGGCTGTTGCATGTTTGCTGTGTCCTATGAAGGGAAAATGAAGAAAGGAGAAGACTGAAGAAACTTTATATTTGGAATTTCAGGAAGAATTTGTGTTGCAGATAACATCTTTAATTGCCCAAGCCTGGTTTGAAGGCAGAGGAAGAGGAGGACAAAAAAGTGAAACTTCGGGGAGGACGAGGAGGCCAGTGAGGGGTCAGGAAAATTCAGGAGTGAAAGATGAGAGAAGGAGATGCAGGATTAGTAAAAGAGAGAGAGAGAGAGAGAGAGAGAGAGAGAGAGAGAGAGAGGGAGGATGGATGAGGAGTCAAGAAAGGAAAAGCTTGAGGGGTGTGTCCAAACTGTAGCAGAGCAAAAAGCCAGCGGAGGGGCCACATCGCCAGCCGACCAATCACAGCCCAGGATTCAGGGGTTTTGGGAGGCAGTGCCAGAATGTGCAGGCATGAGGTCATATCAGAACAGCAGTTACCATGGTTACACAGTCTTTGAGTTTTCGCCTAGGTTTCCTTGTATCCCTTTCTATTACTCAGGCATTAGCACACATAATCAGCTCAGCTTTTAATACAGAACCACAAATATAAACACACAAACATTTACAGTCACACAAACATGAGATCAACTGTGATCTACCTTCAGGTTTGGCGTCTGTGTCTGGTCCACTGTGAACCTCATGAGAATTGTGAACTGGAGATCGTTGGGGAAAGATTCTCTGTGGGGAAAAAGCAGAAAATCTGATCTTATACCTGTCTTCACCTGTAGATTCATGACTGCATATATGATACAACTATACAACTATACAAATAAAAATACAAATGGACAGCTGGCTTGCTATGAAATAAGTGCAACACATACTGTTTGGTGGATTTGATTAGTGTGCATTTTCACAGCAGGGCAAGTCTTAAGGTAGCAGGGCCTAAGCCAGGGAAGTAATCCACCTTGGTGAGAATCTTTAAACGGATATTACGGCGTAAAATTAAGTTAGGGTCACAAACACCGTAACACCGAGTTAGACACACCCTCGAGAGATGAACTGCTTGCTTCTCTAGTTATACCAACTTTCGTAACTACCGCACAATAGCAATACACAGTGGTCTATGGAACCACGCACAATCCTCAACCAAAAAGCCACTCTATAGCCACAAATAATGCTCAGAACAGCACCTAACTTCATCAACAGTACATATAGGGTCCCAGCCGTAGTACTAGCCATGAAACAACTTTTTAACTTTGCCTGATTTCTGTAGCAGAGAGACCAAACATAACTCACCCACTCTCCTCCAGCAGCCGCTTGTTTGTGGGGGAGCCCTGACTAGTCGATCACAGAGTGCAGCAGAAAATGTGATTATTACTTCATGGAAATGCAATCAGACAGAGATTCTAAGGCAGAAGGACTACCACACCTGGAGTGTGCATATAAGATACACAAGAACTCTGATTGCATTTCCATGAAGTAATAATCATAAATGTTCTTCCTTGAGCTGCGAAACTCCGCTGCACTCGGTGATCGACTCGTCAGGGCTCCCCAACAAACAAGCAGTTTTTTTTTTGGTCAAGGTTTGCATGTGGAGACGTAGACCACTGTGTATTGCTATCCTGTGATCGTTACTAAAGTTGTTATAACTAGAGAAGCAAGCAGTCGGCAACATTCATCTCTCGAGGGGGTGTCTGACTAGGTGTTACGGTGTGTTTGACCATTACTTAAATTTATGCCAGAATATCCCTTTAAGCTCCTCTTTACTCAACTAACTACATCTGCGAACCCCGGTATATAGAGAGAATCGACTGAAAAACACTGAGTGTGACTTATTCATGTCAATATTGGCTCCACCTTTATACTCTGATGTCAGTCTGTGTGTCACACCCACCGTGTGATATCCAGGGCTCTTTGAACTTTGGCCTGTACGGAGCCCAGCAGGTCCGCTCCCATCTTCTTCAGCAGCTGTGTGAGCAGGACGAACAACCAGTCCTGCAGGTCTTCCTTATGGACCACGATGAAATCTACCAGAGTCTCCAGGAACATACTGAACACCTGAACACACAGGCACAGAGCTCTGTCATTCATGGACTGATATGTTTCATGCACACATGCATGCAAACAAGCAGTCTCGCACTTAGCCTAATGTTAAAAAACGATGCTGATATTAGTTTCTGTCATAGACTGTTTAAAAGATGGACAGCACAACAGCTTCTCAAAAGTGAGGAGATGGAGCTGCTTCATCCATGTTTTCCAACAGCCTATGATCTGTTTGGTGGAGTTAGCGGTTATTGACTCATTACAGCAAAGGCACATCATCATTCCCAAACACCAATCAAACCAAACCAAACCAAACCACCCACACTGATCAAAATAATGTTCAGATTTAGGTTAGAGGCCGACCAAAATTAGGAGGTAACATCTGAAAGTATCAGCAAGATTACAGTAACAGGCAGTATCACGTGAGGCAGGTTAGTGAGTGATTGTTATGTTGTTTGGCCTTGTTACTGGTTATCCAATCAGATTAATGAAACAGATTTCCATGCAAACACATTTCATACAGTATCACACATTTGCCAAACTTACTCTCTATAGAGAGTTCCAGAGAGGGGACGCATGAGGGGGAGAGAGAAAACATTAGTTAGCATCCTGATAGAGAACACCTGTATTCAGTGACACTCATGAATTTCAATCCAATGTCTGCTAAATGGAAATAGAGACACACAGGTAAGAGTAACACCTTCGTTTAAAAACGTGAAGTGAATGTTTTGTGCACACTTTAAGAACTGAGAGAAAGGATGGGAAATAAAGAGGATGAAAAAGAGTTGGAAATGAAGTTGAAGGTAGAATCCATGGCGTGATGCGGTACCTTGAAGGAGGCCGAGCTTATACCGGATTCTGCCGTGCCATACACCCTGCCGGAGTCTCGCTGAAATTCATCAAATCGTCAAACACGTCAAAAACGTAGGGGGAAGGGGAGGAGAGGAGGGGGGCTCACACACCTCATAACGTGTGAGGAACTCAAAAAAAAAAGAAAAAACGCCGTAGGAGAAGTGGCAAAGTTAGAGAGAGGGCCAACCGCAGCTGGTTAGTAGAAGAGAGGAGCTGGCAGCCGCATGATCTCTGTGTATGTTTCAGGGCGTCTGCGTGTGTGTGGTCAGTGACGTCGCTTTAGACTGCAGCGCAGGAGGGGAGGGGAGAAAGGGGGGAGTGGCAGTGAATGCAGTGAGTGCTGTGAGCGCAGCCGGCCGATTGGCTGCTGAACAGTGACAGAGCAATCCAGCAGGACGGCGGACGAGAGTGTGAGGTCACACGCAAACTCAGGCTCAAGCATGCCATTAAAAAAAAGTTTGTCACACACTCTGCATGCCTGTGTTGATGTCTGAGTGTTCATTTATTTATTGTGTGTGTTCACGTCTGAGAACTCTAGTTTTTACTTCATGACTCCACCTGATATCTGTGACTTAAACATGTTTGTGTGTTCATGAGATCTTTGGCAGAATCCGGTACAGTGGAGGACGGTGAGATGAACCAGGTATGTGAAACAAAAGTCAAATCAAAGTAGGTGAAAAATGACTCTATGTGACATGAGACTGTGAATGAATGTTGCTGCTCTCTGTGCCGACTCTTGATCTGCATGCAATCGTACCTTACTGTGAGGATCTGCAAACATCCGAGTGAAGATTTCACATAGCCTCTTCAGCTCTACTCGACTGCAGGTCAAAAGAAACACAGTTAGATACAAACAAAAAGACAAATCTAGACACACATGGACCAGGTCTGTGGCAAACCTGAGGGTGCGCTGGTTCTTAAGCAGCGCCTGTAGGCCGAGCAGCCCCTCCTTTCTCTCCGACCAGTTTGCACTTGCACACCGATTCAGCACCTGGAGAGGAACACAAAAACACAAGTCGGCTGAGAATCTTAAAGGTTTAAAATGTGTGTGATATTTTTTTTACAGCAGATTGAAGGGAAACAATTCCTCAAGCCTCTTTTACATGGCTGGTTCAGTGTGGGAATAACCCAAACTCTAACCCCCAATTTCCACCACATCCGGAACGGCTCTGATTTTCGCCGTCTGCCAATTTCTACCGTATGCATTTGTGAGGGGAATTTCATGGTGGATTTTTGACAGCGGGAATCGCGAGAACTTATCAGAACCCACGAATTCACACACAATCGCACGATAACGAGTTGTCTCTATAAAGACCGCCACATAACCATATAGGAAGTAGATTGTGTCCTTCCAGAGTTAGAAGGTAGAAAATCCACTTCTAGACTTCTAGAATCAGTATCTTGTAATCCATGGTGTCAACGAGGTGAAATGGAGTCTGAAAACCTTTGACTTGTTTGTCCCCGCCTGTTTGCATGGTGTGAAATTCAATCCGTCTGAAACATGTAGTGTTTTATTTTGAAAAGAAGCCAGACGTTTTATTTTGTGTCTGTGCCTGACTTTCTTTCCAGCACGGACTAATCTGTGCTGAATTTATGCGGCATGAAGTGGCATCCAGGAAAAAATAGAAACCTGGATGGAAAGAAGGTGGTGGAAACTGACACATTAACTTTAATTGAAATGATCAGCTGCGATCAGTGCCACCGTTCCCGTTCACCGTTCAGGATGCGGCACAAATTGAGGTTAAGTGTGCACTGATGTCTGCAGGTGCGCTGTAATGTAGTCGATACTAACCTCAGCTACATCTTCTGTCTGTCTCATGTAGGTAGGGATGGCTCCTCCGTTCCTAGAGCTGTAGGACCTTTCTGAACAAGCGCTAGAAGCATCGCTGTTGGCGTCATCGTCCGAGTACATGCCGTAGTTTTCGTACCGCCGCCGAGCCGGCTTCTTCTGCAGGAAAAGAACGGAGAGGGGACAAAAGAGAATGAAATTAAACTGAAACTAAAAGCGAGCTAAAACCTCAAACAGGCAGAAGAATCATGCGCTCGCACATCAAGCTAAAACCGAGCCAAGAAAATCACACAACACACAGGTAAGAGGCAGGAGAAGACGCTGACCTTTGACCGCATGTCTCCCAACAGCTGACAGCATTAAACAGAGGTAGAATCAGGGGTTAGTTAACACACACACTCTTACACGCACACACACACTCCAAGAGGTGTGAGCTCAAAACGGTGACAGCTGACTCAAAATTTTAGGGTTGTAAACGTGAGTTTTTATGTAGAGTGATCAGTTTTATACCAGTGCATCTGCTAGAGCTTCCTCTACGTCTGAGCCTGTGTTGAGGACCCTCATGGCGCTGACCGAGGAAGAAAGACGACTAGACTGACTGATGCCAAAACCTGATCCTGCGGAAGGGGAAAAAGAGAGAGAGGATACAAAGAAAACTTAGGATTTTAAACGAAAAAACAAGCAAGACCCTCCTCTTTCACTCATCAATCAGCCTCTCACGTGTCTGCTGAAGACCGAACATCCTCCTCTTCTTCATTTATTCTCTCTTTACTCAGTCCACACACACACACATACACACACAGGTATTATAATTTCCATGAGTCAAACCTGTAAGTCAATGCAATGACTTTGTTAGATGACATTGCAGGTGCTACTGGGGGGAAAAAGAACGAAAGAAAACACAGGAAACATGTTGGAGTCCTTGCAAAGAAGGGGCGGAGCTAAATCAAGAATAAAAATGGGTAAAACTGTCACATGGCCGTCAAGTGGCAACAGAACAGTCGGAAACATGCGATTCCACGAGAAGATCCTGGAGCAGAATGGAAAGAAAGAAACGCAAGAGGCTGATGGACGAGAAACAAAAACGCAGACAAGTCAAATAAGGAGATGCTCGGCGCCAAAGAGAACAAAACGAGAACAGGAAGCAAATAAAATGAGGCAGAGTGGGTGGGTGAACGGAGAACAGAGATGTACTCAGCCTTCACCTGCAGCCCCAAAAGTATCAGGTGTGTGGAGAGCTCCGGTGGAGCGAGAGTAGCTCCGTGTTGCTGCAACCAAGATTGGAAACACACATACAAAGTTTAACACCCGCACGCACACTCACAAGACTAACACACACACACAACCCGCTAAAAAACCTGAACGTGCAGAGTTTAGACAGTAGAAAGGCTGACAACATGCGAGAGAAAGTTTTTTCTTTGACTGATGGCCGGTAAGTTTTCAAAAAGTTCAGATTCTCTTTGGTTTTGCTTCGTGCAGAAAACAAACATCTCTTGGAAGTCTTACTTTCTTCCCTCCTGCTCATCTCTCCGCTACTGCTACTCACCCAGGGGCGTGAAGGAGCGTACGGGGCTGGTGTCCCGGCTGCTCTCCCTGCTGGCCTCTCTGCTGCAGCCCTGACTCATACTGGGCCGAGGGATACGACTACCCCGAGCTAACGCCACCCAAAGGAGAGGGGAGGGGAGGGGAGGATTTTGGGGCAGACAGGGGCAGGGGGTGGAGGAGAAGAGAGGGAAAGTAAAGTGGTAATAAGGGCACGAAGACAAAGAAGAAAGACAAACATGAGCAGTGACAAAGAAAAGAGGAGAGGAGGGTACAAGAATAAAAACACAAATAAAGACAAAACAGGTAAAAGTGACAAACTGACAAAGATAAGAGAACATGAGCTCAGGTGTGCCAGTCCTGGAGGAGCATCTCAAGGGATAAAGACACTTCATGGACGAGGAGTCCAACGAATGAGCTGCAAAACAGCCGTCTTAATTAGGGCTACAGATCATTTGAATCATCTTTTACACTGGCTGTTGATTTTAAAGGGCCTGTTTCCACTGACCTCCTCAAAAGCGTCTCTCCTTGAAATATTACCTGCACAATAAGCTGCAATGTGCCTGGTCTGCTGTCTCACAGGTGAGCTCGCAGATTTGTTGTCATTGGAGTGTAAAGTAGCTGCTTTGTACAAAGACAACAATCAGACGTACCTTTGCTTTTTATCTTGCTGTCTGTGGTGCAAAACCAAAATACTTCTACGAGGCACTTCCTAGATATTTAGGTGTTCTGACTATCTGCTCAGGACGACTTCGATTGCAGCACACGTCCCCCAATTGGCGGAAAATCTTCATTTAGGTTGAGAGTGTCATGCAATAGTCGGGTAACGATGAGAGTGGCTTCTGCTAGATCAAACAGCAAACTATTTAGACCGCCTGATGCACTAATGAACTAAACCATTGGAATTGCAATGGTTTATTACAATGGTCAGTGATAGAGGATCAGGAGATCACAGTGTTTCCCCTACATGGACTTTACTTAGGTGGCCCACCCACGAAGATTGACACCCACACAAAACAAAACAAAAAGAGCACGCTGTCATACAGACACACAGACAACAGGGTTTCCTCCAGACAAATGTGGTGCAGTGCAGAACACGCTCGTGGATATACGAAAGCGCACCCAAACTGTTGCGCTGCGGGTTTACTAACCCATTGTTTATTATATACCGTTTTCTTCCTTTTACAGTTTTTGTTATTGTACCACTGGTTTTGTCTCACAGACTAACTGTGACTTTTTCTTCTTCAAGACATGAAGCCAATTGAAAGCTAATTTTTCCTTTGGGTTGTTGGTTCACAAAGTAAGAGTCTGTAGCAGTCTAAAATTGTAAACAAATGCCATGTGTGATAAAAACTGCACAACACAATGTGACACTGAATTTAAAACAGCACATTGTAATTTCTGTGTGTATTATCTATTTATCAGTAATACAGTGAAAATGAGAGGAAATGTGAATTATTTGCCTTGCATGTCAAGTTTAGTGAGCACCCCTAAATTTTCTGCTTGCGCCCTTAAAATTTTTAGTTCGGGGTTACTGTTCCCTTTGCAAAACAAGTTAGTCTGGAGCCCTGTATGTACAATAATTAACGCATAGTTCATAAAACCTATTAGTTATTCTGAATGCGATTATAAAACACCACGGTGCCACTCTGCACTGCCCGGCCCACCACCACAAGTAAATTCTCAACCTGGAGGAAACACTGGATCACATAACAGCAAGGAGGGCTTTAACAATCTTTACTTCTACTTTAGACTTTAGACTTACTTTTACTTTAGACTGACAGTTAAGGGCAGATCAACTTACTGTCAGAATATTCAAAATCCCTAATGATGAATTAAGGATACATTTACTTTTAGAAAGAAGAATTCTAAAGATTACTGTGTTTGCCAAACTGTTGCAGCTATGTCTTAATTTTTCATCCACAATAAGAAGAACCCCCCATGACTATGCACAGGACAGCAGAGCTCATGGTTAGATGAAGAAAAAAAAAGTCCCACAATCACAATAAAAATCAGGCGATCATCCACAAGCTCAAACACAGTCACGGAGAAAAGGAAAGAAAAGGAAAGAAGTGATCGGAGATGAATTTGAGCCAGAGAGAGGTGAGGGGGGGGGTGAGTGACGGGAGGACCTGCGATTATTTCCAGCAGCATCACAATAAATCAGACTGTTTATCAGCCTCAGCAGCTACACCCAGCCAATCAGGGTTAATCACAGCCTAACACATTACTGAGAAAGCTTTGCTGACCCTAAGAGGAGTTCACCAGCCACTGACAACAAGTTAGTTCAGAGTGGGTGGGGGTGTGTGGCTATAATGCACCAGGATCAGGGGAAACAACCACCATGAGAAATAAAAAACAGCCATGAAATTAGAGAAGGGTTAGAGAGGTGGCTCTGGGAGCTACAGCTTGATCGAAGGGTTAGAAGAGGCAGAGATTTGTAGTCATGGAAGGAAAGAAGGAGAGGTGATTATACGATCAAGATGAGAACAGAAAGACTGAGGCAGAGAGGGAAGAGTCAGGATGATCCAGTCGAGATCGGCGCCTTACCTCCTCTGCTCGCTCCATTGTAGATGGAGCTAATGCTGGAAGGAGCTGCAGACAGAAGCAGCAGAGGCAGAAAAAGAAGGAGGAACAGGTGAAGAGAGAAAGAGGGAGAAAATTGAGATTCAAGGTGATACTAGCGACACAAAATGGGAAGCTACTTTCCGACTGTTTTACAGCAGTTTGGTTTTTCAAACTTTTCAAACATAGCTACATCCTCTGCAAGAACATTCAGGGATGTGCTGGATCTGGTTTGTTTGCAGCTTAAACTGTGAATCCTTCTGCCTGCTCTCACTGACAGTCACCAAACAGCTTAGTCTCCTTGTTCTCAGCTCAGCAAATACTGATGCTTAAACTTTTAGCATCTCTAAAGACACACATGTTCTGTTGTGTCTGTTACAAACAGACCAGAGAGCAGAGGAGAGACACAGCAATAGCATCTAATCTTTATATTAGTCCCTAGTCTCAGTGAGTTTTCTATTAGTCCCACCCTGTAAAACAGTGGACTTTAGACATGGAGCAACATAACCTCACAGCTCCCCTGGACAATGACTCATATTTGTGAGGGAATATTTGATTTATGCCACGCATTTTGTCGCATCTATTGAGCCTTTTCTGACTATTAACTATGTGAAACGTTGGTTTGTGCTCATCATTTATTTCTTGGCCACAATCGTGTGCAAGTTGAAAATCAAAATGAACAAAATTAACCATTTCGGGGGCCCAGAAGGTCAATATTGTTGCTGTGGTATTAAAACAGGCGTAGATATTAACAGATTTTTACTTAATGAAATTCAAAATTCTGGTTTTGCATCAACTCTACAATCATATCTAACTTGAAGCCACAGATGAACTTTAATGCAGTAGTTTTAAAAGACACCTGAACTTCAACCAAACCCAAATCCAGAGTTAGGAGCTGAAATATGTGCAGGATACAGTAACCCTTAACTCACCAACAGACAGACGAGTGGGTGAAGAGTCTCTGGAGCAGCCCTGACTGCGGGGGATGCGGCTCCGTCTGTGTCCATCTCCTCCGGCTCCTGCCAGCACCCGGTGGGCCCCTGTGCTCATGGTGCTCAGGGCCGTACTTGTCAGCACGCGACCCGGTGAACCACTCCGACTGCCAGCTTCAGAGAGGAAGAAAAAGAGGATAGAATACAAAGAGAGAGAGAGAGAGAATTAAGTCAGAATAAATCAGTGGCATTAAAAAGTGAAAAGCCACAGAACTTAACTAGTCTGGCTCTGATGTGGAGAAGAGATGGTTCCTAGTTTTGTAGAAAAGCATATCACACAAAAGAAGACTTACTGTCCTAATGTCCAAGCAGTTTGAGTAATGACTCTAACATACACTTTTTATTCAAAAGGGACAAAACTTCACAGCAAACTCTGCAGGTTTGGATGATATTGGAAAGAGGATTTCAGGGCTGGGAGATGAAAACCACATCCAAGTCAAATGAGTTCAGGTTCGAAGAGTTGACAGGAATTTGCACAAAATCTTTTCCATTAAGAAATACGACAAGTTAAATACATTAGAGTGATGTTTTCGCATCATGATGACAAATGCTGAAGACCTCCCAATGTATCCTGTCTCCAAATGCACAGCCCATAATGAGTCTCAATCTGTCTGGTTCGACTGTCGGGGGTGTTAATCTGAATTGAAACGGTACAGGAGAGGCTGCTGGTCTGTGGTGCTGAATGTGAAATATGGAAACAGACAACAGAGGGGACAAACCAAAGGGCTCATCACACCACACTGGTCACACACTCTTTCACTCCACCTCACTTACCAACACACACTTCTTCAAGAGACACACAAACTCAGCACATAGAAGTCTATTTCTAAAACTGTAACAGGAACACAGAGATGACTAAACGTGTCTATATGTGAAGGAAAAAAGGCTGTGCAGGGATTTTTTCTGTGTTTTAGAGCATGTTTTGTCGCCACGTATAACTTCACAAATGTCCCGCTGGTGGTCACTGATTAAAACTCTCATTATTTATCAAGTAAAGAAAATTCTAAACCTCTACTAACCCTCTGTGCACCTCGGAAGCTACGTGATCCAATTAAATGGACTACTTCTAAACTTTGTAGTAGGGATGGGCGATAAATTATCGTTTATATCATTAGAAAAATCCTCCATGATAAATATTTGCAATCTCATGACAAATACGATAAATGCAAGTTGATGACGTAAACGCGAGTGATGGACTCGCAGCCATAGCCCACAAAGATCAGAATAACATGGTTACTGAACGAGGCTTCACATGAGGGACTTCCTTACAGATTGGGGTTTAGATGAGTGCAATCAGGTATGCCTGACATCGGACAGTAGATCTACTGCTGTTCACTCTGGGTAACAACAGTTTACAACAAATGTTGAAAATGTTGGATAATATTTTTTATTGGGACTTTTATTGTTATCACCAAAATGGCAAATCTTATTGTGATAAATTTTTAAGCCCAGATCGCCCATCCCTACTTTGTAGTTCATAAAATAAAATAAAAAAATACTAGAATTGAGATCAAGAATCATTAAGAATTGTAAAGCAGAATCAGAAAAGACGAGACTGAAATGTCTCCAACCCCATTTAGAAGATAGCGACCTATGCAGAAAGTGCCATTACACCAAATTGTCACAGTTTTGAGGCTTCATTCTGACACACAAAACAGTGCAGGAACACAAGACTCCCAATGCTGTGTGTTTAGCATGATCATAGGACAGCCATGTTAACAGTCTAGTGACTACAAGTCCCAGCATGCCTCAGCCAAAGTGGAAGGAGCCTTGAGTGACCTTTCTAGGTGCGCGTGAAGGGAGGGGGGAGTCAAAGCAACAGAGGAGAGGCGTTAAAGATACAAAGAGCGGGTAAAAAGAAGTAGCGTTGTACTCTTACCACCAACAGGGGTAGCAGACTGAGATCCTGAGCCATTAAGCCCATTGGTTGAGAAGAGGGGGGAAGCAGAGGCGAGGGGGTAAGGAACAGCAGATTAAACCAGGAGAATCATGGGTGTTAGCGCAAAAGAAATAACTCAATATACAAACGCCATGGGAGGAGTTAGGACACAGAGTTTAATGGCAGCGCAATCCTGCTGTTCAATACCAAGAATGAAGGCCAAGCTGAAGCAGGTTTTCAACAGAAATCCATTTATCAGAGAGGAAACAGAAAAAAAACAACAAAACACACACACACACTGAACCAGCTGCAGATGAGAGCCTGGGAGAAGCAGTGCATGTTGGGAAAGGCTGGCACACATATGAAGCAAAGCCTGTTTCACAATGAGGGAAAAAAAACCTCAAAGTAAATATGTTTAAAAATATCCACTCACACACACACACACCACACACACACATACACTCTCTGACCCACACACACAGATTTTTCTGAGCCTCTGTTCAGCTGCCATTTCCTCTCTTTCTGTTGGTCTGTTATTTTCAGATTTGGGCTTTTGAATTCTTGATAAGTCATTTTATTTTTTAAATTTCTCTTCAAAGTCCAGATCTGATTGGTGCAGCTGGCTGTGGTCCAATCACCGTCCACTTTGAATCTGGTATGCGAGCTTGCACTGAGCTGAGTAACAGCGCTGTGAGCAGGAGAAACTCTTACAAAGCAACATACCGGCCTCATGTGCTGCAGTAGCAGTTTGCTCACTACCTTCCTTGTTAGTTTTTGATAACTTAAATGACAGCCAGAGCCAGGCTAGAGCAGCATGGGAAAACTGTTCACCACACCATCCCATCAGTGACGATGAGACACAGCATGCACAGGAAAACACACACACACACACACACATCTGTCTGTCCACAAAAAAACCTTGATAAGAATGAAAGCGATAGCAGGTGGGCCACCATTCCCACTGTGGAACACGGATAGACACACACACACGCACACACACTCGGACTCTGACACACAAACAGAATACCTGGTGTGCAATCTGATTCGTCCGAACCTGAAGGCACAAAAACATTTACATGGAGCTTATCGTCACCGTGGACGCAACAGGAAATGAAACTCCAAAATAAGAGCCTGACAAACAGACACTCTTGGAGGCTTAGTCACACACCGTTCTGTTGTAGTGTGCGTTTACATACTGTGTCTAATGGAAACCTGTGTGTGTGTGGGTGTGTGTGTTCGTGGTTCAGTGTGGTACATACGTTGTGACTGGGAGACCATCTTGGTGCGGCTGCGTCCGCGGGAGTCAACCTGGCTGGAGACACCGCTGGGGGTGGATAAGGGCTGCTTGGTGCGAACACGACCTGTTTGTGTGTGGGGGTAAAAATCATGAATAAAAAGGGGGCTGGAATCCGTCAGCTGGTCACAGAAGCTGAATGAAGCTGAGAAACCGAGAAGCGCTACAGCTGATACTAAAAGCTGCTACTGCTGGGAGTTGTCAGAGCCAAAACTACGCGCTTTCAGATGCAGCTGGATGCAAACACAGATAAATAAATATAAAGATGCTCTTTCAGTGGATCAGGAGCCTTTTTAGTTTTGAAACTCATCTTTTTTCACTGATCTGATGAAAAATATAGACCTGATGAACCACTGACACATTTCTGGGTCAGATTCAATCAGATCATTTATGCCAGCTGGTGGAGAGTCAACTACTCAGTTTTCAGCTTGTTAAACCGTTCAACCAGAGGAGTTATCACCTGCACTTCTCCAGCACAAACCTAGGACATGATCACACTGTAAATCTTTGTAGTATATGAATATTTAAACTTCCTGTCCTCAAAGTCTTGTTCAAAAACTAGGTTAGCATGAATTTAAAGCAGCGATGGTGGAGGAGAAGAAACCTAGGCTGTAGGTGTCAGACTATTTTAGGATCATGTATTGGGGAAAACTATCAAATTCATCATCACTCCAGTGACTGTCCATGTTTTATATATACATAGGAGGGTTTTACACTTTGGGAACAACTTAAGATCATTCCTTCCTCATGATTTCTGAGCTCCGACATCAACTGCAGCTCAGTAACTCAGTGACAACTTTATGCTCATGATATTATTATTCAATTATGGTTCATGACAACTCGATTCAAATTCATTCACATCATGTGCAGAGGGACTGCAAAGGTCAATTAGCTTAAAACCAACTCTGTAACATTTATGATTTTATTCTCATAGAATCATTATGAACCCTATTATTCATGTTTACTTCTCATATTACATCTTTATCCTCATAAAATTGTGTCTTCTTCATTCACATATTCTTCTCCCTTTACAAAACTAAAACTTTATTTACATAAAAGTTATTAATTATTCTCTCAATATAACAACCTAACTATTCACTTTTAATCTCATGTATTACAACCTTATTCTCTTTGATATAAACTTAAGTTCTGTTGTAGTACGACTTTATTTTTCACGATTTTATCACTTTTTTTTTCATGAGTTCATGACAATCTTTCTGATATATGACTTTATTCTCGTGATGTAACCAATTTCACATAAAGGCTTATATTTTTGTGTTTTTACAATTTTTTCTCCACTCTGACTTCTTTCCTGTAATATTCTGACTATATTCTTATGATACTATGATTTTATCATCCTATCAGACTTAAGTGAATATTACAACTTAACACCTTTAAAATCTTATTCCTGCTATATTATGAGGAACACTCTCCATTTGACCCTTGTTTACTATTGTACTTCTATTTATTTATCCAGACTACAGCATCTCTAACAACGGGCCGACATGCACAACCATCTAACCACAATCTTACCATTGTCTGACCTGGTCCCTACAGACACACAGAGAAGGAGCAAGTTGTCAACAACAGGTTTTATCTCCTGCATGGAGAACAGCACTAGAGCAACACATCCTAAATATCCTGATCAAGTCTGAAATGCTGAAATGATGCAGTCTGAGGCGGCTGTCGATGTCTGAGAATCTCTGAAAACAAGGTTAGAGTGTAGTAAAAAAGCAGAGGATGATCTTAGATGTGTTATTAGTTTGGTTTATGATGTGCCGAGTGGGTTAGTGATACAAATGAGGGTTGAATGTAATGCTGACAGCAGGGGGCGCTGTGGCCTCACTCTGCAACAGAAAGGAGTGGACATGGACTGGGATGAAATGAGGGAGAAGAAGAGAAAGACAAAAAGAAAAAAGGCTAGAGGAGCATGTGTAGGCTGTAGCTGGTGGAGCAGAGTGAGATGATCTTACCATCCGTTTTATCAGAGGCATCATCTTTAGTAGCAGAGAGAGAGAGAGAGGGGAAGAAAGTGATGGAGGAAATAAAAGGGAAGAAACAAAAGGAAACAAAAAGCAAAGGAGTGATACAAATATGAGTAAATCAGAGAAACAGAAGGAAAAGGAAATAAAAGGGGGGAAATGTCAGAAACAAAGAATGATGACATAATGTGAGGAAATCAAGAATACATGAAAGTGACAAAGAGAAGAGAGGAGCACAGAGTCTATTAGTTCACAGAACATCTGTTTTCAACGGAGAGGCATGCAGATACTGAAACACAGAGAGGATAATCACAGGACAGGACGATATTCATCCACAGATCATGCACACAGAGAATATCCATTTAAACACAGAAACAGGAAATACATTAACAGGCAATGAGCAGGCGGCAGGAGGAGAGTGAGAGAGAGAGAGAGAGAGACAGAGAAGAGAGAGAGAGAACGGGAGTGGAGAGGAGAAAGACCAGTCCAGTCTCTGGGTGTGTGAGTGTAGGTGTAAGTTCCTCAAGAGCTTACACAGAGACTGACTTTCACTTTCAACTTCAAAAGATTCACTTCTGAGCTGATCTGAGAGTCTGACCTCACCCCTGCTGATCACATGCTGCCTGTCATCTAACTTGATTGGCAGGGCCCTTACCCAATGAGGAGTAGGAACCAGGGGGCAGACGACCCGCTCCCCTGGTCTGTCCGACGTGCCGTTGCTTAGCGACAGCTGCCGCGTTTACATCCACGTCGCTACGGGAACGTTGCAAGGAGGCTGAGGACACCCCACCTTTTGAGCCCGCAGAGACTGATGGGACAGAGGGAGGAGGAGGAGGAGGAGGAGGAGGAGGGGGGAGGGGAGGTGATGAGGGCATATATACATCACAAACACATGCAGGCACCACACTATACAAACACAATACTGATACAGTACAGAAATACACAAACAGCCCAGACACATGTGCGCACGCATCAGTGCGCTCATGTGTGTAGTAATATAAAAATAAACCAAACAGAAGAGGACACAGGCAGATGTGAATGAGGATGATGGGGAATGGATTTGTAGGAGCTGATGTGTGTCAGAGTCTGTGTGTGTGTCTTCAAAATAGACCGTGAGCATAAGATTATATATGTGTGTGTGAAAATGAGTGCGTGTGCTTGACTCACCTCGCCCTGGAGCTGCTGACCATTTAGAAGTCAGAGGCCGACTGAGGGAAAAGAGGAGAAGTGGGTCAGAACAACAACACGCCAAGAAAATTACAAGTGTAAACACGAGGCTGAGATGAAATGTATTCAAATGTTCCTCAATAAACTCTGACTGAGAAATACTGCTGTGAAGTGGAGTGACGGCTTTTTACAAAGATACGCACAGCTTTACAAACATTAGGCTCAGCCTCAAATGAAAGGGCTCATTACAAGCAAATGTGCTAATCAAGCATCAAGCTAGTTTATTAAATATTTATGAACGAGCGACTTTCTCTGACAGTGACTGATCTCTCAAGATTGAAGGAAAATGTAAACCTAAGATAGAAATCTTTCATCTAAATACAGGGTTTCTGCAGGTTTCATCAAGTCAAATTTAAGACTTTTGAAGACTTTTTTGAGACCATAATGAAAACAATTTAAGATTCATTTTACATCCATGCTGGTGAAAAGGTACAAAAGACATGAAGGTAAATCCGAACATTTTAAACTAACTTCAAATCATTCTTTATTTGTTAGTGAGCTCACTACATTTTTAAGACCTTTCAAATTTGTATTTAAGACAAGATTTTTTAAGGGAATTTTGGACATTTTAAGGCCTTAAATTCAAATGAGTGGATTTTGAAGACTCTTTAAGACCTAGCAGAAACCCTGTAAACACACACAATATATCAAACAGGAGCTCAAGACTATGGCCAGTCAGATGGCCCAGATCCATGACTGACAGATTCTGGACCAGCCAACCAGAGATCACACACTTCACAAGGATGTGAGCAAATCATTAAGAATATAAAGGGTTTCAAGAGCTTTAATGTTAACTCCTGGTTGATTTCTTGAGCACTTTCCGCTTAATTTTTGAATTATTATGAGGAATCTGAATTCCTCTTAAAGTAATCCTCGAGGTCGAAAGAGAACTTTGAAGAGAACAGTGTTGGGCTTTACTTTAGGCTCTCTTGAGAGGAGGATGAGGAGCGGTCACTCTGAGGAAGAGAGGCCACGCTGCCTGAACTCTTCAGACAGGACTGAAGGGTCCTCTGGTACGACGACTCCAGGGAGTTATAGAGAGCGTCGGCCTCCCCGGGGAAGTGGTTCCTCAGACCCCAGTAGGCCCTAAAAGAGACATCAGTGGGACAGAGGGAAACAGGGACAGAGAGAGAGAGACGAGGTGAGAGGTGGGAAAGAGTGAGAGAGGCAAGAAAAAGGGGGATGAGAGGGTGAGATATTAAACCCCACTTGTCTTTTATTGAATTTAATCTCCTGAAAAGCCTGCATGCGTCTTACTTGCGAGCCTCCACTCTGGCCTCAGAGTCTGCATCTCGAATTCCCTTCTTAATGCTCTCGACTAGTACTGCTGTGTGCCTGCAGGGCAGAGATACGGACACACAAAAGGTGCATGAGGCAGAAAAACAGCTTTAAAAACACGTCTCCCTCCTTTATAAACCACACTAATGTGACTCCTGCACAGTCATGCAGTCATCTGAACCATGCCGGGATCAGTGCTCACCTCTCTAAAGAGTGGGTCTGCCATTCTTGTAGTAGAAGGTCCAAGAAATCATAACAGCGCCTGCAGAGGACAGATTGTTGTCACAGTTATGATCACAAACTCACAACCTCGTGGCATCATTATTGGCAGTTTGCGGTCTAAGAAGTGTTCGCTGCTTGTTACACTGCAGCAGGCCGATACCACCCTCACCTTCTGACAGCCACAGACTTGGATGTGCAGTTACTGGTTATCAGCGGGATGAGCCGGGGGACGTGGGTGTGCTGCAGAGCAGAGAGGGAGAACGTCAACAAGGAGGAACATCAAATTGAACAATTAGATGGCGGTAACTAAGACTGATCATGAGAACCTCCACAAGACTATAGGAGGATGTAAGATGTGTGTGTGTGTGTGTGTTTGCAGAACGCACCCTGATGATGATCCGGATAGCCGACACTCCAGAGGTGGCCATGACTTTGGCGCAGTTTGGGATGAGGTTGAACAGGACGGGAACGATGGCTTCTGCTCCATGGTCAAATTTATTACCTAGCACTGTGGAGAGGTGTCTGCAGAAACAAACATAGAGGTATTGACACACATGTAATAAAGAATCGAAACGGTCAGAAAAATAAAGGGATATTCCAGCGTAAAATTAAGTTAACACTGAGTTAGACACCCCCTCAAGAGATGAATGTAGCCGACCGCTTGCTTCTGTAGTTATACCAACTTTAGTAACGACCGTACAATAGCAATACACAGCAGTCTACCTCTCCACGCACAAACCTCAACCAAAAAGCCACTCTATAGCCACAAATAATAATCGGTGATCAACTCATCAGGGCTCCCCCACAAACAAGTGGCTGCTGGAGGAGAGTGGGTGAGTTGTGTTTAGTCTCTTTGCTAAAGAAACAGGCAAAGCTGAAAAGATGTTTTGATGGTTATTACTATGGCTGGGATCCTATATGTACTGTTGATGAAGTTAGGTGCTGTTCTGAGCATTATTTGTGGCTATAGAGTAGCTTTTGTTCGAGGTTTGTGTGTGAAGACGTAGACCGCTGTGTTTTGCTATTGTGCAGTCATTACTTAAGTTGGTTTAGATAGAGAAGCAAGCTGTTGGCAACATCCATCTCTCGAGGTGGGGAGTCTAACTTGGTGTTGCGGTGTGTTTGACCATAACTTAAATTTACACTGTAATATCCCATTAGGTTTGCAGACAAAAAACGGAGTCCATGGAATGAGTGCTATATCAACAACGAAATATAGGGATGTCCTAAACCTGCCAGATTATAACAACAACAACAACAACAACAACAACAACAACTGCTTTGTGTGTCTGAAATTCTCCTTTTCCTGCCTGATTTTGTTATTTTGTTAAATCCATTTCTGCAGTTTCTAAGATAAACACTCACGCCACAGTGATGCACGCCTCTCTGACCACTTGTGAGCGAAGATCTTTAGCCGACAGTTTGAAGGCTCCATCCAGGAGCCTCAGGTGCTGGTAGAAACAGTCGTAGGTGGGAGCGCCGGCCACCAGCAAAGAGCGGATTTTCTTCAGCTGTGAGGGAAAAAAAAGACACCAGCAATCATTCAACTGAAGTCTTGACACCGACACATAATCGATGAAAAAAATAAAAGGTGTTCAAGGTGAATTTACTTACAGCGATGGCTCTCTGGTCCCAGTCGTGTTTGTCATCAGAGCAGATCTCACGGATCTTATTCAGGTTGTCTTCAAGATCTCTGGATGAGTAGATCTGCAAATAGACAGAGACGGGGAAGAGAGCAGATATGTGAACGAGAAAAAGCCTCAGTCTTTCACACCATCTGACCTTGATAGTTTGTCAGGCTTGGTTATGAAAAGGGATAAAAATGTGTGAATGTCTGCATTCATGCCTCTGTCTGTGTGTGTGTGGTGTACCTGGACTGTAGGGACATCTGTGAAGGCTTTAATGAAGTCCTCTTCATCAATCGCCCCTGCACTGTCCTTAGATACTGAAATATAAAAGCAGAGTGGATTCATTGAAGTTGCTGTGCCTTTACACGACAGGAGTTCAACACAAAACACACACAGTCAAACTGCACAGGAGCAGCCAGTGTTTCTGACAGGCTTCCTCACAGTAATGAGCATGTCAATCATAACTCTCAGGGGGGATGGAAGCCATGTTGGCCGCACCTCCTCCATGTCTAGTAGCGGGGGGTTTAGGGAGGTGGAGAGAAAAGCTCAGGGGAAATTTAAAGGGACGAAAATATTGAAATTGTGGCACAGGAGAGCGAGAGAGGCAGTGGTGTTCTCTAAGTTTTGTTAGTTACAAGGATGTGTGATCAAAAACTACATGAACCTCAGAGAGCAGCAGGATGTCTGTGCAGGGCCTCCGCAGACATTCATCAAAGTGTCAATTCAAATCACAGACCTCTCTCTCTCTCTCTTGCAAAATTAGACTTTTTAAGACATTCGGACCATGAATTTTTAAAAATCTAATTCAAAACTTTACAAAAATCTGACTTTCCTCTGGTAATCCTTGCAGAGCTACATGGCAGTAACTCATGATCTGTCCAATCTTGGCTTTCAGCATTTTTATTTCCCACTCTCACTCTATGAGATGGGAAGGTTAGTAGCATGACGTCAGAGGGAGACGGAACTAGTGTGATGATAATACTAATGATGCTGACTTCGGTATTTGTGTCATCACAATAATTTTGTGTACTTAGCTCAACTCAAACTGCACCTTACTGGACTGACTGTCTTACACAAAAGCCTGTTTGCACTCCATTACTCTGCTGCTTTGTGTGTGTATTGTCTTTTAGATTAGCATTATCGTAAATATTACTTGATATTTAGATTAAGGCTGCTGTAAATATCATTATTATATTTTTAATGTAAATGTCAGTGTTTATTTCATTTTATTTTGATTCCTTTAGGTCTTTTTTAAAGTTTTACGGCTGATACCGGGTCTTCAGTTCTAGGTTTTTTTCTTTTTTCTTTTTCTTTTGGAATGACAAATAAAACTCCTTTGAAAATGCTCAAATGAACAGCTTTTGTCAGCTCCAAATACAGGTAAGCAGGATAAACATGAAATACACGGATCATTAGCATAAAAACAAAGTGCACAGACACAGCTACCATCAAAATCATTTAAAGCTATGCCATGGCATTTTCCTCCCTGCTGGTTATGAGCTAAATGAAACGATTTCTTGATAGTCTGGTGTTGCCATAGCGCGTGGGCGATCTGTCGCCTTAATGCAAATGGAGACAGTAAGGACTCCTACTGGCACCATTGTTACAGAAACAGTCTCATGTAGCACAAAAGAAGCCTGATTGACTTTTCTCCATATTGTGAAATGATTAACTACAATTTATGAAGAAACAAGAGAGCAGGTTGAAGTTTCTAAAGAGGAGACCTAAGGGTGAAGAATTCCCAGCATGCCCTTGACTTCAGCCTTTTACAGCCGTTTCACAATCAATAAGCCTGTAATGATCCAAGTGACAAGAGATCACAGTCTTGTGTTTCCATCCGGCAGAGCGACTGTAGCAAGACTCAGACCTGCTGTTCACTTGTTAAAAAACACTTCCACCCACTCAGGGATGTGTTCATGTATGTATGTATGTATGTTCTACTGCTGCTGACATAGAGACATCAGCAGGAAATGGACTGCATGTATGGTGGTGAGAACAGAGCTTTCTTCCAATAGAGAGAGAGAGAGAGAGAGAGAGGGAGAGAAGGTAGACAAGGGAAATCAATACATGCAAAGACGAAGCACACATCACACTCCAGCAGGAGGAAGAGAGGAGTATACAACAACAGATGTGAGGCTAGTGATAAGAATATGAGACTGTATCAGATTTCTAAAAAATGACTTCACAGTGCAGTGTCTTCTTCCTGCTTTTTCCCTCATAGTCTCTCCCTTTTATATCCTTCCTTCAAAAATGTGACTTTAATTTGAGCCTGTGTTCACAAACATACACAGCCTCCTCTCAGAGAGCTCCTGACTTTGCTGAAAAACTTCAGGAAAACCTTCAGTGAGGAGGAAGATGCATGCTAGACTATGTTGCTGGTATTCCTTCTAAAGCTGTGGTTGGCTGATCCACAAAAAGAAGAAAACAAAAGCTTTCTTGGTGATTAAAGGCATTGAAGTATTAGAGAATCAAACAGCCTGTTTTGAAGAAAATCTAACAAACAAATAGAAACAGAGTCAAACTCTGACTACATGAACATCATTGCTACTCCTGCATGGAAAGAGTCGAGCTTGTCGAGAGTAAAAATATTTCTCAATCTGGATTTAGAGGAGAAATGTGTGAATAAACAGGTTTCTTACCTAGCTTGCCCCCTGTAGCACTGGGCCTGCGTGCAGCTGAGGACTCTGCGGGCTTCTTAGGAACTTTTGGGACTTTGAAGGCAGCCTGGGCTGAGGAAGAACGATTCCCATCCACGCTGTCGTCATCATCAAAACTACGGTCTGGAGAGAGGAGACAGAGTCAGTGTCATCATTTTGGTCAGTGCTGACAAGCTGTCACACAACACTGGGAATATAAATCATAAAAAAAATGACTGAGCAGAGTGCAAAGATCGTCCTATAGAGCAGCAGCTTATGTGGGAAACTGTAAAACTGAAAAGGCACAAAATCAGAGAGGGAGATTAACTCTTATCACAGGTCATCACTTGATTGCAAACTGGTTTTTAAACTTGCTGAATATAAGATATTGATCATTTAAACCCCAAATACACTCAGTCAATACACTGAGCATGAAAAGCTTGAGGCTGTTTGACAAAAACAAAGAGAAAAGTAAAGATAAGCGGCTGAGAAGGAGGGAGGTTGTAGTCTTCAGAGAGCTTGGTCAGGAATCACTAAATCAATACTAATTACAGACACATCACTGAAAAAAGAAAAGAGCAAACCCACACACATACGTCCACTATGAAGTGCCCAGAAGCACAAAATAATGATCAAGATGCCCACTCGTTCAACCGGAGACCCACAGAACTCTCTGGAACACAAATCCACAATCTGCACGCTAGCCAGAGAGCTAGCTGTAAAACTTGCAACACACTCGCAACAACGGTGCAGCTTTTTAAATCAGCATCCAGCAGTGGAGACACTTGTGGGCTACAATATGAGAGGACACACACAGACACAGACACACACTGTGATCAGCTGTGGAGATGAAAGTGTTGGCAAAGGAATGCAGCCGCACTCCGGTCGCTCTGACAACCAGCCATGGAGAAATGCGCCAAAGCCACCACCCAACACCTTGACTCATACATCAACTTACCTCCACACAGTCAACAAGCAGCAGCAGCAGCAGCTATTGACAAGCATGCAGCTGCAAACACCAGCTAAAGGCTAACGGAGGCTGCACAACCTATTGTTTCCACCTCAGTGATCGCTAACTGTGCATGGACAAAAGTAGACATGATGAACATTATGAACTACACACACACAAACACACAGAGTGGTGAGCACACACAAGTACATATATATACACTAACACACCCAGACCCATCCCTGCACTCACAGTCACAGATCCGCTGGCAGATAAGACGCCTCATACTTCAGGGAGGGCGTGGTATTGGGGTCCCCCCCTCTTATCTAAGCCGTACCCCAACAAACATACATACACACACACACACTTCACATCGAGTCTACACACTCTCACAGACACCTCACATCGCTGTCCAAACACCCCTCCACCCATACAAGTGCCGGCATTTTCTTTCACACTCTCTCTCTCTCTTCTCCCTCTCTCCCGCTCCCTCCCTCTCCCTCCCTCTCTCTCTCTCTGAGCATCTCTCCTCCTCCTTCCCTCAGCAGCCTCACAGCCAATCCAAACAGAGGTGACATCATAGTGTTGCAGCCAGTGCGGAGGCAGGACTATGAATGTGTGTGTGATGGGAGAGAAAAAGGAGACACACACACACACACACACACACACACATCCAGAAACACCCCAAGAATATTAACAGGCTGGAGCGTCTCTGTGCAAGAGCAGATAACCTGGACTCATTATCACTGACAGCACATGCTTCATCCCCTCACACACACATACACACACATACACACTCATAATTGTCTGCAACCTTCATTCACCTGTGCGACAATAAATGTCATAACTGTCTCCATCGCTTTCTCTCCAGATGCACAGAGGAACAAAGGATGATGGAGTGATCAGGGGACGGGGGGGTGAAGGGGGAGAGAGACTCAAGACCACACCCCTCCATCTGAGGCCATGACCCTCCCACTCCCACTGTATAGCAAAGCACACTGTCAACATACTGTATAGTCACAGGACACAACTTTCGGCTTTGACCAGGTTTATTATTTCCTTCAGACCTTTGGGAATTCAACATTTTCCCGTGCCAAAATTCAGGCCCTGTATGGAAATGAACATATATAGAAATGCACAATCCTGTCATCATTGTACCAGGAAAAGCAAATAAAAGCTTAAAAAGTTCATTGTCTGTATGGAAATCTTTGTGCATGTAGTTATTGGCTTAAAAATGACGTGTGTTACATACACAGTAACAGCCTCTGAGTGTCAGTCAGTATGTGTGAAACACATCCTAAACATAAGTGTACAGTAGAATTTAAAGTGTTGTTAACAGACAGCTGATACATTACTGACTACTGTCTAAAATAAACAGACTATGAGAATACGTATGAGAGTAAAAGGTCCAATTTGGGGTTCTCTACGTTGAATCAATCAAAAATTACAACAATCAAATATCACATGTCTATATAACCATCCTGAGCATTGAGATTTTTGATTTGTGTTCTGTTGTCAGAGTCTAATTCATTATTCTCTAAGATGAGATCACTGCTTGAAAGATCAAGTAAACTTCTGTGCATCCTTGTTGGAAATCATGAGACCTACATGTGATTGACAGTGCAAACATTTGCTCATGTCTTTTACTGCTGTTGGTCATTTATACTCAGAAAGTAGAGCTGGAATGACATTCTGCTTGATTTATTGGAAGCAAACACGGCCCACTTGTTGAGTTTAATCAAGTTTTACTTTCTTTTGGGTTTGAGACACTGGGAGATACTCTTTTCTTTAAGTCAGATAGATGGAATCGTCATTAGTTTGTCTACTTTGTGCAGGCACCTCAGTATTTGCATACCCTATGTTTAACTAACAACATGCTTTACTCTCATTGACCCTGTAGTCAAAGTTAACGAGGAGCTGGAGAATCCACTGGTTTGGAGCAGCCGTGGTGGTCAACGGTATCTGATTGTACAAGATTCTTGCAGGATTTTGAAGTATCCTGCTCAGTCAGGAAAAAAACAGAAAGACGAAAAAACAATGTAAGAAAAATAGAGGGGAAAACATACCAGTTCAATAAAACAGGAGAAAAAAAATAGTCAGAAAAACTGAAGAAAAAAAGTTAGTCCAAAAAACAGAAAGACGAAAAAAAAAAAAAAAGGAACGAAGAACAGAATATAACTTTGTCTGAAAAACAGAAAGAGGGGGAAAAAACATTAGTAAAAAAACAGAAGAAAAAAAATACTCAGAAAATCAGTGTCCCTCTTTTTCCCTCTTTTGGGTTCTACTTTTGTTTGACTCTCTTGAGGTTTTTGTGAACTTTTTTCCTTCCAGTCAGATGAAATGACACATTTGTTTCTGATTATAAGTTAAAGCACATTTTCACAACAAATTCAAACACCTGGCTCATTAGAGAAAACAGGATCCATTCTCCACAAAATCGCCTTCAAAAATCAGTTTCTCACGCACAAAAACAGGAAAAAACAAAAAAACAAATGCAAACAAATTCAAGTCCAGAGAAACCTCCAGAACCAGATAAATTCACAACATCAGACAACAGTTTAGTGCAATTTAATTGCTCTCTAACAAAACCCATGAGCCAATTAGCAGCACTCAGTCACGCATCGAGGGTCCTGGCATTGATTAGCATCACTGTTAGCATTATTTGCATCCCCTGCTTTTGTCTAGTCAGACCCCATGGGAGTTAATGTCTGTGGGTGAAGGGCAGAGCAAAGAGACCAGAGCGAGAGAGAGAGAGAGGAAGAGAGAGGGATAGAGAGCAGACTGCGCTCATGCTGTTGCCATAGCGACCTGTGCAGGCCAGCTTCTCAAATGAATAGAGCAACAAACAGAAAAGAGGAAAGATGGTCAGTGAGTTCACTCGCACACACACTGATATCCAATTTAGCTGAACCTACAGTCTGATTTCCTGTTTTCTCACCGACTTCATTCTGTTCATTTTATTGATAAGAATTCATTTTAATGCAGCGCCTTCATGAACACGACACAGTGCCAAATAATATGGTACCTCATGCATATATAACAAGTCTATACCCACACAAACACAGAAACAGACGCACAATCACACTGTAAGAGAAAGCAGCTCCACCGTGCACCAGGCAGTGTCGCCATGGAAACTCCAGGCCGAGATTCCCTCCTCTCTCCATTTCAGAAAAAGGCTTAAAAAAAAAAAAAACAGGACAAGACGGCTGGCTTACACATATAGATCTGCTCAGTTGTCCAGAAATAATGAGTCAGAGGTCAAAATACGACATGTTTAAAAAACATCTGCAAAAGCACGCAGCAGTGACTCAGTGGGTCAATCCCTAATCCGTGTGGGAATAATCCCAAAGCATTTCCCAGCCTAAAATCAAAATAATAATCTCGATACAAGGTCATACAGTCTGGCAGAAGTACTTTAGTGATTAAATCTGTGAACACAAACACACACACACTCACACGCAAAGAGAAATTCAGCTGTGTCCACATGATGGCAGCACTGGATCTGTTCCCAAAGGACAGTTTCAGCAGTTCAAACGTGGAAAAACAGACACAGTGGCATCCAAAAGCTGACAGACAGAAGGTGCAATGAGCAACTATATTTTTTTGTGTTTTTTTTTTTTTAAACACAAACACTTGAGTGGGAGTTTGGTACGAGTGAGACAGGAAACACCTGGCCTTAAAATTTATTCAAAACACATAATTCACTTTATAGAATCTGAATATTTTGGTATAAAGATGCGTTAAAATGTGGTTTGCCATAGAACTTAACAAAAACAGTAAGACTGCACTAAAAACAGACCAGAAAAAAGATCAAACTAGAGGTTTCTGATATCAAAAAGGGACCAAACACTTTTTCATGGCTGATTTTAAACCTATTCCTCAGATTCTCCTCAAATTAAAACAGACAAATTAACCTGTAATTGGTGCTTTAACCTCTAACAGAGTGCATAAGTTATTTCAACGAGCAACATCCATGCAAACGTCCCTTTTAGGCCCGAACAGTGCATTGGTTCTTAAAGTTTTCACCGCATGCCACATCGTCACATCACTCAACCGAAGCCTCATTAAAAAAAAAAAAAAGGGGTGAAAAGTCGAGACAGCTGAAAATCTCAACATGCAAGTCACGGCACCACAAGATATCTTCAGAGGAATCAAGACTTACTGCACAGACAGCCAGTATTTGAGATGATCTGCTGTAATCTGTACGGGAACAGGCAATGTCACATATTCCCACTCAGGGCTCATGTGACTGTGTGCAGAGTCTCATGTAAACATGGAAAACATCTGACACTGAACACAGCTCACATGTGAGAATGACAGAAGAACTTAAGCTGTGCAAATACTGGGAAAAGAGTTCAAACGCTCTCAGGATCACAGTGTCTCTAAAGTTCAGTACAAAAGGTACGTGTCAAGAGGAGACACACAGCTGATCCTGCAGAGTCCAACTTGAGTTTGCAGACGTGGAGCAAAATAGTTTCAGCTACTTCTTTTAAATAAGGTAATTTTTATACAATATAAGCTTTCTCATCAATAAGTAGATGATCATGTCTTTGCTGTGTCTGAGACAGAGAAAAAAGAAGAGAGGAGAGTTGGATAGATGGGAGACAAATGTGTGGTTTAGACTGAGATTCTCTAATAAGAGACAGACTGCTCCATTTCCATCCCTGCTCAGAGAAACCCAGCTCCTTAAAGGAAACACACACACTCACAGACACACATCAGTATAATTCAAGGCTCCTTTCCAAGTCAGAGCGAGAGAGAGATAAACCATAATATTCAGGGGAAAGCTTTGCCATGGCAACCAGCCTAGCCTGGAAACGGGGTCATGGTTTCCTTTAGCAGAGCAGGAGATGCACTGAAGCAGAATGAGCATGTCTGCGAGAGAGATAGAGAGAGTGAGAGAGAGAGAGAGAATGTGTGTGTGTGTGTGTACATATTTATCTGTGTGTGTCAGTCCCTGTCAACACTGTCAAGAACTACGCAAGCAATGAAAACTGCCACTGACGGTCAGTTTGCAGGGCACTGAATGTCTCTGGGTTTCTACGGTGTGTGTGTGTGTGTGTGTGTGTGTGTGTGTGTGTGTGTATCTGTATTCTCTCAAATGCATTTTCAGACCACAGGGAATAACATTAAGTAAGACCTGAGCAGGAAGCCGGTGGCGCTGACATGCTTTACTTGTTCTCACACAAACACCTGAAATAATATTCTTCGTCTATGTTTTCAGTTAAATCGTGATATGACTCAGCTTTCTTAGTGATTACCTAATTGTGTTATATACTTAATTCTGATTGGCTGAATCTCTTAGACAAGCGCTCTTAAATCTGCAGAGCAAAAAGCGATGAACAACCCGATCAATCGCACATGTCAGACATCAAATCAACCTGAAGAAGGAGTTCAAACACACCCTGCTCTAATTTATTAACATGGGAGGGTTTGTTTACTAAAGTATGACCATCTTACAAAAGTGCAGCAAATCCTGATGTACTGAAATACCCCTGTGTTATATTAAAACTTTTACTAGGTGCCTGCATTTACAAACCCCTTCTGTACTTAAAAGCATTGATTTGCAGGGTAAGATTTTCAGAGAGGAGGTTTTGAAAACAGCCTCAAGGAGGAAACATGAAAAGAGGGATGTGCAAATTTGGTCGACTAAACAATGAAACACCTTCATAATCACCGGAATTACAAATCAGTTAGTATTCTTTACTCTATTATCGCAGGCCTAAAATGTCAGGCATATGCTGTGTAGCCAGAGCTGTAGCTCCATAAATGACCCCTTGTTTTGCTGTTATACTCTACAATCTGGATGTAAACAAACACAGATGACAGACAAGGTTTCCAACGACTCACAGGTTTGATTAAAGAATGCAGTTAAAGTTGTATGTAGGTTGTTTCTGTTTAATCTACCACTCGACCAGATAAATGGCTAAAGACTTAAGCTAAGGAAAGCCACAATGAAGAAAACCAATTTGACAATGCGAGTGTGATCCTATCTCATGATTAGCCGTGTTGGATAAATTGGGCTCGAGTTCGACCTCTTCCCGAGTTTCTTACTGCGTAACAATACAGCGAGTCAGAATTCAACTTTCTGGAATTGGCTGATTCGGTGCATTCCCGTCGACTCGCTTGTTTCTTGTCTAAAACGTCAAGATACGAAGCAACAAATAAAGGAGGATAACTGACGCAGGAAGAAGTACTTTTGATCCCATACTACTGCGCCAAGAGTGATTACAGAAAGAAGCAACAAAGTGTCTGAGAAAAGCAGGAACCAGAACATTTCCTGCAACATTAAACAAGAACTAATGACAGTTCTGCAAGCATCTCATCTACATATCTTCATGTTTTTGGTTAGCTTAGAAAAACAAATGTCATACTCAGCCGGTATCTTGAGTTTGAGTAGGAACTCCTGCTGCAAGTAATACGAACAACCATCTCTTCTCGTCCTCTTCTCCGCTTGTATGAAATTTCGATAAGAACCAAAATCAGGGCAGCGTTTCTTCACAACACCAAGTGCTGGAGACACATTAGGACACCCCAGTTTTCCTTCACTCTGCAGATGTAGCCTCAATCTGAGCCGGAGCACCCAGGGTGAAAGTACGTGGAGTTTAAGCTGATTTCAATCTAAAACCATATGCTGACAAGCCTTTGTCTGAGTGCCAGCATCCGTCGCCAGATAAGATTAAACACACACACACACACACACACACACACACACACACACACACACACACACTCACACACTTACCATCGCCATCATCTCCAACTGCCATGCTCACAGTGTGTCGTGGTGAAAAATAAAGTGTCTATTGGCTCCTCTTCCTCTGCTCCCTCCTTTGTGTTCTCCTTTAACTCTGCACTTCGTTCAATCTCTCTCTGTCTCTGTCATGATGAATCAGGGTTAGGCAGTGATAGGCACAGCGCTGTGACTCGCCTACTGCCACAGATCTCTGTCAGCTTCACCCCTCCCCATCTTCCTTTTCCACTCCTCCTCCTCCTCCTCCTGCTCCTGCTCCTCTCGGCAACAGCTGCTTTAAACCCTCTAAAGCAAACCAGAGCTGACCAAAAAGAGATGTAGGGCAAGGGCAAGAAGAGCAAATAGATGTGTCTGTACACAATGTGTGTTTTTAAATGTGAGGTGTGAGTTTGTGTTCTGTAATCTGAGGTTAAATTCCTGGAAGGGTCTTGGTGGTGTTCATAGAAACACAGAAGCTCATACTAATTATATGCTACCTCTGATTCCTAATTCAGCCTTTGACTCTTGACAGACTTTTGTCCCTTTTTGACTGTATAAAAAATGTTTACATGGACAGCTCAATGCCAACAGATGGTTTGTGGAGCCAAAATGTTCAGAGGTAAAAATGCCCAACAGTGACGACACGTGTGGAAAGGTTAGGACCGTCTCAGACGTTGACAGTGACTTATCTGATTTCTTTTGCCTTCACCCAAATGCCACACAACAGATTTAGTGGTTAATGGCTGCACAGAGAAAACAGAAGGGCCTGGATGCTGTCCAGTTTTCTCAATAAAAACTGCAGGAAAATTTGAAAGGCGAGAATAACAAAATTTCAATTTCTGTGTAGGAAAGACTGTGACTCCTGAGAGGTGACTGCTGTTCATGTGCAGGTACGGCTCATTACCTGGTTTAAGGAGGTAAATAAAGTGTTTCTCTCTCGCTCTCTCAATTGCTGACACACAGTCGGACCAATCTTTTGCAGCGGTACACTTTGCTTCTGTGCATCTGTTTCTATAAAGTATTATGATTATGCAGCAAACATAAAATCATGGAGAAGAAACAGGTGGGGAAAACAAACAGACTGAAACAATGTTTTTAGATTCAGTTAACTAATATTGATTTAAGCTCAACTAACAAGATACAACCTCACACCTGCTGCTCAAGAGAATGTATAACGCTGCAATTATTATTCTTTAAGAAACTGAGTGGTCATAAATTGTTGGAATTATTTTAGCTATAGTCACTTTTTTATTTCAAATAATTATTCTTGTCCAACAACAAAAAAAAAATCTCTGATCAAGGACAGGGTAAGGAGTAAGTTTGGCTTCAAACAACAACTCCGGTTTTATTGTATAAGCATGACTGTGATTCGGTTGGAGCAACAATACCACTGAAGATTCCTTCACCATGCTGACACTGAGTACAACGGCACACCCAGGGGTGTGACATTCAATACAACAGTCCAATTATTGGTAAAGTCAAATCAACAGCTAGCTAAAACAATTGATGTTTGCTTTAATTTTCTAAAATTGGACTAATTAATCAAAACAGAGATGTGTTTGCAGTGAATTCTCACCCCTTCTAGACAGGGATGCGGCTGCACCATTAATATGCAGTTGACTTGTTGCAGCCAGCTGTGGAGGGTCAAACTTAAGTCACGCAGAAAAAAGGAAGCTTCAGTGTATCTGAGGTCAAACAGCCAGACATACAGCCAATTTCATGTTCACTTTGGTGAGCATCTGTACTCACTTCTAGTTTGTGTTTCGTCAAGAAACTGGTGTTTGTGATTTAAGAGGAGCCACTTAAAAAAATAACAGATACTACAGCAGCTTCTCTACCTGTTTGAAATCACCAAAGCTGCTAAATCAGAGCTAATTATGATATTAGCTTTCATCATGTCCCCAAAGACATTAGGGTCCGAGAGCTGAATAGCTCCTACTACAGTGGCAATGTTAGGCTACAAGCTAGCGTGAAGAGGAGTGTGCAGAGCAGTGCTGTCTCGGCCCACGGCTCAGAGGCGGATTGGTAATGAGCTACTGGAGCTCTACAGATGAAAAGTCCTTGAAATGGTAACGTGATTTCAGCTAAAAACTTAACAATCACAACTTTAAGACAACTAATACCACTTTAAGTAGTAAGGAGAGAAAGAATAACGGTGGGTTCTTGTTAGAGGTACAGTTTGTAGAATGGGAACAAATATAAAGAAATTAGATTCTAGACTGAAATGCTCCCATGCTCACCCCTCCATCTGTGAAGTGGCAGTAACATTTGAGGACAAAAGGCTCCTGTGATGCACAACAAATATGGCCCTCCATTTGTCCACAACCTCTCTCCTTGTCTTCAATTTCCAACCTGTGGATTTCTCTGATCTCTAACTAAATATAAAAAATATTTCCTTGTGCTACACTAGAAACAACACCTGCTTCTTATGTGGATATAAAGTCTCATCCTGAGTTAACAAAAACAGATAGATTCTCATTTTCAGGTGATTTTACTCAGTCTATTTTGCTACATACCTCTGAAGTCTAAACACCACACCTCTAGAGTCGGATTGTTGTGGTTTGTGAAGTGCTTTTTGTGATGCTTCTGGCTAGTCTGGATCAAGGTGAAGGATTGTGAATCAAGTGTGTTTTCTACCTTATTCCTCTAAATGGCTCATGGGAGATTCTTACAGGATGAACAAAAGCACCACTCCACATTCTGGCAACCATCGACTGTTAAATTGTCTAAAAGAAAGAAAAAAAAAAAGCCTAATATGATTGGATAATAACAAGCAGAGCCCCAAGAGAGGTAGGAGTTAAAAGTAACACCCTCTCCACCTCAAAGAGACAGCATCATAGCAACTGCTACAACAACACGCCCTGAGCTTCTCTCCACGTCCCTCCCTGCGCAGACTGCAACAGTCGAGCAGGCACCAACCACGGCCGTCACTTTTAGACACGTAGATACAGTGACAGGGCAGCCCTCGGGTACAAACAGCCAATGACAGGCTCTGCTCGACATCAACAACAGACCTGACTGACCTCACAGGGAGAACAAACTCAGCTTACAGCTAGTTATGTGGATTGATGGGCAGTGACTAGGGCTGGGCGATTTGAGCTAAAAATAAAAAACACTGATGTTTTTATTATTAAAAACTTGATTTATTCTTTTTTCTCATGAAAGAAAAGTAGAAATGACAAGGACGTGACTACAAACACTGTTTTTTTTTATTTAGGTCTGACACTTCAAAAGCAAACCAGTTCCAACTGACTGTTTAGGGCGTGAACTCTTCACTTGCCCGGGCAGACATGATGCTGTTGTGTGTTTGTTTGTCTCAGCAGAAAGTGAACTAGGGGTACAGGGGGGAACAGTGCAAATTCTCTATTTTCATTTCTGTAAATCTAAAAAATTCCACAAATACAAATTAACCGGTTTCAATGATTTATCGCTAATTTATTAGCAGTGTTCCATACAGCTATGACAGTAGCTTAACAACATTTTTCAGGAGCTTAGTGGTAGCGCTGCTGTTTCCTAGATCAGATAGCGTTTTAATAGCATAGCGGCTTTTGTGACCATGTAGCGCAGCATCTGAGAAACATCTATTCAATGAGACGCTGCAGCTTGGGTTAGGGCTGAGTGATAAACCAAAAACTTACTGATTCTGAAATTTACGACAATAACCAACGTCCTTTTGCCCATGTCAATATATTCGGTGTCAAATAAATAAATAAATAACTAAAAGTTGGTTTTGGATGTATGTAGGTAGGCTATGGTCTCATATCCCTTAAAGACGCTGTCCTTTGTCAGAGACGTGACTCTACCCCTTCCAGTCAATAACAAAGAGGGAAAGACAGGTGAGGATATGAAGTAAAAGAAGTTAATGTGGGAGGGGGTGAGCAGCTTGTGGAGTAGTTATCGTCTATTTATCGTTATCAAGGTGACCTGCTCAATATATTGTGATATTGATTTGAGGCCATATTGTCCAGCCCTAGTTTTGATGCTCTAACCACCTCATGACTCTGAAGTAAACAGCTGAGGGTTTGTGCATTGTGTACACCGGAGCATGGAAGAGTTACTGGAGCAGACCATCTACTCCTGCACGATAGTGACGTCACTGTTTTTAACCATTTACAAAAACTCAGGACGACGCAGCAGCCAATGATCGTGCAGACACACAAGCATGAGCTCACCTACCGTAGGCACACATGCAGGTGATTCCCTGAAAAAGCTACCCAATCAACTCATGAAGGTAACCACCGCCAGGTCAGTCTGCAAACACCTCAAGACAGCAGACACAGTCGTAAAATTTAAAAAAAAAAATTAAAATAGAAGGTGACATTTAAATAAAAAGTCAATCTTTGTTTTAAAATTTCATATGAACTGAATCTTTAGGTGTAAAAATCACAATTCCATGAACAGTTTCCCTTCTTGTATGGGTGTCAGTAAATCCCTTAAGACAAACTTGGCTGCGGGGGGGTTTCATTAATACTGCTCACTCTGCACGGTCACACAACACTGACTGAATTCACGGCCCACTCCACTGCCTGATGACAAAATCATCTGCAGCAGTAGCCTTCAGCTCGGGTCTGGCTCAGCTGGAAAAACCCACACAATTGCAGACACACACAAAAACACACACACGCACACACAGATTAAAGCATTAATCCTGTTAGGTCCTCTTACAGGAGCACATGGCAACAAACGCAGCACATGCAGATAGACACGCACAGGCACCCACTGAACCATACGCAGCCACCTTTTTCCTCAAATTCACACCAAATTCCCGACAACAGTAACATTTCTTCGCCAACATGACTCAGTTTCGAGGCTCTCGGAGGCCAATGAGTATAGAGGGAAATAAATAAGAAAAGGCACTGACCGTGACTTGGGCTAAGAGCCATGTTGCCTGTATTCAAGGCTTCATCAAAACGAGCGAATAACGTCTGTAACCTGTAGAGAGAGAGAGAGAGAGAGAGGGGAGAGATTAGAGCGAAACAGACATACACAGCAAAACAGAGATAATAGGTGGGTATGACTGCAAAATAAAGAAAATGTACTCGATCATAATTATCATTTATTGGAGTTTTTTCACATATTAAGAAGAGATAATCAGCCCCCAGATTTAAGCTGTGTACCCCTAAGTGAAAGTATAATCGGCAGCAGCAGCAGCAGCAACATGTGGACAGACACCCTGCCTGTCAGTCTGCTTGTTGGTGAGTGGGTGTGTCTATCATGCCTGTCACACTCATGAGTCTGCAGCAGTAACACAGCGAGAGTCTTTCTGACACACACGCACATATAAATGCGCACACACACGCGTAACCCCGGGCTGGATCTGCTCTGTCCTCTCATTTACAGGTAAGACCTTCAGCATGGTGACCACCCAAACACAGACCAGTCCAGCTAAACAGCATCTCTGCACAAATGTGACCTCAGATATCTCCGGTGTTGACTCACATGACTGCAATGACAACAACACAGCACGTCACCGTAATAATGACCCAGGTCCTGTAATGTGCCCTCCTTTCAGGTCTCCTTGTGGAAAGGTGAGCCACACGTGAGCACACAAGATCAAACCACACAGTCATACACACACACCCACCAACCTCCGTCTGTGTCTCTGCCTGTGTATTCCTGTCTGGGTGCTGGTCCACAACTAACCGACAGCGAAGCAGCTCCAGATAAGTGACGATTAGCGTTGCAGCGGGCTCCTCAGCCGTGCAGCCTTTTCACGTGGTCCCCTTCTGTAAATTAGCATTTTAATTTGCCTATTCGCTTCAAAAACTGCCTTGTGTTTAGTCCTCAGTGCTCATTCGCTTCAGTATTTCCCAGCAGAGTGATAAATAGAGTGCTGCGTTGCTGTGCAACGTTGCAGTAGCTCCCATGCTAGTGACACACTCTGGTCCTCGGCTTCCCTCGGCTCTTTGTATCCAACATGGTGCAGTGGCTCTGAGAGCAAGGGAGGGAGGGAGGAAGGGAGGGTGTAGGAAAGAGAGAGAAAGAGAGAGAGAGAGAGAGAGAGAGAGAGAGAGAGAGAGGGACGAGCAGCAGGAGAACAGAGCATGCTACGGGCATATGACTAGGCACCACCTACTGTCGCACATACATACTGTACCCTAAGCTCACAGAAAACCCCTGCTGAGACATCTAAACTCTGGAATAAAGAGTTAAATCTAAAGCTGCGGGTGTGCATGTGTGTGTGTGTGTGTGTGTAAGAGAGAGAGATAGAGGGGGAGACGGTCTGTGTGACAGGCAGCAAAGAGATTCTGTTACCCTTTACATAACCTTCCTCTTATAACCAGACACACACACACAAATACATATACACACACTTGCCAGAGGGGGAGGGGCTGTTAGAGCGAGCAGTAGACAGAAAGCGAGACGGCTCCTCCCCCCTCATCACTCCTCACCCCACTTTCCAATATTCACCCTCCTTTTGTTTTTTTCTAGTCCTAACACCCCCTCTCTTATATTTTTAAATTTCGTTACCCTGCCTCCTCAGAGCATAACTTCCCGTCTTTGGAGGTCAAGGGTCACCTTTACCTTTCAGGTCATTTCACCCAACCCCCCCTAAAAAAAATGAGGAAGTCTACTTGATGCTTCATCAACCAGCATTTAACCAAATGACAGCAGACTGTTGTCCAGGGTTAATCCTTGTTGTGACTGTAAACAGGGACTTAAGTTTATGATAGTGCTTCTCTCCCATACCAGTCAACTTTTAGAGGACGTTGAACAGACATGCAGTCTTGTTGCAGTTTTCTCGGAAAGTGAGGACCCAGTTTGGATGATGTTTAATGCTAAATAACAACACTTAAAAATAAAAATGCCATCTGATCAGACACAAAGAAGTGAAGGGATCGTCTGACCCTCATCTAAGGCAGGAGAGGGCAGCTCGGGTCAAACAGCCGGGTCAGATGGTTCACTCTGATCCATTCAGGCTGACCGCCTGCGCAGGTCTAACCTCTGTCCCCGCTGGCCAAAGAAGCTCATCAGGTTCACTGTCTGTGTGGAGTAATCTCATCTGACACTGACGAATAGAAACACTGTCCAGTTGTGTTGAACAGACAGCAGATGAACTGACCTGAAAGTGAAAATGTTTTGTAATCCTGTTCTTAGGGACGTTTTGGTACGCGTTTGAGGCCGAATCTAAAATTAGGTGATGCCACTCAGACAGTCCCAGTCTGACACAGTCTGTAAACTACTTTTTTTTTTTAACTGTATCACCAGACTGTGAAAATTGCTATTCTGTGGGCAGAGGAGCCTGCACTTTAGTATAGATTTCAAGATGGTTCCATGCTCTGTCTGCACACATTTAATTTAAATAAAATTGTCATACTTTTTATGTATTGATCGACTTCAACCCAAATCACATATCTATCAAGGAAAAATAAGAATAAAATGGACTCGAGGCTACTGAAAAAACTAGTTAACTCATAGAGGAGCACAAGTTGTTCAACACACTAAATATCAACACGCAGAGCAGGCTTATGAAGGTTACCTCCACGTACATATAGTCCTTTCAAGTGTGGCTGCAACAAGAAGACCAAACAAAACTCAAGACTCCAGAGTCCAGTTTTCTGCATGCTTGTTTTTATTGAGAAAAATTAGCATGTCAGTCGGGAGCACAACCAGGTCTGAGAGCAGAAAACAGACGCTCAGACAGCACCAAGCGCTAGTCTGGGAAACATCTCTGTATGTCCAATAAAAAAATTCTCAACCTTCTTGTATGTCTGATGTGTCTATTTCATGTGCTCCCAAGAAAGAGCTTGTAGAGACCTCATGCACGGCTGCAATGTCTCACTGAGCATCTCCACTGCGCATAAGACCTTCATCCATGTTGATCTGAAACTTCCTTTATCTCAAATATAAGATATTGGAAGGAAAAAGCTTGTTCCCGACAACCAGTTACTCAATACTGGATTGATGGTTTACATCCCTGGAATGAATCTTATCTTGCTGATGGGTCTTCATGTAGTTCGTGAACAAGGAGTGTAGTCCAGACCTGCTTTTTTTGCAAAACTTCTAAACATTGGCGCTGTGTAGATAAAGGTAGATGTACGTGTATTAAGTGTTGTGTGTCTGTGGGTCACTGTGGATTCATACATTCATTAAGAGAATTGTATCTGGCCCACAGGACAGAAGAGTTGTCCACATCAAATTACATCTTGAGATTTTAATGTGAACTGGATTCAAGACTGTCATGGAAAATGTAGCAACAGTCATTATTCAAGACCTCCAGGCCAACACTATTGTTTCTCTGTGTAGAGCTAACAGCCCTTCATATAAACAAAAAACACACAGTTTGGGTTGTTGCAACAGAGCAGACTTTGAGAGGATTTCAGCTCTCAGAAGAGTGAGGGGCACGACTCTGAATTTGAAATGTACTTTGAGTGTTTGAAGATGGAATAAAAGTCAGTCCTCTGGATACGTTGACCCTTCCTCCTCGAACGCACTCTCCAATATTACTACGCCTCTCTCACTCTGTCACAACACCATCTTTCTCCTCTTTATCTGATGCTGGCTTGACATAGCTGATATCTGATCTGGTCTACAAGCTCCTGGCTGCAAACCTGAAATTCACCCACTGACCATATGGTAACACAAAGACAAAAATACCTCCACCTCAGATTCCCAACACTGCTCAGGAACGATCATTAGTAAATTCAGATGGTTATCCACACTGAGAGGGCCATTTTTATACATTTTATATTAGTTTCAGACATAAATCACTGCCTGTCAGACCTCGTCGTACAACATGGAGCTGGCAGACACACGCTGGTCTGTTTAAATCCCACATACGCAGACAGTGTGTTTACACTGGAGACAAACAGGCTTAATATGCACAGCACATGACACATGGCCAGAGCCAGCATTCACAGACGTAAGACTCATAGAGAGCAGGCAGCAGCGAACAAACCTGGCTGCTGCTCCGATCTCACACATGGGAGAAAGAGGGGAGAGAGGGGGGGAGACACAGGGGGGTCAGTCAGTGTGTGCTTAGAATAACCCCCAACCGTGCACATGTAACCAGGACGACCAAAGAAGGACGCAAACCTTCAATAGAGCTCTTCAGATGTCACTTATACACAGACACACACTTTCCCCAATTTTTCCCCAACTCTGTTTCTCCACCCAGCGCCTTTGTTGCCCCTCTGCCCCCCTCCCCCCCATACCCTCCACCGTGGTCAGTCAGCATTGTGCTCTGGATGAAAGTGCCTCTGTGTGTGTGAAGGGCAGGGTGGTGCATGGTGTGGCCTGGGACAGACTGAGTGCCAAGGCCACGGGACCCGGGGGCACAAGTCAGCACACACACACACACACACACACACACACACACACACACACACACACGCACACACACACACACACACACACACACACACACACACACACACACTCAATGACTGATATGTTCAAAAACTCACCGTGCAGCCGGCAGTCCTCTTTTCCCCAGGTCTGCTCGAACCCTCTCCCCAACATGGCGGTAAACATCCACCAGTGTTGTTATGGAAGCCTCTCGTACCTAAACACACCACACAGGACATTCAACAATTTAAAGGACAAACACACAGTCACACCGCGGCTTAAACACAACACTTGTTCTGGCAAACTATGTCACACTCTGTTAAGATTACGGTTAATTTCTCTTTATAATTCCATACAGATTACACTCTTCCCCTGTTGTCTGGGATTACCCAGATTAGGGTTGCAAACACATTAAAGAATAATCCCCTTAGGGCCCATTTTCATGCCTTTTATTGTGAGACAGCTGATTTGCTAGTCATGTTGAGGGAAGCGCTGCGATTGGGTGGTGGGATGCTGTTAAAGGCATTCTCTGTAACTGAGGGTGGGCGGGCCTGTCCACAATGTTGATTGGTCGAGGCAGTGTGTGGGTAGATAATCATTGGGTAGACTGCAGGAGCAGATTTCAGCTTTGGGGTGCAACTCCACAGGAAGTTAAACCAATCTCTCTCTATCTCTCTCTCTCACTCTTGCACAAAAACTCAGCTTGTACCACTGTGTGGGTTAATGGTTGGGTTCTGGTGCTTATGATTCAGCAGTGAGGCTGGGTGGGGGGTCCCTATGGAGCCCTAATCCTAGCTAATAACAGTGATGATCGCAGAGCTGCATCAGGATGCCTGAGCTAAAGCTAAAACACTGAGAGTCTAACTACAGGCTTAAAAGTATGATGCACGACACATAATACTCACATGTATGCATTCGCACACAGATATCACAGTATAAATAGATACAGAGTCATCCCTGCCGTGTACCACACTGCTGCCAAACTGCTTTGTCTGTCTTACCTGTGGGTTCTGGTCTCCAGTCAAAATGCACAGATGAGGAACAAGTTTACTGAGGCTCAGTGGCTGAGCTCCACACCTGAAAAAAAAAGAGCCAAAAGAAGACGAGGAAATTAGAGGGATGATATCTACCCATGTCAATGTCATACAGGTATGAGGGTCTTTGCAGTCAAATAAAAACCTGGACTCTCGTTTGTACCAAATTTCGAAGGAACAAGGAAACACACTGATTCTACCGAGGCACAAGGAGCTCAACAACTCAGTATACAACTTATTTGGCACACAGTGACAGGACGCTGTAAATCGTGCTGCATTCATACAAACAAGTTTCAATTCAAGACCGCAGATATAGTACCAACGAAATACAACTAGAGCATTTAATATTTTGAGCATTTGACCCTGGAGCGTCAGTGTTTTAGAGAGCACAATGAGCTGTTTTTAATGTGCATAAGCCAAATGCACTCCTCGTCTTTTGAAGAGTTTTGCAGCCCTCCCTTATGCTGTCTGGTGTGATTCTGCGCTCTGTTATCATCAACCTTCTCTGCTCAGATTGGAGTCACCCTGCTATCATGTTGCTCCTGCATTGCTCTGTTTCTCAAACATGCTGGAGATCACTGAATGGCGTTGTTGGGGAATATTGCATTGAGAATAAAATCTGGGATATGTCTGGCATTGGACAAAAAAAAGCAGGGATTCCTCTCTTGTAAGGAGGCTGCAATGAAAAATCAATAATTAAAAAAAGTCAACAATGAATTCCATTGTGACATGTTTTTTCCCAGTGGAGTGAGGCATCTTACTTACTACCTTACTTACTATCTCTGCATAGAGTCACACATGCACAATAGTGTCTCCACCGAGCACCAGGGTATTCAACATGGCAGCCCTGGCGTCCCATACAGCAGCTACGAGTATGTGCTCAAAAACCTCTGAAGTTTGGGAGCACTTTAGCCTAGGTAAGGCAAAAAAATATAACTTGCAAAGTAGCAAACCTTACGTATCATGGCAGCACGTCGGTGATGCATGAACATTTGAGGAGAAGGCACGTAATTATTCGATTAGTCGACTAATCTAACTAACTAACTACTAAAGTAGTAGAAACATCAATGTGTTTATGATCGTGATGAGGAGAAGTCTGTTATGTTCTGTCCATCTGCAGCTCATATCCCTATGTGTCTCATACCTACACCTTTAGGAATCAAATGAACATTTCTCGCAAGGGTGTTGCTTTCCATTAGCAAAAAGATGCCAAAATTAGCACCGTCATTCCAAAGCCCACGCCTGCTGTGTGTGGAAAACTGACAACCCGTGTAGTTCTGAACTGGACTGATACACAAGCAGCGGTCTGTTTATTTGTGTATTTATAGGTGGGTTAGTTTAATGTCACCTTCAGGCTGAAAAATACTGGACTTTAACGACAGATGGAGCTTTTCCAAACTCTCTGATAGGAAAAAAAAATCACACAGTGTCATGTATGCTCCAAGACTGTAAAAAATGTCACATGATTACAGTGGTGGTGCCTCTTGTAGCACGTGTGCCCCTTTTACAGCTAAGCAGATTAATCCTGCAGACAGAGACTCTGTGTGTTTCTTGAAGAGAGAATTTGGGGCATGCTCATGTAGAGCAGTAGTAACATGATAAAACTTTCTTTTAAAGGGCAAATGATGAATGAGCAGACATGTAAAAAATATAGAGAATCCATTTCCATTTTTTTTTTTTTGCAGAAATAGTCTATCAGGTAAAAAATCAAACATAAAATTCTATGTTTACATTTGCCGAGTATTAGAGAAGTTTTGTCCACTCCTTCAAATCATATGATGACCTTTCACATTTCATGATGGACGTGGCAAAGGTGGAGAAGAGGAAGCTACTCACATGCTAAGTGTGGCACTGAGACACAGGCAGATTCCCTCTCGACTGCGGAAGTTCTTGTGTTTGAAACCAGGAAGTAGCCTTTCCCAAATATACTAGATGAAAGAGAGGGGGGAAGTTGGGGGAGACAAAAAGAGAGTCAGTAGGAGCGCAGCGAGGAGGGCTCTGCCCCAGCAGCCTGTGTGGGGGTTTGAGGAGATTATAGAGCACAGGGTAGGTGGATGTCTATGCCTGTTTGGTATAGATTACACAAATCAGGTTGGAGGTGCAGCACTTGTAGTTCCTCTGATATCCAGAAGAGGGAGCCCTGAGCACAGAATACCTCCCAGCTGTGGTGATTATTTATTGATGTGGAGGTGGCTTTGATTTGTCTGCAGTCTCTGATTTGTAATTTAATAAGGCGTTTCTCCAAATAACAACAACTGACCTGAGTTGGTTTGCTGTCCTGTGAGTGACTCTTACAGAACAAAAACATGCAAACAAATGAGAACACAGTCCCCACCTTCAAAACCTTGATATCATTTTATATCCCTGCTTAGATTTGAAATACAATAACAATCCTAGAACTGCTTAAGGAAACTTCTCATCTTCGATCTTTTAAAACAGCCAGCCTCTTTAACTCACAAGTTTAAAAAGAGGCCTCCCTTCAACAGGGTTCTGAGGCCCGTGTTTTTATGAATATAGTTTGTGTATGCGTGTGTGTGTGTATGTCTCACCATGGGCGAGGCAGTCTGCTCCATGCAGCGAAGGATAAGAGCTTGGCTGTTCTCCCTGACCTGGTCCTTCCCGTCGCCCAGCCTGTCCACCAGAGCTGGCAAAACTACAAACAAGAAAAAAAGAGGTCAGTGAGCGAGAAAGAGACAAGATGGAGAGTCTGGGTTAGAGACGGGAGTCTATGAAATGTGGGAAAACTGCTGTTTAATGTTCATTATTTACATCCAGCATCAGGAACAAGGCCACACACGAGGCTCTAGTCTCTGCTGGATAATGAAGACTGCCCCCAAGTGGAGTGCTTTTAAAAACACTTACATAAACATGCAAAGTTGTACAAAGTGTCTGATATGGCAGTGAGATAAAAACATGTTTTAATGTAAATATTTACGCCACTGTCCCCTGCAGGGCTCTGACATGACGAGGGGAAAGAGAGGACAGGAAATGAGAAATGGACCGTGACTAAAATAATGTCAAGATCATCCAATGCACTCACGTCAGTTACACTTGATCTGCTGCAGTCGCACGGCCAAGCGATACAGGCTGTAAAGAGCCTTTAAATGCTGGCATCCAGCGGAAGTATGAGGCTTTTGGCAACAACACAAATGCTTCAAATGGTTACACTAATCCTCGACAAAATGAGAAACTGAGGAAGCAGAAGGGCCCTCGGCTGTGAGTGTATTTTCAGCTTTAATATCAGACGAATATGCTCTCAACAGCTTTTTATTTGAAGGACAGCCTTTTGTTGGTCCCACTGTGAATTAATAATCTTCAGTGAGAGGATGAGTCGGTATTCCTCTGCTAAAAAAAAATAAAATAAAAAGCCTGCGATCAACAGGGGTTTATTCCTATCACAGCTTACTCCTCTGTGCCGCAAATGTCCATTCATGTCTAAAAGCTATTTGAAATCTGTCAATATGATCAATGTGAGCACAGCGATGTTTCAGTCAATCCAATGTCCTGTTCCTGCTTTTAAACCGTCGATATCTCAATCTGAAGCCTAAAAAAAACTAATTTCAGATTTTCTCCTTTTCAAAGTAGGTTTTTTAAATAATTGTGTACAGCCTGAGTTACATCTTCAGGGGAATAAAAAACTAATTTGACAGAGAGCTGGAAACAGGACAACGACTGGGATAATCAATTGTACTGTAGAAAAATCTGCTTTGTGCGAGAACAATGTCTGTTGCAATTACTAAACTGTCAGTTCACAAGCAAATAATGAAATGTGAACATCAGCAACAACATCTTGTTTTTTGGATACCTCAGTGATTTGCATGCATGGGTCTAAAGCAGTGGTTCTCAAGTCCAGTCCTCAAGCCCCACTGTCCTGCATGTTTTGGATGTTTACCTGCTCCAACACACCTGATTCAAATGATCAGCTCGTTATTAAGCCATTACAGAGCTTGATAACGAGCTGATCATTTGAATCAGGTGTGTTTGAGCAGGGAAACATCCAAAACATGCAGGACAGTGGGCCTCCAGGACGCTTCAGTCCACAAATAATCAAAAACTGGAACATGTAAATTTAGCTCCTGTCCTGCTCCCTCTTTTAATTTTTGTAAAACATGTACTGCAACAAGTGTGTAAAAGTTGGTTTTGGATGTGTGTGGGTACGCTATGGTCTCATGTCCCTTTAAGACCCTGTCCTACGTCAAAGGTGTGACTCCACCTCATCCAGTCCGTAACAAAGTGGGAAAGACAGGTGAGGAGATGGAGGACAGTTCAGAAGTTCGAGTGGTTGGAGCAGCGGCTGAAGTAGACAAAGTTAATGTGGGAGGGGGTGAGCAGCTTGTGGAGTAGTTATCATCCATTTATCATTATCGAGGTGAACTGCTCAATATATTGTGATATTAATTTGAGGCCATATCGCCCAGCCCTACCTGTTTGTATGCTACCTGAATTCATAAAATCTTGTCTCTTCTAAATCCAAAATACTTTCAAACATCTGCATTTCACCAAGATGGAGTTCAACCACATTTAACTGACACTTTTCTGCTCCTTCAGTTTTCATACCTTCAGCGAGCTGTCAAACTGACAGACTGATCTTTCAGAAGATCATTTTACATGTGCCTGTTAAAACTGAAAACAACAACAAATAAATCCATCTTTATTCCTGAACTCCTAAAAGTCAGAAGTTCACAACAGGGAGTGATTGGAGCTGCTTATTTTAGACTGTAAATCTCTACATCTGTTCAAAGACACAACATGCCAAATCGGGTGCGCTATTCTCTTTTAAATGGAAAACTGAGCTAATTAAACTCTGCCTTCAAAATGACATCACACACACACACACACACACACACACACACACACACACACACACACACACACACACACACACACACACACACACACACACTCCTACCCACATTCTTATTCTGAAACTTCAACCAGAGTAGTGAAGTCATCTGTCCTTTTCCTGTGCTGTGTGTGTGTGTGTGTGTGTGTGCGTACATTATGTTACCATAACAGATGGTTGCCTTGGCAACAAAGGACAATGCCCTCAAACAGAAAAATGACAGGGGGGCATTGTTGCACCTGACGTCATCTGCTGTAGTAAGGATGGAAACAGACACACACACACTAACACGCATGTGTGTGTGTGCCAAGTTGTCTTCTACTGGTTCTTTTTTTTTTTCAGAGCTGCTCGTCAGCCAATCACAGCACACCATTCAACGTCTGCATCAGCAATCAAGGGAGTCTCCACAGGTCAAAGTGTAGTCGTATGTGATCTGTATGTTTCACTTTCATCTGCCGTCTCACACCTCTGTGTGATACAAACACGTTCACATGTACAGAGGAAGAGCGGCGAGCAATGAGTACTGTAGATCAGTACTGTAGATCAATCCGATCACTCAGTGTCTATGATCTCATCCCACTCCCTCCTGTGTGCATGTGTGTGTGTGTGTGTGTGTGGGTGGAGGGTGGGTGGGTGCAGAGAGAGGGATAGAAAAAAAGAGAGTACAGGAAAGGAGGGATGGAAGTCAGATGGAGGCGGGGGGATTCAGAGCCAGCGGTGGCTCAGAAAGATGTTTTTACCATTACTATGAAACACACACATTCACTGCACTCATACACAGAGACAGGCTAAGGCACAGTGAGCAAGTATGTGTGTGTGTGTGTGTGTGTGTGTGTGTGTGTGTGTGTGTGTGTGTGTGTGTGTGTGTGTGTGTGTGTGTGTGTGTGTGTGTGTGTGTGGTGACAGACTTTTCTCAGTATGACAGGCCCACTCATCCCAAAGCCGCGCTGCAGGACTGAGTGTGTTGGACAGGGACGAGGGTCCGTCTGGCTGACAAAGACAGCTGGTGACACCTTGAGCGGGTGCACACAAAGGTCTACCACTGACATGACACACAAATACACACTCTCAAAGCCTGACAGCTGATACAAGACTCGGTGTATGAGGTTATGTGAATGATGTGAAGAGCGGTATTGGGGAGTAACAGCCTGAGATGAAGTTTGGTAGACAATTCAGAGACTAAATATAGAGACTAAAAGATGAACAACAGAGAGGAGGAGGAAGAGGAGGAGGAGGGGGTACCAGGCTTCAGAGCAGATTGGTCTCAGAGGAGCCACAAAGTGGAAGTGAGACACAAATGGAGAGACATTTTCCAAAAACAATAAAGAAAACATCCCCTTAAGTGTAAAAACACAGAGGAGTGTTGTTATGCAAGGCATTTTTATCCAATGTATAGAATTAATAACTTCAGGAGCTCCTGAAACTAGCACAAAGATCACCTAAGATTAAATGACAATTTATCAAGGCTACATCAACAGAGAAAAACAGGAACTATGAAAGAAAGACAAAAAGTTGTGAGAAGAAAGTTATAATGTGAGTCTATGGTTAGCCTTGGTAAGCCTATGCTGAGTTTTAGATTAGTGAGGTTTTTGTTGACAATCACAGCAGAAGTGACGTCATCTTTTCAGAGTCCTGACACTTGAAACTATGTGTTTTCTCATGATACTTTTCATTAAACTGCTCTTCTCATTCACCCTCTCAGAATAACATTAGGACTTTCTTTTATGAGATTAGACTGTCTGAAACATGAATTCGTATTTCAAGTCAGATTTTCACTGAGATTTACTCGGACCCTGAGATGTAACTGACAGACCTGGGCCTGTAATTGATTTATCACAAATGTATCCTCGTTGTGTATTTCTCCTTCACACAATTATATATTGAAGATCTTTAAGAGTAAAACAAAAAGGTAAACAAAAGAGGTATTTAGTCTGCACTTGAATTGATTTATTACCTAATAAAGGCTGCTTTCTTTCATAGTTTTATATTTTTATTTTAACCCCTGAGAAAACCCTTAAAGGAGGTCATGGTGGGGACGAGTTGGATTTCTCACCTGTGCCCAGGTATCCCTTGAACCGCTCTCCCATGCGATCTACAAATGCCCCACAAATATCTATCCCCATCAGCGCCACCTGCAAAACACAGAGTGAGAAAGAGGCAAAGGTCAAAGCAGGTCATTCATCTTGATTAGACACAATTATGAAACATCATTCTTCCTTTAAAGTGGAGTACATTTGCAGCTGCCCTTTTATAAAATGAGCACATTTCAACCACTGCAGAGGATTTAGCAAAATCCTGACACTGATCTTGTCAGACTAAATGGATTTTTCTAATGCTGAATCACACTGTGTTTTGCTGACTGCAAATTAAAACAGCTGAGACTGTGTAAGGTAAATTTTTCATGTTCTCTCAGTCTGCCAACAGCTGTTACGCCTGTGATCCTGATGTTCTGACATTAGAATGAGCCTTTTAGCGCCAGACACTAACACTGTGTCAAACTAATGCTGGCAACAGCTGACACCAAAGAGGCGACTAAGTAAAAACAGGAAGTGACTGGTCTGAGTCATGTGAAAATGATGGAAATAAAGAACATCAGGCAGCAGCACAGGAATCAGTCAGTCAGCTCAAATTGTTTCACCAACCCTAAAATACCAGTCTGGAAGTCCTCAAGTAAATATCAAACAGAGATACATCTTTAAATATCAACTTTCCACCGTTAAAAGACAGAGGTTTTTTCTTTTTCTTTGAACATTTTGACCCTACAGCAGAGCCAGTCTGATGACCTAGTGAACTGTAGTACACACTAATGTAAACACAAGGCTACTTTACCATTCGCCTGTTCAGTTTGCTTAGAGTTTGACTAAACACAAAAAAGCAGATACCCGAGGTGAAAACATGGACACAACAAGCAAAGTTTAAAAGACAACTGAAAATGTATCACCTGGGGTCAAAGAAAACAGAGGTACACTTGTACATTGAGGTGTTTTCTAAGTAGCTTCAACTCTGATAGCTGCACAGAACATTAACATACTCCATCTTAGGGGTGGGAGAAAAAAATCGATACACCATCGTATTGCAATATTTTGTCTGGTGATTTATCATACTGTCTCATCAATTTTTTTTTCAAATTAATTGTTTATATGAAGTCAAATCTATGATGCAATGGAAAAATAAAATCAACTGTTTGCCCTGTGAGGTTGGCAGAGGTGACGTTACAGAGCAGGAGAGCGTTAGTACAACAAATTTAGCAGCACCTGGGGAAGGACATTAGGAATGCTAACAGGGCACAAAATGAGATGGACCTGATACATAAGGTTTGCTAGATGTGCTACATGAAAATAAAATACTGCGAAAATAAGACAGACATGAAGGAAAGACAAATGCTAAATTAGCTAAACAGCTGTAAAAATTGTATAAATCGCACTAATATCATATTGTGGTCCAGGTATTGTGATAATATCGTATCGTGGGGCCACCGGTGATTCCCACCCCTACTCCATATGCTGTGTTCAGTTTTTTATTCTTATGTGTGTATTTGAATTCTTTACAGTCACAGAAATGGCTAAATAGACCCCCGTGCTGTACAAATCACTGCACAGTTGCATTGACTTATACAGTACAATCCGACTTATACAAGGACGTTATTGATCCCCAAAGGCGAAATTCATTCGTCTAGATCTCATTTACTATTTATAGAAGAATAGAGAAGTCTGATGGCTGTTGGTACAAAAGATCTTCTGAATCTCTCCATCCTGCAGTGAAGACAGAGGAGCTGTCCACCACCACTGTTGTTTGTTATAAAGTGGCTCATCCATGATTTTAAAAATGGCCTCTACCTTCCTCAGTGTGCATCTCTTCATCATATCCTAGCAACAGTATTGTGGAGAACATCACATGGACTCCAGCCATTGCGTTGAGTGGGATGTTAACAAGTAATGTTATGATATGACTGAACTCTCTTGGAACATAATATGGCCAAAGGGTAACTGCCAACAGCTCAATATCTGGACAACACAGCTATGTGTGAAGTTATGTGGGTCTGGCACAGATTTTTATGCTGTATGAGTGGTATGATGGAAAATACTCGTAGTTTTTAAACCAACAGTGAGGCAATAGTGCTTGTTTGGGTTTGGATCAAACAAACGCCGCCTGCTTTGAGAACTATAGTGTACATAAGGGCACAGAATCTCAGCACTAATTTGTGCCCTTATGACAACAGGTTCTTCCTAACACACAGTCCTTCCTGGTGAACTGACTGTTCGGCTGCGGTGCCTGACTGAGCTTCAGTATTTGTTTTTATGAATAAGACATGACGCTCTAGTAAACAGTCAGAAAAAAGTCTCAGAATCCACCTCTATCTAACAGCTGTGGCTCTTATATAATACTTTGTGGTGCCCTGTTTCTACCATCTGCATAAGGGCAGCTAACTGAACCTCGCATTCATTTGTATTCATTTGGTAGAAATCTAAAGATATTTGGAAACCAGACTGATGAATAAAGTCAGCTGTACTGTAAGATGTAAGGCAATATGATGTGTGTTTCATTCACATCACGTTCATCATCTCTAGTTCAGATATAAGGATTAAAATGCTTGTGATCTAAGTCATAGAGGAAGGTAGACTAGATTTTTGTCTGGTGGTGAAGTTGAGTTTTCCACTGTGTTTCTGATTAGGATCACATCCCACACTGCGCTGTGCTCCTGGAATGCTTGTTTTGGCAGTGCTGCAGTAACGCTGAACAGTCCAAAGAGAAAATCCATTAAAACACCAAACTCCCAGACTCCTCTGTCTTGCTGACTGCAATTTTTCCCTATTTTAGTCAAAGGAGGAGCAGAGCCAGGTAAGCAGAGAAATAAAAATGGGGGAGGAGGATGAGGGTGATGATAAAACACAGGGACGAAGGCCAACTATGACCGCAAAGAAAAAAAAAATCACCTGGAGAGGAAACATGAGCTCGAGGTCATGATGACTCCCCCATACTGACCTAATTTAGGGGGAGGAGGGGGGAGGGAAAACAGCAGGGCGAAAAAGAAACAGTACAGAAAGAAAACAGCCAAGAGGCCTCTTCCCTTCCCCTCCTCCACCCAGCACCCCAACAAGCTTGGCACCCACAACCATATGGCATCTTTTCTCTGAGAGAGAGACAGAGAATGAAAGATAGATGGGACGGACCATCTTAAAGAGGAGAAAAGTTTCAGAACTGGCCTCCTCATATATGGAAAAAGTCTGTCTTGGTGAGATACAAGGAAAAGCGCCAAACAGACACTTGGGTATCACCCCAAATACTATAAAAAGACACTTGGACAAAGAAGTGTCTGGAGTGAGAAATGGAAACACACTTTGCTGCATCTCTAAAGTGCAGGCTTTATGTCATCAGAGCAGCTGAGGTATGCAGCAAAAAAGTAAATATTGACCTCGGTATGAATGGCTCTTTGTGACAACAGGATGGTTGGTGCGTTTGTTGGCTGAGCCTGCTAATTGGCGTACCATGTACAGGTATTACTTTGAATTCTAGAGGGGCTTAAAGTGGGACTTGGACAGAAAAACAGGCTCTCAGAGGCACAAGACTTACACAGCTATGGCCATGACAGACACAAGCTGGAACAATTGAACCATTAAGTAATTTAAGTCGATTACAAAGAAATGAGGCAACGAAAATGATAGACAGCTGTTAACTTTAAAGTAGTTTATCGAGAAAATCCAAAACAAAACCTTCAAAGGATTGAGTGCTCATTCATTTCATATAGTTTTAAGGTTTAGAAATATGGAGATGATGGGCTCTTGGACTGGAAAAGAAAGATAAGTTTGTCCGTCACCTCAGGCACTGCCACAGTCATTTTTCATGACTTTCTTACATGTTAAATATCTAACGGCATAACTAACAGCTACAGTTTCAGAGCTGAGTGCTTAAATTTCAGTTTTTGGTTGACTGAAGCCAAATTGAAAGGGTAGTCGCTATGCCAGTCCACTTGGCCCCTATGTTGAGACACCAAAGGAAGAACCATGATGAAAACAACCAAGCCCTGCAGATGAGCTCAACTGCATCACATAATTGAGCTTTTTTGGGGACATCTCTGACTCAGAGAGTTACGTCATCTAAGTCAAAGTTATATTTTTAAGATTTTCAGACAGGTTATTTATTTTAGCACCAACTGCTGACACATCACATACGCGTTCCTCCGCCTGTGTAGAAGAGGGCTGAGATGACCAGGATGGATCCCCCTATGGGTGATAAACTTGCTGCAAACAAGTGCCTCATACGACCCCACTTTTATACAAAAACACTCTCTTTGTAGCTTATATGAAACAGAATCATGTTAAAATCTGTGTCTCTCAGTCAGTCAAAACAGGAAGAAAAAAGGAGCTGCAACCAGGCAGCGTGCTCACATAAATAAACTAGACTTGACAACTCAAACCAGTCAAAGAATTAAATGAAAAAGACTTTTAGCTGTAAGACAATCTGCAACTCTAAAACAGACTGTCTGGTGAGGGGGCTGAGAGCTGAGCTGCCACTAATGTCCTGATAGAAATGGAATCTCTAGAGCAGGCAGACAACAGAATATTTGGACTCCTTCTTAGCTAAAAGAAGAGGTGATGCAGAAGTGTACAAGTCAAACCCAAACAATTCAAATGCAGCTGTTCCATCAATCTGTTTGGTATTTTTGTCTCTGCATTATGAGGTGATTTATAGACTTCTGCGGAAAAAAAACCATCTCAGCAGTTCTAAAGTGTTTCCAGTCAAGGCAGGCCGGTGGCAGAAATAGCTTTCTATCAGTCCAGTCAGTGTCAAGTCATCTGGCCCTGCAGCCTATACAATATTAATGCCCCCTGATAGCACCTCACATAAGCACTGTGATTTTTTTTCTGAGTGCATAGAGCATGAGGTGAATCTGCTGTTCTGCCGACTTGACAGAGTGAAGAGAGGGGAGGCTGAAACTGACTCACTTTGAAAAACAGACCCAGACAGGGAAACACAAAGGAAACAGAGATGAAGAGAGCCACAGACAGAATTAAGTATCAGGTTTCATCCGGTCCTTAAAGGGGAACTTGGGCGCGACAGTCGCCTCATATGAGCACTAAATGTACTTATGAGGCGTGATTTTTGATTTCCCCTCACCTACCTATACCCCGACTATCAGCGCAACTCTCAATTCCCTGACTCCTATCAACTCTGCATCATCCCTCCGTTCTTTCATCTCTCTCTGCGCTGACTCAGCATCCTTCTCAAAGCTGAGTCGCTTTCCTCATGCTCGACAGGGAGCAAATCAGCATCACTAAAAGGCTGCTATGTGAAGGCCTCTAGGGGTAACAGTGTGCTCTCTCATCACTGCCAGACACTGATCTGAGCTCAGGTTACTGTATGTGTCATCTGCATCAAAGAACAAATCAAACGTTAGCTTGAAACAGCTCCAGATTAAACTCATGGAGGCAGATTTATGGAAGAGATCCCACAATATGTCTGTCCCGGTCTGCCATTTGATTGAATTGAGAGGGGAGGCTGCGTTAAACAACATAATTACTGTTATGTTTGGAAATGTGTGGGATTTGTTTTGCTTTAGAAATGAGTGGATGCTACAAGAAGAACTTGCCTAGGCCTTTATGTGCCAATAAAAGACAAAAATATGAATTGATCACATGGATATTTTCTAGTCCTCCAAAGTAAGCCACAGGAGTCCGATTTCAGCATGTCTTAAAATGAGCTTTCAGACTGTTCTGACTTGTTATCTGGTTTGGGAGCTACCTTGGCAAAAATACCACATTCCAGCAAATCTGAGATATGGCAAATAGTGCAGACAGGGTCACCATTCACTCTCCCACACACAGAGTACAGTGTGTGAGTATATGTGAGAGACACAGTGAAAAAAGATTTAGATGAATGAAGAGAGAGCATACAGTAGGTCATAACAATGAGCCCCATCACCCCTCCCCCATCCCTTCCAGAGCTCCGGTAGTCTGCAGCCATGCTCACAATGGGTCCCAAAAGCACAGATACAGGCTTAGCTTTACTATCATAAGAATAACCTCCTGGAAATGTCGGATTCTGTCACAAGGATGGATTTAAAAATGCCTGCTTTTGTAAGCCTGAAAATTACATTAATACAGGTTTTCAAAAATGCTGTTATCCATTGCTTGTTACAGGCCATCAGATTCATTGACTGCTTCACACAAGACGTGTCTTCTTCATACTCGTACCAATGACAGCTCGTTTGAGATGCATTCACTCTGCTCAAGTTGTTGCAATAAATCCCAACTCTAGGCATACTACATCATATTTCCATCCCACCTCCCCTCTCCCTCGGCTCATGGGTTAAACAGCTGGAAAATAACTGACGAACAGGCCGAATCAGTGACTGCTGCAGTGACACTGCGATACCCCCAAACGATGACTGGCCACTATCTCTCACCTTGAAATTGCTGGAGTTTACCCATCCCGTTAGCTCGTCTATGGTCTTATCAAGCCGGGGTTTGTCCTGCTCCACGTCAGGGGAGCGCTGAGGATCGTTCAGGTAGTCGATAAGGTCCTGGCCCACCTGCAACCTGCGGGTGACGTCTTTCTGTACCACCTGCTGGTAAAAATAGTCCATGTTGTCATGTTCCTCCATCGGGCACTCAGTGCCGAGTGGCCCGCTACTGGAGCCGGCCGAGGACAGGAGACCGTGGTGTGGAGGACGGGGCTGTAGAGGGGGTAGGCAGGGTGTACAGTCCGGACTGCGTTTATCTTATGGTTAACCAACAGCATGCAATCCCTTACAATAGATACGGATCAATTTAACACAAAAACCATCCCTCTCTCTGAATAGAAAGCTCAACTTTGTAACGGTACGACAAAGACGTTCAACGCTAGCTTCTTCACTTCACAACAAGCCGCAAGAATGAATGTAAAACTTCGAGAAAGTTCTGGAAACATTAAACAAAAGTGGATCCCGGCAGGTTCCTAGTATATACTCGCTTCAAAATCAGCTAGCAACTTTGGTTGGCTATCTGTTATGCTAACAAAAACAGCAAGTAGCTGGTTAGCAAAGCGACCCAAACAGGGATATAGACTGCTTCATGAAGCTAGCTCGAGTGGCTAACAGTGTCAGTGTTCCGCAGGCCTGCCGCCTGGCTCCGCTCCGCTTCTCTACTCCATGGCCACAGGAGGGAAAGTCTACTCAGCTCCCGGCTGTCGACTCGTCCGCAGTTAAAGTTGCACCAAACTCCCACAATAAGGTCTAATCTCCAGTCCTGCGTGAAATGTTCTTCCTTAATCCAGGAATAATCACCGCTGCCGCTGGAGCTGTTAAAGGCGCTCAAAGCCTCTGTGCGCGCTGCCGGGGACTGCAGTTTACCAGGGGGCGCAACCGATCAACGATCAGGCCGATGGGTCTTCGGGCACCGCACAGCTAGCCAGCATAATGCCTGATGAAAATGTCGAACGGTCTTGTGTAGGGTGCGCCCGTTTGAGCATTATTGGCGGAGGGGGTTACCAGGTGTTTAAAAAAATTTTTATTACGCTATCACTACAAACAGTTTTAGGTTTTCTGTTTCTGTAACGGTCATGAATCAAACACAGTCCTCCGCTGGTGTGGGTGTGTCTGCTGTCTGCGCGGCTCTAGGGTGACATCTAGCGGTTCAGCTGCGAAGTCACATGTGATCAATTTGCCGCAGTTTATTCTGAAGTAATCTTTTAACGCAAGGAGACAAAATCTCACACTTGAGAGACAAAGCACATTTACTATTAGTCACTTTTATTTATTCATTTGTTTATTTTTTTCATTTATTTCTTTATTTTCTTAAACATAAAATTGTTAAAACAGCTGTCAAAGAGAGGGCATTAGTATCACAGCCAGTCGTCAGCTATGTTTCTGGGTCCATCTGAGTCAACTTTCAATCTGCTTTCCTAGTTTCAGTCCTATCCACAGTCCTGCCAGTCTCCCCAGTCTTTGAGCACTTGGCAACTACATAGAACTTGCCAGTCTCTTGCAAAGCACAAAGTTGCAAGCTGCTTCTATTTTGTTGTCTTTTCAATACTTTAGAAGGTGGTACTGCATGCCCCATAAATGTGTTGCTTTGCTGAATTATCTTCATCCGAAAGACTGTCTGTAAATAGTGAAATACACAGTTGGTTTTAAAGCATTCCATTCAGTGCATAAAACCCAGGATTGGGTGAGCGCAAAATTGCTGCATATCAGATAAGAACAATATGGACTGGTGCAGTCCATGAGAATTATCTCATAGCCTTTATTTTAATAATCCCTTATGCGCTGCTTGGGGCATTAAGAGAGTGGTGTATCTTGAGCAGAAACACTTCATTGTATCCTACATTATCAGTAAACTGCCAATTACACAAAGTACACTAAATTAATGGTCAAATACATAAATTCACTTGATTGTCGAAAAGTTGAGGTACATTTGCTTACAATGTCAACGTTATCTCACCTTTGAGAAATAATCCATGTAATTTGAAGCAAAGTTGCACCTTGAACCCTGATTGATATCCAACTACACACAGTCAAAAATTTAAATAACTAACTCCACAGTCCAGTTATCGACCACAGTTGCATCAATGTTACTAAAACCACTCTGAATGGTAGGGAGACTGGAGGCCTACTCATGTAAACAAGTTTGTCTGTAGTGCTAAGCTAATCCAGGATGTAAACAAATGCTTAAGTCGTCAAGTAGGAGCTAGTGCGCAGGGCTACTGACAGGATTGGATAAGGGCCAACAAGCCAACGTAACCAATACACAGGAGAGGCCACTCACCCCAGTAGCACACAGAGTCCACGAAACGCTTTTAGACACTGAGGGTCTGAATCATAGGTCCGACAGTTTCTTCTTTTTCTTTTAAAAAAGAATGACACACACATCTTCCCCTCTAGATAAGACAGGCATGGACATTTACAATAAGCACTGAAAAGAAAAGAAATAAAACAATTTTTGTTGGCCTACTCCAGTTTTCAGTGAGTCGCCGAATCTGTGATTCTTTTTTTTTCCATTGCAAAACATTCTCGGTAGGAACAGAGTCGAAATCTCAACAAAAGTTTCTCAGATGCACAAATATGTCACGTGTCCCGTTCCGTTTTTCCTGTTTAACTCCCGACTCTCCTGCACAGGATAGTAAAACCGGTTGTGCCAAAGCGTGCCTATTAATTTTTATCCAGAATACTGCGTTTCCCACAATCCAGCTCTCCTCTACCTCCATGCTTGGTGTTAATTGGTCAAAGCAGAATGAATCACAGGATGGTCACATAGAGGTGTCATGTGATTGGTTGAGATGAGCAGACTCTTGTCCAAGATGACAAGATCATCATTTTTTTTTTGTTTGTTTGTAGAACATGATGCATTTTAGTTCCATAGTTCAGACCCCTCCCCTCAATATCCAGCCACCCAGCAGTCCTCTCCGCCCGCAGGTGGGCAGTCAGGGATGTGAGGTGAGGAATGGCGTGGAGGACCTGTTTTTGTCTTTGCAGCAAAGCGAGGGAGAGAGGATAGAACTGAAGAGAAAAAGGGGGAGTCCATTCATCCACCCATTCTTCTTTCCCTCCACCCCTCCACGCCCAAACCCTGAGGACGGCTGCATGCTGACCAGAGAGCGAGAGGAGAGAGGAGGGCCGGGTCTTGCTGATCAGGGATCAGTGGCGATCAGTCTTTGTAGTGATCAGTGATCAGGAGCAGTGAGTGGGTCCAGCCCCTCCTCTCCCCTTCACCTACCCCATTCCCCCACCCCGACCCTATTTAAGCCCCAATCAGAGCAGCAGGACCTGTAGACAGAGGTGGCCCCCTCTGGCCCTCCACTGTCAGAGGATGATGCAGCAACGGCACAGACGCTGGCCCCCTCCATGTACAGAGGGAGGAGGTGTCACAGGAGCAAAGTAGGCGTGGACCTTGATCTCTGGAAGGTGGGCCTGTATGGGGACAAGATGTGTTAATGCAGGCATGTAAATTAATCACACAGAGCAAAACATACTGACTGTGACTGTTTCATGACCAAACTTTTGTAATTCTTAATGTGTTTTCAATAACACCACAATAAAAACAATAATAACTGACCAAGCCCAGGGAAGATGATCACCAACAAAGAAAATTAAATACACTGGCATTGGTGAACACTTTACAGGCTGCAATTCCAACATCAAACTGTAGGGGCAGTAAGCCTTCATCACCAAACAAAGAAGAGTCAAGCTTGTTTGATTAATCTTCATGTTTGCAGATTTCCACCAGCACCAGTTTTGGGTTGGTTGTGAAGTTGAAAAGCTGTGCTCTAACTCTGTTTGGAAATATGGCCCTATGATAAAATCCATGTGTTTTCTCTATGTAAGATAGTAAAGGTCTAGCCAGTTGAGTAAGCTCTTCATAAACTGCTCTGACATGTAATTGAGTATTAGTACTATGTATTACTTTGGGTTTGTAAAGCTTACTCTTCGAACACTGATTAACAAATACAAATTTGAATTTTAAAAAATGAAACTAAATTGAGAATCTATGAAAAGTAAGAAGAGATGCTTTCACATTTAAAGTTAAGCTGAAGCAAGCAGCCAGTGCTAGATCCAATCCCAGCTGAGGAGCTGAGGGTTTGAAGGCTGTCCCAAAGTCTAACTGTCAAGAGTAAAGGGAACTCAATGTGAATTTTGCAACAGTAGTTTGAACTTTCCTATGAGTATGTGCACTTCCAGACTTCCCAAAGGAAATAAAAAATGTAAACAAGCATGGAGGTCAAAAGGGAAAAACACAGATAAGTTTATCAGTGACTTCTGGCTGCAGCTTTTATTGCACTCAGGTAATGCTGCTTGTGTTGCCAGTCAAATCTTGACATATGTTGACAATAAGCCTTTACTGACTATGGAAGAGTTTACTTAAGTGTACAAACAAAAAAAAAGTATATGGGGGAGGTGCAGCTTTTTCTTCTCAACATGACCGAATTTCAGAGTTTTTTTCCTTTAATTTCTACTGACCCGGATGCGCTTGATCCCTGCCCTGGTGACTTGCTGACAGTCGTAGAGTTCAATGCGCTCCAGGCGATGGCAGCTCTTCAGGTGCTCCAGCGTCACATCAGTAATGAGGGGGCAGTTGTCCAGTTCCACCACTGTGAGGCGCTCCTGTCCACAGGTACTGCTGCTCAGAGCTCTGATGCCATCGTCTGTGATCAGCTCGCAGTGGGACAGCGACTGCATGGGTCACACAGAGAGGTTGATTAAAGCTTCACACACATTCAGAGAGGCAGAGGGACAAAACCTGGAACAATGTGAAAGCTGTGAACGTTTACCAGGGCTTGCAAGCGAGGGCAGTGGATAGACAGCTGAACCAGGGTGTTATCCGTCACCTGAGGAGAACCAGCATGATGAATGATTGATGAAAACTACTTTTAAATACTGATGGTAGTTAACTGATCTCTGTACAGGACATATATCCTTCCATTCTCACATAGCATATGTCCCAGATAAGTGGGTAAAAGACAGAACTTAAAAGAAGTGCATGAAGTCCATGTTGCTTTACCAAAATACATTCTTCTAGGTCCATTTTTTCAAGCTCATGACAATTCTGTGAGGACGAAGAGAAATCAATCAGATAAACTCAAAAATAAAAACAGGTGACTCAGTGTAAAGACTCCACAGATACAATTATGTGACAGAAACTCACCCTGGCCAGCACAGTGAACCCAGCATCTGTAACATGGGAGCATCGTGCAGCTTCAAGGATCCTGAGAGCACAGAGACACACATTTAAAGCCTGCGTAGAGGGGAGGATTTATCCAGAGTGGGGTCTATGGTTTTATTAACTCCTTAAATAACGATAAAGAATGTTTCAAGAAGCCATCTAAAATGAAGGGCAGATTTGGCACTTCAGATATCAGCAGGCAGATCCTCAAAAAGGCTTGGAACAACAAGCAAGCCCATATCATATGATCTGACAGGGCTTGGTCATGCCGAGCTTTAGGAGTCTTATAATCAATATGAACATATTTAGGAAGCCAGTGCAAGGAGGTTTGGTTTGGGGTTATGTAATCTGTTTTTTGTGAACAAGTGATTAGTCGGGCTGAACTACCTAAAAGCAGTGAGAGACAGAAGCCTGAGATAACCCTGAGTCAGGGGCTTCACAGAAATCCAACCATGACAAAACAAAGGCAAGAACAAGCCTGTGTAAATCATTAAATAATGAGATTTTTAAATTTAGATAACAGTGAGGGATAGAAGGAGTAATGATAACCACGACACAGTACACAGCATGACTTTCAACTGAGAATCAACCTTGAGATCTTTGCTATTCAGTAAAATCTGCTATGAATGTGCGTGACTTTCTCTTTCATTTGTCCTCAGGTTATTGCTCCAGCACGACCTTTTCCACAACTTTTATATGACTTTACATTTGTATAAAGAAGACACAAACACTAAAAGGGAGACACAAGAAAAAAAATAGATGATTTTAGTCCTTTTTTTAAAAACTGATAGATTCTCTAAAGGTCTCCTGACACTTTTTTTGTATTTCTAATGGGTTTAAAGCACATTAAGCCATATTTAATTCATTACAGTGGAGCATTTGATGCTACAAGATAAGTTCAACTTGTTTTGATACAGTGGAGGACAGTGTGTTTTAAGGACAGACCTATCAGATCAAGTCATCTGGGAGCCTTTTTTTCTCAGAGCAAACTTTTAAACTGTGATTTTATGGGTTGTTTTTTTTTTTTTTTTGGTCTCACTTGAGTCGGGGACAGTTGAGTCCCATTGCAGTGAGGGAGGCATCGGTGATGTTGCTGCAGCCGGACACACACAGAATCTGCAGCTTGTGGCATCCTCGGCACAGACTGACCAGGCCTTCATCTGTTATTTGCTGGAGGCAAAAGACACGCAACACAAATCTCACAAAACTCAGAGACACACAGACATGTCCCTAAAGCATTGTTATCAGTCTCCTTCTCCCCAAATCCCACAAACAAATGTTTGTCTTACTGTACAAGACTGCATATTGATGGTGGTGAGTTCTGGGCAGTGTTTCTGAAGGTGTTTCAAAGCTCCATCATCCAGCTGAGGAGGAATAAAACATGGAGTGTATTAATAAACAAAAACTTGGATCAATTATTGAAGGATGTGACTGTGTTCTTACCAATGACTTAAATCAAGTCACATGTCACAACTGTCTCCTGTGACTCTAAAAAGATAAGCCATTGTGGCTTCATGGTCCTTTTTTTACAAACAAGGAAAACAGACAAGACTTTGGTTGTAACGACAACAACAACAAGCTGAGTACACAGCCCGAAGAAAGTACCAGCTCCAGAGAGGCAGCAGAGAACCAAAAACAAAAAACAAAAAAGGCAGTGTGCAACACAAACCTCTAAATCAATACAACCAAACCAATGAGATCAAGAGAATGACCCAAATTCTGCAGGCTGGGGAACTGAAAGTATCAGGAAGAGGAGGTAAGAAAAGGGCAGATCTGTATAAACTAGAGGTTTTTTAGAAGTGGGAGGGAATCGTGGTTTCTGGGGTTTATGGTAGATTTTCTGCTTTTGTTTTATCGGTCCAGGAATTTAAAGGTAACTACTGTTGGTTTTCTGTGTTTTAAGCATTTTTTCACAGCAGGGGCATTGAGAAAACCACCAGAGTACCTTATTTACAGTAAACACAGAAGGCTTCTCTGGCAACAGTACCATGACTTAATGCATCAAATCAATTCAGAATATTATAGTAAAATGATCAAATCAAGGGTCATGATGCCTCAAATTACTAACAAAGAAGGCCTGAAATGCTCAGAGGAGAAAATGCTCATCTGTTCTCAGGTTCATGTCAGTGTGGATGTGTTGCCCTGCTTATACTCTACCTGTGTGCAGCCTCTGAGGAACAGTGCTCGTAAACCATTGCAGCCTCTGGCCAGAGCCTCGATCCCATCACGCGTGATCTGGTCACACCAGGACAGGTTCAACATCTCCAGCATTCTGCAGCCGTCACTAAGTATGGACACACATTACATAAAGAGGATGAAAAGGAGACCAACTGTACAGGAATATCTGTGTGCATGGTTTTAAAAATGCACAAATATTACAACCCTAAACTGGTAAATTTTATCTTAAATGGAAAATAACTCTTGGACATGTATCACTTTCCTCACAGAAAATCTGATATAAAAAGAGCCAATATCTGACAGTATCGGCCATTTTTAATGACATGTCAGTTTTTTTCTAATCTGCATGGAAAGAAAAACTTTGAAAACAGAACAACTAAAGATATTACTTTATAAACCTCACTTACACACACTTAACTTACGTGTCTTAATCTGTATTTAATGATGTTCTTACTTGTGATTTAAGCCCTGTGACCATAGACTGTATATACTATGGACAACTTGGTTGCGCCTTCCACCAGTATACGGATTTGAAGCCCAAAAGCTCTCGCAATTTGCACAATTCTTTTCCACTTCCTGAAACCACCACTGCACAGTTGCGTTGTACACATTCAGTGGGAGAGTCGCAGAGAGTTGCTGTGATGACGCTCTGCTCAAACAGCGCACCCCCGGGTGAGCTACGCAATCTTCATACACCCATAAGCTGTATCAAGTGTCAATCATAGAAAACGTGAACCCCCTAATAACTTATAAAAATGGAGCTGCACAGAAAAAAGAGGACTTGAGCACAAACCAGTCTTACAGTAACTACATATCAACAATGCAAGCAGGGTGGAGAAAAATTTATATTCTGTGTAATAAATTTCTAAAGTTTTGTCCACAGCTCCATAGGAATTGCTGGAGCAGGCGGGATTTATGACCTATACTGCAGCCCGTCATCAGAGGGTGCTGTTCTTGCGGTGGCTTCACCCAGTGAGGAGGCAGACGGCATCCATTCTTTATACAGTCTATCCCTGTGACTGAGGCTGTGTCCGAAATGAATCACTCAATCCCTAACCCCTAACCCCCATATGGGGTTTCACTATACAGTTGACTATGTAGTGAACTCAATCACTGGAGGTTTCGGACACTACATGGCAAGACGGAATGCATGACGGGATGCCCACCACCGGTGAGTAACCATCGGATGGTCACTACAATCTGCAATGCTTTATGGGAAATTTTGAGTCGCCTATATGGGGCACTGGAATTAATCACTCAGGTTTCAGACACCCCTTAAAATGGCGATAACCCCCATATAGTCACCTATATAGGGGTTAGGGATCCATTTCGGACAGAGCCAGAAACTTCTTTGGGTGAACACTGCCTCATAAAACAAGTGTTGGTCATGCTTTTATTTTGATAGTTTCCTGTCTCATTTAGGTGTGCTTTTATTTTTGATGTATACTAGCTACTTTCAGTAGATTGTGAGTTACAGAACTGAATAAAAACAGTCAGGAAATGCTAGCCGGATAGTTCTAGCACACATACTTCTATCAACACAAGTATTCCAACCTGTTTTTAACATGACATTCAATATAGAAAACAATTAATGAGTATCAATGTACATGCATCACTTGTTTAATTTCAGTTGGCTGATATTAGGCAATACATGTTAATATTTCTATTTTGTCCACCAGGCTGCACTTTATCTGTGCAGCACAGCAAAGCGTGCATAGTAAACTGCATGGGACTTGGATGGTAATGTAAAACATAAGTGACTTTTCTTGTATAGAGCAATTCAACATATGAAAAGGTCCATTTTCACTGAGTGTGCTACAATATTCATGATTGGACCATTTTGCTTTTAAAAGTGAATATCAGCTAAAAAAAAACAAAAACTTCAGGCTGTTCTTAAGATCTTGACAAAAATAAAAGTCTTCAAAATATAAAAAACATACAGAGTCAGACCAGGTCACCTTTTCTTTTAAGGTAACAACACTGTGTGTGTGTGTGTGTGTGTGTGTGTGTGTGTGTGTGTGTGTGTGTGTGTGTGTGTGTGTGTGTGTGTGTGTGTGTGTGTGTGTGGCAGCTACCTGAGGGCTTTGAGGGAGTGGTTGCTGATGGATACACAGGAGGTGAGATCGAGCTGTTTGAGTTTGGAGCAGAACTTGCTGAGGCTGAGACAGGTACTGTCTGTGATCTTGGTGCAGCCGTTCAGGTTCAACACTTCGATGTTTCTGCAGTTCTGAGCAAATGTCCTGCCAAACAGAAGAACAGCAAAGAGGGAGAGAGAGGGTGACTTACTCTGTTACTCTGCTGTCATTTCAGTGAGTAAATAAGAAGTCAGCTGCTCAGGAGCCAATCAACAGAGTCATCTAAGGGCCCTCAGGAGGTTGTTGTACAGCTGAAGTAAGTTTGTTTTCCATTTTAAGGGTTTTACTCTCACAATAAAATCTTGAACTTGTTAATTAAGAGATGATAGATCTCTTGAGGTTATATGTAATGAACAGATCAAGGGGTCCCCTGAGACTGAAAGAAAAGAGCTGCTTTATTTTAATTCAAATACGACCACTTAAGTGTGACTTAGGGAAAAAGTTCAAGCAGAAGCACATTTAAGGACATTCTCACTTCATAGAGGCGTCTCCCACGCTCAGGCAGCCCCGGAGGCTCAGCTGCCTCAGGAAGCCTCCACATCGCTTGGAAATGTTCTCTACCACCCGACCCTGAGGGACAGCGAGAAGGAGAGAGGGAGAGAGTGACTTGACTTGGGCCACGGAGGACAGAGGATCATCTGTGACGTCACAGCTGGCACCAAAGCCTAGTGACCCAGCACTAAGCCTTGGGCTGGATAATGCTACTCAGCAAGTACGCACACATGGCTCACATAAGCAAGCACGCACACACACAAACGCACACTCACACACACACACACGCTACCCTTCTTTAACTGCCCCTCTTTTAAAAGCACCTCTCACCTCTATATCTGTCTGAAAGTTGAACAAGTCAATCTTCTGCCAGTTACTGCCATCTAGAGCCAGGACGTTCCATGCCTGAGGATGGTGTGGACAGAAACACACAGAGGTGCAGGTTAACAAAATAATATCATAGAAGAGTTTATTGAACACAGCACATTAACCTCTACTGAACAGCACGATACAGGTTTGGTTCATTCTAGGTATCAACTGCAACCACTTCCTGTTTCTTTGTTGGAGGAGCAGGTGCACCAGCTGCTGTTTTCACTTCTTAACGCCATCTGGAGCCTCTCTAATGTGAGGATTTGCTTCTTTTACTCCAACTGATGTCATTGAAGACTGATAGTCTTTGTGGTTTAAACCGCTGAACTCTCGAAGAATCTATATCAGGCTCTAGGGAAATGTAGTTTGTAATTTTGACTATTAAAGTTATTCTAATTACAACCTCAAAACGGGTCCAAGTCTAAGATAATAACTGGTACTGTGTGTAGAAATGAGAATATTTAGCGACAACTTGCAAGAGACTACCTTGATCCTCCATTTCTCAAGTTTTTACCAATGCAATTCAAATTAGCTTTGTTAGCATGTATGTCAGAACCATAATTGCAAAGCATTAACATTATTATATATTTCTCGCATTTTGCAAGGCCACTCGCTACATATAAAAACGTTGACATTACAACTTTGTCTGTGAGGGAATTCCCTGATTATTAAAATCTCTTACTTGGCCTGAAAAAAAATATCTGGTAGTTTTTATGTGGCAATAACAGCAGTGTGCTAGAGAGTTTAATGATTGTCAAAGCCGAGTATCAGCAGCGCTTCAGTTTTAGGACAGAAAAGAAAGGTCTAATAGTATCTATACCAGTAAAGTTAGGATTCAAAGTCTGTTTGTTTAATCAAGTGAATAAATCTAGAAAAAAAGGTGATTTTTTTAGTTAAATGCTCAGCAAAAAAAGATACTGCTTTAAAAAATAAAGACGTTCATGTATCATGGTAAAACATGAAGTAAATGTGCCCCATCACAGACACAGAGTTATGACACTTTCTGAATACACTGGAGCAACTGAAAGAGGAGCAGCTGCCACAGCTCTGCATTCACAGTCCACCTGCCTAACCCTGGTTATTATTCACAGTAAGCTCATTCATACATGGCTTTCAGCTGCAGTGCTGTGGCTAAATAGTGGTCCCTCTACACACAACCAGCAGGTGGCACTGTGTTATAGACTTTTCTAGAGCTTCCAGTAATGGTATGCCTTTAAACCATACAGTAGTTTGGAGTAACATCAATCCCTTCTGTGAAAACAGTGAGTGTGTTCATGTAGAGTGGGCGGTTTGGAGGTGTAAAGAGGGAAATGCTTACCTTGGATACTTGGGCACACCTACAGAGTGTAACCACATCTAGATAGGAGAATATTCTGAAAAGAGAGACAAAAAGTGCGCATAAGTGTGCATCCTAACTCAGCTTTACCTCTGTGTTATCATGTTTTTCTCAGTGTGTGATTTAATGTGCTTTTTGTGTCCTTAATTACGGAACAATCCCCCATGTTTGGTTAGCAGGAGAGCCCCACAGAAAGCCAGTGTTTGAGCTGTGGGTCTGCTCAGCCACAAAGGGCTGCATGCAGCGGGCTACTGGGTCAGCTCAATCCATTAATCTGCCAATGAGTAATCTCTGGCGCTCAGACAGGCAAGGCCACAGCCAGCACAGGACAGACAGACATACATTTACAGAGGGACACACATATTAAACAGAACATGTGTTTCTTGCCCCTGTGATTAAACGTTCCTTAGGGGGCGGATCTATAGAAAATTTGAGGTATTCAAAGAATTGTCACAGTGCCAACGCTTTGAGTGCAGCTGGGGTCTGAATGTCCTTTTAACCCCAGGAAACAGGAGCCGGCCTTTGTTTCCTTCATATAGCTGCTAAACAAAGACTATGTGTTTAGATGTGCAGTCGGCCAGGGCATGTTGGGACATGTCTCTTTAATCTACAGTGAAGTCTTAGGTCAGGGAGTACATGTATACAATCAACAAAGCAACGCAAAGACACCCATTCACTGAGTCCTTGAGGTGATCCCAGGGCACCAAAGAAGCAGACCAATCAAGCAGACGCTCATTGATCCCCCCCTTCTAATAACTGGTTAATGGCTGTGGCGCTAATCATTGATTGGCTGTCTGTTTCAATCAAATACGATCTGACTTTCCATTATGTGTGAGCGAGAGGCCTTTTAACCAATCACAGCAGATTTCTGTTAATCACACTCACAGGGAATCAATCACCCTCTCTGATTTGCTGAGTCCCGTTTTGAGCCTTGTTAACCAGTTTGACACCAACACTTGATCGAAAATGGTGGTTTTTCTGATGAAGACAGACTGTGTGAGTTGAAGTACAGCTGCATAAGAGACGTGCACAAAAACAAAGAGGTGATGATATAACATGGGAAAGCCCTGATGCTCCTCTAAACACAGACAGGTGAAAACAGCTTAGCAGCCTCCGTCAAATCCCACCTCTTCTTTCTGACATGGCATATAATGGGAATTTAATGGAGCACATCCCCATTTGTTGACAAAATGTTCACCTGGCCCTTCGAGCGTGGCTAGATAAGAGAGAATCAAGCCTTCACTGGGAGTTCGGGACTTGTTGCCATAGAAACTCCAGTTAGACATGAATTTGGGTGGTGGTAGGGAGGGTGCTGAGTCAGTGCTTCTGGGTAAGGAGACCCTGAATGACTCTGAACTCTCGTCGAGGCTTGTCAGCCTGTCAGACGAGGTGCTTCTAAATCACAGTTTTCCAGTGTATATCTACTTGTGCTGCACTGGCCTAGATAACGGCTGTTTACCATGCAGCACCTGAGAGGCAGACAAATGCAGAAACAAGAGAGGTACTCTGGTCTGCTCACAGTCATACATTCAACAAAAACAGCCATCGTTTTAAAATTTCTAACTGAGAAACACTCGGCATCACTGCAACATTTTAGACATTTAACAGCTGATGATCCCCGATGATATCACTGTTTAAGAAGTGTGTGCAATTGAATCAAAGAGTGATAAAACTTGCTTATTTCATTTTACTGTCTGGCTGCCTAACTCATTACTGTGCTAAATACTTGATTCTGATCGTAAAAACCCCATAGCATTTGTACATCAATGTAAATAGTACAAGTAGCGCCAAGAACAACCCAAGAACAACTAGATCACACACTTCAAATCCATTGAAGGGGGTTCCAGCATATTTCACCTCTATCCCTCTGCCACTGAGAAAAAAACTTAAGTTTCCATTATGTGTTAATTAATACACCGATAGAAGGTGTTTTCTTCAGTTTGATCAATGTCTTTTTCATGGTGCTTTCAATTTACCTTGGAAGTCAGAAGTTGGAGCTGGGAATAGAAACAGATGTATACTCAGTGTTGTGTTGATTGTATAGCTAGTAAGCTTGGTAATAAGAGGGATAATGCATACTTTAGGGTATACAAGACCCCTCCCTTTCGTTGTCTTGCCCGGTTAAGATTCTATTCCATTTATAACCAGCCAACTCTCCATTACCGCTTCCTTTTCAGCAATTTCAATAACCAAATATTTGTGTTTTAATCAAACATTTTCTGGTTTCGGCCTCTCAAATGTGGGGGTTTTGATGTTTTTCTTTACTGTGATTACTGACCTTAATTTAGGCCTTTGACTGTAGAGCTGGTTTTTACTCAATCCAATCCAACCCAAAGGGTGGTAAACCAGGACTACACACTTGGTGTACCAGTTACGATCAATTCCAAGTCCTGACAGTAATTAATGCATGTCTTCCCAATTCTCTCCCAACACTTTCAGTCACTTTTAAGCTGTTTTATCAAACAGAGGGCAAGAGTAACAAAACTTACCTTTTAAAATGTTTTTGATAATCGGATGATAAAAGTAAGTTCTGGAAGAAATTAAAGTGTTTTAGATATTTAGAATAAAAGAAAAGACAATCAGAGGAACGTCCAAATTTTAGTCAAAGATTTGCTGTTTAGAATTCTGTTAAATTAATAATTTCACAACGCTAGGCCTCCATGTTTATTTAATTATAATAATGTTTCTACAGATATTTTCATGTATGTGATTTAAACGTCCTCTTTTAAAGATTTATACCTGCATTATTCAAACGCACCTGGAACAACATAATGTCCCTGGCACTGCCCCACGGTATCACAGCATAACAAAATTACAAATACAGAGAAAAGCTTCTGTCAACCCACTTTCCATGGTTTAAAAACAAGATTTGCTGCCATAACTAGTCTTCCTCACAGCTGAGGTTGTGTAAGTGTCCCAACCTGACACATGTGACATTGGGTCATGTGTTGTAGCTGGTGCACCAGTGAAAGTGCTGGTGTTAATGGGTGCACTGGTAGTCACTGTGGTGCACAGCTGGAGCAGCAGAGGAGCACAGCACTGCGGAATTCCCCACTAGCTAAGACGAGCTATTTATAGCGCGCGCACACACACATCTACACACATAGGCAGAGACATACAGTTTGCATAGGCCCAGGAGCGTTTCACAAACACACACGCACAACCAAGCTGCCTACCTAGTGTGTCTGCAGAGCAACATGCAGGTGCACACACACTCACACATATACACACTACTGCACCCAGCGTGGAGGGCACACACGGGTAAATGTGTGATGTCAGATTTATGGGTCATCTCAGACAAAATATTGGTCTGTAGGTCACACGGTTAACAGAACCTCATTTCAGACCAATGACCAACATACATCGCACAAAAAATGCGCATTATACACACAACTAGTGACAAAACAAACGTACATGGAAAAAACACACACTCCTACACGAGTGTTCAAGGCTGCTTCAGCTAATGAGTAACCCTGACCTAAGTCCTTGTCCCTGGGTATGCTGTGTAATGTTGTGTGTGTGTGTGTTAGTGTGTGTGTTAGTGTGCATGTGTAAATCTTACCTAAGAAGAAGCTCTTTGGGGAGCTTCTTGTTAATGGGGGCTTCATCGCTGTTTGAGAACACCTGCCGAGACACAAGATAAACAAGATAAACAAGAACAATAAGACAGAAACAAAATTCAACAATGCCAACAGATCAAAACACAGAGAGCACAAAGCAGCAGCATCATCATCATCAGGGATCTAAATCTGGGGCCGGGGGACAGTGTTTTTATTTTTTTGTCATCTCAAAATATGTGTAGGGACATATTCGCATTTTAACAAGGTAGTCTTAATCTTCCTTTTCCCATATGAACATTTAAAGCACTTAGGCAGCTTTGTGGGTGCCTGTGGTCTCTAATACTTTGCCTCTACTCAGGACATGGTCAGCACAGTTTCATTTTACTATTATGTATAAATATTTAAGTTTCTTTTTTAGAGGGATAATTTTAAATAAATGGCATACATTTTTCAGTTATTCCCATCCTCGTCAAAATTTCTGAAAGAAAAGAAATAACCAGAATGAAACAATTGCTAAGACCCCTGCTGCTTTCCAGTAATCAGTAAAGGAGAGGAGCTACCACTTCCTTAGCCATGCTAATAAACAAAACAGAGCTACATTTGGCCTTTCTACATCTCCTCCTTACAAGCTTATGATTCTGTTACCCTGGTCAGCTTGTTGGCATGCTTATCTCAATTAGGCTACTCGCTGGATGTCTGGCCATCTGCTGAGTGGGACACACACAAACACACGCAATCACTCGCACTCAAGTACACACTCGCAGGTGATTCAAGTCAGACCTCTCTGTGAGAGGAGCAGAGGCAGAACGTTCTAGATCAGGTGGGCTGAATTCAGCCATGAATTTAAATTACGACAAACACCCACATTTGCAGGGGCCTCTGCAGACACACATCTTGCCAGTGATTCGCTCTTTGCAAAGTGTATCTAATGAGGGGGACTCCCTGCTGAGTCACGCCCAAACACTGACAATGTGGAAGCACAAAGGGGAACAAGGAAAAGGCACAGGTGGAACAAAGGTTGTCAGTGGAAATGTCTAAGCTCCACCTCACTCTAGACTGTGACAGATGCAAACAGTGAAGAAGAGAAAAAAAAAAGGGGGGGGGGGGCAGAGGGAAGTACAAATACAGCAGTCTGTTAAAGTTCAAGGGACAAAATAAGTGGTAGAAACTGTGTTAAAACCAGAGATGGAGAAAGAAGGGGAAAGAGGAAGAAACAGCCACATGAGAGGAAGCGGGGTCAAAAGACACAAGAAAGGGAGGGGGTCCGGTTAAAGTCTGGCAAATAATTAGCTAAGATAGTTTGAATTTTAACATCTATTCTCAGGTAACCAAGACAAAGAGTTTCCAAACACAGACCTGAACCTTCATCCAATAATAGCTCCAGGATGTAGTTAAATTGTTTCCACCAGTGGTTCCCACATACTCTGTATTGAATAACATGTTTCCCCATCTGCCCATAAGGGATGGGCCTGACTACCTCTATGGGAAGCTTAATGAAATCTCTGAATAAGCACTTTAAAATAAAGCCTTTATTATTGTCATGTGGCTTTCAGCTGCAGATATATTTAGAGCTGCATCAATTGAGTAAACTGGAGGGCAAATTGAGCCTAATGGGACAATACAGAGTGGGTAGTGAATGTTATAAAACTCAACCTGTGGACAAACGAGGCCTTTAGTACATAAAGTCAGTGTCACTAAAGCCAGAGGTGGTTTAGGGTTGAGGACTAAATCTAGACTCAATTCCAAACCACCCCTGTAACACATCACTCACCTATGACCTCCCCCTCCAAAAACACAATGTAGACAAAGCAAGTGGGGCTAATGCAACAAAGACCAGGAGCCAAATAATCTCCTCATCATGTGGTTTATATTACTAACAGTATCATAAGTTTAATATCAGACCATCTGGTATTCAACAGATTAGCGACACATCAAAGTTCATATGACTCGGCTTTACATTCTGAGTTTTCAGGTAATCACTAAAAAGTCATTATGAGAGAAAAAAGTTTTTTGTTGTTTTTTTGGAGACATTGAGCAGTGGAAAATTACCACATACTAAACAGGTCAAGCCTCTTATTTTCATAATTTCATATTTTTATAATCTGTCTGCTATTTTCTGGTTTATTAATAAACTGTTTAGTCTGTAGAAATCATAAAAAGGAACACGAATGATACCCAGAAGTCTGAAAATATCTCATCAAATGTTCAGTTTTGTTCAACTAACTGATGATAAGATTTTTTAGCTTGGAACTGAGTGAAACATGGTGGAACCAAATGTGACTTGAAAATCAGCTGAGTGCCAGAAAGTTAGGTATCACATATATTTGGTGTTTTCCAAATCATCCGATATGTGTCTTATACTTCTAGAACTGATATTTTTGGGAGAGGAGGCAGCTGGTTAAACAAAACAAGAAATGATACCTTAGTTAGACACCTGTTACAGACCAATATCACTATTATTTCCACATTAAACCAACTGTTCTTCCTAAAAAAAGATCTATCATGCAAGTAGAGCTGTCGTGATATACTAGTATGGTTTGTGAAATATTGATATGGCGCTAAAAATAAGCATACAATAACACTGTCCATTCACTGGAGTGATTCTTTACGCTGGTTGCTCTTATTCAAAAAACAGAGGAAAGATAAAGAAGCAGCAAACTGCTAGTGAACTAGCTTTAGCAGCCCTCTGAAAGATGATTAGGCACTTTTGAAAACTGCACATTTTTACTTTCTATCCATTCTTTTAACTGTTTTCATTAGCGATAGACTGATTAATATACACTGGTATCGTTCAAAATGAAAGATGCATTTGACAGCATATCAAATCAAAGACTGGCAAGTGTTTACAATGAACTCTCCTATGATGTATAGAATGGTGCAGTTTAATAATAACATTAATATTTACCTTGTATATTTTTGTCTTTCCTATTAATTTCAGATAGTTGTGTAAAGTCCTTTGTGGCAACTTTTTACAGAGGCAAATATTTTTCTGTCTCTGTATTTTTCTGTATTCTTTTAATTAAATATTCACTATTTATTCAATATTGAGTGAGATTTGTTAGCATTATCATATTGATAAAACAATGTGGTATCAGCATTAGTTAATGGCCAACCTGGATTCTTATTTTTGATATTGGTAGCAGTACTGATCTACCTGAGGGAGTTGACTTCAAAATACAAACTCATTAGAAATGATCCTGTATTTAAGTTGCCTGCCTTTATAAGCAAAGTTTTTTGTTGTAGTTTGTTGCTCTACCCTTATCTTGCCTTATCTCAATTTCACTGTTTTTTGTTATTAAGTTTTTAATAAATACTGTGATAGTACTGTTATGTTATAATAGCCACAATAATCATGTGGTGAAAAAAATCAGATATCATACAGCCCTACATGTAAGTATTTGCTCAATGATGACTTACTTCATGTTTCTGAAAAGCTGACCTAAGACAAAGGCATCCAGCCCTCGTACAATCTCATGGAAGTTCACCAGGTGAATTGGCATGAGCAGTATGTGGTGTGTAATCTCAGCCATAGTTATGACATTATGACAGCGAAGTTCAAAGCTGGTGCACACTCTTTATTAGAGTCATCACCTCAGTGTTCTGGTGCCCTCGTTCCCTGTGCCAGCAGAGCAGCATTCCCAAGCAGGGAGTTCCTCTCTACTGTCATACTCCTATTCCTAGACTTTGCATAACAGGGTGCAAATGTGTTTTTTTTAAGTAGCACTGATCGACTGGAGAGAGTCAAAATGCTGCATTAGTTCAAGTATCAGGAAATAAAACATGGTTGGTTTTTGTTGTTACTCCCGGCCTTCAGTACAACTATGTCAAGTTCATTGTAAAGCATTATCTCAGGTGTAAGACTATTAGTCAACCCTCCCATACTGCCCTCTGTTACCCCCACACACTCAAGCTTCTTTCCCACCATACAATGGTTTTCATCTGTGTATAAGAAGCTTACAGCTCTGTTGAGAAATCCACCAACATGGCAACAAATATCAGCCCTTCTGTTCTCAACTCACTCACTCGTAGACACTGGTGTTTAATATACTAGCAACCTTACAGTATCTGAACACCTGACGCAGACATTCAAGTACCATCAAGTCAAACCTGAAAGAATCCCAACAATGTGTGGAAGATATTCCAGATAAACAATGCTCAAAGCTCAGGGGACCAGTCAGACCGGAGCTGATTTAGTGTCGGAACACAATTACAGAGAAAGCGTTGACACAGCAAAACATAATTATTATACCGCAGGAATTTAGCATGGATTTGCACTTTGGAGCAATTTGTACAACTGCATTTAGCGAAGCAAAGTTGGAGGTCATTAATGGAAGTAATGTAAGCTACTTTAGTTCATTTTCAGTGTATAAAAACATAAATTTTGGACTTAAGCTCTGCTACATTTCAGAAGCACTCAATGCAGACACATATTTCACAGATTGGGGTGCTGGTTCCTCTAAAAATCTGAGGTTAAGCCATAAATCCTACAATCATCTATTTAAAACAGGTTTGTTTTTACACATTACACAACTGTATATGAAGCAAATTCACAGCTGTGCATGTGTTGCACAATAATACCTACAACCATACATCACAACGCCAACACTAATCCATCTACCTTATGGGAATCTTTGTTGTCAATAATTCTGCACTTTAACCTAAGGACTATGTTTTTTCATTGAGTATCTTTACCAAAAAATCAATACATTTACTCAAGTACACCAACTAAACACTTATCCAATTACTGCAGCTCTCCCGCCCATAAAAAATGTGTTTACCACCTTTCTACAACTCTGACATGGAAATATGGAGAGACCATGAGAGAAACACAAAGCCTACATGGTATTATAAGTTAAATCTTGAACCCAACAGGGTCATGTGTGGTATGCCAATGCTGCTCAGTGGCACCTGTCATCACAGGTATCATAGGAGGTGTCACAGGTATTACAGGGTTGTCTGCCATGATGACTAATTGAATGTATTTACAAATCTCCATCTGCAGCCCCAGTCCTGCCCCCACCCAAAAGCCTGTAACCTCAGGCGACAAAGCCAGCCAGTCAGCCAGCCAGCCAGGCTCGGCCCTGATGTATTGACTCCTCAGCCACAGCCCTCCTGTGTCCCGCAGTCCTGAGCTCCATGTTGTCGCTGCCTACTGGTGCGGCAGGACAATAACAGGATTTCGGATTACCCTTGACCAACAAAACGCCTCGGCTTCAGGCTGCATGTTAAAATGAGGAGCACGGTCGACCACACACACGTACACAAACACACTTCGCTTATACAAGCCCCACGACTCCCACGTCTACTAGAAACAAACAGTTTAACCGTTGGTGGTCCACTCCCTCTGTCATACCTCGAACCGGCCCTTGGTGATACCGTTCATGTCTGCGGCGGCACGTCCCTGTTACCGACCGCGCAGTCACCAGTCGAGCTCTTTGGCGAACACCGTAATTGTTTTTGTCGCCGTTTTATTTTTGGTCGGCCGAAGTGTAGTGTAGGAGCTGAGCTGGAGCTGGGTCCTCACACCCTCCTCCCTCCCGCCCCCCAGCCGTCAGCGAGGCTCCTGTCTCCGGGTCAGCGAGGGTGGTGGTGTCGGTCCGGGGCGGCCTGCGGTAACGTCAACGGTCGTTGTCTCGGAGACCAACGGCTCCCCAGCCCGTCTCATCGCAGGGCTACCAAAATAACAATAATAACATGGACGGTCTGTCAAGTGACTTCACTTCCGCCTCTCCCTTCATCGCTCCAGCGCGAGTCAGCTGCCCCCCAAATACCTTAACTTTGCCCTGAACGCACAAAAACCATGAATTTAACGCCCGCTATCACGCATCACTGATGTCTCCCGCATAAAACACACGTACGGCAGCTGACACGGACGTTTTTCCTTCACGTATTCTGTTTACTTGCGGGGAAAGGGGAGGGTTTACGTGACGTCATTGCTGCGGGAAAAGCACGCGTGGTCGATTTGTTTTGATTGTGGCGGTCTTGCAGAGGTTTTGCAGAATAATGACAAATGTGGGTCTGTATTATTGCTCTCATAACGTGGCAGTCACGGGTTACAACGGCACCGGGACTTGACCTAACACGAACCTGCGGGACTTATTAAGGAGAGGAAACACTCGCATCTGTTCACGCTAGAGCCACAAGTCAAGATATTCTCTGCTGTAGAGATCAGTGACTCTGTCATATGAGGTCTTCAACTTGCAGACAAATGCCTTAAACAAATTTCTCCTGCATTATGTAAACGGATATGTGGCAGAAAAACCAATCCATTGTTGGTTTTGAAATAGAGACTGTAACTAGAAAGTTCTGGTTTTGTTCATAATCCAAGTGCTGCCATGTATAATGCTGAGTTGGTACAGACATGATTTTTTTAGTTCTTAAAATTCACGAGAAATTCATCATTGAGAATAATGTATTCACAAACCCTCATATTTTAAGTCTAACGCCGAAAGTTAATATTTACCTCAAATGAATAAGGTATATATTAAAATATCAATTCTGATTTCACATCAGCGAACTTTTACCCTTGATATTTCAAGTTTATTTTGTGGAATGTCCCTTTATATTGTTCCAGTTTGGTAAGATTCAGATGCAGCAGCTCTACTCAGACTAAAAAAGCTTGAGCACTTGATAAAGCAGTGTATTTTTTTATTTCTTTTCTTCCACTGCAGGTTTCGACATGGCTGCAGACAGACTGAAGCTTGAATTTAACATCCACAAATATTATCTTCGCTGTAGTTCTTAATATTAACCGCTTGAGAGCGCTCTTGTGCAACCAGCCTCATTCTGCATGATCACTCACTGTACATGCAATGTTTACCCATGGAATACAGATTAACTCATGAATGGCAGCCAATAACTATGTAACATGCATTAAGTGGATACTCTATTTTTAGTATCCTTATTCCTATGTTTACATTTCCTGCTTCACTTTTTCTTAAGATACATCTGAAAGCACAGCAACTTCACAAGTAAGTTTTTGATGATGCACTATTAAAACAAGAGGAGACCAGGGAGAGGTGTCACACTTTTGGCATATTTCTGTGTAATTCAGAGATAGTATGGACTAGACAGACCAAATATACATGGATAAAGTTTTGAGCTGCCTGCTAGTTCATCACCATTTAAAGGTCCTACAAAGATTTTATTACGTTCAAAGTTTTCTAATAGACTTTTGAAGCATTTTTATGGTATTCAGAAGCAAGCAAGAGGATAAACAGGATTATTTAAATAATTTTTTGTACTGTGATTTTTAATGCAAGAAATTGTTTTGTGGGTACTTGCAAAATATTGTGAAATTTTGGCACAGCTTTGGTAATATGAACAAACAACAGAGTAAAATATTCTATTCCGCTGATTAGACTTTTATCAGACAGCAAAGTGGCTATGGTGATTGAATAGATTTAATACACTTTGTTAATTAAATAAACAATTGATTTAAGTATGGGTGAATTAAAATGGCTTTGTAAATGTGTTGAATAAAATAAAAAATCACCTTAAGTGTAATTATTTTCTTCAAATATACTTAATTTGCTTCAGACTTCTTACTCAAAGTTGAAATATTCACATTAAACGAGCCATCAAGTTAGCAGTATTTTATTTTTTGTTAGAGAAAGTTGCTTCTGTCTTCTGTCTTTCCATTGAGGAGGGGCGTTGGACTGAGCATGTGTAGTTTTCGTGCCGTTGGCTGTGGTAACAGTCCTTTGTCACTGTAAATACCTCCAGCCTTCAGTTGGTTATTCTCCCTCATATCTTTTACATGGCTGGCAGTTTTTGGAATGAAGACTGTAAATAAAGGGATTATTGATTGAAATATTTGGTGCTCACAGCATTATGTCCTCTGTGATATGTGTCCTCCCCCGCTATAGATTACATGGCATCATTTTGGAGCTTTATGGCATGATTATTTTTCCATCATTTTGGTGAGGTAAATAAAAAATATACCAAACTACTGTAAGAAAATGACTGACTTTGCATCATGTGAAGAAGCAGCCCAGAATGATTTAAATTGTCTGTCACAGTCTTTTAAAGCATCTCTGAAGCCTTTATGAGAATATTCTGTTAGAAAAACATAGAATAACTCAGATAGAGACATTTCATTCAGGTCATTATGAACTCTTTTTTATGATGCATGTGATAAACTGCCGCCCTCTATCTACGTGCATCACAATTTCAACCCTTGTGCCACCACATCTCGCTACATTGCACAGTAATTAACAATCCCTCATCAAAAGTCAAATTAATTATCTCAGTTATTTGAATAGCTCGATGCTCCCCTCCCTCTGACTCTGCTGTGGCTGGCAGCTCAGTGTTGAATGTGTCCTATTAATCGCAGTGACGCCGCTAATGTCAGGCAAGGCCACCTCTGTTTAACACAGGCGGCTTCCACACAGTCTTCAGCCAGCTGGTGATGCAGGATGTTTATGGAGATATTAGGCCCTTTGTCCTAAAATAACCTTTGAATAAAACCTTCACGTGCTCGAAGATAGTAAACAGTGAGTGTGCAGAAAAATGTCTCCCAGCTCCTGTTGAGTTGCTTGTTTAATTGAAAAGAGAGTAGATAAAGAATCAAATGTTGCTTTTTTTTATTGTTTTGTAAAGTTTTAGTGGAAGTAGTCGAGACCCAGATTTGACATTTCATTAATCAGAATTTCATATTTGAGAGACTGCCATGTTTCAGAGTCTTAAATGATCTTCATTTAGCTGCTGATGGAGGAGATCAGCAACAATATTTACAATATTTTACTGGAATATTTGATGTCTGAAAATAGTGCAAGGGGGTGGATATCAAGGGAGCTGCTAAAAAGGTCCTGTTTTACATTTTCCACAACAAATATTGACAAAAGACACAACCTTATCATGTAGGGGATGAGATGAGCAAAGACCAAAAGTTCCTCACGGCAGCTTCAATCTAAAAAGTGCTCAGTCAGCAAGGTAAACTATTTTTATGACTCTTCGGTGCATTTAGTTGATCATCTTTCACAGCACTTCTCTAAAATCAATCTTTCTTTCTTGTAGATCTCAAAGCTTTTTATGTTTGTCTTCACCCCTGAACCGCATAAAAGTTCAGGCGGATGTTGCTATAGCGACAAAGGTAGCCAAAACCTCTGCTGGGCAGCACCAGTATGACCACTGATTTCCTCTGAGTCAACCACACGCCTGCATTACACCTCATCTGTCTGACAGGACATGTCTCAGGGAGTCATTCGTCTCACACATACTCAGAGGCGATCTTGAGGTTGATTTGTGTAAGCGCAGGCGTGTGTGTGTGTGTGTGTGTGTGTGTGTGTGTGTGTGTGTCTTTACTTCCACTGCTCAAATTGTCTGATGGGTGTGTGCTGCTGGTCCTATGAGATAACACACCTGTGGGAAGTCCGGACGTGTCCCCCCGTAGACAAACACCTGCACCAAACATAATTCTCACCTGCTTCCCTGAGATGGAGCAGGTGTGAATCACTGTCTCTCTCCTCCTTGTCATCCCTCACCCATCTCCCCCAAGGGCCCCTAAATCTCTCCAGAAATAGCCCCTCGTTAGTGAGTCAGGATCCTGGCTCACCCGTCCAAACTCCTTGGAGCAGGAGGTGAAAGTATGAAAGGAAGAAATGTGACAGAGAGAAACTGAAATATGGACAAACATTGTCAAAGGATTTAAGTACAGAATAAAGAGATTGATTCCACTGAGGCAGGGGAACCATGGAGAAAAATGGAAATGGAAAAGGTGGGATGTGCAGCTGTGAATAAGTGTGACTTTTCATTTGTGCTGTCACTCTTCAAGGAGTTCCCTCGATTTGTTTCTTTTACAAAATGTGGTCTCAGGTGTGTTTTTTCTCCACTCACATGTTCACTATATTGGACAGCAAAGTCATGATAGAAGCTCATGATAGGCTCAGATAATGCTGCAGCCCTGTCTTCAGGAGGTTAACAAAGAAAATACAAAAATTATTTAGATTTAATTCATTTCTTTTGTCTGTAAACAACCAAAAACAAACAGGAAGTTAAAAGTTGTGGAGATGTTTGACCAAGTTTAAGCTAAAATAGCAAACTAATCAAATCATGATTCAATATTATGGACATCTATTTAGCACAGTTCGGGAGCAGTTAATATCAGTATTTCACCATCAGTATTTTCGGACTGCAGTGTTTTAGGGCTGGTTAAGAGCAAGGAAGGACCAAAAAGAGGAGGTTTGGCTATCATCGTGCTGGGCATAAGTTAAAGAACCTGTAAGGAGTTTTTTTTAACATTTGTAAAATAGGCTGGAATTCATATTGATGCCTTATTGTGATATACAAAAGCAAACTGCTCCATTACCAACAAGGCTGATGATCTCTATGCCATCATTTTAATGCCTCAAACTGGCGAGAGGGGGTGGGTTTCAGCAGCAATTCTCACCTCAAATATTGACATCAATTAATACATTTAAGTTTTGTTGGTTTTACAGCTGTAGATCATTAGAATTAGACATAAACTCTTGCTAGTTAGCTTTAAAATTAAGGAAAGTTGACAACTAGTCTATCAAGACATTAAACAAAAACTTAATCAGTTGTGTTGTGAGAGTCAAGTTTTTCCAAAGTTGTGGCATCAGAACAACCTAGTCATACCACTTATCCTACACTAGCTGCTGGTTCTAATGTATAATGAGTTAATGAAAGGTTAACCTGTATGACCAGACAGGAGCATGCATGTGTTATATAGCAACATGTGCACACAGCGATAGCTTTTATTCTCTGTTTATGAGGGTTTTATATTTGACATAACATCCCTTTAGGTCTGGTGATGTGGATTCTGTACATTCTGTTACGTTTCTGTTATCTTCACGTGCAGATTCACTGAAACAATGGAAAGCTCTCCATGGGCTTTAGTCATCCATCTTTATCTCCCAACCCAAATGGGACACACACACACACACACTCATACACACACTACAATAAGGGGAGTTTGGCCTATAACAGAAAGGACAGCACACCTTAATTAAGATTTCAATGCTCAAAGGAGAAGCTCCACTTTGGTGAAGTGAATGTGAGGTTCCTAATTAAGCAGTTTGTCTTGAAATAGCATTGCCAGTGTGCCACTCTTCATCACAAACACACGCTTCCTTACATTAAGACTCTGAGTGGGCTGAGACTGAGGCACTTATCCATGTCAGTGCACATGTAATGAGTGAGCAGGCTCCACTTTCTTGCTCATGGACACTTTAGCAGCAGCACTTTCTGCGTCTGTAAAGGAGCGGTCGAGATTTTGAGCCGTGACGTATTTACCAACAGGGACACGCGAGTTTTCACACCGGTGCTCCATCTGCTCGAGGGCGACTATTTGGGGAGATAAACTGCGCCTCGCTCTCGAGCCGCTCTGACCGTTTTCCCTCCGTCACCACGCGCACTTGACAACAAGCTCACCTTCCAGCAGCTCAGTCCACCTCTGTCCAGCAGGAGAGGAAAAGCGGGAGTTTGTTCTCCATCTTTACTTTCATCAAGACTGTGAATAACTTCGACTCTTTGGGAAGTTTTTGGGGAACGTTTTCCAACATTAAAAAGTGAGATTTCACCCGAAGCTGAGGGCGTAAAAGATGCTGGATTGCTGCAAAAAGAATCCAATGTCATGGTTCTTTGGATGCCTGGCTTGTCTATTGGTGACCTCTGTGGTCAATGCAGACGGTAAGTCAGTATTTATCTATTTTAACGAGATGATTTATTATAAATGGGAAAACTAAACTACATTTTCCCCAAAGTATGAAAATTATGGAAGGACAATTGAGAATCATTTTTATGATGCACTTTGGTACGAACCAAGCGCGCGCAGACAATTGGCACTTGAACTGTAATATTTGTACCCTTGAAGAGCACGATCTGTTTGTTGACCATAACATTTTGCATCTATACAGGCCTATCTATACTTCTATGTACAGCCACACACTTTAGTTAAGCTGTGCGTAATGGTTGTGCGTGATTGATCACTCTTGTGGCAACTTATACATCAAGTCGTGGAAAAACCAGACGCTGACAAATGTCCCCTGAGCTCATAGGATATTTATACACCTTTTGTCAGTAGCTGAGGTTTAATATCTTCTGTGGAAACTAATAGCATTTAATCTCATACGTGTGAAACGCATAATTTGATAGATTAGTCATTTATATCTGCTATTTCTGTATCTAAAATACAAATTGATGCATTGCTACTTTACCATAGCCCATGCATGAGCTGCTTTACTGTTTTAAACTATGTCAAAGTGTGGTGCCACTGTGGAAATAGGGGATTTTAATTCAACCAGTAAATGTAAAATGATACTTTGTGTTAAATCTATGTGGAGCAAGGTATGATGTACATATTTACTTACCAACCTGTTGCATAAAAATAATGTTAAATGCTGCTCCCATGGGATTCATTTCACACAAGTGCAACTAAACTGGATGTTGTTGTTTGTCTTCAACAAATGCATGTGTCGATGTGACACTGACATAAGAAGTAAATTCACACATCTTTTCAGAATAAGGGAACAGTGTACATTAATCAAATAACAAATATACAAAAGTGCCACAGTCACCTATATAACTAGTAATAAGTAAAATATAATACACAGAACAACAGGGCTACACCCAGAAGCACAATCCTAAAATGTTTTGCAGCACTTCTAATTTTTTCCTTTATTCATTTTGCAAATTAAAGGTTAACAGCCGGTGATCAGGTGTGTCTCTTCTCTTCAGGTCGAGTGTTTGTGGTGAGCCTGAGGAACTCCTCTCACCTGGATGGCTTCAGAGAAGCTGAGCGGGCTTGTGCCTCCCACCAGGCCCGTTTAGCATCCGCACATGAGCTCCATCACGCAGTGTCGGAGTGCTTCTTCTCCTCCTGCACCCGAGGGTGGCTCTACGGAGGCTCAGTGGGGTAAGAAATACTGAAACAGTCTAACAGTGCATGAGGGTCTTTGATAGAATGAGACACATGTAGGGAAAATTGACTTTTTTTGAAGAGGTCAAAGGTCATCTTGGTGAGGGGGATGAAAGAGAAAGGAAGTGAAGGCAGCAGCGGCAGCTATAAAGAGAGCGTGAGGATAGAGGAAGAGGGTGACACATTTCAGGGAGGAAAGAGATGGAGAAAGAAAGAAGAGGAGAGAGAAAGACTCCTCTGTTCCTTCCTGGAGGAGGAGGGAATTCTGAGCTGGGGTGTCATGTCGACAACTGCCTCCATTTACACCTCTCATCTCCACGGTAACATGACACATAGCCTTCAGCATCCACAGACAGAAACAGACAGACGGGCCTGACAGAAAGTACTCCTTTATATTCAGGTGTTTGATTGACAACCTGTATCTGCAGCAGTTAAAGCGGAGAATAGGAGGAAAGTGTGTGCAGCTTTAAAATGAGGTGATGTCAAGCCTGTAGGGAGCAAGTGTCGAATTTTAGGTGTGTTTGTGCTTTCAGGGGTTAGTTCAAAAACTGGAGTCAAAGTTTCCAAAACTGGGAGGCTGTTGCTGATATTTACTTATCCTGAGTAATTTCTTAACTGTGTCAGTTTTTTCCCTTCTCATTCACTGTAAAATAATTGTCCATGTTAAAACAAGACAGCTAGACTCGGCTTACATGAAAATTCTTCAAATATTACATCATATATCTGAGATAATGGTTGAGATTATGAAGTGAAACGTCAACAATATCAGAGTCAAGATTATGAATTTCTATCTCATGGCCTGTTTCTCATAACTCACTATTTTATAATTTCAATTAATTATCTGATCATTTTGATTTATAACCTCACAGTTTGACTTACTTAACATAACTATGGCTTCATCTTATAGTTTTGATAATCTATTTCATAATTTGACTTATTGTCTCATAATTTAAACTTCTTATCAATTCAATCAAACATGTTGTAGTAAAATTACTTATCCTTGGACTTCAGTATACCATGAAACTTTAAGTTTAAATCATCAGCTCTTTGGTTAAAGATGTGAAGATATTCGAAACGTTTCTTTATTAGTTTGAGATCAACACAGTTATAGAGCAAAGCACCAACATGCCTGATGATGCTGATCCCAGTACAATAGATAAAGTACTGTCTATCATTTAATCACTTTGAAAATAATAATGCTTTATTTGCTTGAAAACATATCCTCCAAAGTCCTTTGTCAGAAGTATAGATGCTAATAAAGAGCCCGCTACAAAATGGCGGCTGGTCTGACAATGTCGAACTTAAACACTCAGTGGACTTTAGCTTTCACACCCTCCTACCATGTTTCACAGTGTATCACTCAGCTACAGCTCTGTCTGTTCCAGCTGTGTTACATCTCCAACCTTTCCCACCCTGACTCGTTCTCTGACTGTGTTGTGGAGAAAATGGAGGTGAAGTTAGCAAAGACGTTCGCTCTCTCTCTGTCTGGTTTGGTCTTGATCCTCTTTGAGGTCTTTTAAATTTAACTTGTGATTCTTTTTGTGATCCTTTGGTTAAAATATTAGAATAAAAATGAAAAATAAGAAAATGATTTCTGCATTAAGTCACTGAGGTTAAGAGTGCCATGCAATGGTCAGGTAACAATGAGAGCGCCTCCTCCTTGATCAAATATGAAGATACTTCAGACGTCCTGGTGGGCTAATAAAACCTATGTTATGAAATCAAATGGCTCGTAAAAGTTCAAATACGAGCTCACAAACACAGCCCACCTTAATGTAACAAACTGTAACTTAACATACCGAGATGTAACGCAATGTAATGTAACATAAAGTAACTTAGCGTAACGTAAAGTTACTTAGCGTGAAGTAACATAACGTAAAGTAGCAAAACATAGTACAATGTAACATAACCTACGTGCAATTTCTTTTCATGTTTTTTGTGTATATATATAATTATATAAATTATATAAATTATATATATATATATATATATATATAATTTAGAATGAGGTTTCTTGTCATAGGACGGCAAAGAAAACATAGCATTTTGTGATCATGGCATTGAAACTTCTGCAGAAAAAAAATCACACTATATGTTGCTTCCAGTGTAAAATCATGTGGCCATGAGTGAAGGTTCAGTGACCTTGAATTTTTCTTTCTTACATGTCATAAAATAGCTAAACCAACATCAGAGCTTGGCAGAATAAACAGCAAAAGACAAAAAGAAATATTAACTTTGTTTTCCAATTGGACCAATATTAACTTAACATATTTCACAACATACAACACAAAAGTACCAAAGTAACAAATAGAAATTATTTAACATGTAATAAAAATAGCCAGGCCTTGCTGCCACTTTGGATTGTGGCTAAACTCTTTATTTTACTTTATATTGTGTGCCTAGTCAAAACTGCGTATGTGAAGGGTTCTGATTTGAACTTTTTAACATGTTTATTTATCCCTGTGTCTTGTTTCTATGTATACTTATTTCCCTTCGTATGCACTTTCTCGTAAATTGAATTTTCCTTTTTATTTAATCTCTTAATTAATCTTTTTTCACTCAAACTTTGTTCCCTGTCTCTGTCTCTAACTTTTGCCTCACCTCTTCAACCCTGTGTATTGGAGGATTTCATGCTTTTAAGAGCAGAAAACTGCCTCTGAGGATTTCATCTGCTCCTTGGATGATAATTAAAATAACTTTGTTTACATTGTGTGCTATTTACTATGAATAATAAAAGCAGGCTCTAAAAGCAGGATAATTGGGGTGATGTCATCTATGAAAACAGGTCAGAGGGCAAACTGCAGTTAGCTTAACTATTCTGAGGCAAGATATGCGTTTTATTTTAGAAAGGAGGAGAAGTTCAGCCAGTGGAGAACTTTTTCAGGTCAGAATAATAGATACTTTTTCCTCTTAGTGTCAATAGCTCCTACATAGTGTATAAATCTGTTTTTACATGGTTTCCCAAAGGTAAGGCTCTGACATTACAGGGCAAGAATTGCATTGACGTAACATTGAGAACTGTTGCGTAATAACAAGTACTTCTCAGAATGGCTCCGCTACCTTAACGTCTTCCTCTTACCTGTCAATCATACATCTGCTGCCACAGTAACCAAACACAATAATACTAGCAGACTGAATTAACACCCAGGTCCATAAAGCACATATTTTCCCTCTTATAGCTGTGTCATGTAAGGTGAGGAGTTTAAGGAACTGTACAAATCAGAGGTCACTGACATGAGCTGGAGTATAATGTGAAAACAGCGCTTGTGCTTTTTGTCTCCCTAACAGTGTTTTCTTGGCAGTTTCTGTCTCGCTCCCCGTTTTTCACTCTTTCCTACTTTTGTCCTTATAAGCTGAAGTTAGCATGGCACAAGCATGCAGCATGACTCACACCACTTCTCACAGTCCTGCAGGGCTGCCAGTCAGAAATTCTTTCCAATTACCGATGCTTTGATTAACTCAGAGACACAAGTTTACATAGTCACAGACACATACATGCAGACGCCCAAGCCTTTGCCAAACCCTTAGTGATATTTGATCACCAATCAGTCCTTTTAAAAAGAAAAGAAGTGTGATACGTCTGACTTTTTAAACATTTCTGTACTCAATCAAACTGTAATGTGTCAGGAGCTGCTATGGGAACGTGGTTTGATTGGCCTGGGAAGTCTGACTCAGTCTTATCGCTGCTTTTGTTTGACAAATAGCCTAATGATGCTATAAACCTTAATGTTGCGACAAAAATAGAGTATTTACTCAGCATTTTTTGCCACTGCAGCTTGAAGGCATTACTCATTTGGTCCCTGTAGACTGTGCTTTATATTTAGACCCTTGTGTTATCATTGTTCTATATGAAACTGGCTGTAACTCAAGGCTCCAGCATGGGAACATGGACTTGTAATGCACCCCAGTGTGATAATACTGTGCCACAGGCTACAAGTGCTGATACTGCAGCATGTCTGTGCAGTGATAACTGATCCTGGAGCCTGATGTCATGGCTTGAGAATATTAAGATAAGCAACAAATCAATGCCTAAGAGAGCCCAGAGTTCTGTATTCACTTCTGTATGTGTGATGTAGTGTTACCCATGTGCACACTGGGCACGGGCTGGCCTGAGACTCTGACAGTATGATAATGTAAAGGTCTGGTATCCATGAAACTGCTAACTGGCTCATGCAAAGCATATAAACCAGTCCACTTGGGCCCCAAGAGTGTCACAAGATAAATCTTAGTGATTATAAGACAATCAGTGGCAAATTAAAATAGATTCTATGAACATTTTTGGATTTATGTTGCAGTTGTTCCTCTTATTTTGTAAAACAAACCAAAAAATATCCTTATCTCTCTCTGCTTGTGGTTGAGATAACTGAAGTAACGCAAAGTTTGCTCCGTAGAGCAACACCCGAGTCACTTTAACTTTCCACTTCTTGATTCAATGTTCGAAATGTGTACATGAGGGAGCACTTAATGTTTCTGTTTATGTATGAATGCTAAGAATAGCTTTAGACGGTTCCCTAGTGGTGCTTACATGCTTTACTGTCTGCCTTTTTTTTTCCAAGTTGGATCTTATCAGTTTAATTTGACACCATCTCTCTTCTTATACATTAATCTCTAGGACCACAGTGTGTAACGTTGTGGGTGGTGCCCTCAAGGCAGTGGATGTGAGAACAGAAAATGCCACAGAGGATGGCGCGCACCTCAATGCCTTCTGCATTGAAGACAGAGGTCAGTAAACTCAAATTTATGTGCACTCAAAATTCATAAATGCATACAAACAGTTGTGAGCTGGGATATGGGTGGATTATTTTTGTGTATATGTGACAGTGCATACACTTTACCTCTATATCTAGTGGTTTTAGTGTTCATATTTGTCTAAAGTAAATTCACACCCTCTTCAAACCCCACTTCTTCACATCCCTTGGGTGTGTCTTATCTCTTTCTGTGAAGCTGAATAATAATAATTACTCTTTCAGGTTAAATGTGTGTTTTTGTTCAATAGGTGTACCTTGTGGTGACCCTCCATCCTTTCCTAACGCCCGTCTGCAGGGGCACAGTGGGTATGAGATGGGGGATGAGCTGCTCTATACCTGTGTGCCAGGTTACTTGATGCCCAGTGGGCACAAGGCCTTTAGCCTGCTGTGCGACAGCTGTGGAGAGTGGTACGGACTGGTGGAGATTTGTGTCAAAGGTAAGAAGCTCTCCTAACAGATTTTGTGACTAGAAAAGCCAAATTCCTTTTTTCACGCCCTCTTCAAAGCTTTGACCTTTGACCCAGACAGGAGACCACTCTTAGCTTGACCTTCCTGACTCTTTCTTGTTAGCCCTCATTGTTGTTAGGTGACCGGTTCTTGATTCCTGGCTTTGGAAAACAGAGCCTCAGTTGTCAGTGGGGATGAAAATGGCTGCTATCACACCTCAGTGAGACATGCCAGCAAGCAGCCTGCTTCACAGCTCAGGGGGGACAAGGGCAAGAGCTGTCTATGAAGTCAGTATGCTCGGCCTGTGTCCATAGTTAGCTAATCGAGCGGTGGCAAGATGAACTAGAGGGGTCAAAAGATGATGTAAAGAGACAATGAACAAAACTGACTATTTTCCCCTTATATTAACACATATTTTTGAGGCTATATCACAGAAGTGGTTGCCAGGTCTTTTGACACACTCCCCACATAGAGGTTGAGAAAAACCTGTTCCTCTTTGTGTTTCTGCAGATGAGACCGAAGGACACATAGACTATGAGGACAAGTTCACCGACTCATATGAAGAGTCACAGCACCAGAATGAGAGACCAGCGGAGGCTCATGGTGAGGTCCACGAGGAGGTACACGGAGCTGCAAACCTAAGTCAGACACAACAAGAAACAAGCTACGATATTGAATCGGAGGAGGAGCACCAAGACCGACGTGGAAAGCATGAGGTGGAAGGAGAGGTGATTGGTATTCAGTTTGAAGGAGGAGAGAAAGATGAGGAACGGCCTGTTGAGGACTTCATAGGCCATCCAGGGTGGGAGGAAGAGAGAAGGGAGGTGGTCACCACTGATGCCACTCAAGCACCCGTGTCCCTCCTCTCCCAAAAACACCTGTTCTGGTTCCCTTCTGAGGCATTTGAGGAAGAGGGCCATCCTGTCTCCACTAATCCTTCCACACAGAGCACACAGAAAGCGTCAGGCGGCCAATCAGAGGAGAGCAAAGAACAGGAGAGCCAAGAGGGGAAGGACCATCTCCAGCATCCTGTTGATGATCATGAGGATGTATTAGATGATGGAGATGATCATAATGACAGCATCCACCATGACAAGGATGCCAATGAAGACAGCCGACATGATGATCAAGATGACCCTGATAGCCACCAGGAGGAAGACAATCGTGATGATCATGTGAAACATTACATTCCAGCTCAGCATGATCGAAAGGACCGAACAGATGATCGTGATGATCATTATGATATGGGTGAACACGAAGATGAACGAGATCGCATCCACTACGGTGCCCAGGAGTATGATGACCGAGATGATACGTACGATGAACATGAGAGTTACGAGGATCATGAGGATCTGACTGATGATCACGACAAAGACGATCAAGAGCATCTTGGTGGCTCAGAGGAACACCCAGACCGTGACGATCATGATGATGACCAGCACAAGGAGCATTACGACCTGGAGGATGATGACCGTGGTCACGAACATGATGACCATGACAGTTATGATGATCATGATAGCCATGAAGGTTTTGATGATGGTCACCAGCATGTTATCATCTCTGTCGCAAAAGATGATCGACAGAACATCACCCAGAAGGCAACAGGGGGAAAGGCGACTACAGATGACACCTGGCTGGATGGCTACCCTGTGGTTCAAGTGGAGACAGAAAAAGACGATTCCACGACAGAAAGACTAAGACCAGAAGACGAAGAGAAAGGAACAGTCATCAAGACATCAGACAAACCAAACGAGGTGGAATTCGGTAGACCTGTCCCTTACACAAACCTACCAGAAATATCTGAGTCCCCCACTGACCCATCCGTAGAGCAAACAGGTATTGAGGAGATGCAGCCTGGCTTCAGCCCCAGCCCTGCACCCTCAAAGCCTTCTGACTCCCCTTCATACCCCGACACCCAGGACTACGACACACAACAAGTGGCTCCCACCCACTCATGGCTTGGCAACCCCACTGAACATCCCTATCTTGATCAAGACCAGCATCCCCCTATGCAGGACAATGACATCCTTAGTGGAGTGATAGAGGAGCACACTTTGCAAGACCTTCCTGGTGAGGCCGGCGAGAGGGGTGAGATGGAAGGGGAGATAGGGGAGGCAATGTGTCCAGGGGAGAACTGCACTTCTCCGCCCCCAAGCTCCTCCAACCGAGGGCCTACGGTGGCAGCCATAATTGCGATAGTGTGTATGGTTGCTGCAGCGGTCATCATCGGGGTGTGGTGTTATAGACGGCAACAGCAGAAGAGCTCCATGTATGAGATGAACGGGAAGGGCCAGAGTCAGAGCAGGCAGGGCCAACACATAGAGATGCAGCAAAAAGTGTAAGAGCATAAGGTGAGGATGGAAGGACTCTGACAGAGGACAGAGACATTTCTGAGAGTTTGGATGATTCAGATGAATTTGAGAGGAAACTCAGCTCCTTATCTTAGAAAATACAACAGAAATGAAGATCTTTGGTAGGTTTTGACACATGAGTTGTACTCTAACTCAGTTTTAGTGTAAAAACATGTAACTATGTGATGAAAAAGTTGTAGAAAAGCAGAAGAACCAATGTGGTTCTGCCTCTAATTGATTTCGGGATTTACTTATCGTTGTCTCATCCACCCAGTATTTTCAAAGCTTTAACATCTAGCTGGGACCGTGTCTGGACTGGACATAACTCCAGGGACTGAAAATAGGGATTACGAGGACAAGATCATGTAGGAATACCACAAGGAGGTATGCCGTCCTTGCTCAAACATGTGAACTAGGACTTCTAACCCCCAAACTCTTGGACATTGTGGTGAAGATTTTCTTTGTTACTTTTATGTAATTTTTGTTCACTTTGATGATGGCTTGTTTTTTTGTTGTTGCTGAATAATTTTAGGTCTTGATTCCCAATTTCCTCTTCGAATTTTTGTGGTTCAAAAATTTTTTTTAACCCAAGACAAGAGTGCTGAAATTCAGTGCGCTTAGGATCGTCACCAGTTTGGGCAGGTAATCCCAAATAAATGACAAGGCTGCTTTCAAAGACACATTAACAGAAGAAAGGTGATGGTAATGAGGGTAAAACCAGCTGTGAGAGTTGTATGAGTAGTGTGCAAAGAAACTAGAGGGGAAACTTTGGGGAAAGGTGTGAGACGGCAGGTTAGTCGGTGCAAAATTCAAAGTCTCCCTGCATCTGTTGGTTTTGACAGCTGCCTGGTGAGAGATATGAGACTGGAGACTCAGTGCCCCTACATAGGTGTGTGCATGTGTATGTGTGTATGTGTTTGAAAATAAGTGTGTGTGTGTTTGTCTGTGTGTCTCAGGTTTGTGCAAATCTGCCAGCGATGGTTCGTCATACTTGCTTATATCATTCAGACCAATGAGACTTTAAACACTGTGGTGCTGCCGTGGACGAAGAGAAAAGTGACATTCTCCCTGACCTTGTAGTTTAAATTAAAGCTTTACATCGCTGTATGGTATTCAGATAGTCAGTATTATAAATAATATTTGGCGTTGGGGATGTCTGTGAACATGGGCTAAAATCTGGTCTGGACCACATGCCCTGGTGTACAGTATATGTGTTAATAAATAGTCATATAGAGCTCTATCATGATGAATTTATTGTTAGTTCTTTTCTCTTATTTTCCCTTTTTCTAATTCTTGATCAGACTTGTTTGATAAGATTTATGAATTTAAACTTTCTGGTTGAGCATCATTACCTGGCTTCTCCTTCTAATCGCTTTCTTTGAATTGGTCATAACCCTTGAAAACGCGAATAACTCTGTGTAACAAGATCAAATCAATCTGCAGAGAAAAGTTCTGGCACATTTTACCTCTGCTTGTTTACAGAAGCTAAAATTCTGTCCGCTGAAAAACGAGGATGTTATAACGGATCCTCTCCTCTCTAGAGGGCCAAATCAAGCAAATTAGAATTTAGTGTCAATGTATCACTGACATTAGTTGACAGTTGGGCAATAAGTGTATGAACAGGTAGGTATAGAAATTAGACAAACTTATGGGTGAGTTAGACCCCAGTTCGAGGGGTCTGTCTCCCCCTGAAGATCAGGTGAGTTACGATAATCATCTGAAAAGTTCTACAAAGTTGCTTCATGACTAAATGAACTCATTTTTAAGTAGTTAGTTGTCCTGTCAAGTGCTATGTTTTTTTCAGTGTACTGTAGCTGTGTGTGATTTTATGATATTTAAACTCTTCCTGTTTCTGTACTGTGCATAATACTTGAGAGTGAAGCCAAATACTACGATAAAAATGCTTGTAAAAGGGTGGCAATGTAAATAAATAAAACAAAGAAAATCATAACAGCTATTAGAAACTTTGGAACATTGTTTCATGTATAAAGACTGTAGGGTAAAAATTAAATCACGGTGCTTTACTCCTAGAAATGTCAAAACCTTCACCCGTAGGTCTTCCACACAGACATCCAGCTGTCATTTCTAATTTTTTTTCCAAATCCCTGAAACATTTTCACAGTATTTTCTTTTTTCATAATTGTGTCTGAAAAAACAAAAAGGGGTGAAGACAGACAGTAAGGTTACATGTATTGTGTATGCTCTTGTTTTTCTTTTGGTATATTGGTTTGGACAAGATAAGAACTTTATTGATCCCCAAAGGGAAATTCAATAGTGGTTGAAAGATTATACACAGAGTCTGCTCATTTTCACTAATATTTACTTTTTTCCAGCTATACTGCTGGTAAAGTTCTGCAACTATAACAGATTGAAAAAAAAAAAGATCAGACTGTCCTAAAGCATGACCCATTCACAAACACATAAAGAGGTAATTAGGGATTTTGGGGCAAACTCATGCCAGATTCTAAACAACTATTTGAAACATCCTCCTTCTCATGATGTGGATAACTTGTTGTGCCTTTTTCTTCTCAAAAAGCTGGATGTGTGATGTCAGGGTACAATTTCTAATGTTTTCTGGAAGCCATAATAAAAGTCCTGAAAAATGTCTGCACTCTTAATTTCTATTAACAATTACACACATGGCAGAGACTTCAAAATGTATGTTTGATTTTCCAATAACCATACTTGTATGATTGTTGTTTTCTTTGTCATTTTATTGCCACCTGCTCTGTGTGGTTTGGTTATTTGTCATAAAAGTGATCATCTAAAGTTAATGGTGACTTCACTGATTCCAGTTTAAAGACCGATGAAAAGTGACATTTGCAAAAAGACTTGGTGACATTTCCAGCTCGGACCGACAGCTTCCAGTGGATAAACTCTGTGCATCCAGAGGTTTTTCCACATCAAAGAAAAACTGAAGGTAATCTGTGATGATTTACTTATTATTCTAGCTAAGTTGTGTCATCTCTGTTGTTAGCTGAGTGTACTGTATAGAGGCTGCCCTCTTTGTTTACGTCTCTCATCCAATCAGAGTGTGTATCCATGATCAGTTGGCCCGTAATGGTCTGTGTAGTTTCCAGGCTTCCCTGCCTCAGCTGAGTAGGAGAGGTGATAAAATTTGGATTAAAACTTGTGTTATTGACACAAAAAACCTAAATCAACCTACTTTTTGCCCACACAGAAAACCCACTAGAATTTATAAGGAAATAGACAACTGGATCTAAAAGCAGCTTCTGTGATAGAGCTGGAATAACCCCATCCCTATCAGTGAGTGAGGAGCAGAGAGACAAGTAAAAGGCAGGAAGGAGAGGAATGAAGTGCACAGTTGCACAGCGAGAATGTTCCCCTGTGGGTTTTTAACACCACTGTGTGACAAACGGCACAGAGACTCAATGTTCAAACATGATTGAACAACTCAGTATTTTCTGTGAGTGTCTTTGCTGCTCAGATCAGACTTGAGTTTTACTCAACAGGCTTTCCAATCCTACTGCTCATTCCTCCGTTTTAAAAAACAAACTGTTTGAGTGTTGATTTGACGTTGTTTTTTCAAGATAATACCAGTTCATACTTTTGCTCATACTTTCTGTTTTTCTTTGATTAAAATATTATGGTGATAAGATCATTTTTTAAAGTCTGGATGGTTTTAGAGTGAGAACATCCTACCTGAGGAGTTAAAATCCAGCTTCACTAAATGCTTGTACTTGGGTTGTTACTGCCCAGACCACAAAATACCTGGCACAGGGCCCTGGATTAGCTCAGCAGTCAGATGGCATGCCCCATGTTGCAGCAGCAGCCTCAGGTTTTACTTCAACCTTTAGCCAGTTGTCACAACCTACTTTGTCCTACCCCTGACTCCACCTCCTCCCTGTCCGCTCAATAAAGGCATGGAAAAGTCCACAGAATAATCAGACAGATATCTGAAGGCATGCCTAGTCTAAAGGGGATAAAACCCTCAAGTCTGTATCTGTATTATAACAATAAACCTGAACTATTCGAAGACATGATATTTAACCAGAAGTTTTATTGTTTCACTGCGGGAATGACAAACATACAAGATTCACAGTGGAGACATTAAGCTACCATGTTGTAAGTGGGTACCACTTGACTGGATAATGAGTGCATGGATTTTTTTTAAAAAGTCAGGATGTGGCCCTAACAGGTAAAAAAAAACAGTGATCAATCTAAGCCATGTACAAAAACCCAATAAATACAAACTGGGGAGTGCTGGTGTGGTTTCTCATCATTTTGGAGGGCCTTCCAACATTGGGTTGTCGTCGTCATCATCCAGGAACTCATCTATAAACTCCACCACCTCCCCCTGCAGAGAAATAAAAACAGGGAGGGTCTGTTTTTGTTTCTTAGTGAGATTTTCCCACAGTGAATTAGCATAAATCCTCCCACTCACAGTTCAATCCGTGATTTTTCTCATACCTAGCATAACTAAAGAGATTACAGAGCTGAAATGAACAGTATTTACCTCAAACAACATGTAATCCTGGTTTATGTGGGGTAGCCCTGATGGACATGGTATTTGCGCCGCATCATAATAACGTCAAGAAATGCTGATGTTATGCTGCCACCTTATGGACATTTGTGTTATTGCAGCCTTACACACATACACACAAGCCTCACATTGTACTGCAGGGTATCATGTGACTGCGCTGAAGAATCCAGGGTTTTTCCATAAATTACACAAAGAGGGTAGCTTTGAGAGACAAACACACCCTGATAACTGATTTTAAGGGTAGCATGTGGGTTGTACTTTCAGAGGTAGGCTGTGTGGCCGGGTCAGACACATCAACATAGCTATACAGACACACTCACCTCATCATCACTCAGCAGGCGCTGTTTAGAGAACTCTAACATCTGTAGCTGCATTGTAGTCTGATTGTAGTACCTCACCGCCTCCTGCAGCACAGACAAACAGAAGTCAGGTAAGTCCAATGACATGAAATGATTAGTTTGATCAATTCTTATATTTGTATCTCTCTCATATCTGCGTTGATTTCCATTCAAAGTTACCATATGCAGCAAAGTAGCCCAGCTTAACTCAAATTCTCAGACTGGGGAAAAGAGCCTGCCTGATTTTTGTCCAGTTACAGTCTGAACACTGTGCCAAAATGCAAGCGCCTAACCCCTGAGAAATTCCCCCTTCTTATTTCTTTAACTTGCATTTAAGTTTCAAGAAACACAAATTAGCGAATCTGACCCTAAATAGTAAAAGACTGGCAAAGTAGTATGTTGAACAAGAACCATCTGTACTCTCAGATATATTTTTTCAGTGAACCATTTGTGGCACTAAGCAATGAATATTGATATATGGCTGATTGTTAGTGCAATTTGTGTTTGCAGCAAAACTCTATAACATTTAATAAACTTGAAAAACAAATGAAAATAAATCTTTAAGAGACATTTGCACCTATTGTTCATAAAATTCATATAATAAAGCAAGATTGGCTTAATTTACTCTCAAACTTAAATGTTTTTATGATTGAATTCTGCATTTAGATTGGTACATTGTGACAAATAAAAAAATGTAAACATGCTATAATAAGTAATTTCCTGATTTAGACATAGGATCTTCATCATGTATCAGTATATGTATATTTGTTATCTTTATACAAATGAACCTTAAATTAAGTTATCTGCATTATTAAGTTGGTCACAGTTCTAGTTTGTTTTATATCATCTGGTTTAAATTTTTAATGATGATAATAAAGCGCCTTTCAAAGACCCCAGGGTCACTTTATAAATTGTAACAATAGTAAACAAAAGATAGAAAGGTTACATTAAACTGTATATAACTTAAATAAAAATAAAATAAAGGTTAACAGACTTTGATGGTTGAAAAAGATTTGGGGGTGGGATTGGGGAGCAGAGTAATTCGAAGTTGTAGGCTGTGATGAACAGGTGGAGTATTTTGAAAGTAGTAAGAGATGGGACATTTTAGATGTCTGAGGTGAGGTTGTTCCAGTGAGTGGGGGCTGTGGCCCTGTAATCCTGGCCTCCAAATGTACGGAGTCTGGATTTTGGGATGAAGAGAAGGCCGGTGTCTGAAGACCAGAGGTTCCAGGAAGGGGTGAATGGGTGAAGGAGGTCAGGTAGATACTGAGGGGTGAGGTCGTGGAAGCCTTTATAGGTGAGGAGTAGCATTTTGTTGGGGTTTTATTGGGAGCCAGTGAAGGTGGATGAGGGTTGAGGTGATGTGCTGCCAGGGCTTGATAAGGGTGAAAACCCTGGCAGCTAAGTTCTGGACATACTGGAGCCCGTTCAGGGACTTGCTGGGTACCTCAGACAGAACTCCATTGCAGTAATCAAGGCAGGAGGTGATGAAAGCATGAATGAAGGTTTAAGCAATGGAGTCTAGAGTGATGGAGTTGATGTGGGAGTGGAAGGAGAGGGTGAAGTCCATGATGAGACCTAGGTTGTGCAAGATGTCCTAACTTTTAAAATTTGATTAAAAATAGAAATAAGTAATGGATTATGAAACTTGATTGCCTCGTGTTACGCTAGCTGTGATTAGTCACAGTGTCCAAAAGCATTTAGCTTAAAACGACCCTTTTTGGGGCCTCTATGTCCAAAGGTAGTTATATTAAACCTCCTGGCTTCTCTCATGACCAGTTATGTCTTTTTTGGGGTCAGCAGTAGCTCAAAAGTAAAACGGTCATCCCGCAACTGGAAGGTTGGGGTTTGATTCCCCATCCTTAGTCTGTCCGTTGTGTCCTTGGGCAAGACACTTTATCCACCTTGCTCCCGGTGTGTGTCCTCTACTGGTGTGTGATTGTGAATGATGTTTGGTGGTGGTCAGAGCTGTTGGTGCAGATTGGCAGCCATGTTTCCGTCAGTCTGCCCCAGAGCAGCTGTGACTACTAAAGCAGTTTACCACCACCGGGTGTGACTGTGTGAGTGAATGAATGATGTATCCAATGTAAAGCGCTTTGAGGGTAACTATAAGCTATATAAAATCTGATAAATTATTATTATTTTGTTTTTCTCAAAACTGAAAAGACCAGTTGAACTACCAGTTGTGGTTTTATGGGGTGCTTGGGCAGTGCTTTTATTTGATTTGCTATTTTCTTATTAGAAAGTTTCAACACTCCTCCAGTCTTTTATTCCAAAGACTTTTGGCAAGCTAAGCCAACTGACTTCTCCAAATTAACCTCACGGATATTAGAGTGGTTGTGATCTTCTATTTAACTCTCAGCAAGAAAACAATTGTGCATGTGTTGAATATGTGAATGTGGCAGCTCTAACAGGGAAAATATCTACAAACTTCAGCAAATGTGCTCTTGGTGTTGAAGTTTAAAAGCTTAATTGAACATTTCTGTGACTTTTTTGACAATGAGGCTGTTTCAATCTGACTCCAAACCTCAGACAGAAACTGTTTGTTCTTAAGTGTGCGCGTAACGTTTAGGATCATAAACATGTCTTACAGGTCTCGGTAGGAAGTCCTCCTCTTCAAGCCCCCACTGTTTTTTGTGGAACTGGTAATAAGCCACGTTATTCTTCATAACCTCATCACTGGGGTCAAAGAGCATGTAGCTTGCTGCACATGGTACTGCATTCTTCAGGTCATTCACTGAAAACACAAACGTTACAGCAAATCAGAGATTTTCCCCCACAAGTTTGAACCTGCAGAAGATTACACTTTTCAGGTTTGTGGCTCCATTTCAAAAATGGTCTAAAATGATCAAACATAGCTTGCAGAAAACGATTTTGCGGGACAAAGTGCTGCTTACATTTGTAGTAGGCAAACTGCAGGTAGTGGTACATAGTGGCTACAAACTTCTCGACAACAAAACCCCCTACAACGGGCGTCAAGTCACTTTCACACCTCACTTTCCTTTCCAGAACCTCTATGTAGTGATCTGTGGAGGGATGAAAACAAAGGGACAGTGAGAAATACATGTGAGAGAGAGGATTAACTTCACAGGTGCAGAAGCAGCAGGAGGAAGTATTAGCTAACCTGCGATGGAGGGGTAAAAGTCTTTGAAGTCTCTGATGTCTCTGGGACCCTCAGACGCAGCCAGACATTCATCGTAGACCTTGAAAAAGTCCCGAAGAGCCAGCTCCATGTCTGACACAGAAGTACGGAAGTTTTCTCCATTATACGCCCTCACTGAACGCACAAACAAGGTCTGTAATAACACAGAAAAAAGGAGAGGAAAAGGTCAGTCATGTTATGTTCACTTTCAGTTTGACAGAAATGCACAAGTATTACACAGTGATTCTTATTTAAGCCAATATCTAATGTGAGGAAGATTTCATTTTGGGCAGGTCAAAAAACTTAAAGTGGTTTAAGAGTTGCAGCTTTGAGTCCTGTTTGTTGAATGGATCCAATTAGACTCCATCATAATCCACAATAGGTCACCAGGGTCTATTTGGGGAACCACTTGAGACTGCATAAGACTCTTCCCATGATGTTACTTTGCTTGGCTGGTTGACCACAGGCTGCTACCACATCAGCAGACCCACAGATCCAATAATAGCCCCATCTGTGTGTGTGTGCACAAAGCCGCGGACATGGGTGGGACTCATCTGTACAACTACACTTTCTACGCTTAGTAGTAACTTTTCTTTGTGTCTGTAGGAGGCTAAACAAAAAGGATGAGATTTTGAGAACGTGGTTACCTCATAGGACTTAGTTTCGAGGTCTTTGAGGTGGTCTTCAGCTCCAGGCAGGCTCTTGTAGTACGCCATGTTTTTCTGCATCATCTCGTCATCTGGGTGTCGGAGCAGGAAGGTGTGAGCTGCAGACACTGCCTTAGCTAGGTTATCAGACTGGGAGAAAAATAACACAAGCACATAAAGTAAAGTGATTTTCTGCTCATGCAACTGTTTGCTTTTGTGTATCATAAAACAACATTAATGTGGATTACAGCCTGTTTCAAGAACATGAAAAAACTCCCTCTGGTCACTTTAACAATATAGAAAAACAAAAACAATAACATCTTTTTGTGATGTTAGAAATTAATCCTTTTAAAAATACTTAATTCATGTCACATTACATCTTTATTCCCCTAATCTTTATGACTTTATTCTTAAAATCTTAAAGTATTCTTAAACTTATTACAACTCTTTATAATAATGCACATGCAAATGAATGAATCAAAGCCACTCCAGAGTTCTTACAGGTCATAATTGAATCCTTTGAATTAACTTTCTGTTTACATGCAAACTGGTTGCTGTTTGAAACCTTTAAAGAGCTGAGACTGGCCATTTTGATTACCCTTACGTGTCTTTGAAAGGGAAGCATGTATGCGTAAATGCTCAGGACCTGCTCTCTGGCACAGTTAAAGGAACCCCCTGTGCATCCGTGGCACGTTGGTGACGCCAGGACGCATTTCAGGACTGTCACAAGTGACGTAAAAATAGAAACTCTTGGTGCACTGATATCCACATTCAAAACGGAGTACACCATCACCATAGACTGGTAATTCTCAGAAATCATAGACGCATTATTGCCTGGTTTTTGAAATTCGGAGCAGGCCTTTACCCTCACCTCTTACATGAACTCACCTTGAAGTAGGCATACTGCAGGTATTTGTACGGCTCCCTCTTCTCAAACTCGTCTATGGTTTCTCGGCTCGGCATGGTTTGTCTGAAAGCGGGCAGACCCTGTTTGCAGCGCTTCAGGCACTGCGCCCTCTTCATCACGTTCCCAAACGCCCTCAGCTCTGGAAACTCCGAGAACTTCTCCTCGTTGTCCAGCCTCACGGCGCTGCAGTTGAGGTTGCAGAAGGCCTCGCTGTCCCGAAGCAGCCGGTAGAGCCGCAGAGACACCTCCATATACTCCACCGTCTCCTTCCACTTCTCCCCGGTGTACTGGTCCAGCGCGTATTTGTACGCGGACTCCAGAGGCATCAGCTCGTTCCTGGGGAAGCTCCTGAAGCTGTATTTCTCATACTGAGAGTCCACGACTGAGGCGAAAAACGCGATTAGAAGCACTCCGAAAAGTTGTGAAGAAGCAGAAGTAGACATTTTTGGAAAGTTTTGTGAAGGGTGAAGGGGGCTTGCTGGGGTGAACTCAGGCCGGAGGTGTTCCTGGGTCTTTAGGACCGCCTCTAGTTGTACCACGTATCCGGACAAAAGTTCCCCTCCCCCGGGCACAGATTCTGCAGCTGGTGGGGGCTGCTGGAGCTGCTCCTCCCACTATCTCAAACAAGTAAATCAGTGCTGTTGTTCTGCTCTTTTACAAGCCAAGTGACTGACAAACTTTTGAAAACTTTAAACACAACTGAGAGAAAAATCTCTGCACTGCATTTGAGCCGCTGGTGTTTTTCTTTGCTGCTTCTCTAATCTTAAAAAAAAGTGTGCAATTTCATGAAATGTTCAAACTTGTTTGCCTGACAGCCACTAATTAAACTTTGGGTGAGAGTGGGGTGTTCCTCTCCCTCCCACTGCCACGTAGAGACATTCCTGCCCCCCTCTAAAGCCCTGAATCCCACAAACATAACAGCATGACCGTATAACATTTTGTTACAGCAAACTTTTGTCCTTATGTGACCATAATTAAAATCTGACCCAAATGCAGAGGCCTGTCCAGATATGTGTTTTGCATTACTCTGATTTTTGAAGAGATCCAGAGGGAGGATAAGTCTGCAGCTGCGTGGAGACCCTTACGTTACCACGTTGACACATCTGAGAGGCTTCACTGCGCAAGAGCAATACGTGGTGCCCAAAACTATCCCATTCAATCTCAATGCGTGTCAATTCAGTGAGAAATAAAGGAGATAAAACCGGAAGTTAGCTCTATATTGACAAAATAAAAGCATTCTTGTAAGATAAAAGTTTATTTGCTCGATCTGCTTGACATATCGACAGAAGTTTGGATGACCGAGTTCACATTTATTAACGATTGATCATAAAAGAAACGTTAAACAAAGGGAATAAGTGGATTTCTTTTGTTAGTTTTTAACCGGATCTTCGTGGGTTTTGTTTAACTTGACGTTCCTGCTCCAGGACAGGGGGGCAGGACTTTTACCAAAGTCAGAATAAAGGAAACCAAACTTGCAGGGAACAGGGAGGCAGCGCGTACACAGACTCAGGCCGAGCCTACAGTCATCCTATCTGCATCGTTTGATAGTTTAAAGCTCGTGAAAATGATCCAGTACATGCAGGGTATGTTGTTTCTCTCTGTTCTGGTGGCTTTTGCCGCCTGCAACGCTCCTCCGGTCCCGTTAGACGACATCTTCATTGAGAAAACCTTCGTGCCAGAGCAGTGTGTGCGCGCAGTCAAAGTTGGGGATTATGTGAGGTATCACTACAATGGCATGTTTCCTGACGGCAAGAAGTTCGACTCCAGGTGAGAATCGCGCAAAATCAGATTATTATGTTTTTTTGTTGGCTCACAGTGAAGAGCAGACCGGGTTCACGGTGCGAACAGCGTGCGTGATGCGTAATTGTGCGCGCTAGGTGGTGAGCCACGCAGGCAAGCAGGCTGACTGAGCTCTGGATTCTTATAGCCTAAATCTTTGAGCTCCAAAAGCTTTTACGGATTGGACTAAAGAACCCTTAGGTTGTCAGAATCAGAGTTTTTGGAGTCTAAACTTGATAGTAGAATTTTTGCTATCATTAAATCTCACAATTCACGGAAACCTGTGGACTAAGTCTTCATGATGAGGGGTTAATTTATTGATATCCCTGGACTCTTCCTTTGGGGAACCCTCGACCCAGATTCACTTGGTTTATAGTAGTTATAGTTAACCGTGCAACATAGCAGACTTACCATGCTCTCCAGATTCCCATGGGGGCAAAAGCTAAAAATCCATGAAGTGTCACTTATTTATTAATTTATTTAATTAGATTTTTAGTTAATTTATTTTTTTTATTTAATTAGTTAGGAGTTTTGTTGGGTTATGAAACAGTCTGAAATGAAAATTAATGTTTCTGTATGATGTAAAAAAAAAAGCAAATTGACAGACCACGAATTAACAAGATTGGCCATTGAGGGATCAATTTCACTGTGAAAAGACACAAGGGGAAGATTTTTTATCAACATCCTGACATGGACAAGATGAAATCAACAAAGATACAAAGATTACAACTTTGACCACAGGGGGCGCCAAAGTGATCACAGACCAAAAATTCCTCAAGGGAGGTTTAACTTATAAAATGGGCATTTATAAAAAAAAAAAACCCTCTAAAAACCAGTATCATTAAAGCTCCTATTTTTTTTCATAAGAGACACTATTTAAGCCTGAAAACTACAAGATAGGCTAAAACTGCTTTGTCCACAGGGGGCACCAAAATTAACACAAATCAAAAGTTCCTCACAGGAGCTTTAACTAGGCTTTTACTTTGACTGCAGGCCCAAGTCCACCCCCTGTGGACAAAGTAGTCTTTGTTTATCTATTCCTTTAAGCAGTCTCTCTTCAGTCATATTCATCATTGATGTGACTACTTTATGTGGACTGTTTCTTTAGGTGCTTGGCTGACACCTACCTCACAGCACTGGTTTGAGGCATTCAAAATTGCAACATAAGAATTGCTGATCAAGTTGGTGAAGGTCTTGTTTGCTTTTGTTTATCACAAAAGGCATCAGGATGGATTCCAGCCTATTTCATGAACATCAAAGAAATCCTCACAGGAGCTTTAAGTTCCCAGCTCTTCAACACAATCTTAGGCGCTGATCAGCAACCCAAATGATTTTCCTTGCCAGATGAGTCACCAAAATAAGATAAGAGTTTAACTTTCCCTCATCTTTTTCAGTTACGACCGTGGCAGCAGTTACAACGTGTTTGTGGGGAAGAAGCAGCTGATCGAGGGGATGGACAAAGCCCTGGTGGGGATGTGTGTTAACGAGAGACGACTGGTCAAGATCCCGCCCCACCTTGCTTATGGAAAGCGAGGATATGGTGTGTATATCTAAGCTGTTTCTCCCCCGGTTGTTATCATTATAATTGGTGTGGAACAGCTGGGACAGAAAGAAACACCTTCTGTGTGAAATTGGAGGACAGGCTGATGTTTATTCCTCCTGAGAGTCATTATAAATACTCAGATGAGTGAGCACATAGCTGGCAGAGCTCACGATAACAGAGAGAGGCTTTGGTCAGACGCTGGCAGGAGTATAAGGGACAGAAATGACAGACCCAGAAAAGTATTGTGTTGATCTGGAGTCAGCTGGAGTAGAGAGGAAGTGGGCTGCACCCTTTCGTCCATGTTGAATGATGTCAGAGACACATCATAGACCAGGAAGCGGGACTAAGGAAGCTGGTCTGGATCACGATTTTCAGCTTTTAACCATACAATCCTTGGATAACAGATTTTCAGATTTTTAACAATTCAAGGTTGTAGAAAACCTTGAAAATAAAAGAAGACTCTTTGTTTACATGTTCAGAACAGTTTGTCACTGTGTTTGTGTGCACATGAGTGTGTGTGTGTGTTAAATAGTTAGATAATGGGAGGGACAGGGGGGCATGTGTGGACAGGTAAAAGCCGAGGCTGTGTCATCAGAGAGAAAGAAGAAAACAGATAATGGGAAGGAGCCAGGAAGAGACTTGCCAGCTCATCAGAAGTTAGGAATTAATGGCTGCCACCCACCCACCCACCCAATCCTCCTCCTCCTCCTCCTCTCGTTGTCCCCTGTACTCTTAATGATCTCCTAAAAACTCCAAAAGCAAATCCACATGCTTACTGTCAACGAGGGATAACAGTTTTTACCATTTTACAGCTAGAAATAGTGAGTGAGTAATAGATGACTCATGCACGTATTTGCAAACATAGCAGACATAGCTGTAGTCACCAGGATCAGATGTTGTAGAGTTAAAATAGTGCAGACCGCACTGAGGACACCACATATCTGTACAATGTTTGAATCAAGACTTTTTATACCAAAGTTGAGAGCATTCATCTATTAGTTTTTCACTAATTCAAGAGCTTGTTTGTTAGTTCAAATTCCAGAGATGTCCACTAAAAGCACTTGAATTGTTAAAGCTCCTAAAAGCAGCAGCTCAACTGTTGTCTCCTAGTTAGACTTTTAACAAAGGATCAAATGAGAATAAGCAGGGAAAGCACAAATATGTGTAATAATAGGCTGAGATAGAAAGCAAAAAAGTAGAAAAAGAAAGATAAATCTGTGTTCACTAACAAATCAGATTAAGTGTTTGAAATTTGGATGCTTGAGAAACTGAAATGTGGGAATACTTTGCGCTTGTACTCCAAAAATGACTTATCAAGTTTTTTCCCCTACACCAAACAACGGGTTATATTTTATAGAAGAAAAAAAATTCAACTGATCCAAATGTAACACTAATAATTGGACTTTTTACACCCCCAGCATTTGCAGGGTAAAAAACAGCAACTCAATCTCGGGTGTTTTTGACTGCACAGCTGATTGGTTTTAGGACTAATTAAACCTTTTCAGTCTCTATTACATTCAACATTTATTCATCATTGCAAAATTATATAAATGCAATGAATAAACAGAGGTGGAATTATCTGAAAGGATTACCAAAAGCCTCGTGACATACATGCCCACCCCACCAGCGTGGCTAAAGCCTGACAGGCAGATATCAAGAGCGAAAAGGGTGCCTTAAACAGGAGAGCAGAGTGACCACGGCTTTGGAGTGAACTTTCCCCCCTCTCCTCCTCAGGTGATATCATCCCCCCAGACTCCATCCTCCACTTTGATGTCTTGCTGCTCGACGTGTGGAACCCAGAGGATGGTGTCCAGATCAACACATACCACACGCCCACCATCTGCGCCAGAAAGGTGGAGGTGTCTGACTTCATCCGCTACCACTACAACGGCACCTTACTGGACGGGACACTTTTTGACTCCAGGTTTGTGATCTTCAGGAATGTATTACTTGTAGACAAAAATTACAGACATAAACATCTGTAACCTTGCTCCTCCTCCCTCTGCTGCAGCCACACCCGCATGCGCACCTACGACACCTATGTTGGGATTGGTTGGCTGATTGCAGGGATGGATCAGGGCCTTTTGGGTATGTGTGTCGGGGAGAGGCGCATCATCACTATGCCACCGTCCCTTGGATATGGAGAGAATGGAGATGGTGAGTTTTATGTATTTCTTCAGTATATAGTACATCCCCTGAGTGTCATGACTCTTCTTGAGCTTCCTCCCCTCTTAGATTAAAACAAAGAAAACAACATGTCATAGTTTTTATCATAATGACCGATACTCCTGTTTTTTGGCTTATCCTCCTCTTTTTCTGCACTCATCCCTGCCGCCACTTTATCTTTCATATATTTTCCTTTTTCGTCCATCAGGTAGTGACATACCAGGACAGGCATCTCTGGTTTTTGATGTTGTACTTTTGGACCTTCACAACCCCAGAGATGGGATCACAGTGACCAATCAGGAGGTGCCAGAGTCCTGTACGAGGAAGACTGTCGCTGGAGACTTCATACGCTACCACTACAACGGCAGCCTCCTGGATGGGACGTTTTTTGACTCAAGGTGTGTGTGAATTTGTTTTCTTGTTAACCACACAAACTGATGCAGAGCCCATGTTGAGATCAACACCTTCATCATCATCATCATCATCATCATCATCAGTCTTTATTTGTTAAGGGCTCGATTTCATGGAAACAGGAATGTGCGCACTGAGGAAACGCCATTTTAAAATTGAAGATAAGGAAACACTGGAGGTTTAGGTTAAAATCTAAAAACAAAGTGACATAAAAAGAAATTTAAGAAATAATAAAATGAAATAAAAACAACAGTAAAAGATACTAAAATAAGAGCACCAAAATAGCTCAATAAAAGCCAATCCTGTCATCAAAAATAGAAAGAGATAAATGCTAAAACACTTAAACAAAGTCGTTGATATAAAATTTAGTTAAAAAAAAGACTAAAAAGGTACATTTTGAGTCTGGTTTTAAAATCATGAAGATAAGGTGCAGTCCTCAGGTATTCAGGTAGGCTGTTCCATAGAAGGAGCCGTAGTAATGAAAAGATACCTCACTGTATGTCTTAGTTTTAACTTGAGGTAATGTTAACAGAGAACTGCCTGAAGACCTGAGGGCTCGACCTGGCTCATAAGGTAAAAGCAGATCAGATTAATGAGATAGGCCAAAGCCATCAAGAGCTTTAAAAACCATTAAAGCAACGTTAAAATCTATTCTGTCTATTGTTCCTCAAGTGCCCTCTAGGTGGCAGCATCTGCCTTTGTGTGAGGACGCACTGAGAGAGGACTTGAAACTGGAGGAAATTCAGTTTCATTTCTTGAGAAAAGAACTTTATAAAACTGCGTCCTCTGATTGGATTCTCGACTTGATAACATGGCTGTGTTATTGTCTGAGAGAATGTCTAAAGTCACTCTAGAAAATTAAAGAAATATCACTTTTCATTTAACTTTAAAAAGTATGACCAAAAGTATAAATGTGTGGAATCCTTTTAAACTCTTCATAATAAGTTCATATGTATCCTGATTTGAAGCCTGCCCTTCTTCACACAAAATGTAACATCTAGTGATTTAGGGATTTGTTTCCCCTTCTTGCACTAAGAAAGGCTTCTGATGTGTGACGTGTTCTAGGGAGTAGAAGACCAAACAGTTGGTCTTATCTAGCAGCTGGTACTCTGTGTGAGAAGATGTTTCTCTTCATTTCTGGTGTGAAATTGTGAATTTTGATTCTTTGGTTGACCCTACAGATGCTATAACTGAGAATCTACATTATCCGTCCTTTAGCTGAATTCTCTGAAATATATTCACAAAGACAAACTACATGGGTAAAGAGACTGGAGTTCATCGCTGATGATTTCTATTCCACTCTTGTGCAAATAGTGCTGCTAACATATTTTTGTTGTTGTTTCAGCTCTAAAACTTTCCCCTACAGAGTGGATGGAAGGTTTCAGTTCACTTTTTTGAAAGATTTCTCAACCTTTCCAGCTTCTGCTGATTAATTAGACAGAAAACATAGTGACCTTCAGATTATTTTCAGAAACTTTTTAATCTGTGTGCAGACACCAAAAACGAGACGCAGTGTCCTTACACCACAAGCACTCTCTACTTTACAATCACCCATGCATTAGACTATAATCAGCAACAGCAGCTGCATATCAAACTGTTAAACTCTGTCGTTTTGACTTATCTTGTGTCTAACATTGAAATTTTGCCAGTAAAGTGACAAAAATGTCTGATAGGAGGTTTATTTTTATCTTTTCTGAACAGGTTAGAGTGTCCTGGGGAAGGGGTCATAATGTACTTTTGGTTAATGACCTCAAAGCTGCATCGATTAAAACACACACTGATCTGAACAGAGGAAAGATATGCACTTAGTCAATCAGACAACAGATTATTACAAAACTGTAAAACTCTACCACGGTTTTAAAGTTTGTCGAGAGTTAACTATCAGAAAAATAAACTTTATGTAAAGTTCTTGATCTAACTTTGATTTTTCTCTCTTCTGTGTAGCAGTGAAATGAAACTTCTACTGCTTCTATTTTTGCTCCACAGCTATTCCCGTAATCGTACCTATGACACCTACATAGGTCAAGGATACGTGATCACTGGGATGGACGAGGGTCTGATTGGAGTCTGTGTAGGTGAGAAACGAACCATCACCATCCCCCCACATCTGGCCTATGGAGAGGAGGGTACAGGTATGTGTTTAATGCCCTTATCTAAGTTACTACATGTCAGTCCTAATTACTCGATGTTAGTGCTGTTGCAATATACTTGTTTTGACTATTGAAACTGCTGTAAAATGGAAGAGAGATGATGAAGAAAAAGAAGAAGAAAAAGAAGCAGATGCTAGTGAGATAGCTGTTGCAGGCCTCTGAGAGACGATCATGCACTTCTTAAAAACTGAAAGTCAAAGATTTGTTGCGAATCTAAAAATAATAGTACAACTTGTGCCTTTCTGGGAACCTGAATAATTAATCATCTATACTTTAAAACTTTTTTTTTTACTGTTTTATTCAATTTTGTCAAAATAGAAGCATAGTTTATCAATGTGAGAAATAAAACAACCTACACAAGGCAGTGAAAAAAAGTCAAATAAAAGCATGACTAATAGCATCATTAGAAATGGACAATGACATATAAGTTAACTGCATCCATTAGTTTACGAGTTTATGAACTGATGTGCCGCCCCCGCCCTTAAATTGCCTTTCCATTTCATTTTAACTAATTATGTTATTTTATTTTCAAGTTGTACATTTAACATCTTATTACGATTTTTAAAGTTTATCATGAGGTGAAAATCTGATATCATGACAGCCCCTTTCTGAGTGTCCTTTTTCCTGATTCATGTCCCTCTCAGGCTCGAAGATCCCAGGTTCAGCTGTGCTCGTATTTGACGTGCACATCATCGACTTCCACAACCCGTCAGACAACACTGAGATCCTCGTCACTTACAAGCCAGAGGCATGTGATAAGCAAACTAAGAAGGGCGACTTTATCAAATACCACTACAATGCCTCTCTGATGGACGGCACATCCATCGACTCCACGTGAGTGAACGCTTCAAAATGAGTCACTGATGTTCATCGACTTGGTTTAGCGTGTTAAAATTTGCTAAGAGACACAGAAGACAGGAGTAAGGACAATGACAGCGCGTTTCTGTTCTAAGTATGTGGCTAAAATGGGTGATTTTCCTGCTGTTAGAGTCTGTATTAGTTAGACTGCACAGATTTTGGCCTAATCAAAAGGCAGAACAGGAGTGACGGTCAGAGATAGGCGATATTTTTGAGATGGAAGAATGCAGTCCGGGTCATGTGATGAACATGCTGTTGAAATGTAAGGGTGGTGTCAAAGATTACTCCAAGGTTACAGATGCTGGATGATGGAGTGAGGGTAAAATGATCAAAAGTGAGGCAGAGGTTCTGAGTGATTTCGGGCCAATGACTTTAAAGTCTGATTTACTGGAGTTCAGTTGAAGGAAGTCAGTTTGCATCCATTAATTTATTTTAGTGAGGCAGGTGGAGAGTGTAGACCAGGTAGTCGGATGTTGGGTCTAAAACCTGCAACAAATGACTCAAACACAAAGAAGAGAAAGACAATGGTATTAGATTTATAATACGGACAGAACGGACAGAGATACGTTCAATTACAATCAGCTACCGCTTGAAAGTGTATCTTGTTGTCTCCTCTTTTTTTATTATCCTTAGGGTGGTCCCTAGTTACATGATGCTGCATACACTAAAGGGTGGGGAATCAATCTGCAGCAGCGTATTCACTTTCATAACACATAATTATACCAGAGTAAGCATGTGCAGACTTCTTCTGTAGATGTCAAGATGACCGCTGACATTTCACAGTCTCCTTTGTGGTGGTTAACTGTTCACAGCGGAGACAGGTACCCATCTGCTTATCTGCTTACTGGAAGAAAGCAAGCTCAGAGATGTACGATGTAGATGTCTGCTCATGTGTTGCAAAGCAAAAGCTGAAGGCAGTTCATATTGAGTAAAGCTACTGATAATTTCTATAAACTTTTATACACATTACTCTAACATCGGAGTTATAGATTTGGCAAAGATGTAGATCTGGGCGTCTTCAGCGTAACAGTAAAAGTGAAGTCTGTGTTTCCAAATGATATTGTCAAGGGGGAGCATGTAGAGGAGGAGGAATCATTGTTATCCACAAGAAAACAGACACATGAATATGACCGGGAAGCTAGACAGTCACCATGTGCTTTGTGCTTGACCATCACCGTACACGAAAACAATAAAACAGGACTCCTATTTACAAGGCCAGAATAAATGTATGTCTAGGCACTTTCTGGGATACCGTTATGTACGAGACGTAGCATTTTTAGTACTTTAGGGAAAAGTCTTGACCTTAGGGGATCCAGAATGACACTGTCAGATAAATTCTACTCCATCTGACTTGCAATCAGCTTTGAAGAATGACAGAGAGTGTAGTCTTTGTCTTTAGGTCTTTTACTTGAAGGAGTCAGCAGCTTACAACAAAGGCAACGTCTTCTGACTGAGGGGTTTACATCTTTACACATCATTTATGCAGTCTAGTGGCATGTCTCAATTCTCTGGGTGATGTCTGCTGAAGCTGTCCTTTAGGAGGTCCTGGCCTCTGCTAAGACTCTATTCTAGACACCGTTAGCTTTGTTCTAGCTGGCTTGGTTGAGTCTGTTGAGTCTTCGATGAAGAATAGCAATCACTATTGATATAATTATGTTAACTCAACTTTGTATTATTATCATTAGTGTATGTTTGTGTTCTGAATTTCTTTTCCTTTTATTTTGATTACACTTTAATTTGTACTCTCATATAGTCATAACTATGATGACTCTAATTTCATTCCAATGTTTATTTATACTATTTGTGTGTCTTTCAGCACTACTGTCTATGTAAAAGATGAGCAAAAACCATTAACCTTATTTGCACTTTTTAATTTAAAAAGAAATACCATCATAAAAAAAAAGGATGGCAATCAGATTCAAATCAGGAGATGAGTCTGTCCAAGTTGCATCCAAGGTACTTTATTCAGCATGTAAATGAACAAAGTCAGTGAGAATGAACTCTGCAGAATCCAGACTGAGGTAACAAAGAAAATCCCTTTCTTATATAGCATTTCACAGTAGGCATTCACTTCTTAGTATAGTACCAACCCTTTTCCTTCTGTAAGTTCTAAAACCCTTGTTTCTAATGCTGTCTGGGCAAGACTGATGTTGTGTCTCAGGGACTCATAACAACACATCATGTGATTTTATAATAGCTGGGCATGGGTTGTCCAAGAGAAGATATAGAACTTCATCAAAAAATGATTCCACCCAAGACCCCCGCCCACTTAGCATCTTACTAGTGGCAAACATTCCACCAACACCCAAAAATGGAAAGGGTTACAGTTATGGTTCATAGCAGCTCTGCTGTATGTATATGTGGGCATACAACAGTCATAAGGTAAAAGGTTACAGCTGTGTCAACGTTTCCACTTCTTCTTTCACATGTGCCTTCTCTGAGAGAAGCAGATATAATTTTGCAAGCATTAATACAAAATGATTTCAGTAAATGATAATAACATACATATTTAATTTTTCTTTCAGACACCATTAAAAACCCAGAGTTTGTAACTTGAATATAAAAAAAGGGGCTGACCCATGGTCATACGAGTGAGTGAACATCAACCAAAGTGTGCTATAAAAGAAGTGGATTTCATTGTGACCTCAGTGTGAACTCTGCAAAGTCTTGCTTATTAACTTTGTTCACTTGCATGTTGAATAAAGTTCTTTGGATGCAAGACATGTCTCCTGATTTGAATTTGCAAGCTCTGTTCAAGAAGATTCAATGCTAAAAATAATTGAGAGGAACAGGGCTAAAACAACAGAATTCACTACAGCAGGGGACATCTTAAGCCTGACAGCATCACTAAGAAATGGAGACATGTCATTAGGAGTGGAGGAAAAGTAGTTATTGAAATGGATTAATGATGTTTCAGAGAATACAGCAACAAGCAATGCATCATCACATCTCATAGAGTGATCTGTGTGTGTTAAGTGGGCGATGAGTGTACTTCCTCTTTGCACCCTGAGCTTTTGCTGCATGCTTTGTAAATGAATCTGCAAGGCTGAAACAGCTGGAGATCTGTCTCTGCTTTATGATTGGGTTTCGATGAATTTTGTTTGCACCACTCTGGCTCTGTTGAATGCATGACTCTTCCTCTGTTTTTCTAAACCCTGTAAACTTAAAGTACAAACTCTAAATGCATGCATGAAAGTACTGGTTACATTAAAATTCTGACCTGAAGGTGAAACCCTTTCTAACAGCAGAAGATCCAAGCTCTGAGGGCCAAACTTCTATAATCTACAATTGACAACAAACCTGTTGAAATGTTTCTAGATTGATTGAAGTAAATAACAGTCTCTGAGAGACAGAGGAAGAATGTAGGGTTGACCAGGGTTATTGACATTTATCCTCTGGGGACCATGAGGAAGTTTGATTTTTATTTCCTCACAGGAAACTTCAATGTCTCGCCTCTTTCAGGCCTGCTTTACATATCGCTCTCTCTGCAGGTGCACTCTCTCTATGTCGCAATTTCCCCGGATTTCTTTTTCAACAACTTATTGTCTGGTTTGTGTGAAGAGATTTAATGCATTTTTGATATAAGTGAACTTTTAATTCAAAAACTGGCAAAAAACAAAAACAAACAACAAAACCCCCCAAACAAACAAATTGTAAAATACAACTATAAAAGTGTGGAAGATGGTCTCAAAAATGTGAAAGCAAGAAAATCCACCCTGTCATGCTCCAAATTAAGAGATAATGCTGTCCTTGGGGGCGGGAAATGTAACTCAAAAGAAACTTGAAGATCAAACGCAATACGTGTGTTTGTTTTGGAATAATACACACATATCTTATATGTTCCTTTTTTTATAGGTACAATTATGGAAAAACGTACAACATTGTCCTGGGAACAAACCAGGTGGTGCCAGGGATGGAGGACGGGCTGAAGGAGATGTGTGTGGGAGAGAGGAGGCATGTAGTCATCCCTCCTCACTTAGGCTATGGGGAGAGAGGAGTCAGTAAGTCACACACTCAAGCACGCACGCACACACACACACACTCACACACACACACACACACACACACACATAAACACAAACACACACAAACACAAACAAGAGGTAATGGTATTTCTTTCTCAGCCTTTTTGGACTTGAAGAGAAGGATAAAATTTGATTCTCCACACTGAACGTTCTTACGGTTCGCTCCATATCACTAACTCTGTCTCTCTCTGTCTGTAGCCGGTGAAGTCCCCGGGAGCGCTGTGATGGTGTTTGACATTGAGCTGGTAGAAATGGAGGAGGGGCTTCCCGATGGTTACATGTTCATCTGGAACGAAGACGTATCACCTGACCTCTTCGCTGAGATGGACAAGGATGAGAACAAGCAAGTGGAGCCCTCTGAGGTACGTGAAAACCTAAATGTAGGAGTTCCTCTGCATACACCCATGATTGTGGGCCTAATGAAAGATGGATGGTATATTTCTGCTTCCTCTTGTTGGGCAAAAATGAAGCCAAAATACCTCCTGTAGCAGGTATTGATTTATTGCAAACAATCAGAGGAACTGGGGAAGCATGTAACTGAAACCATCACAATAGATATAGGTTTGCTAACTGTACTGTGACCAGCCAGCAGGGGGAGCTCTACATGTTTTGGCTTTATATTGAGGAGGCTGTGCTCTATCCATAATCCATCTACTCCCATTCTCTGTTTCCACAGTTTACCGACTACATCTTGCGTCAGGTAAACGAGGGAAAAGGACGCCTGGCCCCCGGCTTCGATCCTTACCGCATTATTGAAAACATGTTCTCCAATCAGGACCGTAATGGAGACGGAAAGATCACAGAGGTGGAGTTCAAACTTAAGGCGGATGAAGCAGCCGCTCATGATGAACTATAACACTGAGTGGAAAACTCAGATGGAGGTGTAGGCTGAGGGCTCGAATAAAGGGGGAGGGTTTTAACACATGTGGGTGGTAGAGCTAAAGAAGATGGTGTTGTATGTTTCAAGTAGAGAGTGAAAACGTGCAGTTTTTTTTTTTTTTTACATTTAAGATGTAGATGATGGTTGAAGGGCGTCTTGTCCTGTAAGGGCCAAAAGAGTCTGAAAAATGAGACAAAAGAGATTTTTGTAAGGGCTAAAAGATGAAAAAGGAAGGCACTCATTTAAGGACTCTGATGACAGCGAATGACTTTTATTTTTACCTCCTTTCTTGTCATGTGCTTGTCTTGTTTTATGTGATTTTTTATTTTATTTTGAAGGGTTTGAAAGCACTCCTGTGTGAGAAAACAAAAGTGTTCCTTCAGTTGGTAAAAAGGTTGTTTCCCTATAACCTTAAGGGGTACTCTTGCATTTTAATTTTCCAAACACCTTACACCCTTTCTCCACGTGGTCATTGATGGGAAGAAGAGAAGAAGAGGATTCAGAAGAGCTCTCAGTTGAAGCTCTATTTTATTGATGACAGTGAGTCAAAAATGTGCAACAGACATCTCTGGGTTCAGAATTAGCTCGTCCTAGCAAACAGACAGCTCAGAGGTCAGCCTAGAACACCCCGGCTAACTTTCCCTTGAATCCTTTATAGTCAAAGATTTGCCTATCTAGACAGAGAATACGCTACACTTGGTATTGTCTTTGCGTGTCGGCTGGTTCCTCGTTCTTCTTCACCTCTCACACAGATGGGTCCTGCTGTTTACCTAATAAGGAGTTGTTTTGGTGCATTCTACACTCATAACACACATTCATACCTGCAAAAACACTGTTAGCTATTGCTGGGCAAATAATCTCAGCAGGCTTGTCAGAGACGTACATAACTAACACCTCCCCCAAGTTCCACTTTCCACCTTTTTTAGGTGTTTCAACCGCAGAGCACCCTCTGTTTGCATACTTCCTGTTTCATAACCCCGCTCAAGATCTTTATTCAGTACAAGACACCTAATTTACCAACTATCAAGAAAAGCCAAAGCTAAAACCTTCATACTATGGATACTGTTCTTCTCCTCTATACAGCGGGATCTATAGCCTCTCTGGAGCTTTTATCCTTCTTCCAGTTATCCATCAATACATGACTGCAATGAGCACAATTGTTAATTCTTTATGCAACTCCCATCAAACTGTTTCCATATTTAAAATGTAACCTAACACTCCCTTTATCACTCATTCCTGTTTTTGTCCACTCCTTTTTAAAGTTTTATGGCTGCATTTGTTTTCTTGTCAGGGGTGTCTGTCTTTCAGGAGCAGCACATCAGTCGGCCCACACTGTAAGAAACTGTGATGGAGGTCTTTTTTTTTATGCAGTTGCACCTCCAAAGTTTACAGCCAGCAGGATTCGTCCCTGCTACTCCAACACTGCAGGGTCACATTTCCTGGACAGTTGTCAGGGATTCCTCGTCTTTTACTCTACTTTTGTCCAACAAGATTTTCCACAGTTTGTTGCTGTCTTCACATGTCAGAACCTGGTTGCAGTGTGAGTCTTTGTGTGTGCATGCGTTTTTATGTGAGTGAAAGAGAGACAAAAAAGAGTGTCTGAGTGTTTTAGTTCTTCAGTCTGGAGAATACTGAGGCTTCATGATTATAACATTTGAATAAATGACCTGGCCTAAATGTAAGCTGGTTCTGTCTATCCTTTTGTACTTGGATCTGTGTCTGAATCCAGATCCAGGTGTATAGTTATAAAAATGGCCAAGAGCATAGTATTTACAACGTTTTGGAGTCAAAGGAACATGAATACGTCTGACTTTCCTGGCAAACACCACCTGACCTCACAAAAATCTTGACTGGGACAGGAAGAACTCAGGTGGACTGTACAAATATCCATGCTTAGAATAAACCATCAGTTTTACCATCTTCTACCAGAAGAGCTACTTTGAGTGTGTCAGGGAAATGGGGCTGTAGTATCTGGTCTGTCCGCGATGTGTAGATGCAGAAGGAAGCTTCGTGACACTGGCTTGCTTGTATCATAGGAGTTTATTATAAAGACAACACCAGTATCAGAACAGCACTGCAGTTGCTGGGAGAGGACTGCCAATGATGTCCAGCTCTCCCCAACCAGAGTTTGTGACCCTGTTATACAGTATATGGTTAGGGATGTCCCCAATCTGTCTTTCATTACCATCTGGGTTTTTACCTAACTTGGAGTTGTGACCTGCAAACGTCATTAACGAGGCCAAAAGATAAACACAAGCCCACATTTCACACTTTGGTCGCCTCAAGCTGTTTATGAGAAATATTGTATGGTGGTGCAGTACTCCAGATACCACAGGGACATCTGAGTGAAAAAAAGGCCCAAGTTCTACATGTTTATCACCCTCTGACTAGGTATAAGTATGAGAAATGTCAACAAGTTCAAAATAGAAAGGATAAGGGCCACTAAAAAATTAACAAAAATTTGTAAAATAAATTCAGGTCTGATTTGTTCAACACCTTTTTGCTGACTTTTGACATAGAATTCTGAGTTAAAAGAATCAGGATTTTCCCACTCAGAACTCCGAGATCAAATTCAGTATATTGACTTAGTCTAGGTCAGGTTTAAATTCTTAATTCTGACCTAAGTTACGAAAAAAGTACCTTTGGTTCTCTAAAAATTAGATTACTGTTGTTGTGTCTGGGCTGTCCTCAATGTGTAGATGCAGAAGGGGTACAGCCCTATACAGTTAGGGCTGTAGGCCCTCCTACATTCTTTGTTTGTTCTGAGATATCTTTCCTTACCCTCTGGTGTTTGCGTAACCTAGAGTGGTGGTTTGTGACCTGTGACCTGTGAAGTGCCCCTCCCAGGCTGTCTCACCCCAGGTGTCATTAATGATAAACAAGGAAAACACAAGCCCACATTCCACAGTTGGTTCTCAGGCTAATTCTGAGAAATACCTTGAGGCAATGCATATTGATGTAGTACTCCAGATACCACAAACATAAAAAAGACAGTGTTGTATCCTGTCTATCTGCGATGTGTAGATGCAGAAGGAGGCTTTGTGATGCTGGCTTGCTTGTATAATAGGAATTTATAACAAAGACAACACCAGTATCCAAACAGTACTGGAGTTGCTGGGATTGAACTGCCAATTATGTCCAGCTCTCCCAAACCTGAGTTTGCAATCCTGTTATAAAGGGTCAGAGTTTAAAGGGGACCTGCCACCAAAATTTCATACCCATTTTTATCATTTTTTTTTATAATCCTTGATGTCCTCTGATCATGTTTGCAACATAATTTTAGCTTAAAAGTTATTTGATGGTTTTTTTTTAGAATGCCTAAAAAACCTTACAGGAAAACCAACTGGTTTTGGCTCATTAACATTTATGGTAATGAGCTTTGCTATGATTGGATCGCTGCTGTGAAGCCTGCTGTGCTCTGATTGGCTCAGCAGTGGAGGTTCGGATTTCGGTTTATCCATTGTTATTATGCTAATGCTAATAGCGTATGCTAATGTGTGCTAAAGTAAGGTGCCCAGATGTCTGTAATGATATCCAGGGATATTCGGTGCGGCGGCGGCGGTGCAGGGGCTGCGTGATCACAGACAAAATCTCGGTACTATTTAGTAGCAGCGCATGCCCCTTGTAATAACCCCCTTAAAAACTGTTGTTCAGGACTGCTTACTTGTGCTTCCTACCTACTCGGCTACTGTAATAACCGTTGTTCGAGCCCACACGCAACACTTTTGCTCTCATTCATGAAATGCTTAAATCGGGGACATTTTCGGGGACAGCTTTTGCCGGGGACAGGTCATCCAATACGGGACTGTCCCCGGAAATCGGGGACGTCTGGTCACCCTATACTAAAGGCTAAAAATGGCAGGTATTAAACCATATATTTTAGACCCCGAGTCCGAAGAGGAGGTGGAAGTTGAAGAAGAAGCCGGAGATCTCCAGCGGTGTTTTCTCATTCATTCTGTCCAGCTTTAAGTACATTTTCCTGGCAGTGAACCGAAGGAAACACCGGTCGTTTAGAAGAGACCCATAGCGGATACAGTGGTAGCTGGGTCTCGCTCTGACCGTGAATGAGTACGACAACGAGAGAGTGGGCACGGCTCATCGAGGACGCGCTCGTGAATAAAAATGAGCAAGGTCAACGCAACGTCAGATTGACCTGCTTTTTCAATCGGCCTGGTTTACTCGTTCCTTTATGTTAAACCTTTACAGAATGCAAACGACGTAACGGTTTGTTTTCACATTTACAACATAAGACGAACATAATATGGACCTTATCTGACACAAAAAAAAACAAAAATTACATTTTTATGGCAGGTCCCCTTTAAGGTCCTTCTACATCATCTCTCTGTCTCCAAGCTATCTTTCTTTACCATCTAGTTTACATCTAGCTTTTAAGTGTGACCTGTGCTCTGCAAACCCCCAACAGCCAGGATGTGTGGACCAGGTACCATAGAATAGTGTGGAATGTGGGGAATGTGGGCATCTGAGGCTGTGTCCGAAATGGATCCCTGACCTCTATATTGGCGACTATATAGGGGTTATAGCCATTTTGAGGGGTGTCCAAAACCTGAGTGATCAATTCCAGCGCCCCATATAGGCGACTCAAAATTTCCCATAAAGCATTGCAAAATGTAGTGACCATCCGATGGTCACTCACCAGTAGTGGGCATCCCATCATGCATTACAGCTTGCCATGTAGTGTTCGAAACCTCCGGTGATTGAGTTCACTACATAGTCAACTATATAGTGAAACCCCATATGGGGGTTAGGGGTTAGGGATTGAGTGAATCATTTCGGACACAGCATGACTCAGATATCCTGGAGGTTGGGGGTTTGCAGAGCACAGGTCACAGGTCACAATTCCAAACTAGATAAAAACCAGATGGTAACGAAAGATAGCTTGGGAACAAAGAGAGAATGTAGGAGGACCTACATCTCTGACCGTATATAACAGGATCACAAACTCTGGTTGGGAGAGCTGGACATCGTTGGCAGTCCTCTCCCAGCAACTGCAGTGCTGTTCTGATACTGGTGTTGTCTTTATAATAAACTCCTATGATACAAGACAGTGTCACGAAGCCTCCTTCTGCATCTACACATCGCGGACAGACCAAATTTGCGCCAGTACAAAGCTAAACTGGGTAGATGCTTTGCCGCTTGCACTAATGAGCTATCGCATGCAAATTCACAGAAGCACGCATCTCACGCCGCATGAAATGCTCACGGGCCGACCGATGCCTGCGCCACAGTTGCGAGGTCCGTATAAAGGACCTCCCCTTGAACAGCTGCAGGTAGAGTTGAAAGACTATATGAACCAGCTAACAGCAATACATAAGACTATCTACCTGCAGGAAAAAAGGAGAGAGCCAGTTAAAGACGAGCTGGTTGCGAAACCAGTGGTGCCAGGTGACCAAGTGTACGTCAAGGTCTTCCGCAGGAAGTGGCACGAACCACGACGGGAAGGACCGTACACGGTGGTGTGAGCTACTCCCACAGCAGTCCAGGTCGAAGGGAGCGGGACGTGGTATCACCTGTCACACTGCACGAAGGTTCCAGGCAAAACCAAGGGCGGTATTGAGTTGAAAAACAAAGATGAAAAACATGACATTGTGGTGTGTGCTGGTGGTAATGAACTCTCTTCTATGGATGCCTGTAGAAGCAGTGGAGCTAGAGACTTAAAGGGGAAAACAGAGCACCCCGGGGACCAGAGCCACGCCAGAGACCAACCCGCACGACAGAGGAGACAGAGCATCTGAATCAGATGAGTATGATGCAACCACACAGACACCAATCCATGACGTGCTAAACTCTGAGCCAGCACTCTCAGCTGAGCTCAAACACATAAACATTCCGTACCAAGTGGTGTATGGACGAACACGGGGTAAAAGAGCTTTACACAAAATGTGGCGGTGGCGTGCTAGCATGGACATACCCGATTATGGGGTGCCGTTTGTAAAGCAGCCCATTATAAAAACAACAGCAAGATTTGGTCATATTTAGCAAAACAACAGCAAGATTTAGTCACATTTAGCTTCAAACAGCATTTAAAAAGTGATGTTAATTTTCGGCAGTCATTTTTTTGCACATTTACAACAACATTTAAATACTAAAACTAAATGTTAAATGTTAAATCTAAATGCTAAATATAAATCTTAAATATATATGTTAAATCTAAATGTTAAATATAAATCTAAATGTTAAATATAAATCTAAATGTTAAATATAAATCTAAATGTTAAATCTAAATGTTAAATCTAAATGTGTTGGGCGAAACTAAATATTTAGCTAATATGCAAATTCACGGTCGGAAACCGGAAGTGCCAAAGTAAAAGCTCCAGAAGGTCATATTGCTGATTCTTGTGTCGAAGAAAACGAATTAAAACCAATTTAAGGGGGGAACAAATACTTGGGGTGACGTTTCGTGTTAATAACTACCTACAATAGCGACAGCAACAATAAAAACTTTATTAGAAAGACTCGAGTTTTCAGTGTCGCTTCTCCGTATGGCGCGGACACTGTACATCACGTTTTTAAATGCTGTTTGAAGCTAAATGTGACTAAATCTTGTTGTTGTTTTGCTAAATGTGACCAAATCTTGCTGTTGTTTTTATAATGGGCTGCTTTACAAACGGCACCCCATACCCGATAGCATGCAAAACAGAAGCATAACATACGGGGTAATGGTCGTGTCACGAGAGTATGTGCGAACCCAAATGTGTGTGCGAGGTCACTGTATGAAGGTCACTTTCCCTTGGGAAAGTTCCCTACGTGACTTTTCCTGCCAATATCTCTGACGCACATCCGTATCCATCTTCCTCTGCCAAATTCCCTTTTATTGTAATACAGTTCACCATGACCTGATGAAGTTTATCCCAATCTGACCTCTCCAACCATATCCTGCTTTCTTGCCTCATAGTAACCTCCAAAACATCCAAAACATATCTGTTATTTTCCCCCCAAAATACAACACTGTCCTTGGACAAGTTGTGGGCAACATCTACAGCGTGAGCCCAGTTCTCATGAAAACAGGATGTCAAGAGAAGTTCGTGTGTGATGTGTACTAAGTACTTCTTAACCCTCGGATGAGCTAAAAACTAAAATCAGGGAGAAGGACATGATTGACAGTCGCCTTCTGGCATCTGCTGAGCTTGCTCGATGCTGGTGTTAAAAATTACTTCAAGCAAGTCCCCTTCTGCAGGTACGTGTCACAAAAGGCGGACAAGACACATGTCTGATTGACTCAAAAAGAGGGAGGAGTTACTGCCATCTTTCTCCTCCAATCACTCACAGCTGCAGAACTGTTTTTTTTTTCTGCCCAAGATAGAGGCGCTACTCCAGCTCGAGTCCTGGAGATCACTTTTTGTTTCAGACAGGAACTCATTGAGGACGATCAGCCTTCTGCATCAGAGCAGTTTTTCCACCAGCGACAATGTAAAAGAAGAGACTTTTCATTCTAAAAGCATGTAGAAGTGAGAAGTTTACAGCCTTTTTTCCCTCTGTGGTGAAAGGAGCTGCCTGTGCGCAGCTGTGACTTTTAACGATGGAGAACATGAGCCTGGGCTGTCAGGTGAGTGAATGAGTGAGTAACAGCTGATGCGACGTCTGTTTGTCTCGCATGCGTCAAGTTTTTACTTTTTTCACTTGTGGTTTGTAGCTGTAATGCATGACGAAGTATTATCTGTCTACCCAGTTTACTGTAAAACTTCTGTTTTGTTTGTTTCGTTGCGCACTTGTGATTATTTGACGCTTAACGACGCCTCCACCATTACAACTAATTACTTCAGCCTCACCTCTTAACACGTCTCCTGAAGTGAAGCAGCGTGGGCAAATGAGACTGTTTAAGATTAAAGACACCCACAAGAAAAATAGTAAGCTATTAAAGTAAATAAAACATAGGATAAGTAAACAAAAATCACAATTTTGTACTTCAGAAGTCAAATTATGAAGAAATCTTAAGGATGTGCTGTGCTTTTAACCTATTTTATAATCAAATATAAAGTGAATTTGTCAGATGCCATTACCAAGCGTGGGCAAGGTTTAAAATTGTGAAGTAAATATGTGTTGGATTGATTCCAGGATAAGATTGCACTCTGCTCTGAACAGCTTGTTGAAAAAGTCCTATGAGAACTTGTAGGGATCCACTTAAGAGTTGCATAAATTCTGAAGTTACTAATTGATGACCCCCCCATTAAAAAACAAACAAACAAACAACAGCAGCAGCATAAATTTAACCCTTGACTGTTTCATTTTTTATTTTTTTGTGGATTTTATCCTTATGACCAACTGACACTAGTCAATTCAGTGAGGGAAACTTTTAAGAATGCAACAGTCCAGGAGGGTTAGGCTATAGAGTGCCTCCAAGAGTTAGTACCCCTTTTAGACAGGGGTTGAAATGAGGATTTTCTAAATCACCAGCCTATGATGAATTAAGAAGACCTGATGATGTGTCTCAATTTCTTGGTGGAGATGTCAGGCTGAAGCTGTCCCTTGGGAGGACTTGGCCTAGCTTAAGGCTACTGTGCTAAGTACTTACAGCCTAAATCAACATACTCTGTTTGCTTTGCATGTTGAACAGTTTAGTCTCAAATAGAACCAAGCATGTCCAGTGTGATGAAACACAGGAAGCTCTGAAGACGAGTCAAGATGGACCTTCTGGCCTTAGCCGTTGGTTCTCTATCTGCTGGGGTGTAGGGACATCAGGAGAAGTAGAACCAAACAAAACAAACAGAGGCCCAAACTGTCTGTGCAGTGGCTATGGCTGAAGCAGTTTCTGTCTACAGTTGTTGTCAGGTTGGAAACTCCCCTCCCCCTCCCCACTCCCTCTCCCAACAAGACAAGTTTTCTTGAAGTAACTCAGCATATCCCCTCCTGTGGTGCGCCAGCGATCGCCTTGTTTGCATAACAAACTGAGTGTTCACGGGTGATTTAGTACTGGCTAAAAGCCCTCCAAGCCGATCAGCTGCCCTTTGGTCTTTATAGGTAGAACAGCAAAAGCTGGTCCTTCTAGTGTTAAGTGTTGAGAAAATCAAATCAAGCAGGTTCAAATCAGGAGATAAGCCTGTCCAAGTTGCTTCCAAGGAACTTTAGTCAACATTCAAATGAACAAAGTCAATGAGCGTAAATCCTGCAGAATCAGAATAAGGTAACAGAAAATCTCTCTCCTTCACAGCAGATTTGGTAGGCATACACTTACTACTAGGACCATGGGTTGGCCCATTTTTCTTTGTGCAAGTTGCAAACTCTGTTTTTAATGGTGACATCCTGAGTCCCTCAAAGTAAAGACTCCTCCTCTATGTCCTCACAATATTAGATCTCTGATATAATGATGTTCAGGAAATGCTCAGTGATTCTATGTCACAATTTGGCAATGGCTGACTGTTGATCCAAGGGGAAAAACACAGAAGTCTATTCCTGAAAAAATAACGCTTCTACATTGGTCTGTTGGCTGAATTCCTAGAGATGGTGCCTGGTTTTTGGGCGTCCTTAGGGCAGGGCCTGGCTTAACCCAAGGCTCCTGTACTTAAACACTTATCTGATCTAGTCTAGTCTTCTTAAAATGCTCCAAGTGTTGAATTTTCATGGAAGGAAAAATGCTGATTCGAATCAGGAAGAAAATTCAGCCAAGATGTGTACAAGGAACTTTATCCAAAAATAATTCCTTATAAAAGTGTCGGTGTTGTATGTTGAACGGACTTTCCAATTAAACTTGATCAGGTTTATGTTAATTTCTTACATTCTGACTGCAGGGTTTTACATTATGAACTACTTTGATTAGCAGAGGAGAGTTACAATCAATCAATCAATCAAATTTTATTTATATAGCGCCAATTCACAACAGTCGTCATCTCAAGACGCTTTTCAAAGAGCAAGAGCAGGTCTAGACCACGCTCATTGTTTGATGATCAAGAACCAACCTGGGATGGGTTTTGGTCCATCTCAACTAATATGAGTAGCAGTGGCAAGGAAAAACTTACTTTTAACAGGCAGAAACCTTGGGCAGGACCAGCCTCATGTTAGACAGCCACCATAACGCTGCTGGGTTGGGGAGGAATGTAGAGAGATGGAGGGAGAGAGAAGAGAGAGAGAAGAGGGGAGAGGGCAGGGGGAGAGAGAGAGAGAACAAGATAAGGGAAGGCAAGAGAGAATGAGTAAGGAGAGGGAGGGGGAGGGAGAGAGAAAGAGAACGAGGGTGAGAGAGAGACAGGGGGCAGCAGAAACAACAGCAACAACAACAACAGCTCATATAATGGTGAAACAAAAAAGAGTTCAGTTTACAGGGTTAGGATATGAGTGATTATGGACAATGATAAATTAATTGAGTGTGATTACAGTTAGCAGGCCTAATCGTAGTCAGCTCTAGTTTATGTTATTAATGTCAATAATGTCAGTGAGGCTGATGTTCATGTCTGCAGTAACAGTCCAGAGGAATCCAAGAGAAGAAGGGAAGAAGGAGCTCAGGGCCTGAGGTGGACAATCATAGACAGTAATCAACTCTAGTTTCATGTTATTAATGTCAGTGAGGCTGATGTTCATGTCTGCAGTAACAGTAACAGTCCAGAGGAATCCAAGATAAGAAGGAGCTCAGGGCCTAAGGCGGACAATCGTAGACGATGCGGCTAGAGTCAGGCAGGTCTGCAGCAGCCATCAGTTGGTGTTTCCTCTGTTGTATCCTGTCCGTTTGTGATGTGTAGATGCAGAAGGAGATGCAGAGGGAGACTTTGTGAGCACCTTTGTGAGCAGTTTCTGCCTTTTCAGGGGTCCTCTGTTTAGTCTTTGTAGAAATTTTCCAATTTGTTGTGCCGTCACCTGCAGACAGTTTCTTTTTTTTTAATTTATTCTTTATTTTATCAGGCAGTCTCATTGAGATAAAGATCTCTTTTACGAGAGAGGCCTGAGAACAAGGAACATTCACAATCAACACACAACACAACAAACAAACAAGAGGTAAAAACAAAGGAATCAGTTAAAACAGTTTCAGCGATTATTGAAAACATCAGACAACAAGTATTTAAAATCTCCAAGATGATTGAAAGAGTCCAGTTTAAGAGCGGTTTGCAGCTCATTACATTTAAAGAGAGCATAGTAGTTGAAACCCGTTCTGCCAATATTAGTACGGATATATGGAATATCTAAGGTGAGATAGTTACTGGATCGTGTTCTGTAGCTACTAGGTTTAAATGACAGAAGAGATGTGAGGGAGCTGGGAAGCTTCAGCAGAAGGGCTTTATAGATGAATAACATGAGATGGATATTTCGACTGTAAAGAGGTCCAGACAACCTTTTGATAGAGGGAACAGTGATGAGTGCGAAATGTGTCATTAGTGATGAAACGTAGTACACTATGATACACAGGGTTTAACTGCTGAAGAGTTGATGGAGCTGCAGGGCAATACAAGACGTCACCATAGTCAAGGACAGACATGAAGGTGGATTGTACAATGATTTTTCAGTTGGTTGGTGATAGACAGCCTCTGACTCTGTACAGAAAGCCCAGTTTAATTTTAAAATTTTGGGTTAATTTCTGATAGATTACTGTCTAGCCAAATTCCTAAATATTTGTAGGAGTCAGTGAGGGTAATTTGTGAACCATTTAGGGTTGTGACTGTGGAAAGGTCACAGATTCTAATGGTGGATGATGTGGAGAAGATCATGCATTTATTTTTTCAGCATTTAAGACTAGTCTGTGATTATGGAGGGATAATTGAAAAGAATCAAAGGCAGTCTGTAAATTGGAGAGAGCTTGGGCTGGGGTAGAACTGGGTTCATATAAAATACAGACATCAGCAAAAAAATGGATGTTACAATTTTGGATTGGTAGAATAACATTATTCACGTAAAGTGTAAATAGCAGTGGACCAAGGATAGACCCCTGCGGCACCCCATTTATGATAGTGAGTGGACTAGATTGAAAACCATCAATGCAAACAGTCCAAGTTCTGTCAGAGAGGTAAGAATGGAACCAGTTAAGTGAAGAGGTATCTAGACCTATGGACTGTAATTTGGGAAGTAACATTTTATGATCGACAGTATCAAATGCTTTGGAGAGGTCAATAAAAAAGAGCAGCACAAAACTGTTTCCTTTCTAGAAAGGAGACAATGTCATTTAAGACTGAAACTGTGGGTGTGACTGTGCTATGACCAGGGCGAAAACCAGACTGTTGTAGCTAAAGTATGTTTGATGAAATCGATAAATAGACGTAGCTGAAGATTAACCAATGATTCCAGGATTTTAGCTAAAAATGGAAGTTTGGAATTGGACGGAAGTTATTGAGGTCAGAGATATCACCATTTTTATGTAGGGGAGTTACAGATGCTTTTTTCAGGGAAGTTGGGATGATGCCAGTTGCAAAGGTTTGGTTAAAAATGTGAGCTAAGAGAGGACTGATGAAATAAGCACTTAGTTGAAGGAGATATGATTCAAGGTGATCTGCACCTGCTTTTTTGGAAGCCTTAAACCTACATAGAATTTTGAAAACATCAGTACTGCTTACTGAAGCAAGAGAAAATGTAGGTTGTGAACTGAGGACCTCCTCCAGAGGACAGTTACGGTAAGTGTTTTCGGAAGATGGAGTAGACAAATTACTGTATAAAAGACCAGAAGATAAGACGTGATTGTTAAAGATTTCAACCATGGACAATTTATCTGAAGTATAACCAGATGTTTGTTTAATATGTGGAGGGAGCTGGGAGCGAGAAGGATTCTTAAGAGATGCCATTGTTTTCCAGAATTTAGCAGAGCTATCAGAGGCGGAGAGAGCTGAGAGATAATAATTGGATTTGGCCTTCCTGATCATACTGGTGCAGATATTTCTTTTTTGTTGAAAAACTAACCAGTCTTCGGCAGTACCACTAGATCTAGCCTTGGACCACACTTTATCTCTACTATGGATGACATTGGCGAGTTGTGGCGAGAACCAGGGACTGTATCTGTTTTTAACTCTATTTTTTATAATCCGCATGTCTGTCAGCAATAACGTTAAAAGAATGCGAAAAATGTGTCAGTGCCTCAGAAGGGTCTGATAAAGTGAGGGTGTCAATGTTTGAAGAAGATAAATCAATAAGAAAATTCTGGAGATTAAAATGTTTGTAGTTTCTAGTGGAAATATAGTGAGAGTGGAATTTAGGAATTTTGGTGTTTCTGATGCAGGCAATGGGACAATGATCACTGAAGCAGTGTAATTGTGTGGTCTGTTAGTAAGAATAATGTCAATTAAAGTAGAATGGGGATTTTTATTCACTAGATAAAAATCTTATCAGTAATTTTCCAACATGTTCACTCTGTGCAGTAAGAGTTTTCAACAAATGTTGAAAATGTTCTCTTTTTTTGATGTCATTAGTTTTCTCCATAACCTACCACTTACACATGTGGTTAAGTATCTTATTCGACGATTCCAACTGGTGGTCTCAAGACAAAATGAGTCAAAAATATAGATTTTTGTGGAAAATCCAGCGTAAACTTAGTAAAACAAAACACAGGAGACAGGATGACATCTGAAAAACAGCCTTGGCATCTTTTATTATACTGTGGTATCTGGAGTACAGCATCAACATACAATGGCTTGAGGTATTTTCCAAAGTTTGCCTGAAATAATCAAAGTGTGGAATGTGGGCATTGTGTCTCTTGGCTGCTGAGCGTTTGCAGAGCACAGGTCACAGGTCACAATACCAGACTAGATAAAAACCAGATAGTAATGAAAGATAGCTTGGGAACAAAGACAGGATGTAGGAGGACCTACATCTCTGACCGTATATAACAGGATCACAAACTCAGGTTTGAGAGAGCTGGACATCATTGGCAGTCCTCTCCCAGCAACTGCAGTGCTGTTATGATACTGGTGTTGTCTTTGTAATAAACTCTTATGATACAAGCAAGCCAGTGTCACGAAGCTTCCTTCTGCATCTACACATCGCGGACAGACCAGATGCAACAGTACAGATGTAGAAATCAGTACAGATGACAAACAGAGTCTCGACCAAACCTGATGAAAGCCTCTTTAGCTTTTTCTTCTACTACCTTTATACTGTTAGGTGTGTATCTATATACAATCATTGTTTACTGCTTGTACCTCTGATATCTCTATGTGTGTGTGTGCGCATGAGTATTCTGTCATCATGGGTATATCATATCAATTCTCCAGAAGGCTACCCATGATGACATGTCGTACTGTTCTGACCCTCAACACTTTGTTGAGACTAGTCTTAACTCTTGCAGAGATTAAAATGTTCCGACAGACAGAGTTTTGGTCCCTGCAAGACAGCCTTGCTTACAACCTTGGTGGTGTGTGTCCAAGGCTGCCTAGAGACTGTGCTGCAGAACTGTGTCAACCTCTCCACAAGATCTTCAACCTGAGTCTACAGCTGGGGCGGGTACCTGCTCTGTGGAAAACATCCTGCATTGTGCCAGTACCAAAAACAAAATGTCCTGAACTGAAGGACTACTGACCATCGGCCCTCACTTCACACATCATGAAAACCCTGGAGCGGCTGATTCTACACTGTGGTGGCAAGTGTTCTGTTCTACGCTGCAGTCTGCTGGGGAGGAAGCATCAAACACAAAGATGCAAGACGTCTTAACAAACTGGTGAAAAAGGCTGGCTCTGTGGTAGGACTCGAGCTGGACTCAGTGGAGGATGTGGTGGAGAGATCTACATTGAGGAAGGTGGAGACTATTCTCAAGAACATGGATCACCCACTTCACAACACCTTGATGGACCAAAGGGCCAGTGGTGGTGGACGGCTCCTCTCTCTTCGCTACAGGACAGAAAGATTCAGAAGATCTTTTTTAAGACTGAAAACCCTGCTTGGCTGTTTCAACATGGAAAGAATCTTATGGACCCACGCCCTGGGCGACCATCCATGTTCTGGATACGCTGATACAATATCATTTGCATAGTAAAATTCTCAACTTATGGTAATACCATTAATTTTATTGTAGCAACCTTCAACAAACCCCTTGATTAATGTGTGATCACTGTAGTCCTTTAAACTCTGCGAATTAAACGTATTGAATGCCTGATTTCAGCTCAGTATCTCAGTTCACTTAATGTATTATTTGTGTTGCTCAGAGTCCATTCCTCATCTTCGTCTCCTTCAGGGAACAGTTCAGGTCCATACAACACATACAACATATAACAGCCAGCCGGGCTGAAGGGACCCAGAGACAGCGACCCTAGCAGCAACCAAGACACAGCTCCCAGTGTAGGGGACCCCCCTAGATGGCCACAGCACAGTATATTTTAGGAGCCCATGCAAGGCTAAATAGGTGGGGGGGACCCCTTGTTCCGGGTCTCCTCCTGAGGCCTATGGCGCCTTCTTAAAGTCCCACTCCGATCATTTTTTTTTACTACTTTAAGTGTTCTCAGTGGTCTTCAAATTGTGATTATGAAGTTTTTACCAAAAATCGCATTAGCTTTGTTATTTACAGTAGTCTGACTCAAATCAGGAGATGAGGCTGTCCAAGTTGCATCCAAGTAACTTTATTCAGCATGCAAATGAACAAAGTCAGTGAGAATGAACTCTGCAGAATCCAGACTGAGGTAACAGGGAAAATCCCCTCCTTATACAGTAGGCGTTCACTTCTTGTTATAGTACCAACCCTTTTTCTTCGAAATTATCCAATAAGGATGTCCCATAATTTCGCATGTTCAAAGAGTGATGTGGGGCCTCAGCAACTCACGTAAATTTAGATTAGCTATGAACAGCTTGTCCAAGAGAAGATACAGAACTTCATCAAAAAAATGACTCCGCACAATGCTACTGCGCAATGTTGGTTTCAGGAAGTGGAGAAAAAACGCGGAATTACTGAGAGCTTTTCGGCTTCAAATCTGTATACTGGCAGAAGGCAGAACCAAGCTGTCCATAGTATATACAGTCTATGGTGACAACCCTTAGTTATAAGTTAGATTCAGATTTGAATCACTTGCAATCGATCAATGTATGTAATTTGTCTCCAAAATTAGCTCCAGGTTATGCTTCCGAAGTTTCTTACCATTTCAACAAAATGTGAGGTATATGTGACACAGAGAACCCACTTATTATTTTAGCTCATGTGTTTTCTTCTCCATGCCTTATTGGTCAGTCATAAAAACAGCTTTAGACGTGTAATGGGGAGAAAATTCTATCTTAATGTCAAAAGCTGTCATGCTAACAGTCCCTAAATTCCTACTTGTACTATTGCTCAGGGTAATTATTCATGTCCGAGCTTTGGAGAGCACATGCCACAGTTTGGTACCTTTTTTTAGAGTTTAGAAGATGACCTCGGTGCAAGAATGCAGGAATGAACTACACGAAGACAGAGTCAAGCTGGCAGCCGCTCGCGGGATTTTATTCTGGTCACAGCATACAGAACAATCGAACAGACAGAACCCAGAACAGAAAACCACAGATCTCTTATAGTACTCCATTGACGTCACTGATCCCAACTTTTGCCAAATGTGTGTGCGAAGCTACCTTCGTGTGTGTATCACTTTCCCGTGGGAGAGCTCCCTACGTGACTTCTCCCCTGCCACTATCTCTTGAAGCCAAATTCCTGTTATTGCACCACAGTTCACCATGACCCGATAAAGTTTATGTTATTGCAACACAGTTTATCCTAACCTGATAGAGTTTATGTTATTGCAACACAGTTCACCATGACTGTGTTGCAGTCCTGTTTTCTTGCTTCATAGCAACCTCCAAAACATCCAACCACATCTGTTATTTTCCCCCACAAGAGAAGATAGGATCGTGACAGAGAAGGAAATGGGTAGTGTGGTACCTGGAGTACTACTTCAACATGCAAGGCCATGAGGTATTTCTCAGAAACAGCTTGAGGTGACCAAAGTGTGGAATGTGGGCTTGTGTTTTTCTAGGCCCTCTTTAATGACGTTTGCAGGTCACAGGTCACAACTCTTAAGTTAAAAAAAAAAAACAGATGGTAAAGAAAGATAGATTGGGGACAAAGACAGGATGTAGGAGGGCCTATATCCCTAACCATCTAGAGTCACAAACTCAGGTTTGGGAGAGCTAGACATCATTGGCAGTCCTCTCCCAGCAACTCCAGTGCTGTATTGATACTGGTGTTGTCTTTATAATAAACTCCTCTTAAGCAAGCCAATGTCACGAAGCCTCCCTCTGCATATACACATTGCGGACAGACCAGATACTACAGTAGAGGGTGCTGGAATAAAAGGAGCCACAGGCTGGGATCAAACCCTCGTCTCTGTATATGGGGCTCATGCTTAGACCGTGACAGTAAACTAATAGAACCTGGAGAGCCACTGAGAGGAAGCTGGTGGTCTCTGACAAACTTGACTGTCACTTCACAATCGGACAGATCATTTTTAACTTCATTAAATGTTGTGGTATTCCATTTGCAGTCTTTCACAGATGAAATGCAGGTTTCTAGAGCGCTAAAAGAGTGTGTTTTACCATCTAAGTCTAGAGATGAGGGTGTTGTGTGACCTTCTCAACAGCTGACAGGTGGTAAATCAAACACTGAAGACCTGGACGTGAATTTTAATTCAGATAGACTTTAATGCAGTCTGTCTCTATGGGCAGTAGACTTAACCCTCAGACTGACCAATGGGAGAAGCTGGAGGATTACTAGTATCATCTCTGAGTCTAAACAAGAGTGTGAAGGGAAGATTTATGCCATCCTGTGTCCTTAAACACTTAGATAAGGGATCTCCTCTGAGGTGAGTGAGATTCAGAAGGAGACTGCGTGACGCTTGCTTGCTTTTTGATGGAAATAGGAATTTCAAGACCCCTGTATAACTTCTAAAATTATTCAATCTGACTCCAAATAGTCACACACCTATTTCCACACCGATCGTTGAATAGGGAAGGAGGAGAAGGAGTCCGTCAACTTTAGATTCAACAAGATTTATTCACAACAGTAGAGAATAGAAGTTTACAGAGTCTGGGTTCAATCACGCTTCCCTGACAAGAACATGAAGCTGGGTCAGTTCATGAAGTCTGAACCCCGTCTGTCTATCTCTCAACTAGGGCTGGGCGATATGGGAAAAAGTTTATCACAATATATTTTTTTCATATCAGTCAATATCGATAAATATCACAATCCAGTTACACCAAATGTTCAGATGACCCTGTCTACAGAGGTAGATTATAGAAAGAGAGATAAGAGAAAATATACCTGCCTGCTAACTGACCCTGAGCGACCTACTTCACTTGTGGTTACCAGGCATCTCCCAGACATCTTTGAAGTCACACTAAGTTTCATTAAACATCATTTGTAATTTTCCACACAGCTAAGCAGTTCCTTCTTTGTACTAGTCTTTGTAACCTACCACTGTACTGAGAATCCACTATCCTCAGGAGCTTAAAACCCTCTTTATTAAGACTAGGTAACATCACCGCAAATGAGCACATTTAAACATAATTATACGACTTCCAGTACACTTCAGTTCATACTATCAATAAGATTCCTCACAAAGATATAAGCCAGTAATATCTTTCAGTTTCTGAAGACACCATTTCACGAAATTCTGCACTTTGCAGAGGGGTATTTACATTAAGTGGTCCTAAGTGATACCATTAAAAACATAAAGTCAGCAACTTTTATGAAGAAAAAGGGGTTGACCCAAGATCATGAGTGTAGGTGTATGCCTACAAAGATGTGTTATTGTAAGGAGGCCTAGCCCTGGTCCACACTTGAGAGAGTATAAGGTCCACATGAATGATCAGTTTGAAAGCTTTACTGGTTGCAGATCTGAGTTACAGCTTCAGCATACCGCAAGTGTAACAAAGACTATGGTAGATTTCATAGATGCAAAGGTGCAAAAAGGGACCACCAGAAGACAGATCAAGTTGGCAGCCTTCTTGCGGGATTTATTGTAGTTAAAGCATAAACCACAATGTCATGACAATCAGACGGACAGCAGAAGCCAAATAATCCCAACATCTCCTAGAACTGTTTTCCCTTTTATACACTCCAACGACGTCAGTCGTTATTATCTTCCTGTAAGTGGTCTGTTGGGTCTAAAACCTGCAACAAGTAATTGACTCAGACACAAAGAAGAGAAAGACAATGGTATTAGATTTCTTACTCGCGAGGAGAACGGTTAGAGATACGTGCAGTTACAGTCTCCAAACACTCTGCCCGTATCTTGCCGTTTCCTCTCTTTTTATTGTGCTTAGGGCGGTCCCAGGTTACATAGCGCTGCATGCTTCTAAAGGAAATGGGGAAACTACTTACTTCTGCAGCCAAATTTTTTAAATTTTTTTTGCCAAATTTCCTGTTGAAATTTGGCAGAGCCATATGTGACAAGGTCAACGTGACCTCTCCGGCCGTGGCCTGCATCCTGTTTTTCAACACGCTGCAAAACCAGGCCACTAAGTCTGCTCTCTTGCGCAGATTTTCTTTGCTCAAATCTATTGTTTATATTTTCCCCTACAAGACTGGCCTGAGAGGGTTCAGGTTTATATAGCCACCCGCATTGTCAGACATTCTGCAGACATCTTGTTGACAGTATAAAGAGTCCATAGATTAATGACAAAGCACAACATATTTTGGGAGCTTGAGTGATGTTAGACAGGTGGAGAAGGTCCTCGTTCAGGATGGTTTTCAGAGGCCCATGGCTCCAGGAATCTAGCACCAAAATATCAGTGGTATTTGGGTTACACAGCTCCAACACACTAAAGGCTGACCTGACTGGTGATGTTGTGGTATCTGGAGTACTGCACCAACATGCAAGGCCTTGAGGTTTTTCTCAGGTAGAGTCTGAGGTGACCAATTGTGGAATGTGGGCTTGTGTTTTTCTTTTGTCTCCTTAATGGTACCTGGGTCGGGATATCCTGGAAGTGGCACGTTTGTAGGTCACAGGTCACAGGTCACAGTTCTAGGTTAACTAAATCCAGATGGTAACGAAAGATAGCTTGGGGACAAAGGAAGGATGTAGGAGGGCTTACATCCCTAACCATATAGGGTTACAAACTCTGGTTTGGGAGAGCTGGACATCATTGGCAGTCCTCTCCCAGCAACTGCAGTGCTGTTATGATACTGGTGTTGTCTTTATGATAAACTCCTCTTATACAAGCAAGCCAGTGTCATGAAGCCTCCTTCTGCATCTACACATCGCGGACAGACCAGATACTACAATTTGTCTCAATTCTCCAGGTGATGTCTGCTCAAGCTGCCCCTAAGGAGGTCCTGGCCTCTGCAAAGACTCTATGCTAGACCATATTAGCTTTATCCTAGCTGGCTTGGTTAAGTCAAAGTGTTGAGTCTTCTTAGAAGGGAGGCAATCAGATCCAAATCAGGAGATGGGGCTGTCCAAGTTGCATTCAAGGTACTTTATTCAGCATGTAAATGAACAAAGTCAGTGAGAATGAACTCTGCAGAATCCAGAAAATCCCCTTCTTATATAGCATTTCACAGTAGGAGTTCACTTCTTATCATAGTACCAACCCTTTTTTTTAATGTAACTTCTAAAACCCTTGTTTCTAGTGGTGTCTGGGCAAGGCTGATGAAGCAAAGCCCCTTTCTGATGAGCTCAGCCATCAGGTGTTGTTTTTCTAATGGTGTCTTGAGACCTCACCAGTTATAAACAATATAAGGCCCTATGATTGGGCCTCAGGGTGCCTCCTGTACAGACCTTATTTTAACAGCACTGTGACCATCAAAATGCCCTTCAGCGGTTTCTGTGAGAAGGTGACAAATATACTTTCTGTAAGCATATATTGAACATTTTCCAATAAGAATGACCCATGATCTGACATGTTTTAGAAGAGGAGCCCAGGGCCTCACAACAACACATCATGTGAATTTATAATAGCTGGGCATGGGATGTCTAAGAGAAGATACAGAACATCATCTAAAAATGAGAACATCATCTAAAAATGAGAAAAGTGTTCAGTGTAGAAATCTAAGGCGAGGCTAGGCACTGCTATTGGGACATCCAGAGTCAGGCAACATCAATGTGAAATTGAGACATGACACTGTCACTGGCACAGTCAGTCAGGACATAGTAAAAGCTCCTCTGAATACCTTCTATGGAGCAATTCCCAGGAAGCATAAACTTCATCTTAAATGGTTTCACAACAGTCTTTAACATCTCTAACACATTACACCTGTATTACCTTTCTGCCTGGCCACCAGTCACCAAAAACATGTGGACAAAAGAGTGTTCATGAACCCCTTTGGTGTGGAAATGCACAGTTTAAGTATTTATTATTATTGTTATTATTATTATTATTATTATTATTATTGTTATTGTTGTTGTTGTTGTTATTATTAATAACATACATTTTAAAAGTGCACTCATTGGTAAATAAAGTGCAGAAACAGTGGGCTTAGAGAACAAAATTATTATATTTCTGTTTCGTTGACGCACCTTTGTTTTGTTTTATCGTAGGTGTGTTGTGCCAAGTTTCGGCGGATCGGTGAAATCAAGAAGCACATTTCTTCAAATACGCATAAAATGGTGAGAATCAAACTGCAACCACACATGCATTCGATGAGTTTATATGAACTTTTACTGATGGTACTTCTACCACATGATCCCGGGATCATGTAGATAACTCACTGGTCACTTTACCTGTTTACCTCTGTTACCTCGTTTACTTGGTACATAGGAGTCAATATTTGTTTAATTATTTTAATTTTATTTTTATTTTTACGATTATTTGTACATAGGATGTATATAGGAGTGGATATTTATCTTGTTTCTATTTTTATTTTATCTCTTTCTATGTATTATTTGATTTTCTTATTATTATTATTCTGTTTCTTTAGCACAATCGCAGACGTCACTTTCATTTCACTGCCACTGTACCTGTACATTTAGGCATGTGACAAATAAAACTTGAAACTGAAACTGAAACAGGATACATTTGTGAGTTTCTAGATACTTGGACTAGTTTTTAAGCTCCTCATACGTCTGTCCTGCTACCTCTGTTGGTGAAAAGCTTTGATGATAATGTTTGCTTGTGTCCTTGTATGTTCCCCTAAAGAAAATGAAAGAAGTCTTCCAGAAAGGTAACTTTTTTTTTTTTTTTTTAATTCAGTGTTTCTAAATCTATTAGAGTTTTTTAATCATTGAGCTTTGCTTTGTTTGTTACATCTTTTCAGAGAAGTCCATCGGGCAAAGTAAGTCTACTTCTTGTTCTTGATAACGTTTCCAATACAAAAAAAATCTTTATTACATTTAAATATTTTGTGAATTTAAATTAAAGTACAAGATGCTTAACGAAAAAGAGGAGTCTCTCCTCCCAATGTCAGTTAATGTGGCACAACTGTTTTTTTTTTTTAAGTACAAGGTTTAAATGTTTTTATTTTACAAGTCTGTTTTCTCCACAGATTTTCCCTTTGTTAGTATGATGAGCCCATTCACTAAATATGATTTTAAACAACCCATCATAGGTGAGTAAACACCTCTTGGTTTATTTGACATCTCGTGTTGCACTGTTGAAATTGGAGGTTAAACTTTAAGCAACCACTTTAGAAGATGACCTCGGTGCAAAAATGCAGGAATGAACTACATGAAGACAGAATCAAGCTGGCAGCCTCTCGCAGGATTTTATTCTGGTCACAGCATCAAACACAGCTCATGGACAGTCGAACAGACAGACCCCAGAACAGAAAAACCACAGATCTCTTATAGTACTCCACTGACGTCACCGATCTCAATCTTTTGCCAAATGTGCGTGCGAAGCTACCTTCGTGTGTGTATCACTTTCCCGTGGGAAAGCTCCCTACGTGACTTTTTCCCTGCCACTATCTCTGATGCACAGAGATATCTTCCTCTTTATTTCCTGTTATTGTAATTAAACTTCATCATGACCTGATGAAGTTTATCCCAATCTGACCTCTCCCATATCCTGTTTTCTTGCCTCATATTAACCTCCAAAACATCCAAACATATCTGTTATTTTCCCCCACACCACAAGTCCATCCTTAAAGCTTTTGTAAAGCAAAATATATATATATATATTTTTTATGGATATTGTTTTATCTCGTCTGTCAATGACGTGTAAGAGACTTGGTGGCACTGGCTTGCTTGTATAGTAAACAATTTATTACAGACATCAGTATCCAACAAGCTCTGCAGATGCTGGGAGATGACTGTCAATGATGTCTTTCTCCTAGATTTGAGTTTAAGCACTGCTGATATTAAGTTAAGAGGTGCTTACACATCATACACAAACTTCTCTTAAACATCCTGTTTTCATGACAATTGGACTCTGGCTGTAAATTGTGAGGTGCCAACTATTACTGACACAATAAGTCACAGGACTCAGAAAACAAAGACAGGAAAGGCTTCTTACTTGTATTCTATAGAAACCATATATAGTTTCACAAGGGATACCTAAATATTTAGTGATCAGAAAACCACCTTTTCAAATAAAATGGCTCAAATTTCTTGCTTTTAGAGTAGTTTTAAGTTTCTGATGATTGTGAATGTGTATTAAGGTGATTCTCATTTTAATATATATGAAATTTAGTGTAATTTTAATCATGTATCAGACTGTTTTGAAGTAATTTTCTTTCTTTTACCCTCTGCCAGGCTTGTCTCTGCTGAGTCTCTGTTTCAGCCCAGAGACTTCCATCTTTTTTTACCTCTGCCACGTCTGCGGCGAGAAGTGTTTACCAGGAAAGATTCTCTTCCATCTCTCTTCTCAAGATCATTTCAGCAACTACTTTGTAAGGACTAACGCCATAAAATTTAACGAGTGCTTCAAATCTTGGATCCTTAACAATATAAACTTGTATTTTGTGTTTTTAGACCTACACAGACCCCAACGTACTGTGTTACTCCTGGATCCCCAGCATGGATGTGAGAAAGACTCAGAGGCAGGAGATCTCCTGGGAAGCCACTAAAGCAGAGACAAAACAGCTACAGGTCTGAATCATGACATAAATGCCGTCAGTGTCAGGGACTCACAGTCTGCACCCTCATCACATGCATGTCCTGTACTTGCACAATATGAATTCAGTCCTGGTATGACCTCAGGGTTTCCACATTTTCATGCACTGTGCTGCACCACTTGAAGAAACGGGACACCTTTCTCTATTTTCTCTGTGCAGATGTTGGATTTACCAGAAGATCTATTAAAAAAGCTCATAACCTGCTCCTACTCTGAAGGTATATCATCTTAAAGTTGCTCTGAAAAAGCTGTTCGGTCATTTTGTTGCAGAATTTGTTGATGGAAATGTTCTGATCTGTCTCCCCAGTGATACACTCATTGAGTGAAAATGAGAAGCTCCTGAAGATACTCAAGGGTGAGGCAGTTTTCGTCTCGTGAAAATAGCAGCTCATTTTGTAACTGACCAGAAACATAATTCACGCATACCTGCTTCAGTTTGAAGTTTATTGAAACTTTAAGGACTGTTAAAGCTGCTCTCAAGCTGTCTGATATGAAATGATTCATTGGTACGATTAGAGTTTTTCATGTGAGCTCTGAAGTACGTCCTGGTGTTTGTATGTGTGTTTCTTATTGCTCTGATTTCCACACCTCATCTCTGCACTCTTTCTTTCCTTACAGCCATAGAGCCAGAGAGGAAAACGATCCAAACATACCAAAAAGATCCCCAAAAAAAGCATCCACTTCTAGGTGTGTACACTGCTGGAGGATTTACAGATGAAAAAGTAGTGCTTGTAAAATTATAGTTAGGAAGTAATATAAAAATAAAGTTTAAGATTTGGGTTAAGATGCTGCAGAATACGCAGCATTCTTGGTCGACTTCTGCATGCAGTTTTGGCCAAAACAGTTATTTCCTCTTCTCTTTTCCCTGACTTTGGTCTTGCAGGCATGCAGCACATAGTTGAATGCATTTCTGCTGGACCCTCTGAGAGGAGACACTACCTCTGCACTCTCTGCAAACTGACCATTTCCACCCACATGATCATCAAACACGTCGTGAGCTTTGACCACATATTTTCTTACTTTGTAAGTATTGTCGTAGATTGAAAGTCTATCGAAGGATTAAGTGATTTACTCTCTCCGAAAAAGGAGAAAGTATGTCAAGCAGATAGGAACCACGTTGGTGCTTTTATACCGTCAGGCTCACACCCCGTCAAAACACTCAGAATATCTAGAACATGCACACCTCCCCAGCTCAGGAAACTCTGATCTCTTATCAGGTTTGTGCAAACTACCAAATGTCCCTGAACCTCTAACAATGGAGTTAAATAAGCAACAAAACACGTGCTGATGTCAAGTTAAATAATTTAATCTATTACAAAGACGACACCAGTATAAAATCAGCACCACAGATGCTGGGAAACAACTGCCAATGATTTCCTTCTCCCAGATCTCAGATTGTGCTCCTCTTATTTAGGGTTTAGAGGTGTGGTTCCTCTTATATCAACATCTCTTGACCTTAAGTTTATCTTCCTTTACCATCTGGTTTAAAACTAACTTTGGCCTGAGACCTGTGAAGGGGAATCTCTATATAAAAGGCTATATATTCTATATAATATTTATTGATTATCTTTTATCATTGATTTATAAACCGGTTGGATTAGTGTTGGGTCTAAAACCTGCAACAAAACCATTCTGAAGGTATATCTGTCCGGGCCTCTCTTTTTATTTAGGGTTGTCCCTGGTTACACAACGCTGCATATACTAAAGGATGGGGGAAACTATCTGCAGCAGCGTAAGCACTCTCATAAAACACAATTATGAACAACAGAAAATATGTGAGGGTCAAGGCGACATTGTTGACATTAAACGAGCTCCTTCTGATAGGAGCGGATCCTCCTTATTACTTCCCACGTTTCACAGTGGAGGTTACATCACACACACACCTGCTGATAGGAGAAACAAGGTCAGAGAAGTTAGAAAACACTCATGTGCTGTGTAACAAGGGGTTAAAGCAGTTCATAGTTGTAGCAAACTCTTACATAAGAATTTGAGTAAGATGATAACTCCTATATACATTTATACACATTATTCTGACAATTAGGCCTGGTTGTGCAGCCAGAGGTTACATGACCCAGGCTGCTTTGCAGGGACCAAAAATTATTGGGTTGTCAAAACACTTAGGGTTGGTTTCCAGGTGGTCTAAGAAGAGTCCAAACAGTGGGTGAATTTCAGAACATCGAGATATGTCCTTGGAGTTGTAACACCATGCAATACACATATAAGTGGTGCACTTTTATCGTTCACAAGTAACACACAATCACTGTATTCAGATACACACCCAGCAGCATAAGTAACACACAATCACTGTATTCAGATACACACCCAGCAGCATAAAAGTGTGAGAGAGAGATGCCTGGGGCTCCTCTCCTTTGGTTTGGTCAAGACTGTGTTTCATCTGTACTGATTTCTACAAAAAAGACGCCCGCGCTGCTCTTCAGAGCTCATCCTGTCTCCTGTGCGTTGTTTTGCTGTATACTGTAAATGTTTTCCACAACATCTGTAGGGCACCAATCAGCTGGACCATTTGGGTTAGGAAACATAAAAGAGACACATCAAACACATAGCATAAAAGTTTCTCAGGATACCCCAGGGAAACACACCAATCGTAAACTTTATGTCTTGTTGTTTTACTACAGATACCTCATTATTCTCCTGCAGGCTGTTATCTTTTCGTCTGCCAGGTCTTTGCCACAAAAGTAGAACACCAGAAGTGAAAGTGCCTTTTTCCTCTAAAGTCTCTCTAAACACTGAATCACAACTGATGGAAATCTTTGTTCTTTGGCTTTTATTCTTGCACAGAGAGTGTGGCACCCCTCCACTTTGCTGTCAAAGGGGAGCTACAGTGATTACTCCACCTTTGCCTCCATGATCCTCAACTTGGCAAAGCAGAGTGAGGAGATTCATGGTGCTGCAAACTCTGAATTGAAGGTAATGTTTGTAAATTACCAGGCAGAGTGTCCAGAATAGATCAGATTGATGCTTGTGTTTGAATAAATGTGAAACTGTTTGATTCTCTGTCACAGCAAGTGAAGCTGGAGCCTGCGGAGTACACATCTGTGGATTTCGCCTGTTATGCAGAGGGTTGGTGTTTTTTCAGACTGCATTTGGTTTTTGATTCCTTTGATGGATATCTGCTAACATGCACAATGTGTCTTGCAGCTTTGAAAGAACTGGAGTCTATTCGAATGAAAAAGGGAGAGAGCAGCATAATCACTGTCGTCACACCGGGGGAAAAGCTTGGTATGTAATCTTTGGTCCAAAAAATATTTTTCAGCAGATTAATCATCTTTTTAAAGCAGTTTTGGTTAATGATATCTGGTCTTTTTAGTGTTTTTATTCAACATATTCTTGCATGATTAGTTTGATATCTTCTTCAAGGCCTTCACAGAGTGAGAAATCATTAAAACCAGCGCTCTGACATGGATGTTCCCATTTAATTTCAAAGTAACCAAAGATAGTCGAGCCCACTCAGTTGCTTTTTTCTCTTTCTCTCAGAGTGTCAGTCTACGGATCGATGTGAGCCAGTACAATCTGTGCAGTTAAAACAACGCTGTCAGGTACAGTCTGTTTCACTGAAGTGGTCATGTGTTAACTTTTCTGTGTTTCTCTGAGATTTGACATCATTGATGAATACATCTAACTATGTTTTCCTCTTCTTCTGTTCCTGTTCACTTCCCCACGGTAGAACTGCGACATAATCTTCAACTCATTCCATCAATATTTAACCCATGTGAAAACTCGCTATCACCAAAAGGTAAATCACTTTTTTTCCACAAAGTTTAAAAAAAAGATTTAATTTGAAATTGTCATCCCTTTTTGACAAGTATTGAATTTCTCCTTGTTGTCCTTCCCAGATGTTGATCAAAATTTTTGGCAAAGGTACCCTTTAATTTCCTCTCATTAATCCTAATATTGTTAACTGTTCTGTACATGGTAAAAACCTTAGCTATTCTTCTCTCTCTTACAGATATGACAGCTTTTGATTATGCAGACAGAGGTACACACTGTCCGTCACAGCATGTTGCAAAATTATTTTACTGATTTTACTTCAATTCATGCAAGACCTCAACTTCTTTAGCCTTTTATAGTCTGCTGCAGAAATTCTCCTTTTCCTTTTCAAATTAGGAAAAGTGCCTTTTCTGACGTTACACCCACACCTCAAGGGCAGAATGAACAGCAAACCTGCAGTCGGTAAGTGACCCATTTGTTTGTTGTGTTTCTGTTTATTTCTGCTCACTGTTGACTTTACTGTTTGTTCACTCCTGTGCTCTTTCAGGTGTCTCCCTGGTTGTGACATGCATCAGCTCTGAGGGGGGCAGGTACAAACCTTTTTGTGTGTGCTTTGCCTGCTCGGTCAGCTTCCAGGAAGCTTTGGCTGCTGAGCACTTGGACTCGGAAAAACACATCATGAATACTTTGGTAAGGTTTTTTATTCTAGATGGTTTTGTTTGGTTTTGTAAAGCAGATAGAAGTTGCACTGTTGTATCTGGTCTGTCTGCGATGTGTAGATGCAGACAGAGGCTTTGTGACACTGGCTTGCTTGTATAAGAGCAGTTTATTATAAAGACAACACCAGTATCAGAACAGCACTGCAGTTGCTGGGAGAGGACTGCCAATGATGTCCAGCTCTCCCTAACCAGAGTTTGTGATCCTGTTATATAGAGTCATCCTCTCTTTGTTCCCCAGCTATCTTTTCGTTATCATCTGTTTGTTTGTTGTTTTTTTTAATCTAGTCTGGAATTGTGACCTGTGAACTGTGACCTGTGCTCCGCACACACTCAACAGCCAGGAGACACAGTGTCTACAATCCATACTTTGATTAGTTCATGCAACTTTGGGAAATACCTCAAGGCCTTGTATGTTAATGCTGTACTCCAGATACCACAGCACTACTTCATAATAGTAATAACTTTATTTTTATAGCAATTTTTAAAATACAAGTTTACAAAGTGCTTTGACAAATAGTTGTACAGCACAGAACATAAGCACATGGAAATATAACAAATTAAAAATCCCAATTTTTAAAAGCCTCCGAATTGAAGGCCAATTTCATTTGTCACTTGGAACCCAGACAATACAAGAACCCTACAACATAAAATGAGACCATGAGGACCAAAATAAAAACATAAAATAGGTTAGAAAAATAAATGTAATAAAAAAGGGGGTTCGAAAGCAGAAAACAGGATAGTAAATATAAAAAGATGACATTAATAATGATAATAAAATCATAACAAAATAATAATGATGGTAATAGTAATGATAAAATAGAATAACAAAAATGAGCAAGACAAAACAATAAAATAAAAGGTTAAATAAGAAAAGATTGTAAGTATATCAAAGGCTCAAAAGACAGTTCCTTTGTTTAAGGATGCACTTTTTAGGTTAGAATCATACCTCCACGTAGGTATGATATATCGTATGTTGGATTAATCCGATTTTTTTCAGCTTTTGAATGCATTTGGAGAATGTGCTTTTATCAAGACGTAACAAATCATTCCTGTTAAAATTCACTGTGATTATTTTAGTCAATTTGGCTTTTAAATGAATAAAGGAAAGGTATTAATCGAAGTAAGTCAATAATAAACAGGGGAAGCAGTAGCTCAGGAGATAGAGTGGTCATCCAATAACTGGAAGTTTGGTGGTTCCCCCCGATCCCCAGTTCGTCCATTGTGTCCTTTGGCAAGACACTTAACCCACCTTGCTCATAGTGTGTGTCCTCCATTGGTGTATGAATGTGAGTGTTGTGTGGCGGTGGTTGGAGAGGCTGAAGGTGCAAACTGGCAGCCACGTTTCTGTCAGTCTACTAAAGTAGTTTACCGCCACCAGGGTGTGACTGTGTGAGCGAATGAATGATGTCTCCAATATAAAATGCTTTGAAGTTGTCTGATAAAGCGCTATAAAATCTGATGCATTATTATTATTATTAATATTATTAGTGATTGATAACTTACTGCCAAGTTTTTGTCTGAAATTCCCAGCTCTACCTGAATCCCTGGAGACTCCCTCTTGCATGGGGCAGTTGTCAGGAATTCAATGACTTGTGGTTGGCAGCATGGGAAGAGGAAAGAGTCAGAGAGCCACATGAAAGCGTGATGAAGGTAAGATGTCAGTGGGCTCTTAAATGTTAATGTTCTGAATTGAAATCATATATAAATCTCAAAATGATACTAGGAATGTTTCATAGCATTTGTAGCAGCTCTGGACTTTTTTTTTCATAATTCTAAAGGATGAGCATGGCACACACACACACACACCATCCATCCATCCATCCATCCATCCATCCATTCGTCTGAAATACAGCAGCTATGTGAAAAAGGGAAAACAGTGTCCCTCTGGTTCTAAAGGGTAGGGCAGGAGGACAGAAAAATGGCGCCATCTGCTGGTCGGCATAAAAAACCCAGTTTGACTCTCAAGGAATAGGTGTACATGAGAAAATATATCCCAAAATTATACTGCATTGGCAGTGTATTGAAGAAAAAATGTTTTAATGGGAGTCAATGGGACCGTTTCGGTCCTTAGGGGTGTCTACTGTAGTCATAAAAATTGCTAACATGCAAAAAAGGTCAACGGAAGAAAAAAAAATTAAATTGCACCTAAAATTACACACTTGGACAAACTTTCATGCCATTTGCATCATCACAGCCAAAATTATCCACAAAAGTATAGTTACGAAGGACCAAAACGGTCCTAAGGGGTGCACAAGGGTTAAAAGGGTAATTGTCTCATTGATTGTTTACAAAAAGTCATCTGTTAATTCTTAATTAGTTCAGGAAAAAAAGCACATGAATAGATGATGCTGAACTACACTTGGTTTGAATAAATAAAAGGTGCTGACAGGGCAAAAAAATCAGGAAAAAAAGTGTTGTTACTTTCTCTGGTTTTTACTTATAAGGAAATTTTCCTTCCAGATACTCGATATACCAGAGGGGATGTTTGCAAGACTCCAATCACCAAGTTACAACCAAGGTGAGTATCACTCTGATGTTACATTATACAGAGAGGGGAGGGGATGTTGGATCGGAGTAATCCCAGTATGAGATGGCTTTTGTCACGTTTTTTTTTTATCAATTTATATGCATTAAAAATGTCGAGGCAAACAAAACAGGCAGAGAACAATATAGAAAAGTTAATGGATGAGGCTGAGAGGATCACACTGGTATTGACTGTACAACTACAGAGGAGGTAGTTTTCAAAGACACCAATCTGAGCTGAGTTAGGAACCCTCTGAATATCATGTAAAGCTGCCAATGGAACAGCAGAGAGACAACATAAACATAAAATCAGCAAATTTATTCAGTGTTTTGCCAATTTGATTGAATATTACTGTATAACAAAAGATGTGGGTCAGGGTCTATCTATCATGACAGCACAGTCTATTTTAGGAGCCTGTATGGTGATAAACAGATAAAGGGGGTCCTGTTGCTCCTTATCTCTTCTTGAGGCCTTCAATGTTATAAGCACAGTTCATTCATCATGAATAACTATATAAATGATTAAAATTCATACTAACAATGAGGTTGTAGAGTTTTTCTAGATAAAGCACAGCCTTTAACTTTTATTTTTTTCTTGTGTTTGTAATAAATTCCCTTTTTTTCTTTCAGTGATGATGACTCTGACACGTCACTGCACTTACTTGAAACGTGGAGGTTTGTGATCAAATTGTCTCCTGAATTCAGATGATGGAAGCTCATCTTTTTAACCTTCATCTCAGACAGTCATGTATTTTTAAATTGTTTTATGTCTGTGCAGTTCCATGCTCTGAAACATGCACCAAACTCAGAGACAATGAGAGATTTCCTCTGCTGGGTAAGTACATGCGGACGGGAAAGAAGTCCTGCCAGAAGTCAGACACGTACCTCTTCTATTGATAGTCTGTTTTACCTTTTTGTTGCAGGTAGAGAGTTCCTGACTGTCTACGAAGTGTCTTTCAGCCCCCATCAGCACATAGAAGAGGTGATATTGTGTACGCTTTGCCGGAGGAAACTGTCAAACCAAGAATGCTGGGCTCATGTGTTCAGCCGGAAACACATTGAAACATTTATAGTGAGTACTTTTAATAAGTTACAAAAACTCTGTTCATTGAGGTGAGGCATTTCTTAACATTGCATGGTTATAGAGTCTGTTTGCTCAGTATGTAGAGATGGGTATATAATACATGGACGAAAGAAGTGTGTATTTTAAAGTGATAAAACGTGCTGTAGAGATAAAGCAAGGATCCACGTGCCTGGCTGACACACGCTTTTACATGGTATTAAATGTCATGAGCAGTTAAATGACAGTTAACAGCTCATAAAAAGTGTCAGAAAAGTTATACTGCATATGACTTGCAGCCAGCTGAGTGTGGTCTTTGTCTTCAAAATGTTTTACTTGCAAGGAGTCAGCAGCTTACAACAAAGGCAGCTTTTTCTGACTGAGGAATTCAAGATTTTTACACATGCTTTATTATGCAGTCAAGAAACAGACACCCCCACCCTCTAACACACAGTATCATCTCACAAGTAGAAGGACATAAGAGTATCGAAATATGGTAAAGGCTGCAGCTGTGGTCTGCACTGGGAGAACAAAGAGAGCTTAATTCATCATTCATCCTGCTTATCAGTTCAATGTCACACTGGTGGGAAAACAACCTGTGAGTGAAACTGTAGCATTCATCTAGTTGCATGGCGTCAGTGGAAAAGTATCAACACAAACTCACAAACCCAAGGCCACATTTCTCCTTTTCATGCTCATTTAAAAGAAACAGATATAACTGTGCAAGCATTCACACCAAGTGATTTTCAGTAAATGATGATTAACACAAAATACACACATGATAGCATACAAATACAATTTTTCTTTCAAAAAGTCAAGGTAACAGGTAATTTAATGATGCAGAACATTTCATCTAAACATCTGAACAAAACCTCAGACAGAATGTGAAAAGTCCCTGTGTGTGTTGTATTCCTTTTAACCTTGCTGTTGTTTTCTGGGAAGAACACTGGTGATAATAACTCCTGCCTCTCTGAGAAATAAACGGTGTAATATTTCTGATGTTTAATGACCAATGAAATGACTGAAAATGTACCACTGATGACTATTGTCCAATGAAAACATGTATGTTCAATGTGAGGAAAATATAATGGTGTTAGATAATTTTAAAATAGCTGAAATGGGAGCCCCTCCCTTTGACTGTCTCAAAAGACTGTTGCTGATAGACTCTTTTTTGTCAAACAAAGAGAATTGCTTGGCTCTTTTTCTTTTTAAGGAGCAAAATAACACAAACCTTCCTCAGGCCTGAACATTTGTGTTTGTATTTGTAGAACTGTTTTCACCCAGGGTCCCTGGATTCAAACACTGATAGAGAGACCCTGTTGGACTTGGCGAAACAGGCAGCAAGTCATCATCCAGTGCAGCTCATGAAGGTAGTCTTTTCCAGAAGTTTACACACCATCTTGATGAAGCATCTCCTTCTGCAGTATGCTCACCCTGCTGTTTTTTCTGCACTAAAAGAAAGCTTACTTGGACATACCCATCAAGGAGCCATGTACATACAACCAGAGTGAGTATGTGCTGTGTCCTGCAGCTGAATGTAACAGCATGTAGTATGTTACTGTGAACTGGCCTTTGAATTGTATCGTACCATTTTTGTGTTCCAGCTGTTAGGATCCTTAGAGCTGCAGTAGGTAGACAAGGACAAGGACCCCTCACTCCTGAGAAACTTCCAAAGATGAAACTCTGTAAGTCACTCCAAGTTTGTTACCCACACAGGTGTTTTATGTGCAGTAGACTGAAGAAGTGTGGCTGAGGCTTGGGATGTAATGCTGCACGACTCCTTTTAACTCACAGATTATCCATCTGAATAATTAGAAGGGACTTTTGTTGCAGATGTTTTCATTAAAATCCTTTTTTTTTTTTATTCCATGTGTTTCTCAGTCCCCAGAGGAACTTCAAAAGACACAGATATAGACCCTGTGAAAGACAACATCCTTGAAAACAGCAGCATGGTAGAGGGCCCTGAGAAAATGACTGATGAAATGTGTGCAGACAACCTCATTAAGACGGAAGATGGTGCTGCAGTGCCCAATAAGCAGTGTTCAGAACTGGTAGAAAATGCCAACCACATAGCTGATGTGAAGAATGAAACACCAAATAAGAGTGAATCGTTGATAGTTGTTAAAGAGGAAATTCAGAGCGCTGGTGAGCCATGTCAAGTGATAAAAGAGGAGAGGATAGAAGTCTTGATTATGAGTAAACCACAAGAGGAGCAAAATAAAGGCTGTGAGTACAGAGACATTGATTTAAAGCAGGAAGTTGAAGAACAAGACAGCCCAAACCCTCTGACACTCTTGAAGAATAACACGTGCAAAGAAGAAACAGAGAAAGCCATCAGCATGTCTGCAGAGTCCCAGGACATTTGTCTTCAGAACAATGAAGAAAATAACCAAAGTCTGCCTAGCAACAGGCAGACGCAGAAAATCACAGCAAAGGAGGGAGAGGGCAAACTCTGTCCAAAGGGTGAGTAAATGAACCAATAACATGTTTTGCATCCAGTGGTTTATTTGATGCCATGTATTACATGTCACTTTGGTGCATAACTTGGTGTATTCAATGATATACCCATCAAAGATAGGTCATCAATACACTGACAAATCCTGCAGGCATGCAACACTTCACAAAGAACACACGCATGTCCCTTTCATGGTGACGTTCATTGTGAAGGATTTGAAGTAAGACAGTCCTGGGGGGAGGAGATAGTGATGTGTCTCAGTTCTCCCAGTAATAGCAGCTGTCCCTCAGGGGATCTTGACCTCTGTTGAGCTCTACACTAGACACTACTGGCTTTGTTGTTGTTGTTGGCTTGTCTAAGTATTAGTGTAGAACCTTCAATGGAGAAATCAGCAGTCTGACTCAAATCAGGAGATGAAGCTGTCCAAGTTACATCCAAGTAACTTTATTCAGCATGCAAATGAACCAAGTCAGTGAGAATGAACTCTGCAGAATCCAGACCGAGGTAACTAAGAAAATCCCCTTCTTATACAGCATTTCACAGTAGGCGTTCACTTCTTATCATAGTACCAACCCTTTTTCTTTGTGTAAGTTCTAAAACCCTTGTTTCTAATGCTGTCTGTGCAAGACCGATGAGGCAAAGCCCCTTTCTGATGAGCTCAGCCATCAGGTGTTGGTTTTCTAATGGTGGTGTAATGGAGTGATTTGTGACCGACAAGCAATACGACCACATCTGAAACACAGAAGACAGCTGGGGCGTGCGCATCAAGCCCCTGCCCCTTTCTCCTGTTTCCGCGGACAGTGTTGCCAGATTGGGCGGTTTTCCGCCCAATTGGGTTACTTTCGTTTACGTCAGACGGGGAAAAAAATACATTGGGCGGGTAAATACAATTTGGGCAGCTTTTGTCCACACTTGAGGAGTTTTTCGTTCTCAATATTGTTCAAGTTAACGGATTCTGCGTAAAGGGTAAGATGATTTTTATGTCACCTTATCTTAGTTGCACTGTGACTGATTTGTAGCCCACTGATAGCACTTGCTCGTTTATCACCTCCGCCAATGAGGTTATGTTTTCGGTAGCGTTGGTTTGTTTGTCTGTTAGCAACTTTACGGAGAAATTAACAGACGGATTGACCTGGAATTGAGACCAGAGGTGCGTCTCAGCCCCAGGAGGATCCCATTACATTTTGGTGGTGATCCAGATCGCCTTCTGGATCCAGGAATTTTTTGAAGGATTCTTTATCATTGTGAGATAGGGCAAATTTTGGAATTTTTGCATTTAACTCTATAAAAATAGCCAGAGTCTTTAGTAAAAAAATTACACAAAAGGATCTCAATGAGTTTTATGAGGTGTCAAAGGTTGATCCTGATCCAGACAAAATTCCGGATACTGTAAGCTGCTTGGCGGAGGTCTGCGCTCTCCGAGTGCTTTTCTAGTTTTAAATTGATTTGCAAGTAGTCCTCATACGGGTCATCATTAGTGATGTATATTATTAAATGTACTAGTTCTACAAATGTTAAAAGTGCACCTTTGTACGTGCAGCATTCATTTTTGCTAATCTGAGCCTGGCACTAGGATGTCAGAGGCTCATCTTGCAATTTGTGTAGCCTATGGTTGATTTACTGCGCTCTTGTTGGTTGCAGTTAAACCTGTTTATCATTAGTGTGGTTATTTGATGCTATATGAAGCTCTGGGTACTTACGAGCGTTTTCTATTGCATGTGTTATGATTGTACAACTTCGTGGTTTAGGCTGTTTCTTATTGGATCGGGCGGGATCTAAAATGTGATTGGGCTTGAAACTGTCAATCCGATCTGGCAACACTGTTTCCGCGGTTGTCAGGGTTACTATCTAAGAAAGATCTAAGAAAAAGGCTAAGAAATTAGGTAAACTAGCGCTGTTTTCTGTCCAAGTTTCATGTCGACAGGAATGGTCATTACCTGCCTTTAAGTGGGTAAGAATGATCACTCGAGTACTCATAGACATAAAAACTTTGTAAAAGCGATAAATGAACTGGGCTGTGGCCGTTAATCCTACTGAAACCAGCGAATGCTGACAACTGCCGCTAATCGCTCCATTAATTTGATAAAAAAATGATTTCCGAAATTTTCTACTGAATAATACTTTTATTGTTAAGGCATTTGTATTCTGAAACAGATAACTCAGGAAACGAGGCACTTTGTTTTATCTCAAACTTGACACAACAAATGCCAAACAATGCTGACCCCTTAAGTGTTCGTGCTGCTGCGTTCGGGTTACCTCGGAAGTCAGATGTCAGCTGAAAATGAAGTCAAACCCGAGTGCCCAGAGTCTCAATTTTGGCAATCCGAGGAAAGTTCAGGCTGACCTCTCAGTTGTTTTAACGACCAGTCCTCCAAAATATCTCTGCCTGTTATCAATCCCTTACATATGTGTCTATGATTTTGACAACAAAGTTTTAACCCAAACTTGAGCTCAAACATCTGCTATAGATCCAGTATTTGGATAAGGGGACTTATCTGACCTAGATGTGTGTGACAGGTTTTCCAGGAGGCCAAATGAAGTGGGACAAATGTGTTTGCTTGTTTCAATGTGTTGGCAACAAATGAAACTGTGGCAACACACAGCAATCTCCTGTGTTTCTTGATTCTCAATGTGTGAAAGACTAAGACTGAAGTCACATCTGGCTCTTTTGCAGCATCAATGCACCAACAACCAGACTGGCTATGGCAATATCTCAAGAGAACAAGCAGAGCACCTGTAATCGGTCAGCTCTTTTTATAAATCATTTTTGAAATCATAAGTATGTAGAGCTAGTTGAGAGATGATGAATAATGTAAACTTGATGTGACCATTTTTTCTTCCAGGCTTACAGGCACTTGTTGAATGCAGTTGTAATGACTTTGACCCCATCTACCTCTGTGAGTGCTGCTCTATGAAAATCCTGGAGAAGGACATTGTCGACCACATCACTGGAGTGTCCCATATGAAGATGTTTTTGATAGTGAGTGAATATGCTGGAACAATACTGCAACATTATCTAATATGCTTTGGTAGTGTCTCACCCTGTATATGTTTGACATCAGGGACCTAAAAGGCTCCCATATCCACCAGGGGTGCACCAAGGGATGGGGATCAATCAGTTTGCTGCACTGTTTGAGAAACATTACGGATATGGAGAGGCTCAGGTTTGACCCTTCTTTAAATTGTTGGATAATATGTTAAGATGTTGATAAATTATATAAACACTATTTACCAGGGATGCCCCAATCAGCTTGTTTGGTTCTGATCCGGAGCTGACTTTTTTTTTTAATATTGACCATCTGTGGATACAGGGTCCCTATTCAATACTTGTTTTTGTCTTGAGAAAAGAGCTGGTCCATTTGCTGAAAATACTCTGCTCTATGCAACCCACAAACCTGGTGTGCATTTGGTACTGCACACTTAAACTGCATAGTTTGTCACAGAGCTCCTGTAAGGCAGTGTCTGAAATGTGAGTGTGGAGATAGCAGGGTATACCTGGTGATATATTCTGATTCCTCTCTTATTTTAAGCCATTGTATTAAATTGGTAGAATTGAACGCAGCTCTACTTTGGCTGTCTCACTGAACAGTCATGTTGCACATCGCCATTTGTACTTCTACACAGCTGACAGAGATGCACATGCTAAGTTACTTGTACATTCATGTTCTGCCACAAATTGTGCTCAGTTTAAGACTGATCCAGTTAAAATTGCCTGGGTCATCTCTGATGCTGTAGTTGAGAGTGGTATGGAGACAGATATCCCAACACTGATGATTGTTTTGTTTCTGGACCGCAGGGTGTGGATCTGAATAAAGAGGTTTACTGTCGTGTTTTGACACAAAACTTTGAATCAGGTTAGTGTCAATCATTCTTGAGGTAAAGTGTTGAAGTTACTTTGACAATTAAAAAATGTCAAACTGACAGTACTTCCTCTGTATTTTACATCCTTTCTTTGTAGCTCTGCAGACAGTGAAGGGGCTTCAAGCTCAGCAGGACCGTGTTTGTGAACCCATGCCAACCTCAGCGCTGTCTACTGCTCAGCCTGTGAAAACCTCTCTGAGTTTTCACAGTGCTCAGAGTCCGCACAGACACAATTCAGCCCAGGATAACTATCAGGTCAGTTTTTTACAGCTTTTGGTGACTGCCTTTTCGACCTGTAGTCTGACACAGTTCTTCTCATAAAACACTTTTTTATTTCACTTTTTACACAAACATTGATTTCCCTGATGTGCACATTTTCTGATTTTTTTCTTGGATATATTTTGCTTCAATTTTGTGGATATGAGGACGAGTTACAACTCAACAAGCGTGCTGGCTCATTTAGTTTAGTGCTTGGGCCTGCTTTTCTTCACACTTCTTGAGAGACAAGATTTGTTTTTGTACTTCTTAAACTCCTTTCTCTCGTGACCTCTTGGTCTCTGAACCACTTTTTTATGGCCTCACTCCCCCCAACACTGAGGAGGAATTCCTTGTTTCCCAGCTAATAGCTTAACCAGAGCACCACAGGAGGAAATCTCTTTGAACTCAATCTTAAAAAGCTCACTTAGGGTATCAGATTTGCAGTAAAATTCAGTTGTATGGCTTTCTAATAGCTGTGAATGGGTTGTGACGTGTCTCAATTTCTTGATAGTTAGCAAGGCCAAAAAAATTTCCTACTGGGGGGCCAGCATCCAGTACAGGCTGCTGTAATGAATACTGTTATCTCAGCTCTGATCTCTCAATTATTCTAAGTATTTAGTCTTCTTGAAGACAAGCATGCAGATACAAACCAGGAGATGAGCTAGTGAAGTTGCATCAAAGGAACTTTATTCAACATGGAAGTGCACAAAGTTAATGAGCATGAATTCTGCAGTAGTCAGACTGAGGTAACAAAGAAAATCTCCATCTTTTTTTAGCACATTTTGTTAGGCGTTTACTCACTCGTATGACCACAGATTAAACCCTTTTTCTTTGTGTAAATTGCAAATTTAGTGTTTTCAACAGTGTCATTCTGAGCCCTTTATGTGAAGACCCTTTCCTAATACTGAACTCTTGTGTCTGCCTCCTGTCATTTAACTGAGATTTCTGTCATTTGTTCCTTTTTATTTTAAAGGAGGTGGACATGGAAATTAGTGATTTAGACGACTCTGAGACCAAGCCATCCTCAGTAACTACTTCCAAAACAGCTGGGTTGGCCCCTGATTCAGGCGAAAACGTCAAAATGTCCCCAGTGGAAGAACCTGGACCAGCCCACATGTATTCCTGCAAAACTGCTTCAAGAAAAAGTGGAGAAACATCAAGTCATCATGTATCTACAAAGGAAGCAAGCACAACATGTATACACCATGACTCCAAAGCTGAAATTATTTCAAACATAAATTTGAGACCGATAAAGGAAGAAGAAGAAGAAGTGGAGTTATCTCAGTATGGAGATGCTTCAGATACTGCTGTAATGAACTCCACCAACGCCAGGAAAGCCATCTTGGAAGGTACCACCAAAGCTTCAAGTTCAGCTCTGGAAAGCCTCAGCAGAACAGCTGCCCCTGTTGTCAAGTTAACTGCCAACAGTTCAAGCTGTACTGAGTCCAAATTAATAAAATCTGAACCATCTACAACTAGTGTCAGTGCAACCACCTGCAAGTCTTCCACAGCTGATTCAAATAACTGTGCTGCAGCCACTATATCTGCAGGTGACAGTGGTTTGATGAGAACCACTCACAGTAGAGAAACTGACAAAAAATGTGAAACATCAACATCTAGTTACTTTGTAAAAACAACTCAGCTGACTGCAGCCAACCTCAAGAACAGTACGACAGCTGCCACATCTGCACCTCAGGATAATTACAGAGCTGCAGCCACCAACAGCAGAGAAACGATCTACAAATATGCAACATCGACATCAGATGCACGTGCAGCCACCACCAAATCAACTGGGACTGATCCACATACCAGTAAAACAAACAATGTTTCAAAAGCCATTACCAACAGCAGTACTACTCCCTCTACTAACAGCAGAGAACCAGTTCACAAAAATGCAACAAGTTCCTTTGCAGTATCCATCAAATCTGCTCCAGGCAACAAAGATACCAGAGTGGCCGCAGCCTCATCTGCAGCTTCAACCAACAGTGACAGAAGTACTGCGAAGACATGTGTTTTATCAACATCGAGTTCCTCTTCAACCTTCAAAAGGCCTGCATCTACATCCAGCTTCACCCCAGCACCACCAAAAAGAACAGCAGATTCCTTCATAACTATGTCAAATTCAACCATCTCAAGTTCAGCTGTGGTCTCTAAACCTGTGAACATGCTCAGACCAGTGGAAAGCAGAATGACAGTTACAGATAAAGCTAAGAGGGACCCTACAGTAGTTTCCTGCAGACCTTCACCTGCTGCTCCATCTTATAAAACAGTGTCCTCCGTGCCCACTGCTAGAACTTCAGCTAAATGTGGTCACGCTGAAGTCCTCTCCAAGAATGCAACTGAGGAGAAATCTGTGGGGTCTAATACAGATGCTGCACCATGTCACTATAACAGCACTGCACCAAAGGATGCTTTTAAACTTGGTAGGTATTATTCTTCATGCAAAGATTACTCAAAGTCTGTTACTGTGACGTGTTTCCAAAGAGACATAGCATAAGAGTTGTCCAATTTTTTGAAAGGGCTACAAAGCAAGGGGCTAAAATGAAACGTAATATGCTGCTGCAGGCTTTCTCAGGCGGACTTGAGTTATGGGGTCAAAGGTCACCTCACAACCCAAGAATCCATATGTTCTCTTGAGAAAATATCCCATTCGACAGTACTGTTGCTTATTTTCACTGTTGTCTTTACAGGCTTAAACTACTTGTTAGAAGTGTCATGTGGAGGAAGCAGGCAAGTCTACTGTCGGCTGTGTTCATCCAGGCTGAGACGGGGAGGTCACCTCATGAGCTACAGACACAAGTACAACTATGTGGTGCGTGTTGTATTAGTTCCATAGAAAAACATACAACATGAACAAAGCAGAGCAGATACAAACTTAATGCTAACTCTTATGTTCTTGCCAGAAAATGAAGTACCCTGAGTGGACTGCAAGACCCTCTGAGATGAAAAGCAAACTTGCCAAGATAGTGGCCCACTTGGCCGCGATTGAAAAAGATTTAGAGCCGCAGTGCATCCAGGTGACACACTCTCATACATGAAAAATAACCAACACTCTCTGCTTGTCTGTTTGCTTTCTTCAAAATGGCATTAATATTTATTCACTGTACTAAACTGAACTCAAAGCTCCAGCTAGGAACAAGTCTCATCCATTTATTTTGAAGGTTTCAAGCTGCTCAGCTGGAAGCAACAATATAGATGCAATGTAAATAGACACAGTTTATTTATGTATAATGATTTTTAAAAATTTATTCATCAGAGTTTGTAATGTTGCTTTCTGGAGATGCTAACAAAGTTTTGTTGTATTTATTCATATCATTATGTGCAGTGGAATTTAACTGTAATAAAGACATCAAACGAGACTTTCAAGGATGCAACAACATACTGTATGATTGGAGTTCAGCTGGGGGGTTGTTTGATCAAAAAAAAAGAGAGGTGTTAAACGATGGTCTCACCTGATTGACTTTGTATGCAGTTGACTAATACTGAGTGGGAAGCCGGATACATTAATCAAGAACTTGAGGATAAACAAATTCTGTACATGAGTTGCTCATCAGTGTTTGTCTTTGTTTTTGCTAGAAAGTGGAGGTGAATTTGACTGTGTACAACCAGCTGGGCCTTCTTCCAGAAGACAAAGGTATGAAGTTAGTCATAAACTAATCCCTCTGTTTGCCTTACAGGTGAAAACTTTGACTAATATACCTTTGACTGCTGGTTAAACTTGAGGCATTGATGGTTTTGATTTTATTTCTGTCTGATTGGAGTTCTGAACATTATCATGAGATGTTTTGGAGGTGTTTTTAAGCACATACAGTGATTTCCACTTCGGAGTCAACATGCCTTTGCATGTAGGTCTCGATTGCAAAATCTATCGGTGAACAAAGAGATATACAGGAATAGATTTTGATGAATAGACAGGTGGATAAGAATAAATATATATGGAAATTTATACATAGATGTTGTATATACAGAGATATATTTGTTATAATTAGATACATAAAATGTGTCATGAAGTTTGAAGGTTTTATTCTATCATGTCATTTACAAATGGGTCTGTTGTGGCCAAATGTTGAAGAAAAGACAGACAGGTTCATGGATTTGGGATCTCGTTCACTGCTTCCTCTGTAACGTATTTAAACCCACCAGACTCTGACTGCATCACACCCAAAACAAAACATTCACACTGGATTTGCAAACAAAACAGATGTCTGAAATACCCTGACCTTTAACCCTGGTGGTTGAAGGCTTGGGTGTTTCAATCCATTAGGTCATGTGGCAGTAGGTAGTCACAGAGGCTCCAAAGGTAACAAATAAAATCTCTTTTTTTTGTCCTCTCCTGTGTGGATCTTCAAACACACACGAAATGATACATCTCATATCATGACACTAAAACATCTGTAAAATTCAATGTATCATATTTTCATGCCTCTCAATGAACTCTTCAGTGACCAAAATCCCAGCGTGTAAATGTCTACAATTTAGAAATGATAATAATAATTCCGATATTGAGAGCATGTAGTGGGGAATAAAAAAGGGACCAGAGATCTGCTCTAATAAGTAAAAGCTGAGGAGGTGCAGGACCAGTAGAAGACGAAAAATAGCATTTTGCTAATGTGCAACATTATGAGCTTTGTTTTTCCTCTTCTCTGTAACTATTTTCTCTTTTTGTTTTTAAAGTTACTTACCATTAAGTTTGCATGTCTCGATAGATCTTTCTTACCACATGTATCTTCCTGTTTTGAAGTTGTATGATCAACCACAAGACTGTTTTATGTGGTATTGTCTCACACCTGTGGCTGTGCAGATTCAGCAGTATCCTATAATATAGAATATCAATGTCGAAATTGCATGGAATTTTTACCAAGTACTCCTGTGATTTATGCAACGATCCTATCAAGAAACACTCAAGTAAATAATGAAATTCCCAACCAGCACAATGTGACACAATCCTGGTTTTTCCACACCTCAGGCTCACTACCTTTCTGAAACTGTTTTTGTTTTCTCTCACCAACTTGGCTGAGCAATTGCTGTGTCGACTTCCATGAATTTTTCTTACATAGGACTGTTTCACTGATTGTTTCATTGCTTGGTTTTTAATCCTTTCTGTCTTTTTTTCTGTAGCTTATGAAAAACTAATGGGAATGTTGCGACAGAAAGACTCCGGGGTGTCATCCTCCACTACTGACACAGGGGAGGTGTGGACACCAGATGCTGCCTTTTCAAGTCCATTTGAAGCTTTAAGCCCAGATGATGGTAAATTAAACTCAAGGGTTGTTTTTAAGTCGCAGGTTTTTACTGTGTATTTTCCTTCACTTACAAATACATCGAAAGTCTTATTGTCTTTGTACACATTATTCTCAGCTCTGGGTGTATATTTACAGATAACTACATGTAAGTATGTGTGCTTTGGTATTTTGTGTTTTAGAAATGGGCTTGTGGCAGAATGAAACAGCCAGATTTAGTCCTGAAGTCCACTCTGAGCGGGAGAGCAAACAAGTGCTTGAAACGCAGCATGTGGCGGCCCCAGGTAACAAACGTGTAAAATAGAATCATTGAAGACTCTTTGGCCATGTCACGTCACTCATTCATATACTGCTGTCATTTTAGAAAATGGGCCTGTTTCGAAAGAGGAGAGAAATCTTGCTGCAGGTCACAGGTGGGACACAGCTGAGGGCTCACAGAGTTTAGATCCAGAAGCTGAACCTGCGGCAGGTTTGTCTGTCTTTGTGTCATTACACTTTCTCTTTACCAATCCAAAACATCTTGACTAAGACAGCATCTCTGCTCTTTGTTGATGTTTGAGTCTGATGTAGAGTCCTGTGCTGTGGTTGAAGTAAAAATGCTTCTTAATTAGCTGTCTGTATTTTCCTCTGTTGCCTTCATTGAATTTATCACCTTCACCTTCTGCATCCTCCTTAATCCGCCAAATCCATCTCTCACATCCATACACTCAAACAGCCACAGGACCTCCAAGCAGCGTGCCTCCTCGTACCTTCAAGTTAGGATCAACAAGTCCAGATTCCCACGTTATCAATACATCCCAAGAGGCTCATGAGGAGACAACCCAGCAGGACAAAAGTGATCCAGAAGTTCAGGCCACACAGAAGGAACTGGAGGGTGTTTACCCAGAAGAGCTCGCATCTGATGTGCCAGCAAATAAGGAGCAGCAGAACCAACCAAGACCCAGCCAGGGGGTGAAACCAGAACAGCCAAGATGCAGTTCAAGACCTGACAATGATGGCGCTTCACTTGAGCTTCCAACGATTCGAATAAGTGAGCTTCAGTTTGAGCGTTTAGTGTGTTTGTTTTTCCATTTTATAAACTTGACTCTTAATGTTTACTTGTTTGTCACAGGGGACCCAAACAGGCGCTGCAGTAACTTGTCCATATATTTGGCTGTGAAGAACCTGAAGTCTATAGGTAGGTGCATCCATTCTTTCCCAGCACATCCTCTCCACCACCTCCGTGTTGAGATGCCACATTCCCTGTGTTTTCATCAGGTCTGAACGCTGTGTGGGAGTGCATAGGGCTGCTGCGAAATTCATTCTACCTGTGTGAGAGCTGCAGCGAGCGGCTCTTCATCAATGACATCCTCAAACACATGATCAGTGATGCGCACAAGCTCAATCACATGGTGAGCAATGTCTCATGTATCTCAATAAGGTTTTCTACTACGAAAAAGACACGTTTCTTCATGTAAAGTGGATGTTTTTCAGCGAAAGGCGTACAGTTGGTCCATGGACTTCTGGGAGAATGAGATCTTGACTCATGATGAAAAACTGGACCTTTTGGGGAAAGTTGTGCAGCAAGTGTCAAACAGGGAGCACATTCTCAATATGGATGCACAGGTAGATCATATTTATCATGCGCATTATTTTAAACAAACAATTTCAGTTTTCATGTACAAAGTAGAATTACACCCCTCTGATCGTTCTCACTCTGTTCTTTCGCAGGTTGCACTCCTGCCGCCAGATTTGTTTGAACTTGTTAAAACAGCTCCATTTACTGAAGGTAGTATTTGATTTTTAAAGTAACAGTCTTCAAAGTTTATGGTCCATATAGAAATACACCTAACATCGTCAAATGATCCCTTTGCTCTTTCTAGCGTTGAAGTTTGTGCGGGACTTCACACTCAAAAAGAGCTTTGTCTCCCCTCTCATCAGTACTTCACAAAGAAAGGGTGAGTTCTAGCCGACCCTACAGTCTCTTTTCTGTCCAGTTCTTACACACGGCTTTACTAAAGTGACCCCCTCAGACTGAAAATGGCGATGAATGATGAGGGTTTTGCTTTCTGATGCTCAGACCAGCCTCCTGATGTGCCACATAATGACCTTTGTTTTTCCTCTTCTCTGTAACTATTTCTTCTTTTTGTTTTTAGAGTTACTCACCATGTGATCATCAAGTTTGCATGTCTTGATAGATCTTTCTTACCACATGTATCTTCCTGTTTTAAAGTTGTATGATCAACCACCAGACTGCTTTATGTGGTATTGTCTCACATCTGTGGCTGTGCAGATTCAGCAGTATCCTATTCTTCTTATACCTCATATGTTAGTTTTGATTAGACTCGTCCTTTGCCACCTGTCCTGTTATGAGCACACACTAACTGAAATTTGGTAACTCCGACTGTTAACACTCTCTTTGTTGCTGTTTCTCCTCTCTTTGGAAAGACAACTTGATGGAAAAATCTATAAACAAGTTATCATGCTTTAGATGATTTTAGATTATTCTAGTTGATTTAAACCTTTCAGAGTGATTTCAATATGATTTGAATCCTTAAAGCTGATCTTAAACTTTTAACCTTTTAGAATGGGATATGAAAGTGTTGAACTTTGTGCCATGTGCTGTGCAAAAGATGTGAAAACACCGATGTTCCTCATTATACATGCCATACATATGCAAAGAATTATGAAAGTAATGATGTTCCTCATTTTGTAAGGTTAACTGAAACTGTTGCAAAGGTGACAGTCTCTTGAGTTTACAGAAGTGGATGACTATGCATAATCATGAAATAAAAGAATGCTTTTGTGGAGGAACTGGCAGAGAGGGACTGACCGAGGACTCGAGCAGTTCTCCTCAGCCGTTCTTTCCTTGTGCAAGTAAAACGTCTTTTGGTTTGTTAAATATGTCCACTTGAACCTGACATAACTGAGTGTATGTTGTAATTTTTACTTAGTACTCCTGTGATTTATGTGACAATCCTATTAAGAAATACACAAGTAAATAATAAAATGTCCAACCTCACACTGAAGATGACTATAAATGATGAGGGTTTTGCTTTCTGATGCTCAGACCAGCCTCCTGAGATGCAACAGAATCAAGCAGGATCCCAGTCCAAAGAGACGCAGTTTGAGCGGGCACCAGAGACAGACGAGACAAATGAAAAAGGTGAGAATGTATTCATCAAATAAGAATATCAAAGTGTTTTCTCTGAAATATCACCTTCACTGAAAGACTGGACTGAAAGTGCTTGAAAGAGAAGCTTTGTCATATTTCTGAACAGTGGTACCAAGATCCAACTTCAGAGTTTAACGGGTCTTAACAGTACTTGAATAGTGTTGTAAATCTACAAAATGTGCTCCATGCTCAAAATGTAAATGACTAAAAATTTATCACTTAATTCTTCTTTTTTTTAGATGTGGGACAAGAAACAGAAAAGCCGCCTTTGAACAAAGTCACCCCGAGAGAAGTCTTGAGTCCTCCGGATGAGACTAGTGTCTACGCAGAAGCTGATTCTGACATTGCTCTGATTCCTGAGGCTGATATGTGTCTCGGTCCCAAAGAGACCAACAGCAGCCAATCAGAGCTCAGATCAGCAGCCAGTCAACCCTCCACAGAGTCACAAGTGAAACAGACCACGGAGTGCTCAGAATCGCTGTCTTCTTGCAGTGATGGTACAACAATCAGTCTGCCTCTTACCAGAAAAAGGACACCTGATTTGTCTGTTGAAGCACTTGCCAGATCTTGCACCAGTGACCCTCAACATGAGGAGCCTTTGCCCCCTAAAAGGACATGCAGCTCACTTCAGCCAAGCACTAAATCAGCCTCTGAGTCTGCTCCTGCTGCAAGCTTCACTTCACTCCTGCTGTCCGCTCAGGACAGAAATACAGGAGTCCCTCTGAAGAACATAACTTTGGGTCATCTCATTTCTCTAGTGAAAAAGCTCAGATCAGATCAGCAAACATCTCCCCGTAAGGCAGCTCACACAAAAGACGCTGAGACTTCTACATCGAGTGCAAACAGCCCACTCGAAGATGTTGTGAAAAACCAAAGGGATCCAGAGTTTGAGCAGACTACATCTAAAGTGGGGAGGTGGGATTCAGAAGTTCCGCTCCATAGAGCTGGAGATGGTACCGTTTTACCGTCTGCCAACTGTGCTGACCCCAGTGACCAACAAAACAATGAAACTGTTGATGCTCAAATTAAGTGCGCAAAACTAAGCCCACTCATAGCTAGTCCTGAATGTGAAGACACCAGTCAGAACCCACATCCAGCAGTGAATGCAGAGCCAGGCAACAGAGAGGTTCCTCAGCTTCCTATTAATGCCAGAGTAACTCTCAGGTCAGAACCCGCCCAGCTGCAGCTCATGGGACAAGGACACACACAGGGCTACTCTGTGGCAAACAGTGGAGCTGCTCACAGTTTGCCTCACCCCGGTTACACTCAGGCAACTCCAGCGGGGTATAATCAAGTCAGCCAAACAGCTTCTGTTACAAATACAAATACAAATTCCTATGATCTCACTACTGGAGCTACTGGCAGCGTCACAACTTCAGCCCATCCATTTGCATACGCTCAGAATTTATACCAAGGTGGAGGGTACGCTGCAAGAGCATTCTACCAAAGCCTGGATTGGGGGAGTCTGGATATCAGGAAGCAGCAGCAGTTATTGTGGCAACAGCAGCAGCTAATGCAACAGCAGTATTGGTATCCTTCATGGACAAGTGCTTATACAGCAAGAACAGGGACCTACGGGACCGCCTATCAGGGTTTCTCTCAACTGTCCAGCCAACAGCTCGCAAACTTTTACCAATATGGAGACGTTCAGTACCAAAATAATCCAAATCCACAGCAACATGACACAAAACAGCCCTGAGTTTTCCCCAAGCTCTGCTCAATCACAATCCTCCTCCAGCCAGCAATGAAGCCATACCTCAGGGTTCTGCAGACCGTCTTCATCTCGGGCCATAGATGTTTATTAAGTTAACACCAGATCTTAGAACTGCACTTTAAGTTATTTGCAGCAGACACATGTAAATTATTATTAATTTGGATATGCAGTATTTGTTCAGGTTAACATGCAGAAAAAGCAACAAATGAGCCTTCAAGGCTCTTTTCTGTTTTAAAGTTTAGGATGGAATATTTTTGGCAGCTTTCTTTTATGAGTTTTCAACTTTTTATGTGTTCGTTTTTTATAAAGAGTCATTATTTTATGTTGGTCTTCTGTTCATTGTGAATAAAATGTTATTTTCTCAATTTTGTTTGGTATTTCTTTTGTATTTCTTTGTTTTCTTCAGACAGATATTGATGTGTAAACATTTCCTTTATTAGGACAGTTTGACCTGAATGCATAAAGAACCTCTAGGTGACACAACCCTTCCCACTTAAAACCCTGCAGCCAGTCGGTCTTTATGTTGCTTATTTCTGGTAAACTTGCAAACGCCATTTCAAATCATTTACATCGCTGAAAAATGAGTTTGGATTAGAAAATGAAGATCTATATAGATATTTCCAATTAAGACACTTTTATGAGACAGAAGTTAAGAGGGAAATTTCTGTGGAGGGGAATGATGTGATCGAAATATTAACAGGCGCGTTCAAGCAAACCCCCTTCAGAATTGTCTCAAAGCTATACAAAGGTTTGTTGAAGCAACAGGGAAGAAACACAATGTATATAAAAGAGAAATGGGAAAAGGAACTCGGCATTTAATTATCTGAGAGTGATTGGCAGACCATGCTCAAGACCCAACATACATCAACAAGTTCTAAAACATAGAGGGAGTTCGGTTGGAAAAATTTGACACGTCTATTTATTACACCAAAAATCAAAAATAAACAATTAGGTCAACAACAGCATTGTTGGAGACAATGTGGGCAACTGAATGCCAACCACTCTCATATATTTTGGTCATGTACGAAAATACAGACATTTTGGGATGAGGTCCTGAGAGTCATGGGTAAAGTTTTTGGATATAATTTACCCAAAGATCCCCGGTTTATTTATCTTGGACTGATATTAGAAGATGTAATGGGTAAAGAGGACATATACCTGTTCAAGATCCTTTCTCTTGCAGCTAAGAAAGCCATCACAAGAACTTGGCTAAGAACTGATCCACCTGAACTGAGTGACTGGCTGACCATTGTAGAGGAAATCCGATCAATGGAACAAATGACTTACAGACTACGAATTAAAGCTGAGCTATATGCTGTAAGATGGACTAAATGGCACCTGTATGTAACTGAGTAGTGTTTGCCCCCCTTGTTCTTGTTCTTGTTTTGTTTTGTTTTGTACAGTATTTGCGTGTATGTTTGAAAGTTTGCCTTAAAAGATAAAAATAAAGTTTAAAAAAAAAAAAAAAAAAAAAAAAAACTTGCAAACGCCAGATTTAGTACTGTGTATTAAAAGAGAGTGACGTATTTTGTTATGACACTAAAGTCCAGAAAGCTGAAATTCTCAAACGAGAAGAGAAGAGAGCACGCCTGGCGTTTTTGTCTCAAGGCTGGGTCACAGCATGTCCTCCTCCCCCTCGTGTGGACTTATCTGAGGCCAGAACAACTGCACACTTAAAAACTCATCAAGGTCAGACCTCTAGGTAACTTCCAGGACACAAAATTTTCATGCACTAAGTATCCTCTTTTTCTCGCAATTGAATCCATTTTGTAACACAGATTGCACTTCAAGAGTAAATTGTAAGGTTACAAGGTATAAAGTCACAATCCAAAGCAGAGCCCCCCTCTCTGATTTCATTACAACTCCCACCTACTGGAGCTTTGCATGTTCGATAAAAGTAGTACAATTTAACTCCCTGCTTCATTTTTTTTTTTTTACAGTGCAGATGATTTGCTTACATTCTTGAGTTAATTATAGCAAAGGTTCAACACTAGGCTGTATGTAGCACAAAGACCTATGCTGCATGTTCAGCCGCCAAAAAGTACCAGTTCTTCATGTCCCTGTGTGAAAGTCCATGCAACTAAATACTGGCAGCTACAGGCTCCACTCCTTCCTGGGGAAAAAAGGGAACCCCCTACCCCCCGTTCAGCATTGCATGACTCCTAAAATATACTGTGCTGCCATGACTGTCAGCCCATTTTGTCTATGACATCAACAGAAGTGAGAAGCCACATATACCTGATCCACATCATGCCGGTGTTTGTTACTCATGTGAAGATGTAACCAAGATCTGAAGACACTAAAGTCTGTAAAACTTTAAATCAAGTGGACCCTCCATTTATTTTTTGTTGAGTATGGTCTTTGGCTTGGCATCTTTTCACCGGCACTGTGTTGTGTGAAGTTACAATGATTTATGTGGTCTTACTGGTACTTTTGACCTGTGCCCCTGGACCTCACAGACTGGAATATGAGCATTCTATTTGTAGGGCAACAGGAAAAAAAACCCAACTGATCGTGATATTTTCCTTCCACTGATAAAACATTTCAGTATTTTATTTATCTTTGAATAATATGTTTATGCGATGTAAAAGATCTCAGCATCAGAAAACGGTCCTGTTGGATTCAGTAAAGTTCGTTGTGGATTCCTTAAGTGAACTGGAACCAAATCTTGATGCTACAGTTAATGACAGGTTGTGTCAGCACAGATCACCAGAGATTTGATCAAAGCCTCACACTTAAGCAAGTCAGTCACTGCTAACCTGCCATAAATATGTGTATGTACAGTACACATGTATTGTACATACACATGTAACTTGTGCGCATGGAGGGTAAAGTTTACTGGAATCAAAATCCTGGTTCTGTATGTGGTACACATAATGCTGATTCTGATTCTGAACTGGTGCAGCTCTCAGATTGAAACAAAAGTTCCTTGGTACTAAGATATTTATCAGGAAACCATATGAGGTAAAGTTCATGCTTCCTCGGGGTGTGTGTGAGTAAGGAGTGTGTCCATTGATACCCGAGTCTGAGTGTGTTAGAAGGAGTCTATATGTGTTTATGAGCCAGCAGCCCCCACCCTCTGCCTCTCCCTTCTCTGCCTTTATGCCTGCGTGTCTAATGCGACTCCAGTTGTTACTTTTGGGATCTCTGCTTCTATATGTTTTCTTTCTGGGGGACCTCCCTGATGAGCTCAGCCAACAGGTGTTATTTTTCTTATGGTGTCCTGAAAACAAGATATAAACAATATAAGGCCCTTTGATCAGGCCTCAGGGGGCTTCCTGTAGCAGTGCTGTGACCATCATAATGCCCTACTACAGCAGAGACTGCTGTTTCTTCATCAAAGGCTCTACACTTACACTTCGCCAAGCCAACTTGAACAAAGCTAGTAGTGTCTAGCATAGAGCCCAGCAGAGGTCAGGACCCCCTGAGGGGCAGCTTCAGCAGACATCACCCAGAGAACTAAGACATGTCACAGGGATCAGATAAGCACCGCAGATGCTGGGAGACAACTGCCAATAATGTCCTTCTTACAGATTTCAGTTTGTGCTCCTCTTATGTAGGGTTAAGAGGTGCTTACACATTACACACAAAGTTCTCTTAACATCTGGTTTACATTAGGACTGGACTCTGGCTGTATCTAAGGAGGTGCTAACTGTCACTCCATAGAAAAGGCTCCTCTGGGAGAAGAAACAAGCTTTGGTTGTCAAAAGTCAATCTCAACCAGATCAATCACCACCACAACCTTAACAGGAACAGATTCAGTGTTAGCCACCCCAACTGATATTGGTAGCCCTCACAACTCCTTATACACAACCAGCTTTTGGCCAGTTGCAGACATGGAGTGGGAGAGGTTAAGGAAATTTAGGAAGAGGTAGAGGAAGAAATTTTAATCTAAACCTCCAACAGTCTTCACAAGCATGTGATAATTGTGGATGGCTAGGTCACTATGCTTGTGATTGTTACAGGCCAGGAGGGAGTTGTTCCAGAGAGGGTTTCTCCTTCCAACCAAAGCAAGTTCAGCTTAGCTCAAGTTATATAATTTTGGGAACACAAGGAGCCGCTTCAAAGGTAAACAGTAATTAATATCTTGATAAAGAGTTTGACTTCGAGAAAAGCTTTTGACATGTGACCTTGACCTTGAGGGCTACAAGCAGAAGCATGTTGGCTCAATGAGTGCAGAAGCAGAGGAGGTCATTTTCGCACCGATAGAGGGAAATCTAGCTATTGTGGAAGCTCTTCCTGAAGCTGACTTCTCTCTTGTCTCCCCTTATCCCGCACATTTAATCATTTTCATTTAAGGTGTAGAACATGACCTATATGGAAAAAAACAAATGTATGAGGTCAGGCTTCTGAAGACACTATTATGTACAAACCCCAATATAAACTCTGCACTTTGGGAAGGAGTCTTTTCCTTGGAAGAAATTGAGGTACAGTATCTGAAGTTAAACATTATGAGGTAAAGTTATTGTTTTCTTGGGGTGTTTCTCTTAACCCCATATAAGAGGTGCACAAACTAAAATCTGTGAGAAGGACATACTTGACAGCCATCTCTGAGCATCTGCGGTGCTGATTTGATACTGGTGTTGTCTTTGTAATAGATTTCTGTTATACAAGCAAGCCAGTGTCACTGCCAGAAAAGGAGTAAAGTTAATGTTTTCTTGGGGTGTTTAGAAGGAAGTCTTTTGTGGTGTTTGTTGTGTCTCTTGTATGGTCCATGGGTCAAATGCCTCTAGCTGCTCTAGGTACCTTACAGATCACATTGATAACTGACCACACGTGAACCTCCTGAGTATTAAGGAAACGTTATCTAAAAACATATGTTACTGACTAGAATCTTGACGTCACAAGAAGAAATAAAATCAGTGGTAAACAACTTGTATAAATATTGCCTGCAATTGTTGAAGGACAGATAATTTGTTGGTTTTGAGCATTTATTGAACACCGCTGTCATCACTCAGAGCTGACCGGTCCTCTGCAACAGAAAAGTGAACCTTCACTCGACAGTACCACAGGTTACAACAGTTAAAAGCGCCTCACATTCCTACTTCTCCTTCACATGTTCATTGTCTAAGAAAAGTATAATCTTGCAAGCTTTAATCACAGTTTTTTAGTAAATGATGATAACATATATACATAATGATAACATACATGTATATCTTTTCTTTTCATTCACAAAGTCTCCTTCTGCATCTGACGTTGACGAAATACAACAGAAGTGCACAGATTCAAATGAGGAGGAGAGTCCAGTCAAGTTGTGTCATTGTAAGGATGCCTAGCCCATGTTCACGCTATAAAAAAATGGAAGGTCCACACGAATGATCATTTTGACAAGCTTTACTGGTTACAGATCTGGGTTACAGCTTCATCATGCCACAAGTGTAACAAACTGTAACAAAGTGTAACAAAGATTGGTCTGAGACTGTTCAAGTATATATAGCTGTCCACATTTCTAAACATACTGCTGACATTTAGCTGACCCTAAGAAAAATCCATGTACGGTAAGAACAAAGGACAACATATTTTAAGGAGCTTTAGCTGAACATATGGAGGGTCCATAGAAGAAAATACCATGACAGAACATATTTTGGGGACTTGTGTGATGTAAAACATGGGTATAAGGTCCTCGCTGAGGATGGTTGTCGGAGGCCCCTGGCTCCAGCAATCTAACACTGAAGTATCTGAGGTATTTGAGTGACACAGCTCCACCACTCTAAAGGTTGACAGGACTGGCTAAAGAAACTCATCCAAACAGTCATAGGAACTTTATTCAACATGCAAAAGAAAGTCGTTTAAGAGCTAGATTCGGCAGAATCCACACTAGATACACAAAGTTGGGACAGCCTTTTTATAACACAGTTTTGCAGTAATATACCTATACACATGATCTTGAGACAACCCCTTTTCTTTATGAAAATGCTGATTGCATGTTTTTAATTGTGTCATTTTGGTTTTCTTGCGGTAATGACCCCCTCCCTAATGTACAGAATCATATTGGGCTGTGTACATACTGGTGTCTTTGGAAACCCAGGTCTTGTTGTAATGTCTCCTCTAGCCTTGTGTGTGTGTCTATGATGTGGGTATTGTGGGAACTAATGTGTCATGCCAATCATTTGGTCATTGTTTCAGGTGATTAACTGTTTTCTTATTATGTTTACATTATGTTGTGCGCCCACTGCGGACATGTACTGATGAGTCAGATAGAAAGTTTAAAGCTAACACAGGGGCAATTGATCACTGTGTCACAATGTATAGAAGAGAGACTCTCAGTAAAGAAAGATTTTAGCTTATGCCTAGAAGTGCCAAGTGTTGAGAAGTATTGTTTCAAACTGTTCTGCTATGATGCCTTAACAGTCATTTATTAAAAGTGTTCCTTACAATCATCACGTGTCTATGACCTTGACATATGCCATAGATAATGATGTGCCTTTCATAACAGATGTGCAGGTGTAACTCAGAGATGTGAACAACAGGATGAGGGAGGAACACCACACTGTCCTAGGAGGAGGTGTAGGTGTAGAGGAGGGTTTGCATACCAAGCAGTCTGCTCAGTGGGAACTCAGTGAAAAGCACGGAGCATGTGACGCAAATAAAGATAAAGAGGAGACAGGCACTGTGTGCACCCAAGGTCAACCTCCCCGAAACCAGTGGTTACAAACGGCTTAGGTCAGGTAAAAACAGAGAGGAATATGTGCTTGTTTGTCCGTATTCAGACCTCAACAGAGATACCTTTGGGTTGATGTTGTGCTCTCCAAGATCTCTTGTATTGTTTGCTGTGCCGAAATAAAACGTTGGTTGAACACACCTTTTTGCCTCATAGAATCCTCTGTTCCAGTCTCCATCAACGGACTCGGTTGTAGCAATCAAGACAACCCTGTATGTGAAACTCACACATTCCTTGCAGGAAAGTTTTCTTATCTGGTCCCAGGAAACAGGATATAAATCTTTCCAGACTCGTTTACACTTTCAGGATTACCTAACTGACCTGACCGGAGGTTGACCAAACCTCTGACTCTTCACGATTGGTCGATTCGGAGAGCAGAGACAGAGTTTTTATTACCTTTCAAACTGACTCAATTGCTGACCATCTAAATAAACATTAACGCTTCAACCCAGATCTCCCATTTGAGATTTACCGTCTTAAAGTGTGTGAACATACAGACCCCAAGATAAGCTCTGAGGAGCAGGACACTGACCTCCAGACCTCGGTCGTAAAACCCTGCTCAACCATGCATTGATAAAAACTGCATTCCTTTGTTGAAAGAATACAAATGACTGATCATGACATCTTATGCATTCAGCAATGTACTGATCTGTCTAATCATGAAATTTGTGTTAAAATGAGATGTTTCCCATTTTTCTTTGTGCTCCAGAAGCCAAGTTATCACTTTAGACCAACAGCTTTTCAGACTGTTTCATGAACTTTTAAGAGTTAAATTTATTGACTGTGAATCATAATTTCACTCTAAGTAACAGAAATAGTTTAGAAATGTTTGGTTTATATTTCAGTTGTTTATTTAGAATTTTTAACCATTAGGTGGTTATAATGTCACTGAATAATCTGAATGTGAGTATTTAGAATCCATTATTAATCATGATGACGTTCATTCACATGTGTTTACTCTTTTGTTGTTCACAGTTTCTGTGTGTTACTCTCTGTTTCATTTCAGAGTAATTTAGCATGTTCAGTGTGATACTTAAAACATAATGAGAATGTTTGATGTGATCCTACACTTCATTCATATGTGTTCAGTGTCAAATTATTTATCATGAAACCAAGCATTCAATGATATTAATCATAGTGAGTGAGTATCAGATCTGACTCTTTTACCAGCCAAAAGTATAAGTTAGATCAAATAATCAGAGATCCAAGAGGTCTCCTCTGCTTGGAGACCCCACGACCCCTCCTCTTTCTCCTCTCTCACACACACACACACACACACACACACACACACACACACACACACACACACACACACACACACACACACACACACACACACACACACACACACACACACACACACACACCAGAGACACTTCCAGTGTGAGAAGATAAAACCAGTAAAGTGGGGTTGCTCACCCTGGACCCTTATTCTCTTACATGCGCTTCTTCGTTCACTGTCCACACCCTTCTGTGTTCCTCTTCTTTGTTTTCACTTAGCTCTTTTTACTTAGTCTTACTTTTTCTTAGTCTTTTAAGTTTTACGTCACGTGTTCATTCACGTTGATTTTTCTTTAACATCGTCTTAGTTCAAGTTTTAAAACTTCAACTTTTTGTGCGCATAGCAATTCAAGATCAGAATCTTTATTTATTCACCTATTATTGTTTATCCTCATTATCTTATCATCATTTATTGCATGTATGTTGTACCATCATTTATCCTGTATTAAACAGATCATTATTTTTCTAAGTTCTGGTCTGTTAGCGTTCTTCCAGAAGTGGAGTCCCTGAAATGAGAATTTCGTCTTAAGATATGAGATTGATTAATTAAAGATTGACTTGATGTTTGATTTCTGAATTAAACTTTAGTTTTCTTTATTTTCCCACCATTAAGGGTGGGTGGTGCCCTTTTCAATGAGTGCATAAATGTCATAATTTGAGATTATTAATCTTCAGACATTTATTATAAATTCAAACCGCTACACGGTGAAGTTTGGATTACTTCAACAGTATCTGGAGTTAATCATTGTGAGACAAAGTTAATGTTGCCTTGGAATGTTTCCAAGTAATTTCCTGAAAAGTTTTTATGGTACTTGTTATGCTCCCTCAATGGATCCTGGGTAAAATGCCTCTTGCAGTTGATGCTTTACAGGTCACATATTAAAAGGCAGTTCTAAACCAAATGGTAAAGGTATATAAATTAGAGATTAAGAGATAGAGGACCGGCATCTCTCAATCCTTTATAAGAGGTGCAGAAACTGAAATCTGGGAGATGGACGTCATTGGCAGTTGTCTCCCAGCATCCGCAGTGCTGCTTTGATACTGGTGTTGTCTTTGTAATGAATTGCTATTGTGGAAACTATCTACATGCCAGCCTGTGTTGTTTTTTTTATTTCTTTTGTTTATATTCTTTTACCTTGTCATGCAATATTGATTGATATTGATTGTTATTTTGTTATTGTTTATTGTCAAACTTATTTTACTCATTATGATGATCTGTAACTAACATTGTAAACAAACAACATTACAAACCAATTTTGCTGCTGCTATATAGGAGGTTGAATCGTTCATGGCCCAGATGTTTGCACTCCAGCCTGCACTAAAATGCTCAACCACAAGTTGGGCCCTGGGGGACCTCCAGGCTGACTGGCCCTCTGCAACAAGAAAACCCAGCCTTCACTCTACCACACTATCATACAAGCAAGCCAGTTTCACAAAGCCTCCTTCTGCATTTACACATCATGGACAGACAAGATAGGCTACAGTATGTGTTTCCGTCTTAGTGAGGGTCAGCTGGCAATACAGCAGACTATATTTAAACCATGAGTATCCTACAGCGAGTTTTGATGTCTTTCTGTATTAAATTCAGATGGTAAAGAGAAGTCAGCCTCAGAAAAAGCTTCCACATTACCTGGAATGGAAAAACACAGCTTGAACTTTACTGAGAGACTTTATGAGGAGGGTGTAGAAGTGTGTTTGTTGGTTGGTTGTGGAATCACTGGACACTTTCAGCTCCTCTTTTGTAGCCTATTAAGTCGTTTTATTTTAACATCTAAATTGATCAAGAACTTGTGGGCGATGTGTGTTTCTTAAACAAAGCGGATAAAGACAATAAGACAATTTAAAGAGCTTCACATAGACGTTGTCACTTAAGTCTGCTCTGATTGGTCACTAGTGGTCCTTTAGCCCGCCCACTTTCCCTCGGTTGATTGGTTCAGTGTGAGTTCGAGCTTCAGTTAGTTGCCTGTAACTTTTTTTTTTTTTTTTTACCTTTTGTGCATCTTCACAGGTTTCAGCGTCACACTTCCCAGATGAATCTCACCTCACGCCTCTAACGGTATGATTAAATGGATTTAAAGAGGGATGCCGTTGTTTTATTTGGTTAACAAACAGTCATTTTCGGTGGCACATCTAAATGAGAGTTGTTGGTGAGCTGGTGAGTCCCTCGCAAATGCCTTAAATTGATGGTGAAATACATGTGGTGAGTATTTTTGATATCGTGATCTTCAAAAATGTCTACGAGGATGCATTTAGATGTTTTTTTCCTGTGTTTGAGTAGTCGTTAACCGCTGACACGTTGGCTTTTAGTCGCCAGTTAACAGAGTAACTGTTTTAACCGAAGCACCTGTGATAGTATTTTATTTTTTTTACTTTGTGGGTCAAAAGATACCCTCAATTTTACTCACAAACTTAGACGAATTGATGCTCATAACCGGCATCTATATATGCATTTAAAGTTACTGTAGTGTTATACTGTATTATCTTGTCCAGGCCTGAATAAGATGTTGGTCTGGAAGCGCCACCTGCTGGTTACAGTGTAAATTACAGCCATACTGGCGTCTGTGCTGGGAGAAGGGACGTGTTTAAATACAGGCCCTCACAAGAATATCACCATCAGCTTTTGTTTTAATTTTCTTTTAAGTTTGTGGCTTCTATGGCTTTCATTGACAGATAGAGGACAGTCGACAGAAAAGGAAACAGAAGAGAGAGCGGGCAATGACATGCTGGAATTGGTATAAGCTATAAGATTGACAAAATGATGTGTCTCAATTTCGAGGTGATGTCTGGTTGAAACTGTCCCGTTGAAGGGCCTAAACTAGTCAAAGGCTTTTGTACTAAACACTCCGAGCTTTGCCCTGCAGGCTCTCAAGTTATTCTAAATGTCGAGTGTTCTTAAGGAAAAGCAGGTGGATTCAAATCAGGAGATGAGGCTGTTCAAGTTGCATCCAAGGTACTTAATTTAGCATGCAAATGAACAAAGTCAGTGAGAATGAACTCTGCAGAATCCAGACTGAAGTAACAAAGAAAAACCCCCTTCTTTTATAATGCATTTTGATAGGCGTACACTCTCCTAGGACCAGGGTCAACCCTTTTTCTTCATGTAAGTTTTAAAACCTTTTTGTTGAAGGAAAGCAGTCGCTACACACACAGAACATAAAACATTGTCTGAGAATAAAAACGAATAAAATAAAAGAGCATTAATCCTAAGGAGAAACACAGAAGATTATTTCTTAAAGATGATCCTAAAAATTATTCCACTAAACCTTTTGATACATTTACTTTTTTCCCTTGTGCATTAGCTCTAATGTTGCAACTGTGTGCAGGTGGTGAATCTACAACTTCAAAATGCAGCCCCTTGATACACAGAAAGGTTTGTCCTTGACTCTTCTTAATGTGGGCATTTGTGCCAACACCATTTTCCTGAAATTGTATTTTTGTTTGCAGGATGTCCTCCTCCCACAAGCCAGCTGTTGGATTCTCTAAAGGTGTATCTAAACAACAAGAAAAGACTCCAACCCATTATTGGTCTGTAGGAAGGAAACGTTTCAAGTAGAGTTATGAATTCACAAAGTATGGTTGCTGAAGTGTTTGGTGATTTTCTGCCTGTTCAGGTCTGAGCTGTATCATCGAGTGTGTGAAGAAGGGAGCTGAAGATAGACAGTTATGGTACTTGTGTGAGGTGTGTAAGTGTCAACTCAGTAAAGCTGACATACGCAACCACATCATGGGAAGTCTCCACAGATACAACTACATTGTAAGTTATATCATGAAAAGAGGACCTGTTTTTTTCTTTGACCATGACTTTTGTTTATTAACACTTTATGTTTTACTTTCATAGAAAGCCTTGCACCAGGACTTAGTGTCTGAATGGAAGGAGGTCTCTGACCTGTCGAAGCTGGCCTGGCCACTGATGGAGATTGCAAAGATGTTAGAGGAAAAAGAAGGACCTGGAGATGTACAGGTGAGTTGATTTGACTGTGTTCAACTTTGTTTAGAGAGGAGTGCTTTAACATCAGCTCTCATATTTTCTACATCCTCATTTCTAGACAATAGAACTTGAAGATACTGTATTTCAGACAGTGGTGGCATTCGAAGAAGATGGTGGTAAGTGATGGTCCAAGGTTGTTGTTTTTTTGACTCTTTTACATGCTCACCTTGTGTTTAATTTCTGTGTCTTTCCCCTTCTGACACCAAAGCTGCTGCTTTGTTAGATATATTAAAAAATAGCAGTGTGCAGGCTGAACCTGGGAGACATTTTGAGGCTTCAGTGGTGCAGCTGGAGCCGGTACACTCAGAGAGGGCTGTATTACTTTCTACAAACCAACAGAGATGGTCTGACACTGATGAGATGTTGGCTGACTACTCAGAGAGCAGAGACTTTCTTTGTGGCTACTCAGGAAGTGAACCTCTCATTGGTAAGCATAGACAAAGAATAGCAGCATACAATGGGGTGTAAATGAAAGATAAGATGTTCACAGTAACCTGTAGGCAAGTCAGGTTTATGTGCAGAGCACCTTTAGTCTGAAAACAATGCTGTTACAAGGTCTCACTGAGTCATTCACAGGTCAGATATTCAGTGCCTTTCCCCAAAAGTAATGCTGTTGCTTCAAAAGACGCCTCTTCCATCTTTTTGCATCAGGTTTTTCCAGAGTGGTTGAGTGTAGAGATGAAGACGGCCACACGTACTGTTTCTTATGTCACTGCTGCCGTGTCAGATCCAACGAAAAGGACATCATCAGTCACTTAACCAGCTCATCCCATCTTGTGAATTACTTGGTCAGTGTGTTGTGGATCAAAAATCAAAATTTAAAACACGCTGAAGAAAGGTGCGGTTAAAGTTGACTGAAAAATGTCGGTGTGTAGATGGAAACCCGTCCCAATCAGATGGAGGTAATAACAGCAGATATTAGCAATGACTCTTGGCTTCTTCAGTCTGTGGCTGAGAGAGTGGAGCAGGAGGAGGGCAGAGGAGAGCTGGAGGTATCTGATTTTACAGATCATCAATGATTGCTGGTCCAGCTGCTCATTAACTTATTTTTTCTTTGTATCCTAAATGGTCAAACTTATTATTATTCCAGGTGGTTGTAGCACCAGAGTCCTTCTGTGTCCAGCTGACCGGCAGAAGTTATCACTGGTGTAAGTAGAGTTGCATACACTTCCACAGCTTTTCTTGTTTGCAAGTCATTTCCTCTTTAGCCCCAGCTCTCAGCTCTTTAGGATTGATTCACGATGTGAGTATAACACTTGATTTGATCTCTTTTTACTCTTTTACAGTCCAAAATCTCCCCTTATGTTCTTTTTTTTCTGTGTGGTTTTGTTTTCAAGGTATAAAGATGCTGAGTGTTGGATGGACACATACTGATATCTTAAATGCAGAGAAAGGTGTGACTCTCTCAAAAGCAACTGTTCACTCAAAGGAGACCAAACCTCCTTAATGTGATGTTTTTAACAATGTGGATCAAATTTAATTTCCATTTAAGGGCCTGATGTGAGCGGGGAAATGCCAGAGACGGGCACCAAAGTGTTATCAGAGTACAAGAAACGGAGAAATACTGTGTTCAGAGTAAGCCTGCCCCTCGCCAAGGGTCCTCTGCTCCTGAAGAGGACGTCTTTCAGCGAGGACACCTTCCTACCTGAGGCAGACAAGGACCTGTCTGCATCAGACTCTGACCTGGAATGTTGCAGGGGGACTGGACCTGAAAACGATGAGTTGGACTTTGCCGCCACCTTGGGACCAGAAGGAAACCTAGCAGTCAGTATTTATGAGGAGGGGATGGGTTTCATCAGTGACATTGAGCAGCTTAACCAGTTTGAAAACTTAAGTGGGACAGAAGAACAACATTTTTACAAGGGGAACAATGACCAGGGACAACACACTTTTGAAGACACAGCAAGTGAGATGTTGAACAGAAACCAGAATCATGAAGTACCACCAACACAAAACGAGTGGACGCTGCCTCCTGGGTGGAACACTCAGAACTTGGTGTCTTATTCTGTGCCCTACAGACAGATGGAGTGGTACAATCAAACCTCACAGTGTAGAGTTGATCCAAAAGGGCCAATCGAAAATGCACAATGGGAGAGGATTTCCGATGCGCCTCCCTATCAGAACTATTATCAACAACAGTCTTATATGTATTATAACTGGTATTATCAACAACAGCCCCATTATCAGTACACAGCAGAAGATGGTTCACATCAGCAGGCAGCTGTTGAAGGCAGAATGGGCAGCCTGGTTGATCAGATACAGAGTCATCAGCAGACAGCTCCACCAAGTTTTATGACATATATGTCTCCTTTTCAGACCTGAAGAAAACCTGGAGTCTAAGCTGATGTCCCCATTGAATGAAAGTACACTTATATACAGTCTAGCATGTACCTTCACGATGGTGTTCAGTGGTGTATTTGTAAAGTCTTCTCAAATGACGAATCTGGTTTCTGTCAGAGAAGGGACTCTACTAAAGGAGGGTGTTTTTTTTTTTTGCTGCGACCTGCAGCACCAGTCTTTGAGTTTCAGTCTCTGACAAATATTCCTTTTTATGAGATTGATGGAAGGGTTGTATTTTGGAAAAATGTAGAGAACTTCAAAGATTTTGGATTACTAAGGGGAATGACATGCTGTTTGCATCCAGTTACATTAAAGAATGAGTTTATTTTATTTTGTATTTCTCTTCTGCATTAAAGTACATGCTGTGTTTGATTAACTACAAAATTTCATAGTGATAAAATGTTAAATACCAAAGACTTAATTTTCCATTTCTTTCGTAACATTATTTTAATGTGACCTAATGTGACTTTTCAATGTACAAACTGTGACAGGAAAGACATGTAGAAAACCTGTAGGATGTGTGATGGTTCGTTGATTTGAAAAATAAATGTGACATAAAGACGTTTGATTTGCTGCAGTTCGTTGTATTATTTTGCAGTTTCCTGGACTTTGTGCCCAAAGTTTCTAGGTTCATATTTATCAATGTGTTTAATGGGATGATCATGACAGTTGGGGTAATGTGGGGTAAGATGAGCCATTTTTCATATTTTGGATCACTACATCAAGGTAATCATAGTTTTGTCTCTAACTAGTGTATCTGCATATATTTCAAGATGTTGTGCATCCCCTGCAAACCAACAGAACAAGTGTAAACATAACTGTCTTGATAATATAGCATACCAAAAAAAGCGGTCTCCTATGGTCAACTTACCCCGTGTATGGGCTAAATAACTTGAGCCATATCCCTCATTCATGTTTATTTTTATCTATTATACACTATTCAACTGGTACAATAATTCTTTTATTATTATTGCATATAACTGTTAAAAAGCTGTTTTGTAAAATGCCATTTTCACACGAGAATACCTTTAAGTGATTCAGAAGTAACACATTTCAACAATCTGAACTGAAACTCTGATCCTCTCATCAGATTTTTTTACTTTCTCAGTCGAGCCACTGGCTCAACTTATCCCAGAACTACTATGATGACTTTATTAGTCCTCTAAGCTAAAATGGACTTTTATACTAGGTTTTGACCTCATGTTGTAGCTCATAAATACCATAATTGATGTATAAAACAAATTTAAAATGATCTTTTTTGGTCTGAACACAATTCTAATAAAACTTATGACAGACTAAATTCACTTTCAAGAGTGAAAAATGTTTTTTTTTGTAAATAAATGTCCAACCCCTTCACCTATGTGCTTCTAACCTTCACAGACTCCATGAATTGATGCCCATCTCCTAAATATTTGGTCACATGATCAATTTCTTTTAACCATTTCCAAGCAACAGGGGGTGGCTCAACTCACCCCAGTCTCCCCTACAGTCCAAAGCTGTAACTACTCCTAACATACCGCTGTTAAAATCATAGACACTCTATTGTTATAATATTACATCTAAAAATCAGTGCAAAAGAACATCTCGTTAAATTAACGTTGCACACATACCAGGGCAGTGTAATATCCAACTGACCCCAGACTTGTTTTGGTATGGTTGAATTAATCGGTTTAACCTAACTGATAAGATGCCGCAGCGATCTCTTACACACAGGTGACTGAAAGGTGGCCTTTGTGCGAGAATGCGTAAATTCCGCCGGACGTGAACGCATCTCGGCTGCCGTACGGGAAGCTGGTCTGGTCGCGCAGGCTGCAGAGTTGCCCCGAGCAGAAACAGCGAGGCAGCCCCCTTTAGCAACACTTCTGCGAGGACGTCGTCTGCCAGCCATTACACACTGAAAGGAAACGTGTAGCTTTGAACGTGGATGGCGACACTTGCAGTTTTGAGAGCTTATTGAGGTCTCTTTGGAGGAGCCATCTGGGAGGACGAGGTTCTGGAGCTGCCTCTCCCAGCGCCCCCTTCACTGCACAGGCTCGACAAGATGTCAGCTTTCTCTGAGGCAGCTTTAGAAAAGAAACTATCCGAGCTTAGCAACTCACAGCAGAGTGTCCAGACTCTGTCTTTGTGGCTGATCCACCACAGAAAACACTCGAAGACCATCGTCAACGTGTGGTTTAACGAGCTGAAGAAAGGTAAGGTCCACAGAAGCGAGCTGGGTACCTTCAACGAACAAAGCTAACAAACCCTTTCAGGTCACTAATAAGTCACACACATCTATGAATCATTAGTTATGGAAGCAGGGTGACATTTAGCTCCAGTTGAAGCAGTTTCTGAACTTTTATAGATGGCTGAAGATGAATTTTACAACTTATGGATCATGTTGCTGCACATTAGCAGCTAAAGCTAACTAACTTTTCTGCAGCGTCCCTCTTTCAGCTTTTCACATGGTAGCTTAACTCCTTGTATGAAGCTGCTCTTTCTCATACTGCAGCAGCCAAAAGGTCCTCTGTAAACCTACCATGTAGCTGTCTCAGTATGCGCAGTGTATGCTAATGTTAGCTATTGAATGTCAGTGGTGTTTGGATGATTGAGCTGGATCCACATTAGGCCACTTGACCAAAACCCTGCAGTGCTGTTCAAGTGTGTCTCCCTTTACTGTGGCTGTTATTTAGCACATTCATATTCTGCAAAATTCCCCACAGCTGCACTAGTAAACAGTATCTGGCTATTTACTTGTTTACAGCATGAACACAATCTAGTGCACTGTAGTACAACAACTGGAACACAAACTTAGTTTTTTGTTGACATGCTCAAACAGCTGATATTTGCACCTAATACTTGTCCTTGAAGACACAGTGAGAGGTGGTGATGAATTTGAGAGTGCAGTATTGAATAGAATAGAATATTCCTTTGTTGATCCCCCATGGGGGAAATTGTTTTGCCACAGCAGCAACACAGACAAAGAAAGTGCAAAAATGCAGTTATAAAAATAAAGATTGTAATATTAAGAACTTAAATGTTACAATTAAGAAAAAATTTAGAGAAGGAAAAAGGGAGAAGAAAATAAAACTACATACAAAATACACAATTTAAGTACCAGAAAAAAACACTGGATGAATGAATGAATAAGGAGATGAACAACAGATGATGAGGTATCAGGATAGTCATGGTTAAATAACTGTACATGAATGTTGAATATTAAATAGATTAAGGTGTGAGTCCAGTTTTATTACAATTAACAGTTACAATTACAAATTGAATTACAATTGAAATTTGTTCCTAATATTTTGTCTCATTCTTTCACAAGCAATTGGAGAGCAACAAAACATTAGGAACAATATAATTTATTACTAGAAGCTCCCACCACACCGAATTATCACCTGTCTGACCATGTCAACAAAAAACTGAACATTTAGAAGCTTCCAGAAACTCGGATTTCAGATACAGCTGTTGTAGTGGCTCTGCTAGATCGTGCAATGTGTAATGTGCATGACATACCTGATAGGCAACAGCATATTTGTGATATTTATGCCCATTAACTCGCGTGTCTTGCTAGATAGAAGCTTGGATACAGACGGATTAATATGTCACAGTCAAAATAAAACCCATACTGTCCCATTATTGTGACATATTTCACCATCTTGCATATTCTTCCAGAAACATTGGGATGTTATTCATGCAGAGTTATGCTGCTTTTATTCTTTGGCTCTTTACTATCTTGTGTTTGTAACCAAATTTAACAGCAAAATGCCTGGCTCCAGTAAAAGAAACAGAAATAAGGTGCTTTATTTGTGGTTAATACTGGCACACTACTCCTGTGGGTGCTGGTCAACAAGCTAATGAAATCTCCAGTGGGTGTTGTATTTTTGGATGCTGTCTGTGGGCTTCAATGAGTGTGAATCTCTAATGACAGAGTGAACGGAGAAGGCAGCGCTGTGATCTGTCCAAAACAACAAATGCACATGCACCAATATTTGCACAGTCTTTGTGACTCAGTGTTTGTTGCAGGTGGAGTTTGTTGTTATTTTTGAGAGGTGTGTAAAGCTAAGACTATGACATACTATTTGTAATTTGGTATTTTTGCCACCTTATCTTTTCTCATATGATAAATAAAGTCAGGTATATCCTTGCAGGTTTACTAATCAGCCCAAAAGGTCTCATGTAGGGGACTGAACTCTCCCTTTTCACTGTTCTCCTTAAGTTTATTCTTGTACGCTTTAACCCCACATGTCACTGTTTAAAGAATTAAACATGTCTGTGTACATATGCATGCTTGCAGCTCAGGTGTCACGCAAGCTTACCTTCCTCTACCTGGCAAATGACGTCATTCAGAACAGCAAGAAGAAAGGACCCGAGTTCACCCAAGACTTTGCACCGATCATCGTTGATGCATTCAAACATGTTTACAAGTAAGTGTTGACTGTTAAAATGATCAATCAGGATTCATAAAGCATGAAACTCAAAGTGATTAATTTACAGTCTTTCTGTAAAGTGGTCGTGTTTTCTTCTCCAGAGACGGCGAGGAAGGCTGTAAGAAACAGCTGGGTCGAGTTTTGTCCATCTGGCAGGAGAGAGCGGTGTATGAAAACAACCTGCTGAATCAGCTCTCACAAGTGCTGGGTAAGTTTAATGATCTTTACCTGCATGGGCCCAGAAACTGTGCTGAACTCTTAGATGAGTCTGCAGAGGTGTTTTGTGACAGCTAACCTGCTCATCTGCTGGTTTAAACAGCTGGGGCTCCACATTGAAAGACTAGACTGTGTTTGAGGGCAATACATGGCTTATTTAGGAAGTTAAAGGACGGCATTTGACCTGGGATTAATCGTAAACACTGTCATAGATATCCTAATGACAGGGCTCACAGTGCAAGGATGTAAGCTATGAAACAGGATTTTTTTAAAGTGATGTTTTTTTTTTCTTTTGTTGTTAATCCCAGATGGAGAAAAAAAGGCAAGGAAGAGGTCATACGAGGCAATCCAACCAGATGATGAGGACTTTGCTACTCGGAGCTCTCCGGCTGAGCCCCCACAGGTGCAGGATTAGATAATCAGTGGAGCTATTAATAAAGGGCTCTGAGATAAATACGTGTCCTATAATTGTTACAGCTGCCTCCTTGTGAATAAGTATCATGGCACTGGTTCCATTTCCCTCTTTATCACCAGCATAAATGCATGTAAAATACAGTATTTTCCAGATATCACTCATGCCTCATTCAATCTACCTCTCTCATCTTCTCTCTCGCCCCTCCTTGATCATCACCCCCTCCACCTCAGACAGCAGACTTAATCCGAGCTCTACAAGAGCTGGAAAACGCAGCCTCCAACGACTCCGTGCTGCGTCAGCGCATCTCCTCCCTTCCTGCTGAGGTGCTAGACACGTCACTGCTTCACAGAATCACAGGTAAGAGGTGGGACACAGCACATTTTTAGCTGTATAGTTACAAAGGAGTGGGTTTTCTACAGCTCATGAAACCATGAATTCAACACAGTTGCATTACGCACTCTTTCTGCTCTCTATGTGCTCTCTATGCTTTAGATAAGGAGTCAGGAGAACGTCTCTCCCGACTGGTGGAGGAAGCCTGCATGCTGCTTGCAGACTACAGCGGCCGCCTGGCTGCAGAGATTGACGATCGAAGGCAGCTAGCGCGCACGCTAACAGTGTTCCTGCAGAGCCAGAAGGATGGCCTTGTCCAGAACGAGCAGAAACTGGAAGTGCGTACAATACCTTTTTTTTACCCTCCAATAACTGTGTGCTTGTGCTTTATCATGTGTTCGCCTCATTATTTAATCTCAGTTTGTCTGTGTCTCTTCGTGCTCTCACGTCTTTGTCAACCTTTTCAAATATTTGTTTTTGTGTATTTCAGCGTACTGCAAACTCGAGTGTCAGGTCTGCTAGCATAACAAACAGATTCGTAATTAAACTCTTAAATTAGGACAGCACATATTAATCAAGGTGTAGTTCATGGTCATTAAACACATCATAACTGAGTGTGTAAACAGGTAGGTCTTTATCATGAAAGTCTCCCCTCATTTTTTTTCCTTCTTATAATTTCCCACATTTGTGTTGACATTAACTGTCCAGCTTTTATTCACAGGGAACCAAGAGGACAACGTTTTTCATATTGTATCATAAACTGTAATAAAAATAATGAAAATAAACAATAAAACAATTTTGTGAGTGCTTTTATTTTGCTTTAACCTGGAGCTTTAGGTGGTTTGTACACATGTATAATTTTCCAGTTTTAAATAAGGTCTTTTTATCATATGGACTAACAGCTCTGGTTAGACTCTCAGCTTAAAGTTGAATTAATTTCCGGCTCACAGAAAAGCCTCTAAAATAAGGAGAATTAAATTGGAAAAAAGTATGTTCTGGGAGTGTTGGATAATTTCTTTTTAGAAATTATGTTGAATACAAAGCCTCAAATAGCTCAAAGAAATGTGTCTATACGTACAGCGTACCTCAACACTATGATCAAGAAGTTGAAACCAGACTAGGAGAGGAAAGATGTTTTTTTTTTTTTTTAACAGACATTTCTGAAGTTTGGTTATTGATCTTTGCAGAGAGTCAATGAAGTTTAAAAATTCACTAACAGGCTAGTGAAGAGATGCAGATTTTTAGTTTCTGTACTTTTCTCTCAGCTCCAAACAGTACACTAAACCTTAATACTGACACAAAATTATTTAGAGTTCTCAGTTTTGTCAGGTTGAAGATGTTTTTTATTTGATTAACTTTTATTTTTCAAAATAAAAATAAGATGTTATTAAAGATGTTTCAAGTTCAGCTTAAACTTAAAAATAGGGGTGTTTTGTTTTGTTAAATATCACCTTGCATTCAGTGGTTTGAACAACTTAGGTATATTAGTAAAAACATCTTACACTGGTAAAAAAGTTACTGTAAGGAACCAACTTAATATGCATCTGATGGAAATATACAGCTAGAAATTCAACCGTAGACATAAGGACACTCCGACCAACACCACAGTCTGCAATGAAGAATCGAAACCATGTTTTTTTCCCCCCCCTTTTTTCTTTGACTCCTACTTCATCCTGTACTATCCATCAGGTTCAATAAATGAAGAAAACTATAAACTCTCTAAACTCCAAAAGAGATTTGACCTCTTGTGCACCTTTTCTCCTTCTTTCAGGAGTACAAGCGGAAACTGGCGAGGGTGACCCAGGTCCGAAAAGAGCTGCGGTCACGTCTGAATAATCTTCCAGGAGGACTCTACAATTCTTCAAACTGACTGGACCTGATTTCTGACTCTCCTCACTGTTGTCAACTCTTTACTCCGCAAAGCATCTGTGTCTCCTGTGTGGTGACCCGTGGCTCTTGTTCTGTTCCCGGTGGATTATTTATACTTGTGTGTTCCTTATCAGTCCTCTTAATTCTCCATCTGTGAGCTCATGTCTTTGTGTGGGTTGTCATCAGTACATTATACTGATCTGATGCAGGCCCCTCATATCTCCACCCTTGTCCGTTAACTTTTACAGATTTAACATCGTGTGGATAATGCTGGTGTGATATTTTTGTATTTATAGTGACATAAAATAATGCACCAGAATGTATCCCTTTAGTGTGACCATTTGTAACACTTAACAGTGTTTTGGGCTGCTTTTTTTTTTTGCAAGTACATCTTTCTGATTTTTGGTTATAGATCATTGCAGTATTTTTCTAAGTTGGACTTATGTTTTTGTGCAGAAAAAGGTGAAGTTTTGAAACCACTTTCAGAAGCATAGTTAAAGCCACAACCTTACAGCTCATCAAAATATGTTATTACTCTTTGTTTGCAAGGTTGGTGGGTGTACATATTCAAATTTGCATGTAAATATGATGGGGTTTTATCTGTAGGTACTCATGATTGGTAATCACTTCATGGATTGCCAAAGGATCATTCAGACATTTACAGAGGGTCATCTGAATGTCAGTGTCTACAGTTTTTCACACCACCATGTTGGTGAAATAACAAGCGGAGGAGGCTGTTGTAGCTGTCATTCATATCCTTTCAGTCGACTGAATGCTGCGCAGAGCCCTCGTATAGCTTTATAGATGCCCCAAATTTCAAAGCCAGATTTAAGCTTTTTGTTTATGTACATATGGAGCTCGTTCTGTTCAGAACCAAATAAACAGGAAAGGCACAAATACAAAAGTCCTATTGAATGTGATTGCAGTTTGGATGGTGTCCAACAGAGGGCGGTCCTACAAAACCACCAGGATGAGGTATTTGCAAACATAGAGAGCTGCAGTTTTTAGACAGAGGGAGCACCACCATTGAAATCGGACACTCATCAGACTCAAGATTTCATAGAGATAAAACAAACATTGAACAGGTGGGGTTTTAGCATATTATTTAGGTATCAGGGGAACAATCTAGAAGACAGGGTGGTAAATTATGCCTGTTAACTTCATCCATACAGGAGAAAGGGATACTGTACTTTACATATGATAGTAAAAGGCAATTATAATACAAAATGATATATTACAAAAATATTGCCTAATATAAGGCACTTCATCAGGATACATCCATTAAAAGGGTGCTATTTTTATATTTCCAGGGGGAATATCCAGGGGGAACTATTTGAACATTTTTATACTGAATAGGCATCCTAGGGGCACTTGGTCATATCACAACTTTTAGAGAGAGCATTCAATAATGTTTAATAAAGTCAGGTGCATCCAAGAGGGCTCTTTTTAGCATTTTTAATATAACATGAAGGAGGGTAATGGGTCCCCAGTATAGCACTGGAGGGCTGGTTGGTAAAATAATGTCTGTAGGATTAAAAAAGGAGAGAGGAAACAGTATCTAGACTAAGGTTTGGACACACTGGATCAAACACTACATAACTTAAATCAAGTAAATACATTACATGCAGATACTACTGTAGTGGGCAAGAAAACTGGATGTTTCTACACTGTCATAAATAAATAGAAACAACTGATTCAGGTGGGTGTATATGATTTTGACAGGAACTAGACATGAGTACTTTGTCACAGTGGGTAGTCTGTTTAACACTCCTGGCCAGTAGGTGGCAGAAATGCGCCAATTCGTTGACAGTGACGAAGAAGAAACGCCAGCAAAAGGTACAGCAGGTTAAACGCGCACAAGACGGTTTTGTTTAAACTAACCTTAGGTTTACTCAACCTGTGAAATAAACAACGATGGACGCTTTCGAAACTCCATATGAAGAAGAGGCTGAATTCATTCAGTGCACGGTAAGGCTGTTTTAGTCTGCAGAGAGTCTGTGGTGTGATGAGGAAATGCTGCGTGGCTAACAGATATTTACCTTTACACGACAAGACTGATACGCAGATTCCTTCTAGTATTGTCATGGAGATAAGGCCCTGATCGAAAACCACTGTACCCAGACTTCTCAGACCACAGACTCTCTGATACCTCTGGTCTAGAGTGCCAGAAAGAGCCATAGGGTACATAAAACCGGGTTCTGATCCAGAACCACTGGATTTAGGCTTTATAGATCTGGACTAAATTATGCTTGAGAGGTATCAGATTATCTTTACACAGAGTTGAGCTTTATGAATCCTTCGCTTTTTGTGTGGAAATGCAAGAAAGTGTGTTTTTCTTCTTCTTGTTTTCAATCAAGACTACAGTGGAACAGGTCCTAATCCAGAATTTCAATTCCTGTAGTTTTCAGACCTATCCCAAACTTTTCTAGAGAGTTTGAGGTATCTTAGAATATATATTCAAAGGCTACACAAATCTAAAAGTGTGTTTAATAGAGACTATAGCCTCCCCAGAGCAACCTGTGTCAGACCTGAGGAGTATTTATCTGGTGGCCTTGGTTCAGGACTTGGTCTTTGTTGGTCCCGACAGAAAAAAATCTGTGAAATCACCCTTCACTGCATTTCAATAAAGAGAACTGAGGAGTCACAAATCAGAAATTATGCTCAAAGAAGTCTGTAGACCTTAATGATCTGGCTCTGATCCGACAAGTCTAGGCATAAGGGGTTTAGGAGCAGGACCTTATTTCAGTAACTTTCCCTTTGGAAAAAGGATGCACACTTTAGAGTCTTGGTTATTGAGTAACATATGTGAATTCCTAACTAAGTCTAATGTACCAATCTGAAAAAAATAAACCCCTGCTGCTGCACCAAACGTTGAATCCCTGTTAGCCAAAGGTCTTTAAAAATGTTGGTTCAGTTCAATCACTGGGTCTTGCTGAGTACTTTGATGGTGTCTCTGACTTTCTGTGCTGTCTTTGAATCCAGGTCTGTGATAAATCCATAAAAGGAGAAAGCTTGTACAAGATCCACCTGACCGCACCTGGACACATAAAGGTACACACTGTGACTTTCTGCTGTAATAGACTGATGCTCAGGTTAATGGGCAGTGAGTTCTGACTGTGATTTTTATTGTTGATTAATTTGATCCTGCTTATTTTCTTCCATTCAGTCACAGGTTCAGGATAAAGCTCACAGCTACCATTTGTAATGTTTCTCTATCTTTGCAAGGTGTCAGAAATAACGTGGCATTAAAAATTACTCTAAGGGACTGAAGTCCTGTTTATAACCTGTTGCATTGTTTCCTGTGGCACACCATGATAAACTGGTTGTTCAGTAAGTACCACATCAACAACAGTAAGAGTCCCACTGTTCAACACTCTTGCAGAATCGGACTTCAAGCCTGAACTCTTTGGATGTTGGCAGGTCTTTATATGAGAGTTATGGATCTTGGAAACGTCCGGTCACTACTTCTTCTTCTTCTTCTGCCAACATTTGTCTTGAGAAGTTTAAACTCTGTTTTGGAGCTGCACTGTGCCTGTAGAGAGCACACCTTGCAGTAAGTTTATAAAGCCACATAAAAGAAATCTGCTATCTCTGGAATGAGCAACTAGATCTGCATTCTCCTCATGTTTTCTTTCACGATTGCAGAAAGATTGTTGTAATGGACACAGTTTGGAAACTCTGTGTGCTCTGCTTTGAATGAAAGAACTGTCATTTGTTGTCTGGACTCATCCCCGAAGTCTCAGTCAAGTCCTGAAATTCAAACAAACAACAGCTTTGGACACTTTCACAAGAGAGCTGGGATTATTTTGCCGAGCTTGATAACAATCGCCATTGTAGAGTGATCATCTTGTTGTTGACTGGGGCATTTTGGAGAACAGATTTTTCTGCAGGCGCTCTTCTTTTCTAAGCGAGTCCTTTTCAGTGGTTTCTTTCATGTAGAAAATGTCCTTGCCACTGTCTCACATGCTCTTCAAAACTATGTGATCTGCTGTGGTTCTTGCTCATTTTAAAAGTGGCAGCACTTCAAGGAGAACCTGGCTTTTGATAGCCTTCTGTTCCTCTCTGGAGCTCATCACAAAAGGACTAAAGATTGACGTGATGTGGTGACAAACAACCTTTTATTTTACACCTGCTGCTTTTACAGTTTTCTTGTTGCTGGACAGTTGGACCTGCAAGACCCAAGATGAAAATACATGACAAATGACCATTAAAAATCCAAACATCCTGTCTATGCTGAGTCTCAACAGCAACTTTTGTGGCACTACTTTCGGTTGCAAGTGAAGGTATTTCACCCATAGACGGTGGCACCCTGAAACAGTGCAGTTTTGAAGTCCCAGTGTGTGATTATACATCACATCACATCGTTGCAGAAGCAGGAGCTTGTTAACACACTACAGGAGCTCCACATACACAGACTGCACTGTTTTGTGCTGCCAGCTCTGACGTTACACATTGCCACCTTCTTTCCCCCATTCCTTCTCCAAAGGGGGATCGGAGGCGTATATATGCTGCCTTAAATTGACAGAATGTGAAAACAAACTGACATCACCGTTGGACTCTGAAGAGATGGCATTCAGACTCATTGGGATGCCATACTGAAAACACTACCTTAACTTCTGACCCACCCATAAAAGGGCAAAGAGGTGGAGCAGGGACGGGGTCAAACACCTACACTGTCCCACTGACTGCATGTTTCTGTGCTGCTCATTGCCTGTAAATTATCTTAATGGATGTGTTTTTAAAACGCTCATCCTTTGCACCATGAGTGCAAAAAAACCCAAAAAACGAATCAGCTGCAAACCCAACCCTTTTTGAAACCAAGCTGTAAACAAGTTGTTGTCAAGCTGTGCATTTTAACATGGAACCTAACAGGGATTTCTAGGCCTTTGCAGCCAGCCCCAAGTGGGCACTCATGGAACTGCGTTTTTTTTTTGCATGACAACATCAGCTTCATTTTCCAACACTGCAGGTGGCTTCTTGGTTTATCCAGAATACCTGTTTTTGGTCGGCAGTGGAAGACAACCCCTTGAATATTTTTTCTGTGCTTTTTGGTCACCTTTTTGAAAATTTGATGAAAAATTGCATACTTCACTCTCATATGCATGTTTATGATCAGTCTGTCCTTTAACAGGCAATGCAAGCATCTATCAGAAAAGCGATATGATGACTTAAGGACTTAATCTTGTCTTGTCTTTACTGATGTATGCACTCAGTGTAAATACACAAATACTAAAGAGAATATTCACCATTACTGCACCTCATGGGAGCTGTGGCTCTGGTGAGCAATGTCATGTCAAAAGAAAATGTTTCCTTTTCCTGTTTGTAGCAGTGATTAACCCTCACCAGTGTCCTGTTTATCCAGCACTGATTGACTGCGTTTTCATTGCTCTCCTCTCATCCCTGACAGAAAGAGGATAGCCTTATTGCTGCTGGTAAGTAGACTTGTCTTTTTGTTTTGCTCTTGTGGTTCAGTGTTCTTTGTCTGACAGGTCTGACCAGTAAGATTAAAGAGATCACCTAAATCCAATCCCCGGTGTGATAGACAACAATTTAAAAGGTTTTAACCTCACAAGGGTTATAATTCCTTCAAAGTGTTAATGCTATCAGTCCAAAATGACAGCATGAGCCAAAATGATCTCAATAACAATCACCAGACTGCTGGGTATGGACATTTCAGTGGGAAATGTGTTCCCAGCTACTGGATATACTCAAACTTAGTGGTTTGGCTAAAGGCTTCTCCATACAGGTGACTCTTTTTGTGTTGGTATAACTTCCACATGTACACAAACTTAACCTCTCTACAAATGGATGGATGGGTGGAACAGAGTGTAGAGACAACTGAGGCAAGAGAGAAGAAGCAGAGATTCTCGACACCATCAACATCACTATTTGATTACTGTGAATGCTTCAGACAACAGCTGGTCGTATACACGCGTTGGGGCTTTACTATGTAAGTGATGTCCAGTTATTGAGCACCAGGGGCCTGGTAGGTAAATGACTGGACTTACAGGTTTGGATACTTGAGGTCTCACAGTCAGCTCCTTTTGGTCAAGTCTGGACATTTTCAGGAATAAAAATCACTGATGTGAAATGGGCCCTGGATGCTTTTTTTGTGAGATAGTGGGGCAGTCTCCCCCACAATCAGACCGGTCTCCTCACTTGGATTTGTTTTGGGCCATTGGGACCAAAAAGATGCTTGAACATATTCTTGTTCTGCTCCGAGATAAAGAAAGAACAATTTAGGGTGTTTTTTTTTTTTTTTATCCGAAAGGTTCAAAGCAGCGCTGAGCCAAAGCAGTGCTGCCTCTGAACAAAAGTGTCTCAGAAACATGTTTTGGTGGGAGATTTTTCCACTCAGGCGAGTGAACCTTGACACTGAAGTGGCTGTGCTCCTGAAGTCGATGAAAGAACCAAAAAGGCCAGCTTTTTTCATGAAGAATCAAAGTTTTCATCACAAAGTCTTTTTTCAGCTTGTATTTTTGGTGGCTGTTTTATGTGGTGATTTTGTAAAGGAGAGGAGAAACAACTGTGAGGCCTCTATTATGTCAAGTGAAATGCATGAAAGTTTAATTGTGGGGCAAAATTGCTGGAGTCTGAGCCAGCAGGATGGAGCAGTGCTGTGTGTGGAGCTGGCGCTGTTTTATTCAGCGGGCCTCTTTAACTCTGTGTGTCATAACACCGTGTAAAGAAAATACAAGCTTGAACACTGTTTCTTCACTGATGGGCGAGCTTCGCTAAATCACTATGGCAGAAGAATCTAGATCGTACAAGCTACCTAGGCATCTGAATCTGGCCTCAGATATGAAGGCATCAAGGACTTGGACAGCAGCCTGACCAGGGTCAGAGCACTGAGAGATGAGCTGGGGGCCGATTTCTTCTGCTGTGTAACCTTGACTGTGAGTTTAACATCTGTGGGGATGACTGGCTGGCTTTGAGGACACTCTTTTTTCTGGGTTTTGCTGTCTCTGGAGAAACAGCAGAAGGAGCTCTGTTTCACTTCCAGAAAGTTTATTTTGGAGGCCTTTTGCCTTTTTGTTGGGCTTTGAGAAAGACAGGAAACACAGAGAGACACAAACCAAATTATGCCTGGATCAGGAACCAGTCCAACTAACAGTGCAAAGAAGACTGTGGCCTCCGTAAGTGGGGCATACGTCTAAACTGCTAGGCACCCTGGGTACTTGAATTTGGTGGTAAGTTTTACATTCTCATAAGTAGTTTGCTGCTGTGAACTTGGACTGATCATGTGGAGGAGGAGGTGGTCCCTTTGGTACTATAATCCTGATTATGCTCATCATTCCCAAACCACATTTCAGACCGGTTTGTGACCAAAATGACTCACAGCAATGTCCGTAAAAATCAAGAAGAAGAAGAAGACAGCCGCCTCACAGTTCGTTCTGGCTGCTTTTATTCAAACAGGAGGGCTCATATTGTTAGTGACCTTTCATCCTTAAAAGTTCAGTGTTGTGATTGGTCACATGACTTTTCCTGACCAGAGTGTGGTCAGTGTGCTTGCCATCACCATAGCTGCCCAGAAAGTTTCCAACAGGCTGATGAGTTTATCTTTTGGCCTGTTGTTGCCTCGATTGCGCCCTCAGCTGGTATTCATTGAATTGACACTTAATCTTATTCCTTCTCAGTCCAAATAGATGCTGTAGCCACAAAATGTGGCAGCACTGTAGCCAAAAATTGTGGCAAAAAAAGTGTCATATCAGCAAGATTCAATTCAATATCCAATTTTGGAAACTGCTGTTTTGGGAATGTTAAAGACATCAGCATTCACTTGCTTTTGTCGCACAATGGACGTCCACATTATGGGCGTCTGGGCATTTTGAGCTTAAACTGAAGATATCCTCAAAGTAGAACCAAAGACTGATGAGATACTGAAGATTGCATGACATGTTGATGTCAGTGATCATCCCCCTGCTGATGTAAGTAGAGAAAACGCGACAACTGCGTGTTCAAGCCTTAAAGGTCTCTTATTATGCAAAATTCACTTTAGAATGGTATTCTAACAATAAAATACATCTCCAGCCTGTCTGCAACCCCCCCAAAATGAGAAACTTCTATCCTCTCCCTCTCTTGATTGTTCCACCATTCAGAAAATGTCTGCTCAAACAGGCGGATTGAAACTATTTCCTTCCATGACATCATGGATGACGATAACTCCTCCCCTCCAGGTTGGTGACCCTGACCAAAAAGTTTGTTCTGCCCCCTTAAGATTTCCACTCAGACGCTATTTTTCTCCCTCACAAATGCTGGTTCGAAATAGTGAAGGTACGAGCAAGGCACAGCAGTTGCTCTGTTGTTGGCTGTATGAAGCAGCACAAGAGTCTGTTTTTACCTCCCTCTTTGTCTGAGGTTTTGAAGGCCCAGTGGATTGTTTTATTTTCGATGGAAATGTACCCACAACAACTCCTAAAATGTTGTATGTGTGTGCCTACCAATTCCCTTCAGACTGCCAGTTCAAAGCAGGATTCGCTAAGAATCTGAAGCTAAAGCCTGGATCGGTACCCACTGTCCGCAGACACAACTAACGTTGGAGCTGTAAGTTGTACATAGTCACGAGAGATTAAAATGATTGGGCAGATTAAAATGTTGCCACCCTATTGAGTTACAGTTTAAAGTTGAAAAATTTATTGTAATTCAGAATTATTCAAAAATACAACATCCATCCATCATCTCTTACCTCTTTTCCTGTTTGGGGTCACAGGGTTGGCTGGAGCCTATCCCAGCTGTTGGGTCAGAGGCGGAGTACAACCTGGGCAGGTCGCCAGTCTATCTCAGTTCTTACATGTATAGTCAGAGAAAATATAACATGTTCTGGATTACTTCTTATTTTAGAAGTTCAAGTAGATTTGATCAGTGGAGATAATCCTCCTAAGGTCAGAGTAAGCCCCGAATGTTAACCCTTGCAAAAGTCTGTGGCCTAGTTTGGCCACCCCAGTCAAAAAAGTCTGGCTCCTCCACTTGATTTGTTCATATTTGTCATTTTGATTATCGCCATGTATAGAGATAATATGCTGCTCTTGTAGCTCACAGGAAATGCCCTTTGAGACAAAGTTTCTACAACTAACTATTTGGTTGTAGATATTTTGAGACTGTGTGGTTTTTCAAGCTAAATATGGACTCAGACTCAGGTAATCAGGACTTGACTTGGGCAAAACAGTAATTCCTCTTTGATAACTTGGATTTTAACAGCAAGGACCTGAGATAAGATGTTGGCTGACCAAAACTCTGGTGGGTTGTACATAGAAATACTGTTGAAACCAGGAAGTGTTGAAATCACAAATGTTGATGTGATCTTGTGATGTTTGACCACAGACATATGATAAATAAGATTATAAAATCCTCCTATGAGCTGCTTTCTTTTGCTAATTGATGATGTGTTTTTTATTTCAGGGCTTGCTGTCAGACAGCAAACCATACCAATATTTGAGGACATTATACAGTATCTGGATTACATGAAGCTTGATGAACCCATCATTGGTGAATAAACACAAACCCAATCTAAAAAAGTCATCATCTTCACATAAATATGATACTTTTTTGACTTTCTTTTCCTGTTTTTATATTTCAGGTCTGAGCTATTTGGAGGAAACGCCCAGTGACCCACAAACGGGTCCTAAATACATGTGCAAGCTTTGTCATCAGACTGCAAACCTCTTAGAAACAGTCCGCCATGTTATTGGACGTAAACACCGGCAAAAATACGTGGTAAAGCATGAGGAAGACTCTCATAGGCAGCTTTAATGTTTATTTAATACAATGAGACAAAGTGGAAAACCTTTTGTCTTCTTTGTAGGAATTGAAACGTCCCGACTTGGTGACCTGGGATAAACAATCCATAATAAACCAAGGGGGGAAGATCATACGAGCCAGAGCCGAGATGATAGAGAGACAGGATGGACGAGGAACTCCGACTGTAAGACACACAAATATCTATAACCAGAGATGTGTTGTTTTGTTTCAGGCTGCATTTTTTTTCTTGCGTGTGAAAAATGTATTTGTTTTTTTTGTGTTTCAGATGTTGCCAAAAAAGAGGAATATGGGACAATTTAACACCCCCAGAGGTAAATCCAGACCGGGATTTTGGATTGAATGTTTCAAGTGTCATACAAAGTTTCCTCTGAGTTTTGTACCTTATAATATTTACTTTTAAATGTCTCAGAAAAAGGTAAAAATCCTGTGACTCCTCTGAATTTTGGACTCAAAGCTAATTAAAGAATGACATTAAAATTAGCTCCAGGTTGATATACCTATATTATATGATTGGACAAGAAATTAATCAAATAGATAATACAAAAAAATACATGAACATGAGCTGTTGTCCCACATTGAATCTCAAGTTCATGCTATTATTTGGACTTCTGTAATACACTTCATGATGTTATTATACAGAAAGTCCAAATGCTGCAGCTCGTCCGTAATCAGCCTCTAGAAAGTGAGAACATGTTACACCCTGTCTTTGCCTCCCTCCACTCTCTCCCAGGTCATTTTAGGATTCGTTTAAAGTTTTTATTTGTTTATAAATCTTTAAATAGAACATAAGCACAGCACATCACTGACCTCCTCCAGGTCTACAGTCCCTGGAGGACTTTGTGGTCGGCTGATCAGCTGTTTTTTGGTCCTTCAGACTGGGTTTTCTCAGCAATGGCTCTGAAACTGTGGGACAAGTCCTCCTCCCAAAAACTTATTTCTAATCTTTCTCATCCTTAGGCTTATTTCTTGTTGGTTTTGTTTTATTAGTGTTGTGCTCTTCAGGCTTTAAGATGTTCACTTTCACTCTTATTTCCCAGCATTTCCAAGGCAGAACCATAACCATGGCAGAAACACCCAACAGATAGGAACCCAACGAGACATGCCGTCACACCGACCACAGCTCATGGACAATCAGGATGACCATTATGGAGGGAGGTTTTCCCCAGAGCGGCTGAACACACCTCCATCCCATCCAGGAGACTCTTACATGAAGAGCATGGACCGGCAGAGAGTAGATTACAGGGACAGTGATGTGTACAGACGAGGGTATTCAGACCCTGATTATCACAGGGGGTATGAAGGGAATCATGTTGAAGACCCACAACGAAGAGTTGCATGTGGGCCAGTTGGTGGTCCCAGGTATGAGTCAAGAGAAGATCTGGCTGAGCCCAAAGATTATTACCCAGATGAGGCCCCTCCTTACAGAAGGCCTTACCCAGAGAGGGATCTACTGAAGGACCTCTACTCAGAGGAGATGAGGCGGCGACAAGCTGGTTCAACTGAGCGTCAGTCTTTGCACGTGGGGGGTGAAGAGGAGGAGAACCGGCGCTGGTCTCTTTACCAGGACTCTGTAAACCATGAGGGTATGAGCAGAGCAGGTAGACAGGGTCCAAGTGAATCAGAAGCCCAGAGGAGGAGCTTTCCCTTACAGATGGAGGTTGAACGACTGCAAGACAGTTTGTTTAATCTGACCAGAGAGTATTCAGGTGAAATGAGGAAACCACATCATGAGGAGGCAGGCCCAAGCAGAACAGGACCCCCTCAACCCCAGAGAAGAATGGAAGTGAACAAGACAATGTCAGATATCCCAGAGCCATTCAGGCGCTTCTTAGAAGGTCCCTCAGATGAAGAGCAACAAAACCTGAAACGGAAAAGAAAGAGTCGCTTCTCTGATGCCACAGCAGAGGAGGTGGAATCAACGAAGGGGCTGTGAGTGATAAACCAGCTGACTCACTGTTTATTGCTTTGTGTCCTCCTCTAACATAAACTTCTGGCTACTCTAAGGTTCACTGAGGACTTAGGACCTCCAAATCCAAAGTTCAGCTATCGTCCTGGACCCGTTGGTGCACCACTAAGACCTGAAACCCACGAAAGGCCACGTCCTAACCTGTACACCCAATCACAGGTAAGTTATTTGTTTTTTTTACTTCTGACTTATCAAAAGAAGAACGAAACTCACCTGTGTAATGTTTTTTTAGAGCACACATCACACTGAAAGAGACCAGACTGAAGGCTCTGACTCAGGGGGGGTCTTTGATTTACTGGTAAGATCATAAATTTGCTAAATGCACAAACAGCATTGATTTTTTTTCTTCACAATAACTATTTATTTTTTGCCAATCTTGATGAACCTGTTAGACAAAGCATGACAAAGGTCTTGTCCGGTGCATACGGTGATTGTTTTTTCTGATGAGATCTTCTCTTGCTTCATTTTCGTGGTGAATTAGAGGCATTAGGATTAAATAGTGACCAGCTCAAATTTCTAACATGAGCTTGAACTGGTTCTTTTCTTGTACTTCTTTCTCCCTATTAGAAAAACATTGAAATTGACAATGCAGAAGAGGCCATTTTCCTGAAAAGCAGACTTTGCGATCTTCTGAAAGAATTCAAGATGAAGAAAACTCAGAAAGCTGCTGCGGTATGTGTTAACCAGAGCAGGAGCTGTCTTTTTAATGCCGCATGCAGTTCACTGTCTGTCTGCAAAGGTGAGGAAATAAACATTAATTGATAAACAAATCTATTCCTGTTTTGGCAGCAGAATATCCAAGGGCGGGCAGTCGCTGCTGAAGATTTTGACAGTTTCCAGCTGAAGCCTGAGCTGGTTCAGCACCGATATGAACCAGGGACAAAGCAGGATTCAGACCACAGGCGACCGCAGGAGCTCTATTGTCAGGAAGATTACAGAGGAAGAGGCAGGGAATATGAGGAGCTTGTCCCAAACGAACACCTGCAGGAATACATCCACTCTGTACATGGAGAGCCCAGGCAGCTGAGCAGAGGTCATTATGAAGGTAAATCTATTTCAGCCTCATTAGGTAGATGTTTGCGCTCATACAAGGGTTCTGACTTAGGTTTTAAACTGGTCTCAATGTGGATGTGCATGAACTACACCTGACATGCTTTGAACAAGGGCCAGTACCTGGTAAAGATAAAGCAGGAATTATTTCACTTCTATGCAAAGGCCAATGGATTAACACATCTATATTTCATGCCTGCTGTAATTTGCACTAAACCCTGCCTATTTTATCTGATATTAACATAAGTACATGCATACTGCCTTTATATTTGCTGGAATAATTTGTATATTTGCATACCACTTGTTATTAGGTCTGTCCTTGTTAGATATGGCCATTTTTTTTTTTTGCACAAAAACTATTTAATGAAGAACATTTTAAGAGTTTTGAAAAGTTGGATTTGATTTTTGTCTTACATTTTTTTTTACACTTTCTGTTGACAGAGGATTTTGGGTGGCAGAACATGTCCAGGACACCACAGGGCAGTCATGCAGACGAGTTGCCACGTTATCCTGACAGGTTTCAAGAACCCAGACACCCTCGTGACTACAGACCTGCTGCTGCTGCTGCTGCTGCTGCTGCTGATAAGTTTTTAGACTCTCACTCTCCTGCACCTCCCCTTCACTATGAACGAGGACCAAGGATGGACAGAGGGTCTCGGTACACAAACAGCCTGGAGAAAATCACCTCCACGCTGCTGGAGCTTGTTGCAAGAAAATAAACTGCAGCTGTACATATTTTTCATGATTTTCTTTGTTTTCAGACATTAGACATTAGTTTGCCGTTAAAAATACTGAACAGTGCTTGTTATTTGCTCTTGATGTAAAATTACTAGATTTGACCTTGAAATAAGTGTTTCTGTTGAAATAAACTATTTTACTGCTGCTGTGATGGCCGTTGGACTTTTTGTATTACTGTTAACAGAAATGTATCCAGTCAACTGAAATTTTCTGAAAATGTAAGTGTTGCAATGTGCAGCAGATTTATTTAATTTCATGTTACATTAATTGCTTGATTTATAGTGCAGTTTTTGTGGATACATTGACAGAAACTTTTCAATTCTAGCTAAAGATAATTTTAACTGAAGTTTGACTATATATAAATAATATTTATAATCTTTATTTTACACACACCCATCCCTTTGTCACTGTTGAAGATGATTTATAAGTGTGTTGCTGCAAAGTAGTACAACTTAAGGATCTTATACATTACAAAAAGAAAACAAACACAAAAACCCTGCCATTTGCAGTGTATCAAGAAGACCTTAAAGGACTACAGTCAAAGTTTTGTCCAATTAAGTAAATTTGAATAGGCATTAAAAGTAAATGAACTGAAATTCTGAGTACAAATACAAACTTTAGTGCCAAATAGTAAACTAACTGGCCTAAGTAACATAAATAATTTACAGTTTTAATAGCTTTTTTTGCCCTAAACGGCTTGGTTTTAATATAATATTCGGTTTGAAAATGCAAATAGTTACGTTTTACTCTTGTGAATGTACAGGTATCGATAACATGCTGTTCTAAAAATATAGTAAAGCTTCTTTATAAAGTATTTATTGTATATGCCATATTCTAATAAGAGGGTACAGTTTCAAGAATTTAAAGATTAAAAATATTGTTCTCGGTTTGGATTTTTGACGTCGCCCGTATAGGAACGTAGTGAAAACGTCATCACGTTCGTGTACATAACACTTTCCGGTTCGAGTAGCAGCCATCTTGTTTCCCCTTGCTAGCTAAATAAAATAAATAATAGGCTGAGCCGGACTTCACTCCGAACCCGTAAAACAAAGTAAGTCATAAATTAAAATTCATCCTTTTACAGAGCGTTCAGGAGAAAATGGTCCATGTGGGGCGGAGGTCGAAGCAATTATTGGGCTTCTTTTCATTTGCTGTTGTTGACCAATAGAGGATTGTTTTGAAAGATGAACATCGGCGCCATTTCCCTCCCCGCGCTCTGAGCCGCTTATTGGTGGCCCGCTGAAGGGATCACGGGCGGCCAGGAAACTGGTGCTCGATGTCCTCCATGTTGGCTCTAATGTAGCTGATCGTCAGACGGATTGGCCATTTCTGTTGGGGCCCGAATGGCGACAGTAGCAGAACGAACTTAGCCCTAAAAACCTTGATTGGTGGAATCTAGTCCGAGGTTTGATTGGTCTGAAGGACAGATCCAAACGTTGTCTTTATTGGTTAGGCTGTTTCTTCATAGCTATGGAAAGCTTTGCAAACTTTGAATTGACAGGAGGCCGGTGATTATTAAAATTAGACTCAGTGTGTTGAACAGCCGGCAGCAGTGTCCACCTCCGAGGAGCTAACATTAACTTCATTAAGTCACACAAAACAATACAATGATAGCCACAGAAGCTAAACGCAAGTAACAGCCGATATCTCGCCGTTTAGTCCTCAACGCATTTTACTATCCTGACTTCCTTTAGACGACCTAGTTTTACAGAAAGTATAATACCGATTTCTGTCCTCTGTTGTCACTCTTGATGCGGTAAAGCAGCTTTATGCACCCTAACACACATGTTTAAACACATCACAGCAACCTCATTCAAGAGCAGCATTGCTTCAATGGATCAAAATCATATAAAAGCAGAATTTAGACTTTAATTTTTGCATATAAACATATAACACTTGGTTCATAGACTGACAAAAAGCCCTAATGTTCATGATGTTACACCGCTTAAAGCTCCTGTGAGTAGCTTTATGTCTGTTGACTGCAGTCCCCTGTGGACAGCAAAATCTTTTTGGACTCTATCCCTGATCACAACACAGTGGTGGCAGATGGCTAAATAACACAAGTCTGGTTCTGCTTTCGGTTTCTGTCTGTTAAAAGTAAGTTTTCCCCAGTGCTGTAAGTTGCAAGATGCTGCAAAAGTGCTCTACTCATGCTGGATAAAGACAGGATAAGGATAGGCCTCATCTCACTTAATGAGAGTCAATCTTGTGTTATCAGCATTGGGTTGTTGTAAATAATAAAACAGAGAGTATGACCCAGACCTACTCTTTTGTAAAGCATGCTGAGGTAGCATTGGCACAGTGTACATTTAGATTGATTCAGAGAGGATAAATTATTCTGCAGTTATTCCACTTTACTTTATGTATATACTTTAACAGGTGCATTATTTTAAATAGGGTCAGTTATACCTTTAGGTAACTTCGTCTCTGATGTGTGTGCAGGTCAGGTTTGCATGTGTTTTTGCATTTTTCAAGGCAAATGCATGGCTGAGCCCTGCTACCCTGAAGGTTCTGTATGTTTATGAAACCCACAGTGCGCCCAATGTATGTTTATCTCTAAATAGTGTCAGTGAGAGCAAACATGTCCCTGCTACGGGCAGCACAGGTCATGGGAAGGTCTCATTTGGATGGTGACCTTGCCAGGTGTCATTACTGAGGCATTTTGGGTAGCCAGACTACACCTAAAGAGACAGCTGCTTTGGCATGGCAGCCATGCTGGAGAGATTAATCTTTGCGCAGCTCAACTCTGATCATTAAGTGGATGGCTGTAGTACCTGCTCCTGTCCCAATGCTCCTCTCAAAAATAGAAAAGGGAACATTTAGCTTTGTTTCTCTGGAGTCTCTCTCTGGTGCTCTTGCCCTCTCCATTTGTTCTACCCCTCCCACCCTGTAAAAACTCTCCTCTCTGTCCTTCTCCATCCTTCCGGTTCCCCTCCCCCTCTTGGTTTTTCATTGATGAGACAGGTTATGTCTTTCTACCTCACTGTAGCTTGTTGTTTTTCCTCCCTTTTCTGTGTTTTTGCAGCCATATGGAGTTGAAAGCTTTAGTTTAGATTGTGGGTTAGAGGCCAGATATTATAACGATGACATCAATTTATGTCACTCACAGACACTGTATTGTGTAACTGCTCCATGAGTTTGCATGAGAAAAGTGGAATAAGTTTGTTGTACATTATATTTGAATGTAATGTAGTCATGCGTATTCACAGCAGCGTCCTCCCTCACGATTTTTTAGTGAAGGTTACTGTGTCAGAAGTCTGCACATTTAACCGGTGCTCTGTTAACAAGAAGGGCATTGTGTGACATTGCTGACGTGTCTTTTTTGATGACGCTTTGATTGTGGAAGTTGCTGTGAGCATAGTTTTTTGGGGTCAAGACAACAATGTCCTTGTTGACAGACTTTCACCCACATCTCCTGAGTCTTGTTTATCCCTAAATAGGGCGAAAATAAAATGCACTCTCTTTTTCTTTATCCCTCTTTCTGAGCAGACCTCACCAGTCAGCTGATTTTGTCTAAAGTTGCTGCAGAACACATCATCTGCAGTTATCTCTCCTGCTGCAACGAGTTATTGTGTAAATTTGATTAATACTTTAATGAGGGTTTTATTGGATTAATGTGGTGACCGCAGTTAGTTGCATAACAAAGTGTTCCCATGAGTTAATTTATCCTTGTTTGAAGCGTATACTGTGAGTGGAACCTTTGGAGCATACTTAATATTAACCGTATAATTAATCTAATAGTAATAAATGAAATGACCAGAGGCTAGATGTTTGCAACGTTTCTTTCTGACTGCCAGCAAGGATGAATGAGAAAGCAAGGACAAAATGTGTACGTGTGTGTGGATGTGCATGCATACCTGTGCGCACGTATGAGACAGCGAGTCTGCCCAGAATGCTTTTGTACTTAAAATCATGTGGATGCAACATGCGGCATCTATTCTGGCACTTGTTTTAGCCAGTGAGGGCCGGCCCGGCTGCTTGCATCACGGCCCTGTCAGCCTGTAGCGGCGGAGAGGAGGCGGGGCTGAGGGAGACATTTAGTTTGACATTGTAAATAAGCAGAGAGCAGTTGTCAGAGAGCAGCCCCGTGGAACCTTTCTCATCCATCCAGCAGCAGGAGAGGCAGGGACCGCCTGAGGACAAACAATGCCGAGGCAAGCCACACCTAGAACACTCTCGCACACTCCCCCTAGAGAGCTTTCCGCAACTTTATCTGCTCTTTTTCAGCCTTTCTCCCCTCTACTCTCTCTTCCTCTTTTCTTTCCCCTGACCCCTATCCTGCAGCTCAAGGTAACTTAGAGCAGGAAGTTGGCTGTCAGTGAAAGGGGGCGGGGCCGAGGAAAGAGGAGGAGCAGGGGATGTGTCAGGGCTGATTGGTGTGTGCTGCACCCAATAGTTTAGGAGGACCTTGTTTTCTCATTGGCTTGGAGTGTGAGAGTGAGGTGAGAGCCGGCTGGGAGGCGGGGCTTGAGTATCATGTAGCATGCTAGATTGATTACTCCTGAATGTTAAAGGGGAAGGAGGCTGGAGATTTTTGTCTGTGCGTCGGGAGTTGCCGCTGTCCTGTTTGCCTGCTGTTGCCTGCTGCTGTGTTGGCTCTCTATCCCCCCTCTTCACTCTCTTCTCTGCACCGGGCCAGGGGTCAGCTCAAAGACAAATGCACGGGTCACAGGCTAGGGAGAGAGAGAGAGGGAGAAGGGTGAGAGAGTAAAAAAGAAAGAGAAAGAGAAAGAAAGAAGGTCAGTGAGTTGAGAGGACTTGATCAGAGACGGGGCTGTATGTTTGGGCAGAAGCAGGACGTTGGGGGGCTGCTGAAGGAGACGGGGCAATGTGTAAAGGGAGAGTGGAAGAGAGAAGGGGGGAGGGGTAGAAGAAGGGGGGGCTTGCTCTTCTCTGTATGTCCAGGCTGAGTCTTTTTTTAAAGCCGTCCAGTGGAGCCTGAGTGCCTTTTGTCTTGTTGGTACGATCAAGAGAGCGGAGGAAGTGGAGGAACACTGAGAGAGTTTTTCTGTCAACCTCTGTGCTGCTTCTTCTCCTTCTTCCTGCTGCTGCTGCTCTCAAGGAGACTTGGACAGAGCTGTCTGTCTCCTCTCTTTTACTCTGCTTGGACAGGGCAGACCGCTCACCATGAAGGGCACAGGGGTAAGTCTGACTGCTGACAGCACACACAGAAAAAAAGAAGACCCGTCAAGTTTTTAATCTTTCAGTTTTAGAGCAAATCTCTCGTCTCGAATCACTTTTTCTCTCCATCATGCTCTGCAGTGATGAGACGCTGTCTGTCCTTTGCTGCCGTCCTCAATCCCCCCTCCCTCTCCTGTCCTGTAGTACTCTGCTCGGTAGATTGGAGTTGTGTGTTTTGTGTGCCTGTGTGTATTTCTCATCCATGTCCTTCAGCTGTCACTTGAATCAAACATAGACATTTACACTGACAGTAAAATAATACACACGATTGTTCTTCATTTGGCAAGTTTGTGGTATTTTGATCTTAAAGTTGACAATATAAAGCGAAATCTGTCTGGTTTTGGATTTGACTTGTTTTGTTTTGCCTTTGGACCGCCGTGTGCACGCAGAAACACCCTCCAAGTGCGCTGCGTTTGACTTCATGACAGTGAACTTGTTGGATGCTCTTTACTGTCTCGGTGGTGTTGATGTCTCAGGGCCCTGTTGCAGCTTTTCCTCGGGTAGCGAGTCGGGACCCTTCTTTCCAAACGGACGTCCTTGTTTACACACCAGTGCCAGACAGTGACGCAGAACTGAGCAGCAAAGATGACATCCATGTTGGAGGGATATTTGTTGAACATGGAGGACTCTCTGAGAATCGCTCTCTGTGCTGCTGCCACTGTTGGTGTCAGGGGTCCCCAGGGGTGGAGGTGCAGCTGGTTGCAGTGACCTCAGGACCCCCCCAGGCCCCCACCCCCTGACAGTGCCAGACGCCCAGATGGGATGGACTGTCAGCCTGTCAGCTCCAGGGGCAGAGGAGGCTAATAGTTTGATCTGATCTCTTCTGATGGAATCTTTGGAGGGTGCCTCTTCTCTCACTTGTCGCTGACTCCCTTTCTCTCCCCTCCCTTGTTCCCTAATTGAAAGTTTCCATTGGTGCCTTTGACAAAACAAAGTCCCGTTGGGGAAAGAGAGAGAGAGAGAGAGTGTGTGAGAGAGTGAGAGATTGAGAGAGGAAGACTAAAAATAACTCCTAAGTTGAAGCCCTTGCTGCCAAATCCCAGGGTTGGCTTCTGTCTGCATGAGATTTGAATATCATTTGTGTCTCGCGTTGTAACAACAGGAAGGTAGATGTACACAAACCAACAAACTACCAAGATGTACCCGGGCCTAAGGTGACCACTAATGCTGAGCGCTCACTCTTTTGCCCTTGCCCCCCCCCCTCATGTGTTTCTACGTGTGTACACTGTCACTAAAGACAGTGTGGGCAGCCTGGGGGGAGTCAGCTGTGCTCCAGCGTGTAATATGCAGGTAGCTTAGGCCCTGCCCACTTTGACGCCACAGACTGGGCCTAGCACTGGATGAAGGTCACAGGAATGTGAGATTGGCTCCTGCAGTCTCTCCGTCAGCACTGAGAAGAAGGAAACATGTAGAGGGAGATGAGAGGACACAGAGGAAGTGAAAGTCAGAGGAGGATAGCAGAACATGCCGAACATGTACAGTATTAGATGTTTGTGTTGAGCTCCTTTGATAGTACACAGTCACAACCACCGGGGTCACTTAAGTGCTGCAGTGAAAGTTGAAAAACCTGCCCTTTTTCCATCCTCCCCCCTTCTCTCTTTCATCTCTCCCTCCTCCCTCCCTGGTTTCTCTCTCTCTCCCCCTCTCTCTCTCTCTACCCCTCTCTCTCCCTCTCTCTCCTCTGTTGAATGACCTTGGGAGATCAGTGACTAGCACTTCCTGGAGTTGGCTTGAAGCAGAACCAAGGGCAAAGTTTGCAAAGCCGTGCGGTCGGCTGGTTCGGTCCAGCGATACCAGAGGGATGTTGCGCTGCAGGTCACAGCTCGCCTGTACGTGAATGTAACCCTGCCTGTTTTAAAAAAAAAAAGAAAAAAAAACCTGAGTCTCCAAACATCCAGAACATCTGCGAGTGTGTTGAGGGGAGAGTTGCAGGAGTTAATCTGTAATTCCTGCCTGAGAACTTCTTGTTTTTTGTTTTGCTTGAGTAGATCATTTACCCTGTAAACTGAAACCTTGCCAGTGAGTTTTCTGTGTGGTGTTTGTCAATGGGTGCATCAAGGTGAACACAAGCTTTCATCAGAATTTGCAGTTATATGTTTTAATTAAGAGCTGTCATCAAAAGTACCTTTTTCAATTTGACATTTATGACCTGGCTGCATTTACTCCCCCTTATTTCCAGGTCTAATTAACCCAAACAGAAGAGAACCTATCAAATGTTGAAAATCAGACGCTCATTATAATCAGTGACATAAGATTCTTGTTTATATGACTATATTTAGTGCTATATCACTGATTCCCTTTTTTCTGCTTGGGAGGCCAGTCGAAACGCAGCAGACATTAACCTTTAGTGACCTTCCTGCTGAACCGCTCATTCTGCATCACACACAGTTTTACACAGCAGCATGTCGAAAACTGACCTCCGATTAAAGACAACAGTGTCAGTGTGGCAGAGCTTATCACACAGACAGCGCTATAACATCCAAAACATACTTCTTTTTGTGGGTTTCATCATTTATAATGCAACAAGGTGCAAAGCAGTTCACGCGGATACATGTTTGCAGTTTGAACAGACTGATAACAGTTTGACCAATGAAGGGGAACGATGTTTGAGCTTGCTGTACTGTCAGCGTGTATGACTTGATCCATTCTTCAGCGGAGTGTTTGTTTATTTCTTTAATTACTCTCATTCATATTGTACACTTGTAGATGGGTGTCTTACCTGGGTGTCTTTCTAAAGGACTCTTTATGAACATCACTGTGAGAAAATGTGGTAGGAGTGAGCCCTGCTTTTCTTTTCAGTTGATAAATCAGTCAAGTGTGACATTATTAGAGGTGACAGTGAGAATAATTAAGGTCCAACTGGTTTGTGAGTGAGCCGATACTATCTGGCTGATATTGGCCTGTCAATGACATCTTCCTATAGACTGATTTTGTCACAATCTTTAAATAACCTCTTTAAGTTTATATTGATAGTTAGTAGTACACAGTTTACGCAGAGTAGAACACCTTTCATTTGATGTTGAAAAATTAAGCCATTGCAAAAGTGCTAAAAAACTGCAGTTCCTTAAGTGTCCACTCGGGGCTGCCTCCAAAAGCCAAGGACGTCCCATTCACTTCCATGTTAAAACGTCTTTTACTGAAAACAACACACTTTTACAGTCTGATTCACAAAAATGTTTTCATCTGACTTGCTTATTTCTCTATCTGAACTCACTGAAGTTGCATTTTTTTAATTAATGAAATTTTTTGGTCTTTTTGTGCCTTCAATTGAGTGGACAGGACAGCGTACAGAGCAGAAAACAGAGCTTTATTCGGGTTATGTGCGGGACAGTCAGGAATTGAACCCAGGCTGTTCACTTAAGCATACTCTGTACACAAGACATGCTCTTGAACCCTATAGCTATAGTTTTTATAACATGCTGACTCAAAGATATTAAGGTTAAGGGTTTTGCATAATAAGGCATAATTAAGGGCACGGCTAAAGTGACTGACAAGCAGGCACATTAAAGCTGTTGGCACAGAGGCTAAAGGCCACTTCCACTCCACCGCTTAGCCTCTGGGCTGAGTTAGCATCTCCTATATGGCCATCATCAGGTGATGTCACTCTGACTACGCCCATATTCTTTACAGTCTGTGCTTCCATCCCTGCCCCGTCATCGCCTGACGTGTTGGTTAATCTCTTAATTTTTTCCCTGCGAAACATCATTTTTCTCAAAGCTCCAGTGAAATTTCACAGAGCTGTGAGAATAATCCCCCACACACACACATATCTTCTGCAGATTATAACACACTTGCACATATGCCCTCTCCACCGATAGGAGGGTCAGGTGGTCCTCTCGCTGCACATCTGCATCAGTGTGAGGTGTCAGCTCCGCTTAAGGAAGAGATCAGGGATGAGACTGAGCGCAGTGACGACATTGTGATACCACAACACCTCCAGAGAAAGCTCACTCTTCCGCCTCAGCTTGGCGTTCAGGTCGGCCTAAACTGTTTAGCCTCATTACTGATCAAACACTCAGCAAAAAGCTCGATTTATGCAAACTGTTGGGTCGTTAAAGGGGTAATTAACTGAGGAACATTTCACCTTCACTAAAGAGCTATCAGGACTCTCTCTGCTCAGCCGTACTGACTCTGTTGTTAGCACTGCTTTTGTACACTCAAAGTTTTGCACTGACCCTGCCCTTACCTTGCTCTTTCACTGATCTCAGAGAGCAAGCACATTGGCAGGTGGCTAAGTGATCTTATCCTGATGTCTTTTTCCGCTCCCCTACCTCTCTGCCCGTGCTGCTATCAGGTTTATTTGAACAGGAATTGAAGGCTCATGTAAAGTGGTGTGATGTCAGAGTTGAAGCGAGTCGCTGATGCTGCTGTGAGTGGCCACTCGACATGACGTGCCAATGAGCGAGGAAGACAAGGAGGAAGGGAGGGCGAGGATGGGAGAAGCAGGAGGGGGCCGGCTGTACAACATTAGCGCTGATTCAGCTGCTGCAAGCAGAGCAGCATCGACTTTCTGTGAGAAGTTGGAAGAGGAAAATCGGAGGGGGGGGGAAAGTAAGTTAGGCAGAACAGGAGGAAAGCACACGAATGACAGAAAGATGGAAAGTGCCCGGAAATGGACAGAGAGAGAGGTGCAGAGCTGCTGAAGGAGGAAAGTGTTGAAGGTCCACAAAGCACAGAGATCGTATTTGTCCTCCTCATGGACGCACAAACGCAGCAGAGTTGGTAGGAAATCCAACACCAGCATCTCTCTGTCTCGATGACCTGATGAAGGACAACAAACCCACAGGGAAGGAGAGGAGAGAGATGCACAGTGTACCCTAGCAAAGCAGCCTCATTGCACTAAAGCACAGTATCAGCCTTAAAAACAAGCTCACAAGAAAGTCCAGAGCGTTCTCAGAGTTTGCCCACACTTGAATAAGCCTCAACAATTTATTTTCTAAAGATTTTTAATTTGAAAGCACTTGAGATCATGCTCGAGATCTCAGACCTTAAAAGAACTGAGGCAAATTGTGCTTATCGCTGCAGATAAAACAAGCCATCTTGAGACCCGCTCTCTCTCTGCGTCAGCCTCCAGACCTTTTAAAACTTTCTAAAGTTGACATTTATTAGCTTTCGGGGAGTTTCACTGTGGATTTTCTTTGTGCAGCAGATAGCTCAGCACAGCGTGATGGTTTGACTCGTCGAGACCCAGACCATAGAAGGTGTTGCAGAAGTCAGCAGAAGACATTTTGCCCTGCACTCGTGCCTTAGACATCAGCTGGCTCCCACGCAAACTTTCCATTGATGCGAAGCCTTGGGAAATATGGTCATGTATCGGTGTTTTGCTGGTAGAACATGCTAGCTAGCTGGAGGAGTAATGCTCAAGGGCACGTTGATACTTCCTTTCTTTCGCCCTTCCTTTCTTCTCTCGCACATATGTTGTTCACTTTCTTTTGCTCACACTTCAGCCACACTTGCTCTCTCATCTCCTATCACATATTGACTCCCCCTCCCCTCCCCTCCCCTCCCCCTCCTCTCTGCTGCTGCTGTGCTGAGTGCACGGCTGCGTGTTTAGATTGAAGGTTACAAGGTCAGAGAGAGGGGGGTTGCGGGGGCGTATTTGTGATTTTAATAATAGCTCTGTTTTAAAAGAAAAACTATGAGATAAAAAGACGAGAGGTGTGTGTGATAGCAGACTCAAGGAGCCAGTGTGGTCGAGGTGTGATCAGATTTTTTCCACTGTTTGCTGTTTTACTCCTCTATCTGCTCTGTTTTCTGTTCACTGTTATATTGTTACTATTTGAATTAACCCAGTAGCTGTCAGTAGGCCCTTAAGTCAGAGAAAAATGTGCAGTTATGTCATTTGATATAATGCAATTGTGATGCAATAGCAGTAAAAAGGCATTACAAGTGCATTCTAGTACTGTTTCTCTGTATTTGTGCTGCCCGTCATGTCTTTAACAGTACTCAAGCTTGCAGAACGCCCCCCTGGATCCATAATTAATCAACAATCACTCTCTTTAATCTCTAAATTGAGGGTAGCTGCAGTTAACCTTCATTTGACTGCATCAAAATTCACTTCAAGCACTGCCAAGCTATCATTGTACAGTTCAAATGCACACGTGCTGCAGCATTGCTCCTATTGATGAAATGATCATTTCATTTATTCACACTTTTGCAACTCCTGAATGCACTGTAAGGAGGATGTTAAAAATTGCTGTAAACTACGCCCCATGTATGGGGACCACGGTCCCTGCAGCGGTTGCAGGTTCGAGTCCGGCCTTGACCATGTGCTGCATGTGTGTCGTCTCCTATCTCCGCACGTTTTACTCTGTACTGTCAATAAAAGGCAAATTCGCCCCAAAAAATTCTAGTAATGATGATGTTGCAGTTGTAGGGAATTTGCAGTCATTTTTTTTAACAGGCCTCCAGCTGGAGACAAAACCACACAATCTTGTCAACAGAGAAACAAGGATGTCTTGTGCAAAATTGTCACAAGATTACACGCAGACTCCATGAGGGTGGGGGGGTCAAAGACATGCATGTTTTTCGCAGCATTTAATTCGCAATCTCGTTTGAACGGTCATGGTGTTGCGCAGCCCTCCCTCCAAAAAAACAAAAACCTGCCAGAGGTCATTTCTCCAGTCAGTCAGTCAGTCGACAAAAAACTACAGTTCCCATCAGTCACTCCTGCCCCATGGAATGCTGGGATTGTTCTAGTGACTGCAGGATTTCAATCAACCTTGAAACGCAACTGGACACTGGAGCGTCAGGCAGAGAAGAGGGGAGACACAGCCAAGGTCAATCACTGGGTCGCTGTGCCATCGCTACAAGCAGGCCTGATTGATTTGTATAAAGCCACCCCCCCACCCCACCCCGCTGCCATTCTGTCTCATTGATTTAGGCTACTCTCTGTCCAAAACTGAATGACAGAACAGGATGCGGCGCTGCTCCTTCTTTATTATTCAGTAACTTCCACAACTGCCAGAGAAGCAATCTCCCCTGTCAAAAATCAATCAGGTAGAGGGTCTGCTGCTCTCTGAATTAGTGATTTATCCGTGTTAAATATTTACAACTGCACTTAAGTGGTATGAAAAAAAGGACACCCAAAGTTCAAACAATCCCCTGCGATAGATGAGGGTTTTGGAGTCAGGTTTGTGGAGCCTGAGCCGTTCTTGCCGAGAGTAAGAAAAGAAAGAGGAGACCCCCTCTCCTACTTTTCACCCTCTTTTTCCTTGTCAACTATACCTCCTTCACTCGCCATCTCCATCTTTCTGTCCTGTTTGACCCACTTTGCTAGTTTTCACATTTGTCTGATGGCGGTCCTGTCGGTCCCTCTTACCGCCCCCCTGATAAAGCCTTTGGCACTTTGTCTTAGTGCTGGATTACTGCTGAACTGGACAAGGCACTACCCCTCCCTCAGCAACACATAAAAACACACTCCCTCCTCCCTGTACGTCTCTCCCTTGAGTAGCTCCACACACTCATCTCTTGTTCGTCCCCCCCACCCACCGCTGTGTCCCTCTTTTTTCTTCTCCCTTCTGCCAAATCTTTTCACCGAGGTAAGGAAAAAAAGGGAGAGTGCGATCCAGACACTCGGAGCTCTGCATGCTCAGACAGGCAGGCCAATATTCCCCCAGCAGATTCCTGGCATGCCATAGTAACCTGCTGGATCCTCTTTCAGACCGACAGATCCCTCACAGAAACACTTCATGTCTATGTGCGCGTTTGAAACAGTTGGTTAACTTCACTCCACAACTTTTAGTGTTTTTATGTGGAAGTGTGTGAGTGGACTGCTGCACAGTTGATGCAAACATAAAGACACGTGTCGTTTTGGATCTGTGATATCAGCCTTGTCCTCACTGTGTGGGGTCACCAGGCAGCAGCGTTTGATTTGCACACGTCATGCTTATTTTTGCAGAGAAGCTCAAGCTGATGAAGCCATTCATAATCAGAGTGTGCAGCTAGCTGGGTTGTATGTTTCTGAGTATGTCCACATCCCACAAGAACAAGAATAGAATCCTGTTTAGGCTCTATTTTGAATTTTATTGTTTTATAATAATAGGCCATGAGAGGATGTGTGGTTGAGGAAGCACAGGTCTGGCTTGACCTGACTGTTTTCTGTGACTTGTGTGTGGCGACAAAGTTGTAAAAACTCCTTTTTTGAATATTTCTTAATGACTAATATTTGCCTCCACTCTTCTGCTTCTTTGTTGCAGCAGAATAAAAGATGTCCGCAGATGCCTTTGGCGCCGGGGGCAGCGATGCCCAGCAAACCCTGCAGTCCTTCTGGCCTCGAGTCATGGAGGAGATCAGGAACCTCACTGTGGTACGCAGAAGTAATCACATGCTAACTCCGAGCAGACAACTGTCTCGTACTGTATGTCTGTGTCCTCGATTGACCACCTTTCTGTTTTTTTTCAGAAGGATTTCCGCGTGCAGGAGTTACCTCTGGCCCGAATCAAAAAAATCATGAAGCTGGATGAAGATGTGAAGGTAAGAGGAACGCTGCCTTTCAAATTAAATGTCTACTCTATTCAGCAACATTATGACATCTGTTTTCATGTTCCCGTCAAGGTTTGAGTGAAAATATCCTGATTTTACGTCATGGTAATTTTGAGTTAGTCAAATATAAGATAAAAAAACACTGCATGTCTTAACCCTGGGTGTCATTCTCCCATTTTAGACAATTTGTTTCTATTTCAGTGTCTGAAAGCTCGAAGGATGAAGTGCTTTGTTTTTGTGTATTTCTATGAAACTTTCACCTTGGGCCTGTTGTGCACGTTTTGACCTCTCAGTACCCAAAAATAGCCTGTTATCACATAATGAGACCGTGTTATCAGCAGTTTGTGAGTGAAGACACTGTTCGTGTGTGCAGTAATCAAACATCATTCAAGGGTACTGCAAAAAAACGATTCATGAGAGGGAGCTGAGTTTGAACTTTTGAAGATGGCTTCACATTGCAGCAATGAAAACTTTTTCCACATAGCTGCGAGTTTGTAATTTGCTGTTCTTCTTTTGGCTCATTAATTCATGAATTATTTCTTGTGAATGAAACTCAACCTCTTTTACTTGGTAAACTTATTAGCTTCACACTTTTTTCTTGGAGTCTCGAATTTGTTTAATCCTTAATAAGGCCGTTACATTATTCCTGCATTAACATTAACCATCCCTTTAAAAAAACAGCATTTTTGGCTAAAATAAGCAGACAGTAATAGTTCAATAAGTATGTGGTCCGTTTTGCTGGTTGCCATTTGTCATTGCACAAAGAAAAGACAAAAAAGAAGCAGCTGCTGCTAGAAAGCTCGCTGTAGCGGTCTTCTTCAGCGATGATTGGATACTTTTAAAACTGTCATTCAAGATATATTGGGAATCCAAAAACAGGAATAGAGCATGTGCCTTTTAGGGTAACTGATTTCTTGAACATTTACACGATCCATCAGCTCTTTCATTTAGATCATGGGTAGTTTCACAACCCATCATCTACCAGATGTAGTTTGAACATCAGAATAAAAGCATAGTTTTAAGAAGCGAGGTTTTCTCCATAAAAGTCTATTCATTTTATTATCAGGTTTTTTAAAGTAAGAGAGAGAGTGGGAGATGGTGTGCTGTAAATGGCCTCAGGTCCACGAGAAGGACATACTCTCTACATGGGACACACAATTCAAACATTAGGCCAAACCAATGCTTTGTTGCATGTCAAAATTAACATCAAACAGCAAACAAACTTATTAACACACTCACTCTCACACACACACACACACACACACACACACACACACACACACACACACACACACACACACCCCAAGCCTCTTTTTATAACAAAAGGTGCATAGATAAAAAATAAAAACAGGAGCAAATAAAGATGAGCTTTTAGGAATATAAGCACAGTGTTCGGTCTGCTTACGCCAAAAACTCTACAGTCTAGATCACCTATAAAAATTAAAGGGATGTTCCGGTGTAAAATCAAGTTATGGTCAAACACACCGTGCTTCTCTAGTCATACCAACTTTAGTAACAACCACACGATAGCAATACACAGCGGTCTTCGTCTCCACATGCAAACCTCAACCAAAAAACCACTCAATAGCCACAAATAATGCTCAGAACAGCACCTAACTTCATCAACAGTTTATATAGGGTCCCAGCCATTGTACTAGCCACCAAACATCTTCTTCGCTTTACCTAATTTCTTTCACAAAGAGACCAAACACATCTCACCCACTCTCCTCCAGCAGCCGGTTGTTTGTGGGGGAGCCCTGATGAGTTGATCAACGAGTGCAGCGGCGTTTCGCAGCTCAAGAAAGAACATTTATATCATGGAAATGCAATCAGAGTTCTTGTGTATGTGCACTGCAGACACAGTAATTCTTCTGCCTTAGCATCTCTGTCTGATTGCATTTCCATGAAGTAAAAGTCATAAATTTTCCACTCGGTGATCGACTCGTCAGGGCCCCCTTACAAACAAGCGGCTGCTGGAGGAGAGTGGGCGAGTTGTGTTTGGTCTCTTTGCTAAAGAAATCAGGCAAAGCTAAAAAGATGTTTGGCGAGTACTATGGCTGGGACCCTATATGTACTGTTGATGAAGTTAGGTGCTGTTCTGAGCATTATTTGTGGCTATAGAGTGGCTTTTTAGTTGAGGTTTGCGAGTGGAGACATAAACCGCTGTGTATTGCTGTCTTGTGGTTGTTACTAAAGTCGGTATAACTAGGGAAGTAAGCAGTCGGCAACATTCATCTCTGGAGGCGGTGTCTAACTCAGTGTTACGGTGTGTTTGACCCTAACTTAAATTTATGCCGGAATATCCCTTTAAATTGTAGTTAAATGATGTGTTTTCAGACACTTGTCAGTACAGAGAGAAGAAGGCGTCTGGTGTCTTCAATCACAGCGGGTTTTCCAACAAAGCTCTGCATAGCCTCCAAATAGAGAGCTGTAAAGTGTGTGTGTTTGTTTGTGTGCTTTTGTGTGTATGTGTATGTGGCTGCAGTGTGTCGTGTCAAGAGTAACAGGGCCTGAGTTAAGCAGCAGCTTAAAGTGGTAAAGAGATCAGCAGATCACTCACATATCTGAAGACAAGACCCTTCTGTCAGCCATGACGCAGCAGCTCTCACTGCACTGTATGTGTGAGCTGTGGGGTGTTTTTTATTGCCTATTCAGCAGATCTGACCTTTGCATTTACGTCGGGCAGTTTACTAATTGTTGCAAAGCCTTGTCTAAAAGTTTAATGCAACTCCTCATGAAGAGTAATTACCCATTAGAGGCCTGCAGACTGGTGGCATCACTATTAAAGAGGTGTTGTTGGAGACAAAGGACGGGTTGATGTTATCCTGCAGCTGCAGTAAAGAGAGGACGTGTTCAGGTGTTTTTGTGAATGATGAGGATAAAATCTTCTTGTTAAGTAATTAAGTTCTCTTAATGCTTTGTTTTGCTGTGACATAAGAGCACATCAACTCATGATTGTAGCTTCTGCTTATTTTGCAGCACCTCTGAATGAAACTGTGATTTGTTGCTCAGGATCTGAGTGATTCATGTTGTGGCTGTTGTGTGATTGATGTTTGATGGTCTGTGGGTGTTATTTATTTTTTTTCTTCTTTTAACCAGTTGTAACTCCATCTTCTCCCTGCAGATGATCAGCGCTGAGGCTCCGGTTCTGTTTGCTAAGGCTGCCCAGATCTTCATCACAGAGCTTACCCTCAGAGCGTGGATCCACACTGAGGACAACAAGAGGCGCACACTACAGGTCAGAGACGCTCACAGGGATGTGTGAGCCCTTTTTCTAACCCCGTATGTCCTTCTTCATGAACTTCTGTCCTCCTCTCATTTAGATCAGGCTTCAGTGGAGTGAACTGTCTGACCCTTTAATTTCTCAGTCCTGTCTTGTCTCTGCGTCTTCAGCTGTAATAATTTTCATCTCTTTTTCTATGTCTGTATTCTTCTGCTGTATTTTCCCCACTCGCTTGCGTCACTTTTCTGTCTTTTTGGTTTGTTGCTTTTATAACAAAGTGTCTGTATATGCACACAAGCAGAGGCCCCATACCAGCATCCCCTTGAGGACTATCCCTCTGCTGAGCTCTTTCTCCCTCCATTGACTTTGAAAGCAAAGCCAGGCGGGTGCCTTTGACCCACTTTTCCCTCTGGTGCCATTTTGCCTGCTCTGCTGTCCTAAACTTAAATAAAATGGACTCTGGAAAGACGTGAGGTGGTAAAAGAAAGCTGAGAATGAGTGAAAGCGTTTGCGGAAAAATCAGACAAACGCTTGTCTCACCTGAACATCAAGAGGTGGTAAACTATGGAGCAGAACACGAAAGCCCTTAAGTCGACTTTATCCATTCACATACCTCTGAGAGATTAGCCGTTCATGGATATGTGTGTGTATGCACCGCAGGTAGAAACACAAACGGAGGGGAAAATATTATCACGTTCATCAGTTGTTTTTTTTTTAAGACCTACTCTTGAGGTGAGTTCATCGAGCTGCTGTCTTCTCCTCCTTTTTTCTACTAGCCTCCTGCTCTCTGCTGTCCCTGCTGTAAATAGAAACTTATTTACCCTTAACATGCTAATCACATTTTACACCACAGATGACACGTTAGCTACATGTGACCCTGTGAATATGTGATTTTCTTCTGCTTAAGTGAGACAAAGCAGCACCCTCACGTAGCCTGAGTCCTATTGTGAGGAGGGCACGCCGGTTGAGATCACCATAGCAACGCTCATCAATAGAACAAGTGTAGATGTGACCTGGTGTTGCCAGATATTAATCAAGCTCCTATAAATAGCCTCTAGTGCAGGGAGGGCCACAATGGGGGGTCCTGACAGCCAATATCCTGTGGAAAATTCCACTGAGACAGCGCACTGCTGTGGATATAGGAAGGGGTATAACAGCGGAGACTGCTCATGAAGGGAGGAAAGAGTTTCTGTTCATTTCCCCCCCAGCGTGCGCACACAGGTTTATGATAATACTGCTGGGAGAGATTTGATTCTGTGACAAAATACTCCAGCGACAAAAAGTTGTTGATCTTGTTTTACGTTTTTTGAAGCTGAAATGTACGAGTACTTTCAATCTAAAATCTATTCAATTTACGATCAACAAAACTGACAAATCTTTGCTCACATGAAGTTGGAGCCAGCAAATATTATTCAGTACCTGCTGCTGGAAAAGTAACCCTCCAGTTTGATGTCTTGCTAAATAGCTCGTTGTTGACTTATCCTTTCCGGTCTAAACTTATCCTCTCCTTCCGTGAGATCGGTTTTCAAAGCAAAAGCATGTTACAGTAATACCGGGAACTTTATTTCCACTCCACAGCAGCTTCCTGTGTGGCTATTTTAGGAGATGTGACCTTAAGCCATGAGGCAGGGTTATATGGAGGTTGCTGCATATATTGCATTAGCATAATTCAAGTCTGACCTCATCACTTTGACCCCTGTGTTTACAGAGGAATGACATCGCCATGGCCATAACGAAGTTTGACCAGTTTGACTTCCTGATTGACATCGTGCCCCGGGACGACCTGAAGCCCCCAAAACGACAGGTAGGGTCGCAGAATTTCCCGCCCAGTGTACTGTCATACACCAAGAACCACAGGCTCACCTGACAGGCTGGCAGAGAAATGACTGTGAATACCCACACATGCCAAATATTATTAAAGAGAATATACAGCTCTTTTTGTAGGTCGTTCAAGGGTATCAAGATATCAAGGGTATCTTTATTAGACACATGTAAAAACAAAGCATATGAAAGAGTGCATTGGCATCAGAACAAATAAAAATCATATAATTATTTCACATAGAAGTGTTTGAAAGACTAATAGCAGTCGGGACAAAAGAATTTTTAAATGTGTTCACAGAAACATTCACATTATGTGTGTATGCATTGGCTTAACCCTGCAAAACTCTGACATGCAGACTACAGAGGAGCGGGAGACAGAGGTTGTAGGTACTCCAAAATGTGGCAACATACAGTAGTTATTTCTTTTCTTTCCACTTTGGTCCAAACATTAACACACCGTGTGGTGAGCTGCTGTCCGTTCCCAAAATAAAAATAAAAAAAACCTGCATTTGGTGTGTGGTGGGTGTTAATTTCAGACCCTGCCATGGGCTAAGACCGAGAAAAAGGGCTCAGCTTTCATCTTTTCCATTGTTGGCAAATTGGAGGTGCTGTAAACATCCTTGACTGGAAGCTGGGGTTCGAACAGCAGGAGCTTTCAGTCGGATGTTTGCAGCATCTTATTGCCTCTGACAGCCAACAGTAACCCCAGCAGTGACAACGGTTCAAAGTTAGTGTCAGAAAAATCTCACTGTAGACAGAATTAGATAAAGAGAAATACCCTTTTTCTTGAAGGAGACGGTTGATGAATTCCAGTTTGGCTCAAGTAGGAGATTGAAGAGCCACGTATGAACATAGGGTACCAGATGGAGGAGTGAGATATTTAAATTTGTGGTTAAGTAGACTGTCTCCAGGCATGTAAACATCCTACACTCTCAGCTGTGTTGTCATGGAGCTGGGAGAGGGGTGTTTACGCTTCTGGTGATGGAGAAACTTCATCAGGACGCTGCTATGGAGGAGGTGGTGACACAGGTCAGTGTTTACTGGTGTTAGCATTTTCTGTGGTTATAGTTAGACTTGGGTTCAAGTCCCCCTGGACCGGCAGGCATTTAACCCACTGGACTGTTTTGAGTCAGCTGAGTCCCATCAAACTCTGACGCTGCAACTTTAGTGTCCGACCAAAGCAGAGGGAGCGTTTCTGCCCAGAGATCAATAGTTGTCTCATAAGTGTACTTGTGTAACTGCATCAGGAATGTTTGATAATGTTGTTTTATGTAAGTCGTCGGCAGTTTAAACGTCACAGTGTTCAGTTTAACTTGCCTCCAGGCTTGCTGTCGATGGTATTGACCAGTATGTTTGCCTGTAATGGATCTTGTGTCAAGATTACATTACTCTTCCTGGGCCACGTCCCATCAGTTATTTATCAGTGCTGACCTCCTCTCCCCTTACACCTGCAAAAATAATTCATGGAGATGTATTGGACTGATAGGCACCTTTTCATTGTATGTGTGTCATTTTCAGGAGGAAATGCGTCAGTCGGTAGCTCCAGCCGAGCCGGTTCAGTACTACTTCACTTTGGCCCAGCAGCCCGGAGCCGTGCAGGTGCAGGGGACACAACCGGCGCAGCAGCCCGGGGCACAAGCAGCCACGACCATCCAGCCAGGACAGATCATCATCGCGCAGCCACAACAAGGACAGGTACCACCAAAACCATTTTTAACAGAAATGCAGCACAGAAAGATAGAAGAACCACAGCTGGATGTTAGAATTTTTGATATAAGAGGAGGAACGCAATGACCTCCCATTCAAAGGGAAAAAAACACTATTGTCCTCGAGTGGATGTCTGCATTAGTGTAACACCTCAACCTCACTCCACACTCTCACCCCACCCAGTCCTGGGACTCACGCCGCAGAGGGCTTGTTACTCAGGTCACCATCTCAGGCTGTATTGATGTTTGTCTTAGCTCACATTTAGTAGCTGATAGCTCTCCCACCAGCAGGACGACCTGAACCCGAGAGCACACCCAGCAAACAACACACCAGCGTCCCAGAGGCCTTCAGAATAACGGATATTTCTCCCTCCACTCGCATAAATTGTGATTTAAATGGGCCCTGTGACTGAAGGAAAATTCAGACAATGAAAATAAAGTCATGAAGTTATGAGAATAAATCATAACCAAGAAAAAAGTCATGGAAACAATATAACTTTATTTACGTAATACTATAGCATCAAACATCAAGATATTATAAGATTGAGCACCATCTAGTCAGATGAGATCCACTCTTACCTTTATACCATGAGTGAAAGACTTAGCAGCATTTATCAAGTAACAGTGGTGAGAGGAAACTTCCTTTAAACAGACAGAAACCTCGAGCAGAACCAGACTCATGTTAGACAGCATCTGCTGCTGTGTTTACTCTAGATATGTAAGTTTATTTCATCCGAAAAGCTTCTACAAGACGTTTTGGACATTCATGAAACTGACTGCAATTTATGTTGATGCCTTATGATGAAGAAGACCATCGGGGACATGATTGATGATTTTATATCCTAATTTTTAAACTGGTGTAAGGAGGGTAGGTGTCAGCCAAGCAACTCTTTTATATCTCATGAATAAATTATTTGCAATACATGATACAACTGACTGTCAAAACTCAGCAGGATTTTTTTTTTATCACATTGTTTAAGCACGTAGAGAACAAGAGAAGTATAGACAGGCAACGCCAATTTGACACAAGTTGAAAGTTCCTCACTGGAGCTTTAATGTGACCAGTCCAGTCCTTCATAATTAAAATGTATTTTAGCGAAATAGAGGAGAAAACTAACTGGTTTTCCCCTCTCCGAAAACATTTTGATGAAAGACTTGTCATATTTTTCTTTTTCACTGATCATCACTTTTTCATGAAACCACATTCCTACCACACACATGCGTACACTTCACTGTCATTAAAAGCAAAAACAGCAGACACCGGAGAAGGGTGCATCCCAATCCTTTCACCACCAAACATTTATTTTCACAAACTTTTCCAAGTGTCTCCTTTCTTGCTGCTTTTGCTGCCAGTTTGGTCCCTGCATGTCCTGGAGCCCGTGAGTCTGTGCTGCTTCATGCTGCTTCAGCACACTGCCTTCAGCTCAGCTCACACACTCTCAGACCCAGCTTTATCCACCAGCCATGTTTACTGCTGCAGTCCTCACTGCATGAGAGTGCGGAGGTTGTGGTTTTAGGCTTAACACATTTTGTTAAGTAAAGTGAAATTAAATGTTTACATTTATTTATGTGAAAATGATTTTGTTTTCAGAGGTGCTTTAGACATTTTTTTAAAGGCAACCTCTCGATCATATTTACAGGATATGAGCAAAAAAAAGGTTTAATTTTGTTAATAAGATGATAATGAGACAAAACTGTGATAGGAAGACCGCGACCCCGGGAATGGGAATAAGCGGTCGAAAATGGATGGATGGATGGATGATATTTCCCTCCATGCCTCTGTTACTTGAAATATGTAATCCTGTAATGGTTAGCTAAAGGGTGTTTTTTTTCCACAGCGAGTGCATGGCAGGTACAAAGATCCTCTTCCTCCACTCTTCTTTTTCAGTTTTGTTCATAAACTTTGGACACTTGTACTGCTAACAGCTCAGTTCTAAAACCTTGATGGTGTCCCAATATAGAGATACAGTAAAGCATATTTAACAGGCGTTTCTTAAGATTAACTCTAAAATAGTGAGAAAGAACGTTTACTGTGTATAGAGTGCAGTGTCTGTTCAACAGTCCAGGGGCGTTTCTTAGACTTAGAGGGGTTGAGTCAGGACCCTCAACCTACCCCACAAAAATAGAAACCAAGGAAAAATGAATACAGCCCTAGCAGCCTCAGAAAGACTGCTGTGCCTCTTGACTCGGAATAAGATCTTACTGGGATCAGGAATCCAGTTATACACAAATTAAAGTGCTCAGAAAGTCAGACATCGCAGATTTAAGCATCTATCACCTCGATATCCCTTTCTGCTCAGTTAAAAAGACAGAATATATTTTGACCCAAAGTACTACCAAAAAGCATTTCTGACTTTTGACTGACCTGAACTCGGCTAAAATGCTTTTACTCTTTTATCGTTGATAAGGAGGCTAAAACTTTCTACTGCAAACACAACTAACATGTAACAAGAAGTTAAAGGCATTTTAGTTTAAAAACCACTAAAGATTAACACTGCTGGCCGGCCTTTCAGCTGCCCTCCACACACATGCTTTTCACTGTGAATCAGGCTCACAAAGTAGGAATCCTTTGAATTTAAAAGAAGAGAAATGTGAATTTTAGAAATTTGAGCTTTCTGTGTCATTTGAGACTACAAACTCTTAGACAGTATTTGCTTTACGCTTTATATGCATTTGTCATACCACTTCCATGCCTTTTTTTCATTCCCTGTTTCTCACTCCCTCTCCTGTCGTTCATAAACATGTCACTCAATGTTATTTGCTGCTTTATGTTGCTGTTTGCCTGCTGTCGTTGCAGCTCTCACGCCTCACAAGCGCTTACATTCATGCTCACGTTCAGTTGTTGCGATCGCTGCTTTCTCACTGCGTGTCTTTCTCTCATTCTCTCATCCTGTTCTGTTGGGCCATCAGATGCTGCAAGGTGCCACCATGCAGCAGTTACAGCAAGTGCAGGTGCAATCACAGGGCACACCCATCACGGTAAACATGCATGCACACGCGCATTCATATGTCTGCTAACCACACACACCCAGAAGCCTGGAGCTTCCTGCTGCATACACACACAAACACACACACACACACTGTCCTGTTCTGATGGCTGAGGCCTGTAGAGGTGACCGCAGTGTGAGATCAGGTGACTTTTCTTCAGATAGAGTGACAGACAGACGAGAAAGAGAGGTCATGAAATCTGCCGTGTCACCTCTTGCCCAACATCTTTTCTTCCTGCCTGATAATTATTTAAAAGACTCTGAAAAGTGAGGTTGACCTCTTATCTCAGGGAGGTTAGTGATTTCTCTCTGTCAGTTATAAACTCCCTGCTTAATGTGTCACTTTTTCTCCTCTTTCTTTCCCTCCTTCCTCCCTCTCTCTCATCCCCCCTCCCTCCTCTTTTTTTTTTTATTGCTGTCCGTCAGAGTGCGCCTGTGGCCATGCAGGTGAGCGAGGGTCAGCAGGTACAGATTGTCCAAGCTGCAGCAGCCCAAGGTCAAGCTCAAACAGCCCAAACCCAGGGCCAGACCATGCAGGTCATGCAGCAGATCATCACCAACACAGGGGAGATCCAGCAAATCCCGGTTAGTCGAAATATTAAGCTCAAAATATTCAAAAAGTGATACAGATGATGGGGAAACTGGTGGTGAGGCAAAATTAAGCAACAGGGAAAAGGGTTTTGCGTTGGAGTGGAGGGTTGAATCTGGTTAATACAGATTGAATGAGTAATTTATTCTGTGTTTTTTTTGGAGTTAACAAACCACCAGAGAGGGTGAATGATTTGTGTTGGTTGAACAGAGTAGGAAAATGGCTGTGACCTCTGCATCTGAATGACCTTATTTTCTAAACTGAGCTTTGTCTCCCCCTTGTGGCGGTCGGCTGTAGGTGCAACTAAACACTGGTCAGCTACAGTACATCAGGCTAGCTCAGCCTGTCTCCGGGGCACAAGTGGTCCAAGGTCAAATCCAGACTCTCGCAAACACCCAGCAGGTAATCCTTATAGCAAATATTTAAAATACAAAAACAATTAGGAAACAAATGATCTGATATCCAAACATTTGTAAGGATCAGATGGTAATTTTAGTTTATTTTTTTTTGTGTGTGTGTGTGTTTTCAGATCACACAGACAGAGGTACAACAAGGACAACAGCAGTTCAACCAGTTTACTGATGGACAGGTAATAACATGCAATTTCTGCATCTGCTGTGTTTAATCTGTTGCTGTGATGGTGGCTTTTAGATGTTACCAGATCTAGATCACGTGTCACCTATCAGAAATATTCCAAACTAGATGAGAGGATGAATTTCACAGCTAAAACTGGACTTGTCACACTCATGTCTTCATCCTCCCTTTGTGTCTCTCTGTGTTTTACAGCAGTTGTATCAGATTCAGCAGGTGACGATGCCGGCCGGACAGGAGCTCACCCAACCAATGTTCATCCAGTCCACCAACCAGACAGCCGAGGCACAGGTCACGCAGGTCACCACCGACTGAGCCCCGCCAGGAACCTTTTCTTCCACACACAACGTGAATACCAGCCCGTTTGATGCTACCGACTTCAACAACAGAAGCTTGACGACTTTGATGTTTTTTTAAACCCTCCTCAGACAGCAGAGGGACCTGAATTCTTGTAACACTTGGTAAAAAAAAAAAAAAGAGATTAGTGCACTGGATAAAAGCCAAAGGGACACTAAATTGACTTTTTCATATTCATGTTAAATTGCATGTTTGAAACACTTTTTGTACTTTTGTCACTCACAGTCACCCATCTCCCTCCTTTTATCTCAGATCAAACCTCGATTTTTCTTCAAACCGTAAAACACGTGCTCTTTATTCCTTGCTCCCTCTCTTTAGCTCTCAGTTTGATAACAAGTTGTGAACGTCATGACCTACACCTGGCATAGCTGGGGTTGAAGATAGCCATGGGATTCTCACCTGCTGCTCTCCTTCCTAGAAGAAAAACATGAATCATACCCTTTTGACTGTTCTTCATGTAGTTGACGGATGAAATGAAGCCATATACCTCAGATTTCACTTTTTACAGCCGGTCAATCTAAGGGATCCCAAGAGGAGATCATGAGGCTCTGTGATCATTTTACATGTAGTGATTCCTTGGTGTTGTTTTCCACATTGAACATGAAGCATGTTGAAAGGCTTCAGGCTGTCTGGGTTAACAGAATATGTGAGGATGTGTGTGTGAGTGTGCATGCTCTTCAGTTCTTTTTTTTCCTTCCATTTTTCTCCATTCCTCTTTTTTATGGAGCTGGGAATCACGCTCTGCTTCTGTGCAGTTTAAACATCCTTTTTACCCCCAGTTCACATTGTCTCGTGCTCATACACATGACTCAAAAAAAACAACAAAAACAAAACTGAAAAAAAAAAAAAAAAAAAAAAACTTTTTACAGAAGTCTGTTTCTCAGCATCAAATCTGTGTTTTGCTTCCAGTTTTGAATGGATGTTTTTTGGCCTCACATCTCCCTCTCTTTTTTTTGTACAGTAATGATTATTATCAATGTTCTTATTATTGTTGTTTCTGCATGTAGTTCAGACTGCCAGCATGACATGCAATAGATAGGTACACATTTATTTTTGACGTTCCTTTTTGTAAACAAACTTTGTGAGGAAAAATAAAAACCATTGCTTGTCTAAGATGTTTAGTAGTTTGTCTCATCAAGGACTTATCTTTGTTTTTATTGTTTATTTTAGGTGAATTAAGCAGCTTAGCAGAGTGTGGACTGTAGACAGGAAGGCAGGAGAGAAAGGCAGCTGCACACCAATAAGAACAGCCTCACCAATCAGCCTCCTACTGTATTTCCAGGTAGACACATCCCACCACTTGAGCCCTGAATCACACGCCTCTGCTGCTTTTATAGTGTCGTACATCTCCACAGTCTTAGGCTTAAGCAATTCAAATGAACAAAACGCTCATTTTCACACAGAAATTAGACATTTTATCAGGTTGAAGTGTCTGTTGTTACCTAAAATGGCCACAGGAGGGCAGCACTGATCCAGCAAACTCTGAAGGCCACTGATTTACTGTATCAGAGCACCTGATTTATTGCCAAACATGTTTACAATTTTTCACCAGCAGCATTGTTTTAGCAGCGTAGACAATTTATCCAATATTTACCCACAATGCACCTGCACCAGACAATATGAACTCCCTCTTAATCCCATTTCGAGTGGAAAAGCTCCCTGTGCTAGAAAGGGCAAATGGTTAACAATGGAGTCACGAGTTATTTGGCCGGAGACCGCTCAGCTCCTGCAAGATCAGACTGCAATCCTTATCCGGTCTAAATCTTTAAAGAAAGAGAGGTAATTATGGTGAAAAGAAAAACTAAGTAGATAGAGATGGAAGCTGCAGGTGATGTCCAACTCTGGTACAAACAGACAGACATATTTAACGTTTTGTCAGCGTTGGTGTTCAAAAGTTGCACTTTGAAGAGTCGTCCCCCCCCCCACACACACACACATGCAACAAGAGTAACTGCTAATTTCATAGCGGTCAGCTTAATCCGCATTTTAAGGGCCAGAAGTAAACATGAGTCAAACAGAAGGACCCTTTCTAAATCGACTTAATCACCGGAAGATAACTGCATTAACCGGTGCAGACTCATGCTCGGATCTTTCTAATAAGAGCGGTGAGGATTGTGAGAATGTTTGAGCTTAAGTCGAGCATGACAAGGATTGCCTGGTGGTATTTTTCTTGGCCGGCTCGTCTGGTCAGATCAAGGCAACCTGGTCCAGAGGAATTGAAGCCGACTGCCTTCACTGCAGTCTGGACCTTGTGATCAGGCCTCACACAGATAGGAACAAACCCATAACAGAATTGGACATCCACTTAGATGGGGTTTGTGTTTGATCCTCTTTCCCGTCCTGCTGCTGGGGTGTCAGGAGAGTTTGTTTTAATCACCATCAAACCAAAGCGTAAGCTTTTCCCAGGTCCTGGCGTTTAGTGTTGTATAAGAATAATTTGACACTTTGATAATTCATGATAGCTTGTCTCGATCTATAATACGTTAAGAGAGCAGGATCAGCTGCAAGAACAGGTCTCCATAGTATTTTCCAGCACAGCAAAAGTATGAAATGCAAACCTTGAACCTTGATGACCTAATGCTTCAAATGTGAATTGTGTGGTGAAATCCTGAGTTTGTTTCCAAAGGTTATCCAGCTGTTTGATCCCAGTGAAAAACGACATTTACGTCTATTTTCCTCAAAATTTGCAATCAAATTAAAAAAAAAAAAAAAAAGGTAAAGTTTGAAATATTAAGAGCAAAAGCATTGTGTCATCTTTGCAAAACTTTTCATTTCCAAGGGGAGTTTTTGCACCACAAACCAAATCCTCCATGGCAAACTGAGAATCACTGTGTTTGCGATGAGATTAGGAGACCAATGTCACTATCATCTTTTCTGTATAATAACATGTTTTTCCATCTTAAATGACACCATATCAAATCTGAAACAATGACTGGTTACTGTTCAATCTCTCTCTCTCTTGTCTGTGATTTCTTTGTTTGATCGGAGTCTTTCCACCACTCATTATATTTCCTCCCTCGTCTGTGACTCCCTCCTTTTATTGAATTTCTTTTGAGCCCATTCACTTTGCTCGTCTGCCATTTTGACAGAATTAGATAAATCTGAGTTTGTTTCGAACCATTTTTAGAGTGCAGTGTTTGTTTGTTTGCTTGTTTGCTTCCCAATCTGCCAGCCCTGTCCTTCAGGTTCAGCTCCTGGGGAAACAAAACAGAGGACTGTGCTATAAAGTAACTCTATGTCTGCCAATCCAGTGCACTAGAGAAATTCCAGCCATAATATATGCTGAATTTATACTGAGTCCTTATATGCAGTCTGCAGACACAGAAACTCTGCAGTTTTAAAGCTTGACAGAGGTTTCAGACAGGGCTGTCCTGATACGATGTTGATATCGGATATCGGTCCATATCAGCCAAAAAACAAATATCGGATTATATTGGCCTGCATCTAAAATCTACAATATCAGCACTCTGATACAAGCAGTCCATTCCAGACTCCACTCCGGAACCTCTAGCTAGCAGCGCCCTGATCCAGCATGCAGAGCCCACGTGATCACAACAGCAGTGTGTACTGAGGTACTAACAAAGTCGCAAGGAGTAGGAGTGATGTCGGCTGTGTGGCAGTATTTTTCGTTAAAGTAAAGCAAAACTTGTCATGCACAAGTTTGTGTCAATATTGGATCAATATCGGTATCGGTCGATACTCACGGCTACAATATCTGTATCATATCAGAAGTAAAAAGGTTGTATTGACACCCCTACTTTCAGATTTATTCAAATAAATGAGAGAAACCGATGCTAATCATGTCCCTGTTTAGGACTTCATCTACTTCTCAGAGAGGCTTACAAACCATGTTTTTCCCCATAATTAAACTTCCAAACCCATTTTTTAAATCGCATCTCATACAATCATTTGTTAGGTTTGAATTCACTTTTTAAAACACGTGCGTGTGCTGTAAATCTTTTTATAGCTCAGACTTGTTTGGGTTCAGTTTGTTTTGGCCTGTCAGTAGTGAGGTAGTGTCTACACTGGCGTCCACTCCACCCTCTAACCGGCTGTCAGTAACACTCTCCACACTGGGAGCTGGAGCGTGCTCAGTCACCGCCATAAAAGCACTAAGAGTGGTTACAAAGGCTCTTTTGACTGGTCCTGAATGGGCCACTGAGTGAGGTCTCAAACCCAAACGACTGTAATTTCCTGACTCAGTCACTTATATATTCATGTTTCAGAGAGGCAGAAGTGATGAACACAGGAAAGCTGCCTCACATCAGCCCACACTTTTACAGCAGCTACATGATGGTTAAAGGGTGTTTCTCAGCGGGGGGTTCCTGCTCCAAACGCAGCCATGTTTCATGTGCCATTTCATCTCTCTGAAGACTAAAAACACACGCATCATGACCACATTAATCAAACATAATAGACACTAAATCAACAAATCATTAGCCCTCCCCTCCTCTTTTGGTTTCTCTGATGTTTCCATTCAGAGAAATCTGGGTTAAAGAGGAGGAAACAGATAAAAAGAGGAAGAGAAAAGAGGTTAAATAAATGCAAACAAGACTGCCGCCTGGGAAAACCATTAAGTGGCGTAAGAAAACGTCCAAGTGCGCAGCGGAAACAAAAGGTTGGTGGGGGTCGGAGGAGCGAGCTCGCACTGTACTATGTGTTGTGCAGAAGTGCTGATGTAAGGATTTTTCAGTTCCCATAGATTCCCCTGAGTGGCTGTCGAGTCCCGGAGCTCAGCGGGGCTCTGTGGGGCGTGAGTGAATGCTCGGAGTAGAGACATTCAGTGGAAAAACAACAGAGAGTGGAGAGAGGTGGGTGTGAAGGGAACACAACAGCCGCTCCAGCACCAGTATGGACTCATGTAGTCCTCTTTGGGTCATCCCCGACTGTAATCCCATCCCAAGAGCCGCCATATCTTTGAGTACGGGTATTTAGGCTGCGTACATTTGTGCTTTACAGTGACCTGGCTCAGCTGTTGCACGTTGTCACACTGGGTACCCCATCCAGCCTTGAGTGCTGATTACCAGATGAGGGAAACACCAGAGAAAGAAGGGCTGCATGTTTTTGCCTCACAATGTGAATCCCTCGGGGTACAGGCAGGGCTGTCCTGTCCGTCTGCACCTTACTCCTCAGCTCGGTTTGGACAGCTGAGAGGAGGAGGAGAGGAAAGAAGGTAAACAGAGGGAGGCTTGTAGCAGGAGAGCCCCGGCACAGGATGCTGTTGTGTGGTTCAAATGGCCCCTCCCCCTTTCATCACGGTGTGGTTAGACTCTTCCAGATTCATAGACAACTTTGCTCCCAAATTAAATCTTCCTCCCTGCTCTGTCTGATATTTACAGCTACGTCTCTATCCTGAGGAGGCAGAAATAGACACCACGCCTTTCACACTTGTGGGAGAGGTTTTGACCAGTTGTAAAAAAGGGAAAGACATAGATGTACGTATTAGTCTGTAGTTTTAATTAACTATTTAACATCCTTGTACTTCACAACCAATCAAAGCTCATCTGAACTGTTTTATTAGAACGTTAAAAAACCATCATAATTAAAAAACTTTAATGACAAGATATGTTTTTCAAGTTTGTTTTCCTGCCTGAACTTTTCAGACTTTAAAAATTAAACTTCTATATTTCTGCAGCTTTAGTCTTCATAAACGGTGTTGTTTCTTAAACCAAACCAGGTGTATGTGAAACTCAGTTTGAACAACTTTACCCTACATAACAGACTAATTTGTCATATGTAACAGCCCCCTGCCCGTATTATCACATTGCCAGTTGAAAAACAGCTGTCAACACTTGATTCCATTTTATAGCCGGCAGTGGGTCTATCAGGCTATATGTGTGACTCTGAGTAAAGAGTTAAGGATTAGTGATGTATAGTTATGCAATCTGAGCCGGCCCTGGGAATGATGTTGGGATTTTTGACTCGTGAAAGACTCCAGCTGCATTCCCACATGTCATTACACAGACCTGCATGTTCCATAAACTGCAGCAGACACAATGGAGTAACCTGGCTCTGCAGTTGTTATGGAACATTGTAAACAGAAGTCATAGTAGATGATCAGTTTGTGGATTAAATGAGAGTTACGTTCACAAAAATGTCAAGATGAAGGGTCACTCCATGTAGAGATCAGAGCGATACCATGCAGGTGAACAGTGAGAGTTTTTACTTTACCTCTTTATTTGAAAGACTTGAAGAAGCTGCAGGTTTACATGTGACCTCTTTTATAAACAGGCCAGTGTGGGGTGGTCACATGATACAGTGAGGCCAACGGGAGTTTGGGGACCACCTCGCCATGCATTCCTCGGAGGCCCCTGTGACAGGTGATCTCTCTACAGGGCACTGTGCTGCATTGCATGTGGATTTGTGTCATAACCACAGTGAGTCTGCGTGTGTGTCACTGTCATCGATTTAGAAAAGATCTGTCCACTGTGGTCGGTGTGTCTGTGCTTTCCAAAACACCTGTAGCCATAGAGCAGGGCTGTCACAATATCAGATTTTCACATCATGATTATTGCAGCCATGAAATACTGCTGTGACTGAAACATTTTTGGAGAAGATATTACCTCATAAAACGACTGTTTGTTGTGCTTTTATTTCTTGCTGCCTTTCAGTGACTTTATTTCCTGTGTTGTAAAACTATGCTTTTATTATGAAGGATACTACTTGTAGTAAATCACAAGTTACAGAACAAAAAGAAAAAGGTTAAAATAACAGAACAATTACTAACACTAGGTGGACACTAGCTTTAACACCTTTTTTGGATTCACAATGAATCTTTGAATGTCAGTTCTTTAAAGTTTCTTATCACTCAGAGCGATGCTGCAGCCAACCTGCTCGCAGGTGCTGGTTCTTCATCTTTCCTTATAACTTACAGTGCAAAGGACCACTACTTTGAAGTCATGATGTTGCTGTGTGCTTATTTTTTGGCATGATATCAATATTTGTTTCAAAGGGGTGAGTATGGTCACCGGTGACTGTCCTTGTCAAAATCTGTGAAAAATATAGCCCTTTAATGTCTTACACCACAAATTATGGCCAGACAATTCAATTTTTTATTGGAGCTGAAATGTTTATTTCACTTACGACTGAAAACCAAAAATATCAAAATGTCCTTGAAATTTAACAAATATATTTATTTATCTTGTTTGATACATTAGATGTTTGTGGAAACTAATAAACTACAAGAGGACATTATTATCATTTATCAGACTGTATTTATGTGTTTTTTTTTAGTATTTTGTTGATCATATTGATTTGTTAGAAGTATATAAAAGCATGTATCAAATATGATACAAAAGGCATTAAATGCTCTATCTGGATAGAAAATCAAACAGTAACAAGCTGAAACAAGCCTTTTAAATGCCTGGTTAAATTAGAGGGTTTTTTTTTAATAAAAGGCGCTTTATGTCTCCTATATCAGAACTTAACTGGTAGCCTTTACACAAATGTGAAAACAGCACTTCTTATCAAAGTTATTAGCCCCACTTAAACCCCTCACCCTTCCGGTAAAAGCTTCAGAAATTCACTGTCCGGTCTCCCTCCCTCTGGATGCACAGCTGTCCTGTACCTTACAGCCTCTCCTCTCCTCTCCTCTCCAGAAAGGAGAGTGTTTCGTCTTGGTCAGCGTTTACACACCAGATGCAAACATCAGCACTCGTTTGTTTGGCCTTTCCTCGGAGTTTTTCAGAGTTGCTCTGAGCTTCTTGACATCACCCTGATGCTCTTCTTCGTGTGCGCGCGCTCCATCTCGCGTGCTAGAGCGGAGGAGCGCTGGACCAGAGAGGCGCGCGAGGAAGGGAGAGTGAGCTGATGTTAGCGGCAGTCAGTGGCGAGTCTCACTCTGAGAATTGAAACTAAAGAAATAGCTCGGACAAACTTAATGGCTGGCTGCTCGTGACTTTATATTGATGTAGTTTATTCAGAGAGGACATGGCCATTACTCATATGCTCTCGCCTGTTTTGTAGCCCTCTGTAAAGATTTAGAGGCGCATGTCAAGCATGTGAAAAGGCACTTTCCTTGTATTCGTGCTAGTGATGACAGGTTAGCAGCTCGACTTGGTTGTTTTCTTGGACTTAGTGCATGTGTAATCACTTGTCTGAACCCGACTGATTACTTATCACATCTGACTCTTTTACAATGATCGCTGAAGGTCATGTTTTAACGCGACGCACTTGTCCGACAAATCTACTTTTTACCTTTTGCGACCGGGACTTGATTTACAGATAACTTTTAAAATCTTGTTATCAAGGCTAAAAGTAGCGGGGATGATTTTGACCTATGTGTTTTGATCGGTAGACAACTTTAAGCCCACTTCAGAGCCAGGACAAACGGGACTATGACTTGGGCAAAACTTTGCTGTGCGCTCCTGTGCGATTGATTCACTGAGAAAAGTGATCAAGGCGTCAAATCCTATGTAGTTTCACCGCATCCTGCGACTGAAGATGTTAGGAAGTCCGTCGAACAACGGCGGCATCAGAATGCTTGTGCCCCCGGCTCCGAACGACGACAGGCGGGTTGAGTTTGTGGCTCTCACCGCCGTCCACACGGAGAGGAGCGAGCCGTCCACCCCGGAGCGCGGACACCCGTCTCACCGCACAGGTCTGTTGGGCACCCCGCTGCCCGGGCCGCCGGGACCCCGGGCCAACGCGTCCGCTACGAGCAAACGCTTCAGAAAGTTGCAAAACTGTCTGTACAACGTGCTGGAAAGACCACGAGGATGCGCTTTCATCTACCACGCTTTCATGTGAGTACAGTTTTTCATCGAGTTTTCTCGACTCTGTGCGTAAAAGCTCATTTTTTCTGCCTTTACAACTTTCTAAAGTCCACTCGAGTGTCTGTGAATACACCCTCGTGTAACCATAAATGCTACATCAGTCTTTTTCCAATCATGTGATTTGAAACCAGCAGTCATTTGATAAATTTACCAATTAACCAAGCAGAACTGCATATACAGCAGTTTACATGGATCATGTGCCATGCATCATCACAACATGGGGTCCTGTGTTCATTTCCCCCTTGTCTCTGTGTAATTAAATCATCAGGAGGATCCAGGATGTGAAATTCAATTTGTCCATATCCACGGGGCCTATTGCATTTGGTCGAAATTCAAGAAAACCCCTTTGTAAACATTTTATATCTGCTAGTCACCATTACTTTTAATGTTTTAACTTTATCTGTGAAGTTTAAGAGTGAGTGTTGCAGTGTTTGTTATGACAGCCACTGACACATGACATTCTTCTGAACCTTAAACATGACAGCTTTTTATCCAAATGAAGGGTATTCTCACCCATTAAATCCTGCGCTAAACAAAAGACTCAACAAAAAAAGGACCAAATGTAGAAAGTGTTCTGTCAGAGCTTTAAAGCCCTTCTCCAGCCATATGCTCCATAATGTATACAACATGTAAACACTGGAAAAGTATGAGCTCACTGGAGGCTGTGGCTGTTTTACTCTGTCACACCAGCCAAGGACCTCTATGTGAAACATTTAGCGCTCATTTGTCCAAACCAAACTGCTCTGTGTTTCATGTAGTTGAATGTGCACCTGTTCTACATTTAAATTCAACCCTATTAATAACTAACAAAAAAATAACAGTAATGCCCACCATGAATGGTGAATGACTTAAGAGTCTCTTTAAAAGTCAAAGTTCACTCAGTGAATATTTGCCATTTCCTAAGTGTGTCTGTATATTTTCCGACAGTTTGAAGAGCAGTTGTGCACCAGCAGCTGTTTTCCAGTTGTGCCAGCAGACAGAGCACAAGTGTGGGAGCTGCTCACACCAGGCCGAGCTTTCTGTGTCACTGTTTAAATAAGAACAGCAGTTGTTCTGCTTGTGGCATCAAGTGTTTATAACTGAAGGGAATCCCGCTGCAGAGCCACGACTTACACATCAGTTCTCATTATGTGCATTAAACACGTTTTTAACTTAGAGTTAGCTAGTTTTACTCTTTTCCCCAGAGTTTTTCTTTCTCTATTCCCACAGGAGCACTGACACACGACATATCAAGCACCGCCTCCACCCTGTGTGCCTCCCATTAAGAGTTTGGCCTTTGTGGGGTAGATGTGGGTGACATTCTCCCTGACATTATAGGCTGGCAGCTCTGCCACTGTTGTTGTATCTCTGTCAGAGAAGGCAGGGCAGGCGCTCAGAGGTGCTGGGATCAGGTTTCAGATGCCTCAAAGATGGAGCTGCACCGACTTTAGAAGTGAGCGGCCTTTTTAACATCCTTTTTTATCCATCTGCCTTAACACGCTGCAAACTACCAGAAGTCTTACCCAGCTTTTAGGAAGTCCTTGCACTTTGATGTGATATATGCTGGGTGCTCACATTGCTTGCAGAGTGCAACGTTCCCATGAAACTGTAACACCCTGAGAAATGCATTTGTTTGTTTCATGTGAGAGACTCACCATGCTGTGAGCAGTGGCTCATGTGAGAATTCATTGTGTGATGACGCTCAATTAAGGCGGCGTTGATCTATTGTAATTAAATTGAGCCGTACACTGCTGCGTGGAGCACTGTGCTAACTTCCCTTGATCCTCTAATTAGCCGTGGATTGTAACAGGGGACAGTGGAGCAGATGGATGGTTCCAGAGAGCCTCCTTATGCAGGTGTGTTTAGTGTATAGATGGTGGAAAAATGGCTCTTTGCTATTAAAACCCAGACACGGGACACTTCAAGTCCCTCCATTCTCCTTGCCTTTTTTTGGTCACAGTTGCACATAAGGTGCATCCTAAAAAAAGCCCACATCTCTGTCTTGGATAAAATATTTTGGCATTTTAACATCCTGCTTTATAAGCAGTTCAAGTGCACAAGTGTGAGTGGGTAGACTTCTGTACGTGGCTGCAACTCTTCTTCACACTCTCTGTGGCAAGTGTATTCTCAAACAAAGCTGGCAATGAGTTCCTATTCTTCTCCCCTTAAATGTGGTGCTAACTAAGCAACTTAACTCAACTTACAGTGCATTGAATTTCTCTTTGGGGATCCACAATCTTTTTCTTCTTGTCTTTTCACATTTATTTTTGTACCTTTAATGCTTTTATTAAGGGGAGAGGACAGCAAAGGGATCAGGGGGATAGAGAAGGGAATGACATGCAGTAGAGCGCCCCAGGGCCTCCTGCTTCGAGGACTATAGTCTCTGTGTGGGGTGGGCAACTGAACCACTAGGGCAAACCTGTGTCCTGCTAGCTTCATGACAGTCAGAGGATCAAAATACATGACGATACAATCATTATAATTCATTGTCCCCTTAAAGAAATTTGCTTTGAACTCAGGTGCTGTCCGTAGAATAATCACGTAATTTTCTGATCAGCTTTTATAACACTCAACATCTGTTTGGTGTTTGTGTGTGCGCATTTAAAGAGTAGGTGTATGTAAATCTGACCTCTGAGTATGGCAGATGACTGACAACATTCACGAGGATCAGTTTCAGTGTTTCCCCTCACCTTTGACCCCTCATCCATTTCCATCGCTGGGCAGTGCCACTTATAGACTATCACATGAGGTTGCCTGTTTTTCACATAGTTATCCAACCAAGCAGGTCTGACTAAAACTTGCACCGCCATGTAAAAAGCCCAAAAGCTTTGTCAGGTCTTGGTCCTGGTGTTCTGCTGCTGTGCGCCATTTTCAAGTCCGGTTCCGGAGAAGACAGTAATAGTGCATGTGGATGGGCAGGAAAGTCAGGAATAAGCACAGGACAGCCAGAGTGATTGATTGGTTCTAGGGAGGATGAAATTATACCGGTCATGTATTATAGATGTCTTACAAAAGAGAAGCAGAGATATGAAGAAAAGGATATCGCAGAATTTAGAGCCTGGAGCTATAGCCGTATCATCTTTATAAGTGTTTTAAGAGAAATGTCTTTCTAAGTAGCTGATCTAAGGCAAGCTATGTGCTAATGCCTCTGTTATTTCAATTTGTGTTTGAGAGTATTGTGCTAGCCTGATCCGCTCTCCTACTGTTAGAGAAGAAAATATGTTATGGATGGTTTCAGGGATCAAACTTCCATACTGATCACAGCGTTTGCTTGTGATGTTACACCAACTTATATAGAGACAACAGCGCCTCTTACATCCCTGTCCCATTCCTTGAGGGTCTGTTATGCCATTATATAATGTGGGTTACAGAAAATATGATCACCAGTAAGAACATAACTCTTTACTGGATGGTTCTCTTTCAGAAGAGGCCTACAGTCCCGTGTTTGGCAGTCTTCCTAGAGAGATTATCCTTAAAGGAGCAACACTTTTCAGGTTGTAATTGAGTGTTTTGCATGGAGGTGGATGGCTCAGCATTGCCAGAGCTTCTAATGGAGCTTCCTAGAAGGGTTGTGGGCCTAATTTGCTGAAGCACTAGTGAAGGAAGATACCTGCTTGATGACCCTGTTGATGTGTTGGCTCTTGCTGCCCATTTAGCCCCTCTGTTGCTGTGTTGAGTTCACTGGGGACCTGCAGAAACAAGTTAATAAGTGCATCATCTTACTCATTGAAGCTGGGGGATGGGAGGAGGCGGAGTGGAAAGCCTAAACCTGCAGGATTTAAGGGATAGTCCGGCACATGGTCAAACACACCGTAACACCGATTTAGACACTCCCTCGCAAGATGAATTTTGCCGACTGCTTACTTCTTTAGTTACACCAACTTCAGCAACACACAATAGCAATACACAGCGGTCTACATCTCCATGCGCAAATTTCAACCAAAAACCCACTCTATAGCCACAAATAATGCTCAGAACAGCACCTAACTTCATCAACAGTACAAAGCCTGGTTTCTTTAGCAAAGAGACTAAACACAACTCACCCACCCTCCTCCAGCAGCCGCTTGTTTGTGGGGGAGCCCTGACGAGTTGATCACCGAGTTACTTCCTGGAAATGCAATCAAAACCAAGACACTAAGGCAGAAGAACTACCACGTCTGCAGTGCAAAATGATTATTATGATGATTATTACCTCATGGAAATGATCCACTGCACTCTGTGATCGACTCGTCAGGGCTCCTCTGACGAGTTGGAGACGTAGAACGCTGTGTATTGCTATCGTGCAGTCGTTACTAAAGTTGGTATAACTAGAGAAGCAAGCAGTCAGCAAAATTCATCTTTGGTGGGGGTGTCTACCTCTGGTGTTACGATGTGTTTCAACATAACTTTATTTTGCACCGATATATCCCTTTAAGCTATGGTCGAAATCGGTTCCACCCTCTTCCACCATATTCTGCCTTCAGTCTTTCTCACTCTTCCAGTGAACATCTCCCTCTGCTGTGTCTTTCTTTACTTCTTTTTTATATGTGGATATGATGGTTGGTGAAAGCCAGCATGGAGGGGTTAAATCCTGTTATCAAACTTTATAAAACGGCGGCAAACATCGGCTTACTTGATAGCCTAGTTGATGTGTCGCTGTTGTAACCCACGGTTGAGGCGTGAGGGTCATTAGGGGCCAAGTGTAAGGATACATTATGAGTGCTGTCAGTACCTTGGAGCCAAAGGTGGTAATGCTGTTTGTGTTGCAGAGGCCTCTTCAGGTCATATGGTAGACTGTGTAACTATCTAAATGACTGAAAAAGAGATAATCAAAGACAACTTTGAAGAGATAAGGAGAGAGTAACCAAGCAGTAGGCTGGGTAATAATTGATCTTAGATGGGCTTCTTAGTTGCTGGTCAAACAGTGAATTGCACACCTAATCTTAAAAAAAAAAAATAGATCTAATACAGCCCTATCAGAGTCAGGGGAACCGTTTGTGGCTAGACCCCTCTCAGTAGACCTCAAGTAGATTCTTCAGATGGTTTGATGCTTACAAATAGTTCAGTGGATTTTTGATGTTTTTTTTCCTACAGTTTCTTGCTGTTTTTTCCACCTTTCTCCTCTGGTTTGTTGCACACAGCACTGCAAGAGCTGCTTTTGTCAACTGAGTGTTTCTCAAGCACCATAATAGATTTCAGAGTCCCCCTTTAACAAGCCTGTATCAGAAACCACACATTCAGATGCAGACTACGACAATTAGATTTCCCTCTACAGTAATTGAATGCACAAGAGAACACTATATATTATTATAATATTTTAATAATGCATTGTGTTTCCCTTCAAAGAAACACTCATAAGTCAGATGAGGAAATTATTCATCCTCCTTTCTCTCTTCGATTTGAAACAGCAGCTTCACAAATTTACAAAGAAAACTCTTCATGTTGGATAAACCGGTCAGCCCCCCTGCTGTACGGGAATCCCTTCACTACAACTTTAATGGTGAAAGCAGCACTGATGGTGTTCGTTTATGAAAGCTTGTGTCTAAAGCCACATTATTAATAGATGCAGAGGGAGATACCCACAACAGGACGCTGGACCTAAGGCTCTCCATAACCTCTCAGCTGATGGTTCAGTCAGAGGCTTTGAAACAGACGCATGCCTGTTGTTTATTCTGCAGGGCTGTACACAGATTGTAAGCTTCTCGTTAAAGGTGAATTACCTCTTTGACATTATTAAACTCATTTAGCTCACACATCTCCGTGATTGAATATTTCCCCCCATCTGTCGATTCTTGCAGTTTTTCCTCCCCCTGAACCCAGCGTGAACCAGCTAATCTGCTTCCTCACCCAGGTCATAGAAACAGTTTGGTCTGCTTTTCTAGGTTTTCACCCAAGCAACACAAAATCCACTCAAATCCCTTCTTGCTTGCGAAAACCAAACCCCGCCCTGACGCATTTGGTGTTGTATCTTTTATTATTAATGCTCTAAGTAATGAAAATCAGAAAATAGCTCTTTGTTTTGTTGTTTGCTTGTTCAGTCAGCACATGAATGTGTTTTTATTGATGACTCAGGAGGAGTGAAAGAAGGGGTAAGTGGCACCAAAACGCAGTGAAGGGAGAAAGCCACTCTGCACTTTATGTGGGGGTTTGAACCTGCTCAGGACTGCAGATTGGATGCTTGTTGTTCATTTACCGCTGCTGTTTTTTTTTATCTGTTTCTCTCAGCAGGTTGTGTAAATTCTGCTCCATTAAGAATCCTTTATGGCTCATATGTGCTCTCTCCTCTTCATCTCTCTTTCTCTTTTCTCCATCATTCTCTCCTCCACGTCCGTCCTGAGTGGGGATATCAGCTGTCATTTGCTGTACCGCCTTGTCTATTAGACTTCCCCTCCCCTACTGTCGCTCCATCTGATCCTCTGTCTGTCTCTCAGCTCTGATTTGCCGGTTTGTTTGTGTTTCTGTTTTCCCTTATAATAAACAGATTCTACTTGAAAGGTCAAAGTATTCAAATAGAACAATTGAAACCATTCAAATCCAACGAAGAGTCAATGACCAAGACCAAAGATTATTTATCCAGCAGCTATTTTGCTGAGTTCATGCGTCAGTCACCGTTTTTTCTTGTTTCAGCTTCTCAAACAAGATAATCTTTTTACACACAGTGTTTGATGGTGTATTTAGGCTCAAGTTTTGGTTATCAGAGAAATTATACAACTTTCTTTCCCCATAAAAATACATGAAACCACATCTTATTTTCACTGAAAACAGATATAGGGGACTGGATGAGAAAGGTATTACCTGTGGATTGGTCTTATATTAATTTAACAAACTATGAAAGACATGCAAATGTATATTTTGGAGGACTGAGCTAGGTTATTTTCACGTCTCATGGGTAAAAAAACAGGGGAAAGAACTTACAGGCAGACTACTATACTACTACTAGACAAAAATTGACAAAAAACTTTTTTTCCTCAAGTCAAACAAACATAAAATCTGCGGCAATTCAAGAAACTTCTGAAGATGCAATAAACTGACACAGAGGGAGAGAAACACAAAGACTAAGGACAGTCAGGAAAGTGAGCAACAGATGTGAGAAGGAGACAGGTGATACAAAGGAGGAGGTGAAAAAAGTCATGAAACATGAGGGAGAAACAGAATTACAAAGAAAGAAAAGAAGAGAAATACAAAACAACACAACTCAGACAGCTCAAGACCTTTCATCTTTATTAAAGAGTAACAAGCACTCATTTTACCCACAAAAGCACTGGGAATACCTGATGGTTTAGTTTAGTTTATTTAGATACCTATTTGCTTTTGCATAGCAGCAGCTATTCTTCCTGCGATCCACTCAATTTCAATCCAACAGTACGTACGCACAAATAAACAGAAACATACCAACACAGAGATGTCTGTCACACAGTACAGTACTATAGTGGCAGAAACCAGAAATACAAGCACTAAACTGGAATAAATCTGTTCTCCAGATAGTTGTAAGAATGTAAAACATCATTAAGGGTCTGCTGTAACATCATAGCAAGAATGCAGCCCCCCATAATGAGTCTTTGATACCCCATCTCTGGTATTTCCTTTGATTTGAGTGAACATCCAGTCCTGGTGCTAATGAGTTCTAGGTCAGGGTAATTGGATTTGTCAGGAACGTAGAGGATTTTGTCTGATTTGTGGTTTTAAGCTTTTAAAAACATACTGTAGGTAGTCATGGAGACAAACTCAAGGTCATTTCTGAGTCAAGATGAGTTTAGGTGTTTCTGTGCACTCAGAGGAGGAACCAGTTCTTCCAGAAAAAACTTTTTTCAATGGAGTCCTGACCAAGACGGCTACAAACTCAAATTTACATCAAATGATAAATTAGCAACATTAAGCAGTAATATAAATATAAACACTGGGTGAAGCTTCTCGGTTATCCATAAGTGTGTCCCCTGTTATTCCCTTTTAGAGACACATGCACCAGAATGCAGCAGTGTTCCTATTTACACAGCCTTTCCTATTTTTAATATGAGGTGGACTGTTTTTGTAATTCCTGGCAGCCCTACTTGCAATATGCAGTTTCCTTGCAGTGCACAACTATCGGGGGCATTATTTTTTTTATATAATCAGATTTTATTTTATTTTCAGAATTTACATAGACGCATACATCGTTAAGCAGTGTTCTGATCTAGGGAACAATAATTAATAAGCCAAATTCAAATAAGGTAGAAAGTGACAGGAAAAGGATAATAATGAGGAAAAGAAAAAAAAAGAAAACAGAGAAAATCCCCAATAATGACGACAACAACAACAGCAGCACAACAAAGTATCATCTAATAAAGAAATGTGTGTCCTTGTACTTATTAAAAAGTAGTTCTAATCACCAGTGTGGTGCTCAGTGTGGGATCTACTAAACCACTGTTTTCCCTCCGGATAATTTCACCTCGACCTTAAGGCAAGTAATCCATGAGGGGCTGCTATATGTCCATAAAAAAATATTGTCATTCCCTTTTAATTTGGCACTTCACCTTTCCATCAGAAAAACTCTAAAAGTTTCTTTGTATCACTGTGTTACAGTGGGAGGTTTCTACCTGGTCCAATTAAATGGTATACATTTTCTGGCCAAAAACAAGTGTTTATTAAGTAATTTTGATCTTCTCACATACATAACTGTATTCGTAGGTGGTAGCCCCAATAGAGGGCGCATATTTTCATCTGCCCTCCTTCACTCTTGTACACCTTGCTTGTGAGGGTGTCACTCTTCACCTGGAGGTCTCAGGTCACACTTTGTTGCCTGCCAACTTCTTCAGCTCTTTCCCCTCTTTCCAAAGAGTATTTTCTGCTAACACCAAAGTATGACACAGAGGACGTGCAGAAAAAGGAGGGAGTCTGCATTCGGATGAACGATAATGATAACGTGATACGCGATCGATCCTTTTAGGAAAAATTTCTTCTTTCCGCTTGTCTCTACAACAGATGCTTGTAGGGATCCAGTGTCTTGCTCAAGGGCACTTTAGTGGGACACGTGGTTGTTATAGTTGGAATAGAGGGTTGCCTCTTAAAAGCCAATCAGGTGGACAAAATGATCAGAGGAGCGTCTTAAAAATGGGAAAATATTAGAGGAGAAGTTCCTGTTTTTGAGGCATCAGTGGTCTTGTTCTTTAAAAGAATGGTGGCTGATAAGGTGAGGTGTTTTATGTGTGGATTAGGGGACAGGTAGGTAGAACAGGAGTGAGTTAGGATGAAAGGAGAGTCGAGGTTAGCTGCTGTATTAATTTCTCCTTTCAGGGCAAATTGTGTCTCCCAAGGGAGCGGACTGTCTGTCCTAGGATGGCCAGTCAGGAATCAGGTTTCCCACTGTGAAAACTTAGCCCCTCTCCCTCTGCTCACTTTCACCCATCAGGACACATATTTGCACACACACCAATATCATGAGGGGGGAAGCAAACTGCTGTTGTTTGTATACTTGACTGTGTGGAACATGTTAAAAAGAAGGTGAAGGTTAAAGTGTTTCTGTTTGACTCTCCTTCAGACAGGTGATGGGTTCATCTGCACACATCTGTGGTGTTTGTGTAGTGTTAATGTCGCTGATGCTGGCCAGAAGTACACATGCTTTTGGCTGTGGGGGGGGAGAAAGGAAATGCCAAGAGTTTATTTTGACTGGTGAAAACCCTCAAAACACTCCAGACCTGCTTTCACAGCCAGGAAAATCCAGATGATGTCTCGCAAGTCTGCTCTCCTTTGTATTTTATTGCTAGATCTCTCCCACTCAACTGTATTGTCTCAGTATAAATGAGGACAGAGCTCTTTTTGTGTGTTTTTGTTCATTTGTGTCACCAGACTGAATGGCAGGAGTGCAGCTCTGTGGCATTAGACAGCATCTTCTGTATGCTGAGGTGCGGAGTACATTTAGCTCATTCTTAAAGGGATATTCTGGCGTAAAATTAAGTTAGGGTCAAACATACCGTAACACCGAGTTAGACACCCCGTGGATAGATGAATGTTGCCGACTGCTTGCTTTTCAAGTTAAACAAACTTCAGTAATGACCGCACGATAGCAATACACAGTGGTCTATCACTCCACATGCAAACCTCAACCAAAAAGCCACTCAATAGTCTCAAATAATGCTCAGAACAGCACCTAACTTCATCAACAGTACATATAGGGTCCCAGCCATAGCACTTGCCACGAAACATCTTTTTAGCTTTACCTGATTTCTGTAGCAAAGAGACCAAACACAACTCACCCACTCTCCTCCAGCAGCCGCTTGTTTGTGGGGGAGCCCTGATAAGTCGATCACTGAGTGCAGTAGAAAATATATGATTATCACTTCATGGAAATACAATCAAACTGAGACGGTAAGGCAGAAGAATAACCGCGTCTGCAGTGCACATACAAGATACACAAGAACTTTGATCGCATTTCCATGAACTGACAATCATAAATTTTCTTCCTTGAGCTGCGAAACTCAGCTGCACTCGGTGATCGACTCGCCAGGGCTTCCCCACAAACAAGCGGCTGTTGGAGGAGAGTGGGTGAGTTGTGTTTGGTCTCTTAGCTTACAAAACCAGGCAGGTTAGGTGCTGTTCTGAGCATCATTTGTGGCTATAGAGTGGCTTTTTTGGTTAAGGTTTACGCGTGGAGATGTAGACTGCTGTGTATTTCTATCATATCTAACCCGGTGTAATGGTGTGTTAATAACTTAAATTCACGCCGGAGTATCCCTATAAAGCTGTCTCTATTATGAGCCATTTTGGGAGTGAGTGAGATGGTTCTTGCTGGGCTAAATGATTTATGATCACTAGAAAAGCCTGAATTCCCACCAGGAGAAGCATTCACACTGATGTTGTTCACCTGAGAAGGAGGAAAGATCCAAATCCTGCTCTGTAGTAGTAAGACAGATCACATACAACGTGAGCAAGATCATGCAGCCTTTGTAAATTGGAGTTAACTTATGAAAATTTGTTGTTACACTTACTTCTACTGGTGATTTGTTTAATTTATTCTTAATTTTCTCTTGCTTTTGACCATCCTGTGGATTCTCTGTGTTATCAGGAGATGACCTGTAAACTTGATGTTATGTGCTGCTGCTACTGCTGACACACTGTCATGAACACCAATACTAAGTTTGTCTTATTTACTTTCATGGATTACTTACAGAAATGTTGAGGGGTCAGCCTGCAACAGAAAGTCATAGCCTGTATTCTCAGTGTGTTTTTCATTGAGGGATGTTTTAACTACAGATTTCTTTGAGTCATTCAGGACAGATTTGGATACATAGACACAAAGAGGTGAAGATGCATTCAGAAAACTTTTGCCTTGATTTATGCAAAAAGAAGCTTAAAAGGACAAGCTTTCAACACATGCATTCAGTGCTGATTTGTGTTCACTGATTAAAGTTACCTTTCTGTTGTGCAGCTGCACCCCGTCCCCCCCCTTCTGTCTGGCTGTTCTGCAAGATTTCTCTTGAAACACTTTACAGTGCTTCTGTTCCCACACTGCCCTGCTTTGAATCAGTGTAACACTGCACTGTCAAAACCTTTCAACCAGGCAGTTAAGTTAGACAGCACAATTAGGACAGTGGTGACAACCATGCCAGTAAAGTCTGACTCCATTTTGACTGGAAAGCCTTTGGGGAGCGACCCTGCAACTTTGCTCTCATTCACTTTGTAAAAAACGTCTCCTCTCCATTAATCCTTATTCACAGATTTTACATAAAAATCATAATTTGGAGGCAGTTTGGTTTCTGCTGAAATATCAGAATGCTTTTGTGCATGTAGGAAAAAAGTCTGTGTGGAGAGTAAAAGTGGATGCAACACAATCCACTAAAACGACATTCTGGCATCTTTATCTTTGCAAATACTGTACATGCATGCAAGTTCAGTTGAGAATTTTTGTCTAGATCCCTTAGCTTCATTTTATTATTTAGTTTAGACCCTTGCACTGCTGCTGTACTGTCCCTGCACATCTAGCAAGGTAATATAGAGGAGTTAGCCTCGACCAAGTGCCCAGGCTAACTCGGCACTTGGTCAAGGCTCTCCTTTTTGGTTTTCCTACTATGAGCTTCAGAGCATCAGTGAACGGTGTAAACATGGCGTTTGCGTTTATGAAGGTGTGCCGTGTGACTTAGAGTGATGAGCAATCGGGGGGGAAGGTCTCTTGTCAGACACCATAAGACCGGCAGAAAATCAATCAATACCTTTTGCCCTGCTATTATCTCTTTGCAGCACACTTAAAGTCAGCCCTAATGAACGTCTGCAGGCTGGAACGTCAATCATCAGCAGATGCTGAATAATGTGGAAACTTCTGGAGCTGGCTGCTGTTAAGGATTTAACTTGTTACTTTATTTTATTTGTGAGAAGCGGTTCCTGCTTGTCTCATTAAGTGTTCAACTAACATCAAACAGCAGGAAAGGATCACACCTTGTCAATACCAGCTATAAATGAATAATACACCCAGTGTGGACATAATCCTCCTCATACAGGGTGTTATTTCATTTATGCTGATATACTGCATACTAGTGTGATGTTACTCATTTTAAAGTGAAATTGATTGAACAGCTCTCTGTTTTGGGCTAATCCAGCAAATAAAATAACAGAAAAATCAATGAACTTCACTACATGAGAAACCCTCTCCTGCGATTTACCACAGCTGCTCATTAATATTTAGTGTTATCCAGATGGTCCTCACACACATAGATAGACACACAGATAGATAGATAGATAGATAGATAGATAGATAGATAGATAGATAGATAGATAGATGGATTATTGATCCCAAACTGGGAAGTTCTCATGTTACAGCTGCAAAAAAACACAAAATAAAATTAAATATAAGAAGAAGTATGTTCAATGCAGACTAAATATATACAATAAATACGGACTAACATGATAAACTGAGAGCTATCTGAGAAATAACCTCATGGTAAAATCTGTCCTGGTACGTGTGCGTCGACGCAAATCTGATTGTCAAGAGGAAAAAAAGTCAACTGAGGCCACTGTGCTGTTTTAACACGCAGGTTTTGAGTTGACTGAAAGTGAACTCACAAGGATCTGGAAACAGGCAGACTGTTGACAGTGCATTTCTCTGCAGTCTCATTGACGTTTTAAAGTCAAATCAAAGCAGCCTCTGTATATCAGCTCTCTGCTGGTTATTGTTCTTGTATTGAATTTTATTCTCTGTCCACGGTTTGCAACTTTACAACCATCAGGCACGTGAGAGTGGTTGGTATAGTTTTCAGCGTGACTGTGCTAAAGCGATTTCAGATTTCGTTGAGAGTTTCTTCAAGTTTTGTGTTTTTCATGCAGATCTGCTCCTGTCCTCTCTGAGTATCGTCTCTCTAGATCCTGGGATAGCCCACATGTCTCTCTGTCTTTCTCCTGTCGCCCCTGCCTGGCTGCACCCGCAAAGCGAGGCCTGTCTTCAAGGCTGTTAAGATCATTTTAATTTATAACCACAGTCACTGTAAACATGTGAGGAAGCAGCACCATGGAGATGGCGCTCAAACACAATCACAATGTGGGACAGTATTTATAAGGTCTGCCCTGCCTGCAGAGAGCGCTTTGCAGCGTGTGTGTATACATAAGTCAGTCTGTGTGTGTCATGGCGCCTGTTTCATTCTGTCAGAAAAGGCTTTAAGCAGCGTGTGCAAAATGTGTGTGCAATCATGCAAGTGTCATTTTATAGCGATTGAGTCCGTGCATGTGCGCAAATGACCGGCCAGCTGCATTGTGGGTAGAGCATAAACAATAATCAAATGTTAACGAGGGAGTTGTAATTACGCAGGCTGCCTGCCGCTCCAGTGAGATTATTTTTTCTTGCGTCCTCTCCCTTCCTGCCTTATTTGCACAATTCATCCACTTGTGATTTCCACTATTTCTTCACACAGTGAGCACCTCTCAAATGTCTGCTCTGCCTCTCTGTCCTTATCTTTGTTAGTTTCCATCAGAGCGTGTTGCGTTCTCTGTCTCTTAGCTGCACCTGTCTGTTTTCTTTGTGAGTTCCTGTCTCTCAAAGCCTCTTCCCACCTTGATTTAATCCTTTTTAGCTGATTTCATTAAAACTATTTCATGCAAAAAGGCTTCTCTTTGTGCAAAGGTCAGCTTGCATCTGTCTTCAGCTGCTGTTTTTTCACAGCAGAGATGAATTTTGATGAAGGGTTATTGATGAAGAAAAGCTCTGTCAGTGTCAAACATACTGTTCAGTGTAAAGTGCAGAAATGTATTATGACCAACATTAAGCTGTCTTCATTTCTGTTGTGATGCCAAACAGACTGACTTTTTCATGTTAGTTTCATTCCTGCAAAAAAAAGCAGCTAATGCAGGTCCATGTCCAACCTGCAGCAGTATGTGAATGTGTGTGTGTGTGTGTGTGTGTGTGTGTGTGTGTGTGTGTGTGTGTGTGCGTGTGTGTGTGTGTCAGCGGGCCCTCTGGTCTCTTCTTTTGGCCCTGAGATTAAAGCAATGTCAGCAAGTGTGTGATGAGACCTCACAGACAATACTTCATCTCTCTTTCTCTCTTCCTCTTTTCCATTCTGGCTCTCCTCTTCTCTTCTCATCTCTCCGTCTCCTTGTCTGTCCGATACATTATTCAGCCACCTCTTTCTGTCTCTTGTCCACTATTTTTTTCTCATTATCTATCTCCATGTCTGCCTGATACTCACTCTTCGTGGTTAACTTTTGCTCCTCCCTCCCTCCTATTTCCATCTCTTACTGAACTATATTTATTCTCAGTCTTGTCTCCATCTCTTCTTTGCTTTCTCTCCTGCATTCATTGCTACTCAATGTGGTTGATCGATCATGTTTTGTCGTGGTTTCCAGACCTTGTGGTGTCCTGTGATGTCCTGAAGGTGTCCTGTCCTAGTATGGACCTTACAAAACCTCTATGAAACTGAGAACATCACAGCCATGGCTGAAAACGAACAATCGAGAACAGCTTACCCAAATCTAGGGTCTGAGCGAAGACAGCTTGTGGTTTTTGGCAAGGTTGAGGTAAATCTTCAAAAGGTTGTCTAAATGGTAACTTGTGTTTGAACAAAGAAAACCTCATAATTAAGTTGTTTTATTAACATACTGACCAATCGCCCCTTTGTCCTCAGAAGTGGTTGCTGTAGATGGACTGTAGAAAAACACACAGGGTTTTAGGCTGCTCTACTTGTCATTTAAAGGGATATTCCAGCGTAAATTAAGTTAGGGTCAAACACGCTGTAACACAGAGAGAGACACCCCCCCTGAGAGATGAATGTTGCCGACTGCTTGCTTCTCTAGTTATACAAACTTCAGCAATGACCACACAATAGCAATACACAGCAGTCTTCATCTCCACATCTCTGATAACAGGTGCAAAAGTGGTGTGGACCGCCCTCTTTCAACGAGGATTTTGCGTGTGCTATCAGCTGTCACCATGGAGAGTTTGTGAGAGCAGAGTGGTCGTAGCCAAAAAATGAAGTTTGAAGCCATGGAGTTGCACCTACCGTTTTTGGGAAGTCAGTAACGGCATAAAAGGCAAGGGAAGTTTATTTGTAAAGCATAATTTATACACAAGGCAATTCAAAGTGCTTTACAGATGCAAGAAAATATATTTGAAATGAAAAAAAGAGATTCAAACAATCAAAAATCAATTAGACAAAGAGATAATTTTTGTGACTGTTCTGTGTTTTGCCTAATTATTTATCAAACCGTCATTTACTAGAAAAACGCTTTTGCATTTTTGCCTCCTTCTCCCCACTATGACTATAGCCATTTGTGCATAACGCTGTGCCAGTTTCAAACCATCCAAACATGCTAAATATAGACGCAAAACAGCGACTGCAATCGGTTTCCGGGTTTGATAAATCACATTGCAGGTGCTGAATGATTCCATTTGCATTTGCTCCTCCCAGAATTTTGCGTGTTCTGCTGATCTACATACAATATGCATTTTCATGAAGGCAAACACACTAAATGGATTGCACTCGCTTTTTTGCTGATTTGACAGACGCAATCCTCTGTGAACCTGGTTAGTAGATCAGCTCTGCGCACGCTATCAAGTTTGCATGTGTTTTTGCACGGCAAACCTTTGGTAGATCAGGCCCATAGGGTCCCAGCCATAGTACTAGCCATCAAGCATCTTTTTCGCTTTGCCTGATTTCTTTAGCAAAGAGACCAAACACAACTCATCCACTCTCCTCCAGCAGCTGCTTGTTTGTGGGGGAGCTTTTTGGTTGAGGTTTGTGCGTGGAGACGTAGATCGCTGTGTATTACTAGAGAAGCAAGCAGTCGGCCACATTCATCTCTCGGGGGGTGGGGGGGGTGGGGGGGTGTCTAATTCGGTGTTGTGGTGATTTTGACCCTAACTTAAATTTACGCCTGAACATCCCTTTAAGTCCAAGTCTTTGGTCTTATTGGATGTCTTTGTGGTTGTTCAACGAGACTTAAATTTGTACATGAAGATAGACGCTGTCAGCAAAGTGATAGAGAACAGTGTTGACTGCATACAGATGCACATGACAGTTGGACCACGTGGATACGATCCATGTAAATAAAAGGGGACCTAAAACTGGTCCTTATGAAACACCCTTTGTTAACAGTTGCCCTTTGATTTACTATTTTCATATAGGTTCAGAATCTGACACATTCAGACGTGCTAGCTTCTATGCCACATAGGACACCCTTGCCTTTAAATGGTCTGAACACCCTATTCAAACTTTTTTTTTTTTTTGAGTATTTCCCAGTGTTTCTCAAGTCTTCCTTGGTGCATTTCAAACATCAGGCTTTATCTAAGTCGGGGGAGGAGGTAGATGAGCGAGCGGACAGACTGTAACAAGAGGGAATGTCAACAAGAGGCGGATCTAGGATGTCTGGGTCGTCAGCAAGCTGAAGCGGGGTGGGAGGTATACTGAGATATAACAGAGGAATGAATAATTCAAAGAGTATTATCCCCCCTGCCTGCACTCATCCACCTTTCTCCCCCTCTGTCTGTCACTAAGTTGGTTGTAATGAGTTAAAGAGGGAAGAGGGTGTGTCTAAGAGGTCCACAAGTGGTCCACTCTGATCCTGGCTCTGCTTCAACTAAGAGGAGGAGTAAATACTGAAAAAAGGCTTAAATAAAAACAAAATAAGGAAGTGGGTTAAAAAGAAATGAAGGGTCTTACTGCATTTTGAGTAAAAAAGAGGCTTTTGAAACTCTAAATTTCCAGCATTTATTTTGATGCTTAAATCAAAAGTGGACCAAAGTTGAAGAGCTAAGTTACTTCGATGTGTCCAGTTCAGTCAGTTTAGGGAGGAACTGGGTTTGGGAACAGAGAGTGTTCGCCTAACGATGTCCTTTAGTCTACTTTGTGTTTTGTTGACCTGGGGGAGGATGTGTGTCAAAGGGAAAAGTGACATTACACTGTGCAAAGATGAAATATGTAAGACACAGAATTTTGGTACACACAGCTGAGTGGAAGCGTGGAAACACACTTCCTGTGTGTTATTGGGTAAACTGTTTCAGAGTGATACAGCTGGGTTGACTGTGAGTGAATGCAGCAGTACATCAGGAGCAGTAACTTTTATCCTACTAGGATCAAGAGCGTGCCTTCTTGGTCTGCTCAGGATTGTGTTTTTATCAGTCGTCACTCTCAAACCTTTATGAAGTTTTGGACCAATCATAAGAAATGTGACATTTTAGCACAAACAGCTTCACATTTCCGTTCTGTCACTTTTTCACTGAGCTTCAAATATCCTCAACCTTCAGTTTTAGTTACGGTGGCCTAAGCATTACTGCAGCCATTGTGTCCTCTGTAAATCTTGTCAGCTCCTCCTCCAGATCCGCTGACCACCGGGGTTGAGCGTGACCTCGGCTCACTTTCTCACACATCGTGCTTCAAACCACTGGGCCAATCCCATTACCCCGAGTTCAGGTGTTACACTCACTGCTTTCTTTTTTGTTGTTTCTCAATCCTCCAGAGATGCCCTTGACCCTGGGTAATCCATCACTGGAGATCCCCGCTGCTGGAGTAACAGGGTTAGACCTGTCACAGAGTAATGATGATTGGCCTGAAATTCACTCGCAGCTCGCAAGGTTTGGGGTGTACATGTGTTTTGAGTCATGGGGAGTTTCACCTCTAATAGGCCCCTGATAAGTCACATGGTTGATCTTACTCCTCGACTTCTGTGTTTTCTAGTTGAATATTTGAGGCTTTTATAGGGTGAATTACTTTGAAACAAACGATAAAAACTTCCTGAAATTCACTCCAAACCTCTAACTGCCACTTGCAGTGTTTATCTAAGGTGTGTAAAGGTTAGCACACTCGATGGTTCAGTGGTGAAATGTCAGCATGATGTTAGCACTCTAGTGCACCTAGTCAAGACTTTAGGCCTAATTGGTTAGTTGGTGCTAACAGCGCCATTGCTAAATGTCAGGGCTCCTTCAGCATATCTCGTCCACCCTGGGGGCGTCTCCAGGGTCTGTGCGGAACAACTCACTGACAACAAGTGCAGTAGATTCTTACGTTGCCAAGATTGGCTAGTTGAGATTGGATCAGGAAATACTCATCACCCATTACTGTTACTTTCTCTCTTGCAAATAACTGATTCAGGAGAGTTTTATTCCTGAAGGTCGAGGCATTCAGGGGAAAAAAGAAACTTCTTCTTCCTCTCATTTTTTAATCACACTCTTGCATCAGGTCCACCTCCTCCCTCTCAGTCACTACTAGAGCCTCTGAATCGCTCAATCAGCTTCTTTCACTGTGGAAAAGCACTCTTCATCTCTTATTTGTTTGTGTGTTCTTTTTTGTCCCTGCCTTGAAAAGTTTGCTGCTCCAGAAGAAGGAGTAGGAAGGAGGAGGAGGAGGAGGAAGGGGTTACTGACGGTGGCTGTGCCCGGAGCTCTGCAGCCTACCTGATCACAGCTCTCCTGCAGTCGCTATATAAAGACTGAGAAATGCTATTAATATCTTTCTTCTGTTTCCTCCTTTTCCCCTCTCTTTCTCTGCCCACCGCTCTCTCTCCTCTCCCTCCTGCACCTCGCTGCCTCACTTATTTGTTCATGTTACTCCTCTCCTGGCAGGACTCAATAGTTCCTTTCTTTTCTGTGTATTTGCTAGCTCTGCGAGGGGGGGTGTATTTTTATTTTCGTACTTTTGTAGACAGTTAAATAGTGAATCGCTTTTTCGCCAAGGTGACATTTGACGGAGGTTCACACACATGTGTCAGAGGCTACTAAAAATAATATAATCTGTTTAAGCAGGTCTATATTTCTGCTTGTGTGTATGTGTGTGTGTGTGTGTGTCCTTGTTGAAGGTGTCACTGCAAGCCTGTGTCCAATAATTGGTCTTTGTGCGTGGTCTCTTTGTTTAACTGCTGTGTGTGCATGGATTGCAGGTCTAAGAGCTATCATTGGAGTCTTATTGATCAGGTCTGGCTCTATGTGCACACATGCCAACATCTACATGGACATTTACAAGTGCAAAATACAAGGACTGGTGTAGAGTCATGACCCCCTGGTCTGTCCAACTTTTCTCGCCCACCTTCCCACTTTTTCCGTGCGTTTCTCTTGGTTTTTCCTTTGTCTTTTTCTGCTTTATTTTCCTCTTCTTCTTCAATGTCCTCCCTCTTAGACTTCACCCTCTCCCTCTCCCTCCTCCTCCTCCTCCTCTTCTGTTGTGTGTAACTGATAGCTGCTTTATCATCCTGCGGTTATTGAATCAAAAGTGCATTCTCCGACACTTCAGCACTGCTTCCTTCTGTTGGGCACGCTGACTGGCACACAACAGTGAGCGCGAACCCCATAAACATTTCCAGAAACACACACAACATAACACAACAATGCTTTATTCTTTATTAGTTTATTAGCAGTAGTAATACCAATTTATTCAGTCATAGTTTCACACTCTAGTCAAAGTGATGGGAGATCTCCCTCCTCACTTATGTACGCTTACAGGAAAACAGCAGTAAGAGCTCCCTCGCTCGCCTCCATTAGAAGCCTCTGTTCATCCTGCAGACTGCTGGACCTTCATTTGTTGTCTGGCCCTGCAGCAGCCCGATGGCTCTCTGGAGCTTTACAGACTGTGAGACAGAGTAGATGCACTTTATACACACAGACACTCGTGTTATTATATAACATGTGTGTCAGTTAAATGTATAGAAGAGGAGACCACACTGACTGTAGAGGGCTGAAAACTGATGTTACAAAACTGAAAATCCAAAAAATGTAAAGTTAAACTCTTTTTTTTTTCCTTTTTTGTTTGTTTCTGTTTTCACTTTCTTACTATTTTATTTTTTGTTTCACTTTTACACTTTTAGTTTCTTTCTGTTTTCCTTCACTTCTGTCTTCCTTTCACTTTCTCTCTTTTCGGTTTCTTACTTTTTGTCTTCCCATCTGCATTTCTGTCTTTGTCCTTCGTGTTCCTTCTGCCTACTTATTTTTTTGAAACATCATTTTCTTTTGTTTTTTCTCTTTCTCAACCCTTCCTTTCTTCCATCCTTTCTTTCTTCTTTCTTTCTCTTAATTCCATTTCTGTCCTTCTCTATTATTTTCTCTTTCCTTCCTTTCTTTTTCCTATCTTTATTTTCCTACTACTTCATAGTTTTTTCCTTATGTCCTCTTTCTTTCTTTCTTTCTTTCTTTCTTTCTTTCTTTCTTTCTTTCTTTCTTTCTTTCTTTCTTTCTTTCTTTCTTTCTTTCCTTCCTTCCTTCCTTCCTTCCTTCCTTCCTTCCTTCCTTGCTCCCTCTCTCTCTATGGCTCACTGTGTTTGTGTTCTCTCCCTGTCTCCCCAGTATCTATGAGACAGATAGCTCCCGGTCTGCTTTTGGAGTCCAGTCCGATATTGTGTGCACATTATAGCAGAGCATGCAATATTCTCTCCAAAAGTTGGAGAGCAATTACTGATGCAGACGGCCTTACAGTAAACCTCCTGAGCAGCTGACTCTCATAGATTAGCTGAATTATTGAGTCAAAGGGGTTTTTGATTGGCTTTATGTGTGTCTGTCTGTACATTAGCCTGTTCATTTATGATGAGCCTAATGAGTCTCTCCTGTCTGCTCACATGTTGAAGTCAGTTGTTAACCTCTGCTGATAAAGGATTGAAGTCATACTATTATTTGTTTGTTTTAATCTGGATTGTTAACTGGAATTACACTCGGAAAGTATTTTTCAAATATTTCAATATAAGATATATTTCAAATCTCTAAGGGCCAAGCAGATATCCCCTCGCGTTCTCATGGGACTAACTCTGCTGATTTGGTGGTTTTAGACTCATCCTTTGCGCATATTTTCATCTGAAGGGGGGGAATAGAAGAAGGTGGTGGTGGTACTCAGGTGGATAATGGCTGCTTTCTCAGCAGGAACAGAACCTCATATTTTAAAACTGGTGACTTATAACCTCAAAATGTCTGCCTGTAAGTCGTTCCATATATGTTTACCAAATCAAAATGCAGATGCATGAGTTTGCAAAATGAATCATCTCAGGCTGCATAACAACTTCTTTCTGACACGTCTGAGTTGGTCATCGATGGTATCGGAGGTATTTTGCAGTCTCAGTCAGAGTTTAGCTGATATTGTTGCTTGTGGTCTGAATGAGAGGAAGTTTAAAGAGTTTGTTTCACTAAATCCAAACAAATGTGCTGAGTTGTTGTTTATCGGTAACAGAGTGTAAGTGATAGTATAACATTCAGGTGAATAAAGAGCTGCTCTCTGGACCGTTTGATGCAGGGCTGTTGGGTTTGCATTTTGAAGAAGTCAAGCTTTTGATCCGGCTATCTGCGCTGTAACTTGTTTCCTGTCATACAGCTCAAGTCAATGAAACAATCCACCTGAGATGCAGCTCAGACTACTCTCCCCCTAAAAGAAATACAGTGCTTTGAGTTAATTGAGGAAAAAAGAGACAGACAGTTCAGTCAGCACATTACCCGGTTGATGAACGATCCAAAACATCCCCTTGTTTGTAGGGAGTCTTTGAGGTATTTTTCAGACTAACTGCTGTATCTGAAGCACAAACTCTTCTGTATTCTATACCTCACTGGGCTGAAATAAATACTGCAGTAATTTGGGAGTATCGGTTTATTTACTCCTGGTGTCCAGTGCTTCTTAAGCTGTTTACTTTGTTTTTACATTTGTCATATCTCACCATCCAGAGCTGCAGCTGAGCAGGCAGACAAAACAAAAACAGTCTGGGAAGTCGCTCATTTGCTTATTTCTTACAAATGTGGTGACAAGGCCTTCCCCTCAGATGTGTCTCTTCTCCTGTTACCTTACCTGGTGCTATATTGATGCAAGATGATGGAAACTCCCCTTTATACAGTCTAGGATTTACAGCAGGAATGAGTAGCTCACTGTTGCTCTCATTTATGATAAGCAGCTTTTAAATGTGAACCATTTCATTTCACACACATTATCCTGTTGTGAGACAAGTTGATCGCATTACTAATCGCAGAAAAAGGGCACCATTGTGTGAGTCCATGTGAATTTCCCTCCAACTCTCTACAAGGGTTTTGTGTAACTTAAGGCTCTGACAAATTGACCAGCTGGGTAAGCAGCTGCCACCTGGATTATCCCGCCCTGTTGCTGGCTGTTCACAAGGCACAGTGGGCACGCTGCGGTGTTTTCTCACTGCTGTTTTTCACCAACTCTCTTATTGTTCTAGACTGTGTACTGTTATACATGAAACATCTGCTCGCATATCTGAGGATCATGGAAAGTGTCATCGTGGTCGATCTTATCGGCCAAGTATTACTGACATGTATTGTTGTTTGATGAACTCACTGGGGATTTAGTCATCTGTTTAAGTCATTCAGGAGTTGTGAGATCAGTTTGAACTATTTGTCATCATAGAGACCAATAAATATAGTTCTCTGACTTCATTTCAGTGTTTTATTGTTTATTTTTTTAACCTTTTTTTTTCACTTGAGAAAAACACCTTGTTTCTTGAGTTGTTTGAGGTCTCTTAACACATATAAGACTTCCAATTGGGATCAGACTCCTGAAGCTTACCTGATGTTTCGAAATACTAAGACCTTTTAAACCAGCTTTCTAACAATACAGCCATTCAGCCTCCCTTTGGGTTAATCCGCTCCATCCCACTTCTGACCAGGAGTTCTACTAGGAACTCCACCATCAGTCCTCTGACATGATTCAATATCAATTTAAATCAATGCCCAATTTGCAACCATAAGGCCCAACCAAACAGGCAGCAACTTGAAAGCGAAACATGACATACCAGGAAACCATACTTATCTAAATACTAGGGGTGGGAGAAAAAATCGATACAGCAGAGTATCGCAGTATTTTGTCTGGTGATATATCCTATCGTCTCATTTACCAAGTATCGATTTTGTTTTCAAATTAATTGTTAATATGAAGTCAAATCTATGATAATGGAAAAATAAAATCAACTGTTGGTCTAGTGAGGTTGGCAGAGGTGACATCATAGAGCAGGAGAAAGTTAGTGCAATGAATATAGCAGCACCTTGGTAAAGACATTAGGAATGCAAGCAGGGCACAGATGAGATGGACCTGACACATAAGGTTTGCAAGAAGTGCTACATGAAGATAAAATAAAATATAATCAAATAAGACAAACATTAAGGAAAGACAAATGCTAAATCAGTTAAACAGCTGAAAAAATTGTATGAATCGCAATTTATTATATCGCAATACTTACTGTATTGCAAAATGTTAAAAATTGCAATAAAATCGTGGCCCAAGTGTAGGAGCCTAGGTCCTGTTTGAGTTCATCAAGATATTGATAAATTCATTTAAAAATGTGTATGGATATTTACAGAATTAAAAAATCGCCTATAGAGCCTTTAATGCGTATTGATATCTGTGTGCGTAGTTAACCTGAGCATTCAGTCATGTCAGGCATCATGGAGTGGAGTCACACGTTTTTTTCACCTTGCTCACTCACTCTCTCTTTTTATTTCATATTTCGCTCACTCCTATGTTTTTATAGTCATGCTGGACTAGTGTATCTTACTTTTTTTTTTTTCTAAGTAAATTATAAAAACAAACGAGAGGATCCTGTGAAGTTTTTATGCTTGTGAGGTGGATGACGAGGGATGAGAGCGTCAAGCAAATGGCCTTATGGTTTAGGAGGCCACTGGTGATTCCCACCCATATTAAATACACTCAACTTATCAGGCATACATGAGCAGAGTTCAGGCATTGTATGCAGTCATGTTGGATTACACTAGTTAGCAAATGATAACAATAAGGTAAAAATGCACACCAGTTGAACAACCATTTTGCATGTATATATATATATATAATTCACCCAGTTCTCATTAATAAATGATCTTCTTTATACCTCTTTGGTCCTAACCCTGCTATTAATGGAGACAGTTTTGCTAGACTTCTTCACTGTGGTGGAAAAGATTAAGTGCTTGTGGTAACACGTGAGCACCTTCAGCATCAGACACAGCTGACCAGAATTTATGTTGAGTATTTATTCTGCAGTAGTTTTTTAAGTGAAGTGGCTGTAACTCTTGATTCTACTTCAAAGCAAAGTCAAAGTGTAAGCTAAGAGGAAAGTACAAGAGAAGTCATTTAGAGTCCAGTACCCTAAAAAAACAACGTAACTATAAAGATAAGTTTGACAAAAACAGTTTGTAGTTGTCTTGGAGCTGTTCAAACTCGAAATGTGTCCTCTAACCTGTGTGTTATGTGTGTTTCAGTTTCCTGCTGGTGTTCAGCTGTTTGGTGCTCTCCGTCTTTTCCACCATCCCTGACCATCAGAAGTTTGCCAACCAAGGCCTCTTCATCCTGGTATGTCCCCTGCCTTCCTGTCTCCTTCACCCCTCACCACACACACACACACACACACACACACACACACACACACACACACACACACACACACACACACACACACACACACACACACACACACACACACACACACATAAATATAACTACTACAGCATCGATTTCCATACGCTGTTCTTTCATACGCAGCATCCCTCTTGCCTCGGTGTGTCTGTATGTGCTTGCGTACGTGTTGCTTTGTTCAGACAGCCATGTAAGCAGGTGGGAGGATTCAGGTGTTGTTGACTGCGCAGAAAATCACAGTCATGATCCACTAATCCTAATAGCCATCCTATAATCTCCCTCTCCTTCTCTGTGCTCTAGCTGCGTTAGTGAAAGGTAATGGATACTCTTTTCCTCCTTGTGAACCTTGCTCTTCCCACCTTGCACCACCTAACCTGTTATTTAATGGTCACTTTTGACTTTCACGTCCCCTCCGTTCACTCTATGGATCAATCAGCCAGCCATTAGCAGGCAATCAGCCATTAGTTGACTTTACTTAAATGAACATCTGTGTTAATGATGGAGCAGCTCAGTGCACCTAAACCTGGTCTGAAAGCAGAAAGACAGAAAGAAGACACACAGAAGGGCAGAGACTCCTGATGTAATCAAAAGTCAAAGCACATGCAATTTACTTACAACACATTAAGAGTAATTTACCTGCCATGAATTCAAAGTAATAGCACAGCAAATGTTTAAGAATTAGTAGAAAAGACATGAATGTTTTCTTAAGAATTTAAATGGCTAGTGTTAGATTAGAGATGACACAAACAGCAGTGGAAGTAGAGGAACTTCTTTGATTTGTCTTTTGAAGATAAGTCAAAATCAGTGTGAACTTGTTTGATATTTCATCCTTCATTTGCACACCCTTCTGTTCAGTAAGGCTACGGGCCAGTTCCCTAAAGCTGCATTCATGCATCCTCGCTTTTCATTGCGTCTTAGTCCCTCCGTCAGAGATGCATGGAAAGATGGAAGTCAGGTCAAGTTGAGTCAAAGTTTATTTCTTAAGTATATTTAAAAACAACCTCAGTTGTCCAAAGTGCTGAACAGGAGTGCAACATAATCATGAATACACTTAATAAAAATAATAAAAACAGCAATGGAATAAAAAAACACAATATTAAAAGACAAATATATTAAAAATTAAATTAAAAACAATAAAAGAAGAGTAAAAGAGAAGATAGGGAATGAAAGCGAAAAGGATTAAAGCCAAGCTTACTCCTCTAGCCTAGACTTAACGCCAAAGAAAAAAGATGCTTTTTACCAGTGTTTTTAAGTGCTCAGTGGACTGAGCACCTCTGACCTGGAAAGGTAGACTGGGGCTTCTACTGAGAAGACTCTGTCCCCACGAGTGAAGAGCCTGGACCGAGGCACTGCCAGAAGCAGCTGGTTTGACGACCTAAGAACCCTGGTAGTCGTGTGAGGCTTCAGCAGCTCGGATAAATAAGATGGTGCCAGGCCAGCCAGTGCAAAGAGGCAAGGACAGGACTAATATGGTCACGCCGTTTCTTGCTGGTCAGCAGGCGGCCAGCTGCAATCTGAACAACCTGTGGAGGGTGCAGGGCTGACTAGCTTCACCCAGTAAAAGAGAATTACAGAAGTCCAGGCGTGACGTGACAAAGCAATAGCTCTCTAAAGATCTCTAAAGACGTGGATGTAACTTTTTTTTTTTTTTTACTGTGGCTCTTTTCTGTCAATCAAGCTTAAGGTCACTGTCCAAGATGACACCAAGGTTCTTTGCAAAGCCATGGCCATATGAATTAAATGTGCCAATGGCGCTGTCATATCCATCTAACAGGTATAAAATTATTCCAGTTTTATTTTTGTTCATAGACAGAAAATTAACCTCCATCCAAGAATGAATATCATTGAGACATTTTAACAGAACCTGAACAGAGGCTCACTGATTTATTTTTGACAGATATATTCAAACGTCATCTGCAGAGCAATCAAATCATATATGATACCTCTAAGATATGGACCTCAAAGGCAAAATATAAAGTGAAAAAAGGAGAGGGCCTAGAATGGAACCCTGAGGCACCCCAAAGCTCAGAAGAGAAGTGGCTGAGGAGAAGTGGCCTAGCTGGACGTGGAAGCTCCTGTCTAGTGACATCTTGACCACTGCTGGATCAGCTGTCAGTAATTGCTTCAGACTGAGCTAAATCTTCCCTAAACAGGAGATATACCTGATAATGCTGCTAATATTTAGACCATGTGGCTTGTTGTTTTTGTCAGATGTTGAATAGAAACAAATGACACTGACTGGTGAGTTATTGTGCGTTTGTAGGAGTTTGTGATGATCGTGGTGTTCGGCTTGGAGTACTTCATCCGGATCTGGGCGGCTGGCTGTTGCTGCAGATACCGGGGATGGCAGGGACGGCTGAGATTTGCCAGGAAGCCCTTCTGTGTCATAGGTTAGTGTGTGTTCCTGTGTGTTTACATGCTGCACAAACCCCACGTCACAGCTCCTGTGTGTGTATTTATGAGAAATGTGTGAAATCTCATCACCTCGTAACGACTTGTCTTCACCTCTCTTTGTTGTGTTTTTATTTTTTTTCCTCACAGACTTCATAGTATTCGTGGCCTCACTGGCTGTGATAGCAGCAGGTACACAAGGAAACATCTTTGCCACGTCAGCCCTGCGCAGCATGCGTTTTCTGCAGATCTTGCGTATGGTTCGTATGGACCGACGGGGAGGCACCTGGAAACTCCTGGGCTCGGTGGTTTACGCTCACAGCAAGGTAGGAGCCTAAATATAGTCATGTTACTACTACAGGAATATACCTTTCATTGTTTACATCTGAGACTGATTCACATTTATGGTTGTGGTTGGTTTTGCTCATAATAAATGCAGCGTTATCGATTATCAAATGATCTAAAATGAGGGCTAATTCAAAGAGTGGAATCAGTGATTACCAATAAGATCACTAACTTAATAATCATCTGTACAATGGTGAGTATACTGCTAACCAGCTCTACTTTACCACATTTACTGCTTTCAAACGCCAAACTCTCTTCCTTCGGTGATTAGTTGTTTGTTTTTATGCTGACCTAAACAAGCAACACTCGCCGCTCAGCCGCAGAGCAAAGTTACATGACACTGATGATGATGAATCGCTGTATTAGCTGTCTAAGCAGAATCATGTAGCCAAGTCAAAGTGGAAGCCAAATGTGATGATGATGGGAATTTAGCCAATAATGATGATAGTGATACGGTAATGACAGCAGGGATTATGGTGGTAAAGATGCTGTTGTTGCTGCTGACAGGCCTGATTGATTCCTCCTCCCTGTGTCTCTCACAGGAGTTGATTACAGCGTGGTACATCGGTTTCCTGGTCCTGATATTTGCATCTTTCCTTGTCTACTTGGCAGAGAAAGATGTCAACTCAGACTTCAACACCTATGCAGACTCCCTCTGGTGGGGGACAGTGAGTACTACATCATGAGCTCTCTTAAGCTGGAGAAGTCACAGTTGACTTTAAGGGTTGACCGATATCTGTGACTATACAATGTTGGCATGAATGTGTGTTAAGAGTAAAAACGAAGGCTTTGGAAAATGGGTAGTAGTACTACAGATACTCCCAAAAGTTACCACAAGTTCGAAGTATATGTCAGATTTGCTAGCCTGCTGGATACTCTCCACCCGCACATGCACAGCGAAGTGAGCAGTACTTTGCACCAAGGCTTCAATGCTGATTGGCTGTTTCATTTCTATGCTATATGTCCTGCCAGTCAGACTTTGCCAGTCATTGAATTCCACTTTCATGCTGATGAGAGCAATCAGCAGCACTAAAAGGGTAACCAATTCGTCCACCAGGGGCGCCAAAGTCAACACTGGCCGAAAATTCCTCACAGGAGCTTTAAAGTCCTTGAACTTGCATGCAGAGTTTTCTTTTAAACTTTTCTGTGTTTTTTTTCTCTTCCTGCTCAGATTACTCTTACCACTATTGGCTACGGTGATAAGACCCCTCGTACTTGGCAGGGACGGCTTCTTGCTGCCGGCTTTGCTCTCCTGGGAGTCTCATTCTTCGCCCTGCCTGCAGTAAGTCTCCCACATGTTTACATCTTTATATTCACTCATAACCCTGTTTATGGCGCCTCACAGCCCCGGTCAGAGTCGGACTCCTCTCTCTGATTTGCCCTCTGACCCTCAGGGAATTCTGGGGTCAGGCTTTGCTTTGAAGGTCCAGGAGCAGCACCGACAGAAGCACTTTGAGAAGAGGAGGATGCCTGCTGCAAACCTGATACAGGTAACAAGTCTTGTGAGCTGTTTTAATAAGAAATACAAACTGCAGTGTAACAGTCAGGTCAGAGGTGAACTTTTACTTTGTGTCTTTTTTTAGGCTGCCTGGCGTCTCTACTCCACGGATGCCAAACACTCCTATTTAACGGCCACATGGTACTTCTATGACAGCATGCTGCCTTCATTCAGGTAAGCGCTCCCATGAGTTCACATGCTCAGCACTAAACCGTTAGACATTTGAGGGTGTCATTTGTTCTCTGTTTGATGTGTTGTTGGGAGGGCAGACAGAGATTTCAGAGTTGCATCATAAATGAGTAAACTGTACATACATTTATGTTGTAAAGAAAACATACTTCATAACACATCAAAAATTCCACTTTTAATCAGTTTTTGTTCAATGTGTGCAGTGGTGGCTTTAGCAAAAGGCAACATTGGATGTAACTCTATGAAAGTCCCTTTAATGTTTCTGCCACCACTATTTTAGTCAATTTTCATTGATTTAGTTCTCACAGTGGTTTCTTATGATTTGCATTTATGTATTAATTTGACTAATTTTTGATTTGCTTGAAAGGAGGGAACATGAGAAACTAAAAACAAACTTCAAGAAGAAAGTGAAAACTTCAGCTTTGCAGTCTTAGAAGTTCTCACTTTTTTCTCTCTGGTTTCCCTCTCCTTCGAGCCTTTGGACCATCATTTTGGCCTTTTTGTGAGTTTTCTCTAATTTATTCATTTTCTGTTCATTTGTCATGTTTTTTTTTTTATTTGTGCACGTGGGGCGTCAGAGAACTGACGCTCCTGTTCAGTCACCTCCAGCGACAGCGTAACAACAAGAAGGTTCTCCACAACTCCTACCACACGATGCTGTCTGGGCTGCGGCCCTACAGCTCCCCCTACCTGTCAGGGGACAGGTACGCACTCCGCAACCCCTTACAGCCATACAGTACATCCAGACAGGGGGCTGTAAAGTCTGCCTACATTCACGCACACACACACACAGACAGACAAACACCATCAAAACAGTAACAAGAGGGGCTTTTGAGCAGTACTTCCAACAGGTGTTCAAGCTGATGGAGTTATCTGCATGTGTGTGTGCGTTTGGGTGTGTGTGTTTGGGTCTCTGGCTGTATAAAAAAATGGGGGACGCATCTTCATTACTTTACACTGCACAAAAATGAAACCAAAATACCACCCTGCGACAGTCGAGATCAGCTTTATGAGCCCCTTTAGTGAAACAGATTACATTATAGTGACCAAAAAGGAAGTTACAATCCCTCAGGTTGGTAGTGTTCACAGCAGAGTTGATTTTTTTTCTTAATTTTGAGCGAATACTTACAGTAACGGGAAGTTAAATGACTCTTGTGAGAATATTTATTACATATTTTTAAGTTTCCCCTTGTTTTGTATTTGTTTTTGTTTATTGTGACTGACATTAACAGCTTACTTCCAATAGCAAACTAGCAAGAATGCACGTCTTTCAAAAAAATCTGTTATTTTGGCTGGGTTTAGAGAATTAAGTCTACATTTATAATTCGCAGAGACAGAGAGAATTTTAAATAAAGGCCTGCCTCTAATACAAGCCTGCCTCATATGAGGGTCTATAGGATGTTTAGGTTTTCAGCCTCCAGGACGACCTTCAGATGTTTCAGCTTCACTTTCTGTAAGCTGCTGCATCGCCCATCTCTTTGTACAGCCTCTGGCTTGTTCGTGTCTCTAACAGTGTGTCACTAACGCTGATCTGAGACCACTGTGTTGCAGGCCCCCCCCCTCCTCCACTGCTTCTCTGCATCTTTGTCTGCTCCGCTCATATACACGCCATCTTCACCACCTTCCACTGGTCACTCACTGGTTGCTCCTTCCTGTCCTCCTCATTCTTTCTCTGTCTCTCCATCGTATCTTTTCCATGCCATCCACCCTTCATCCTCCATCTGTTCTCAGGAAGGCAGAAACTCCATGCAGGTTTGTTCTTCCAGTCATGAGCTGTGCTTGTTGATGAAAAAAAGGTAGATACAGTCAGGGCTGATGTGCTGGATTAGATTCTTCGATATTTTAGTACAAAACAAGGTTAGTCCAGAGACGAATGGACTCTTGCATGCTTGAGATAAGAGAGGCAGATGTTAGAAATATCTTTTTAGTAGAATTATCTTGGATTTGATGCGCTGATGTCACACCATGATGTTAACTGGGCTGTTTGATGAATATACTCAAGTGAGTCCCACCACCTTTGCATGGTCCCTCAAACCCACCTCTTTATGTCTCACTGTGTGTCTCCATAATCCAAAACCGCCTCTCCTCTCTGAATTAACTCCCCCAGTTTTAGGTAAGGTAACACGATATGGGAGTAAAAAGACTTTTGGACTATTGAGATGTCACTCCTCACCCCTCCACCTCACTCTCCCTCCTTGGTGTTCCTTCTTTGATATTCTCACGGGTTAACCATGTACCAAGGTTGTGTCCCAGGACTTCTTTCCCCCTTCACCCTTCCCTTCTCCCACTGCCTCTCCTCCCCTCACCCTTTCTCCCTCTGCCTTGTGTGTCTCCTCAGTCAGCTCCTTTCTAAAAAACGAGGTCTCTTCCGGATTCATGCTGGCCGCAAGCAGAGGTATCCACTGCAACGAGCCTGTGCACGGGGCACGTCAAAACGTCACTTAACAAAAAATGATACGAGTTCTTGTCATCAACCTGCTCATCTTGCCTGAAACGCTCAAAATCTGTGGGCTGGTGCAAGCATTAAAAATCACAGATCATTAAAACAACTATTCGCTTTATCACATTTCCAGAAGAAGCACTTATGAAACCTGAGCGGGCCTGGTCCACAGCCTTGAGTGATTTCTTTACTGTGATGATTTTTCTCTTGTTCTGGAGAATCAAGTTCTGATCTTGCTTGGTTTGTTTGAAAGTCTTAATAAACCATGTGTAGAGCTCTCAGCTTAAAGGGATATTCCGGTAGTTTTGATTTGAGGTTGTATGAGTTACACAAGCAAGTGTATTTGCCACAATGGATGCCTGTCAGAAACTGACAGAAAAACCCTGCTAACCATTTTCAGCAGACGGGGTCGACTGAGCTGCTTCATTTAGTAGAGTTTGGAAGACTCACACTCAAGCACCCATCTCAGTTCATACAAGAAGTTTCAATACTTAAGATTCAGTACATGTTGACCTCATCAAAATACACTGTGTTTGCTGTGGAAGGGCACAACTGCCAGCATTACTGTGCCCACCAGGTGATCTTAGGCACTCATATCATGCAGAGCTGAGATTAGGGCTGAGCGATATGGCCTCAAATCAATATCACAATATATTGACCAGTTCACCTCGATAACAATAAATGGACGATAACTACTCCACAAGCTGCTCAACCCCTCCCACATTAACCTCATCTACTTCAGCCACCGCTCCAGCTGTTACTACTTTTGAACCGTCCTCCATCTCCTCACCTGTCTTTCCCTCTTTGTTACGGACTGGATGGGGTGGAGTCACGTCTCTGACGTAGGACAGCGTCTTAAAGGGACATGAGACCATAGCGTACCCACACACATCCAAAACCAACTTTTTTTAATAATTAATTTATTTGACACCGAATATACCAATATGGGCAAAATGACGTTGATTATCGTCATAAATGTTGGAATTGATAAATTTTCGGTTTCTCGCCCAGCCCTAGCTGAGATGCAAAATTATCAAAAACCAGAATATATCAATGACACATAATGGAACTGAATAGCTGATCCTGATACATGCAGAAGAGCATAGCTGTGCGGTGTGTGAGGCTCTCTGATGTCCAAATAAAGTACTAACATTTCTGGTTAGAGCATTTACTTGAATTGAGATGATTGCTCTCAAAGCTAGATTACAAGACTTTAGAAACTATGTGCTGAAAACTGGAGCCAAGCTAGCATCCCGGTTCAATCAGCAGTTTGGGGCCCAGCTGACTGGCATCTTTTATGGCTACAACACAAACTAGTGATAAGTAACTCATACAGCGTCACTTCAAAAATCCTGGCATATCTCTTCAAGTTTTGATGGTTTATTAGTGTGGCAAATACTCTGAAATGTTTCATCAAATGTGTCTGATGAAATGGTAACAGTTTTACCCAACATTTCCCCGTAATTGTAACTGAATCAAAGATTTTCCCAGTTCTTGACTTGTTCCATCATTTCAATTTGCTTGTTTTTCAACATTTACTTGGAGAGAACGTTAAATGATTCAGCATGCTTTCCTATGCGAGATTAGTCGTACAACCTTTCTACAAAATCAGTGTGTTTGTGCTGTATTTTTGAAAGGTTTTTAAGTGCTCAAATGTTTCAGTTGCATGCAATACTCTCTCTCAATGATTCGTCAAGTGACGCTCATAGTCCTGAATGCATCCAAATCATTCACAACCGCATGCAACGCTCTTTTACTCTATCTCCCCCACTCTCTCCAGTCTACCTGAAGCGTTTCAGCTTACTTGTATGAAACGTTTTCCACTAACCTCCCCCTAACTATTTAAATTTTAATTTAAATGGCCGCCTGTAACTCACGCACAACAAAGAGTATATCATCGTAAAAAATGTGGGAGTGAACAACTGGGCTGGAATTGCTCCGTGGTGCATGATGTTTGCATTTCCTTATGGATCTGTGACAGTAACATGTAAGTGGCTGCAGAGGAGGAGTGGTCTCCAGAGCATGCTATAACAGCAGCGTTAGGAGTAGATCTGCGGGCAAGAATGGACGCCAAATAGCTCCCCTCCTGTAAATAGATGACCTCACATACCGGCCTGCCTTGGGTAGTGGTGAGTGGTATGGAGTGCGTAATGAGGCACATTTTGTGCGGCTGTGCTTTGAAGCTGATGTTTTAATGCTTATTCACTCTGCTGAAAGGATTAGGGAAGCGTGTCTTTTTATTCTGATGGTGGGTGGCACATTATTTCCGCCATCCCAGCACTACTGCAAGTCTTGAATCAGGTTTCAGACTGATTTTGCTGAATCAGGTGCTATGATCGGCACATTAAATAAGCAAATCCTCAGAGCTGAACAGTTTTTTGGTATTGTATAGCGAAGTCCCCTGTGGTCAAACTGTGAGCATGATAAGTCAGCTGGTTTGTGCATTGCTGTGGAAACATGAATATTTGTTTGTGTCCGTGTTTGTTGTGTTGGTTGATTCTGATAAAAACAGACGCCCTTTTTTTGCTGTTTCACTAACAAACTCTTTTCTAACAAGCTGATGCTGCTTCTGCTGTTTCCATTAACTCCCAGGATAACACAGCTTAGTTTACCAAGGAGGTCAAACGCATGGACTTGTGATCTCTGATTAACTCTGTCCAATCATGATCCCCAGAGGTGACAGTACCTTCAGGTTTCTGACTCACGCATCTCCACTATCAGCAGTAAAATGGGATTCCGGGATCGGATCAGGATGAATAATTCCAGATCATCCCAAACTATCAAGAACAAGGCATCTCCGCTGCCCCCGGGCTCAGGTGTCCGCCGTTCCCCCAGTCAGGAAAACGTACCTGAGGCCACCAGCCCAGGGAAGGTCCAGAAGAGCTGGAGCTTCAACGACCGCACACGTTTTCGCACTTCTCTACGCCTCAAACCCCGCCCGCCTGCTGATGGTAGGAAAGGTCCTCACAAACACTGTTCGCCTCCTTGTGTAGTTTCTGGTTCTCAATATGTGTCTCTCTGCTGTCGCTCAGTAGAAGGGGTTGGTGAGGACAGCGTGGAGGACAAACCATATTGTGACGTGGCGATGGAGGAGGTGATCCCTGCAGTGAAGACTCTCATTCGGGCTGTCAGGTAAGTTCTGCTCTCAAAAGGTTTATTATTTGTATGTTATGTGCATGCATTTGCTCAAAGCCATGAATTTCTGGGGCATCATCACACTCTTGTGTTTCCAAGTTCATGTCCTCAACCTTACCGTGCATCACATTACAAACCTGACATTGTCGAAGCTTATGCCTTACATGTCATTGCAAGAATAAGGTCACATTGTCCAGGTGGAGACCCTGCATGAATATACAGACTGACCATTGGCGTGCATTAAAGGGTGAACGTGCTGCTCCTCCATTTAGGTGCTGCCGTGTGCATATTCGGCTGACGGAGGAGAAATATCCACTTAGGAGGGGTAACTGAGCCTTCCTGCAGGCCAGGTTATTTCCCCTGTCTGACCTTGTCACTCAGCTGGTTCAAAGCCGCTCATGTGAAAGGTAGCGTAATAGGGTGGCCTTTTAGTACTCACAAACGAACACACACACAAACCCTGTACAGACAGAGGATCAAACTCCATCACGACAAATGATATTCAGTTCACACAAGGACAGCTGTCACTGATTCAAGCATTACAGAGTGTAATATTGACTGCTGTCATTCTGTCACGTACGCTTGGCTGTAATGTTGCTGCTGTAAACCAGCGTAAAAGAACATAAACGAAAGGCATAAGGGCAGTCTGAATGAATGAGAGCAGCTACCTTTAGTGAGGAAGAGCAGAAGAAACAGTGCATAATCCATGAACAGAAATGCTCTGTATGCAAATCCACAGAAGAATTATAATAATTAGCAATAAATCATGATGGAGTGGAAACAAAAAAAAAAAAAAACACTCAACCTTCTGTTCTATAAATGTGTAAATAACCCAGAGGGTTTCCAGCAATATGTCCAATGCAGACACATGCTAGTATGTACAGAACCTGCTTACACAAATACACACACACTTGTAGTAGTAGTTTTTCACTGACTGTAGCAGAAAAAAACTACAACTGCCAGCAAACATCTGGTGTTTGGGCCAGGCTGGTCTCCAGAGAGGTGCGATGAGAGCGGATTATAACAGATTTATTTCTGGTCCCTGATGTCGGAGCTGCTCCTGTCACAGCGTTTCTCATCTGTGTGGAGCCTGATGCACTAAGTGACGCTCCTGAATGAGTGGGTGAAAATCTGGAAACAGAGTGGGAGGCGTCCTCAGAGCCCAGACCACATGACTGCATCAACTTCTGTCCAATTTTTACAGACTGTAAAGATCCCAAGACTATTTCTACGATAAAATATCACAAGAACAATATTATCGCAATGTTTATGGAAAAATGTGGGAATCAACTGAGATTATCAGATAAATCAAGGGATGATAAGACAAGAATGGAGCTTAAAATTTTGATATTTTTTTCAGCCTTGCTTTATTTCCTGCAGTATAAAAGTATGCTTTTATTTTGAAATATGCTACTTCGACTGAACCCTAAGTTACGACACAGAATAAAAACAGTCAGAAGGTATAAATGTTCAATCAATTAGTAGTCAGATGAGGTACAGGGTCTAATTTTGTTCGTGAATTCACAATGAATCCTGAAGTTTAAGTTTTTAAAAGTGGCTGATCATTTTCCAGAGGGCTGCTAAAGCAAGCTTGCTAGCAGCTGCCCATTCTTCTTCGTCTCTCCTTATTCTTTTTAATAACATTTGGCAGCCAGTGTAAGAAATCACTGAGGGACGAGCCTAAATATTGTCTATCAATCATAATGCATAGCCTCATTTTAAAATTTATGATTATTAAATATTGATATAAGAATTTGCAATGTAATAATAAAATGATTTTTTTTTTAAGTTTGTTTTTTTTTCAGCGGGGGGTGCTCAAAGTAGAAGTTTAAGATCTCTGTTGCAGTAAAAGGATTGATAACTACACAAACATTTTCCTGGTGCCGTGTACACACTTCAAAAGGTTTCCTATTTGTTGATGAGCAAACGTACAATTTCCAACCGTCTTTAAACGCAGCATCAGGATGAGCTATAGTTTGATATCATTATGCCTCTGCTGATAATGAGGGTATTAAATGACCCCTCTTGTGTTGCATTGACTCAGCAGAACTCTGACCTCAGTTGTTCTGAGCTGCTGCAGACAATAGAAGAGAGGGAGTTCCTGTAAGAATGCAGGTGTGTGTATACAGCAGGTGCTTCACCGCACAAACACACACACACACACACACACACACACACACACACACACACACACACACACACACACACACACACACACACACACACACACACACACACACACACACACACACACACACTCTTCCTCTCTCTTTCTCTCTCTTTCTCTGATACGATTCTTAGCCAAGTTCACGGTTGATGTCTATGACAGAATACTTGCAGCAGGCCTTAGTGCTGAGGTTTTACTTTGAAGAGATGCATGTGGTTTATCAGTGCCCGCTGAAGTCTTTTTATGTACAGAGTGTACAGACAGAGAAGAACAAATAGAAGAGGTAGAGAAGAAGAGGATGAGAAAACAAGACCTGAAATTTATCAGTGCTCTATTTATTGTGGCAAATCTAACCCCAGACAAAAATCACTTGGATAAAACTCAGCCTTCATCATCAGGTTGAAACTCAGACATGTTGCTGACTATGAGAGATGATTTCTTCTTAAAGCTCCAGTGAGGAACCTTTGCTTTTTGTTAACTTTGGCACCCCTGTCATCACTTCTTTTCCCGCACATCCCAAGGTAAACAACAAGGTAACTCCTTCTGCTTTCATTTGATAGTCAAATATATCACTGTTTGTTCATATTTGCTGTTAAAGCCTGCTTTTTCTGTGCTTTGTCAACTGTCTGACCTGACACTTCACCCTTCACAGCAGCGCCAGCATTTAAGATTATATGATTGAAATGAATCGTCTGCTTGCTGGTGGTTTCTTCTGCTTTCGTTGCTCTTAAAAAAGGCTTCAGTATCAATTAGAGATGCACAGATTGTGAAAACTAGGGGTGATAACTGAGCTGTTACTGACAGCCATCCTGCTTTGCATCGCTTTCATATTTTTGTGCCTGAGTTTAAGTACGTTATTCGCCGATATCAAACCTTTCGGATTTGAAACAATACCAATACTTTTTTGATGCAGTTTTATCGATACTGATACTTCTTGAGTGGGAAAAATTTTCAAAGCACAAATACACAGTACATCAGACATTGTTGCATCTAATTAAAGAGCAACCGATGCTGTGTATGCAGGACTTCTAGCCGTGGCTAATTTGCGGTCCTTGCCCCTGGTTAGACAGCGGGAAATACAGCACATAATACACAAACCACTGAATAAAAACTAACATTATAGCAGGTGCAGACAGGAAATCATATGTTTGCATAAAAACAAAGAGCAAAGCAGACAAAATAAGAAGTTGAGAGCACATTGCGAAGCACAAGAGGACATAATCATTGTAGAGGGAACATTTGACTCGTTTTTATAGTGTTTTTTTTTACACTGCTAAGACCCAGGTGAGAATGTGAACAGTATAAGTGACAGTAAAAGAAGTTATTTCTTATCAGTACTTTACTAAAGTACTCAATACTAAATAGTTATTGTGTAAATCTCCAAGTATTGATCGTTTAGTCATGCCCATCTCCTCTTAGCAGCCTCATCCAGAGAAACACCATTCTTGCTCCTGCAGAGGCTCACCCTACCTGGCTCATTTAGGATTGGTGTCAGCATAACAGTCATTTCTAAGCCTCAGATAAAACCACTGGAGACGATCGGGTATCCGCCTTTGCTGAGTTGCAAAAAAAATATTTGGACAAGCTATGCAAGTATTTTTGGGCCACGGATGACACTTCCCGTTCCTGCAATCATCACTCCATTTCAAAGTCTCCACTTCCTCACATTAGGATAGTATAATAGATTTCAGTGAGACGTGCCAGCTGTACTGTACCCCTGCCACTGACTCTTTCTGGGGTGTAAGGGGAGGGGGGGGCTCTCAAAGCCTTACCGTGTGTTATGAAAGCCGCTCCATTGACAGAGAAAGAGAGTCAGCATTTCCACCAAACCCTCGGAGGATCCAAATCAAAAGTCCCCCCCCCTCCCACACCCACACCAGCACACAACCACCCCCTTTCCCGCTCCCCAACCTTTTCTTGCACCCACACCTGAGACCCACCCTGGCAAAAAATCTGCATCTACCTGCAAAATAAGAAAAGGCCGCCTGCAAAAAATACCTGAACACAGGAGTCATCAAGAAACACAGAGTGCTGCGTGAGGGGGAAGAGTGCGCTGACGGCTGCTACGCCACCAGCTGTACTCCACTCCTCCTCCTCCTCCTCTCGCTCCTCTTCTCCTTCCTCACACCTTCTCTTCCTCTTTGTTGCAGCAGCGTTGTATGAAGCTGCTGTAAATGCAAGCGCTGCAGAGCTCAACAAAGGTTATTTCAGAAAGTGACCCCGGTGTCTAAGTTCAAATTTCACTTTGCTCCTGCTTAGCCCAGGTGTGTGTAGTTGTGTTCGTGTGACCTGTGCTCCTCCAGTTGTGTTTTTTGTGCCTGTGTGTGTGACGTTTATCTGAGAGCAGCTGAATGCTTGTGCTCTTTTGAAGTGATTTCTTTTCTCAGTGAAAATGGTGGCATTATGGTCGACTTAGTGGTCTGCTTATGCGTGATAGGAATCCCTCAAAAAGTCAGGGGGAAAACTCCACTGCTTCCTCCCCCCTCCTTATCTCTCATCTTGATTTTTAGAGCAATCCATCTCCTATAAAATGACAAGTTGAGTGTGTAGATTTTGTCTTGCTTACACTTGATGTTTCCATACTGTCTGCAGAGTCGGCATCTACAAGCTGCCAATCGCATAAACGATGAGGAGATTGAACAACACTCTCACGCTGACACACACTTAAACTTTCCTTCCCTTCCATTATCTCCTCCTCACCCTCCTCACCTCCTAGTGCAACATCCAGACACATTGTTTCTGGCACGGGACATTGTCGGTGTTGTGTTCAGGTGCGTGTGTCCTTAAGGTCATGTTCACACCAGCCTGAACCTGGTGCAGTTTGTTTTGGTTGGTGTGAACGCTGGCCTCAAACTCTGGTGCAGATCAGTCAACCGCTTTGGGGTCCGACTGGTAGGGATGGTCTCGGAATCAATTGAACTCTAGAGCGGTTTACTTAAGGTGTGAACCCCATCCGCACCAATCACAGGAAGCGCATTGTTTTACATGTCATATCCTGTTTTGGTGTGAGGCAAAGTTATCAAAGTGCGGATAATGTCTGGCAGGGGACAAACGTGGAGTTACGATTTATTGCCTGTCATCTTCTGTGATATGACCGTGTGATTGCAGTGCGTCTCCTACAACATCTGTGTATTAATACATTATTTAACTAACTACTAAAGTCTGCTGATACGCAGTCCAGATCAGCACCAACACATAAATGAGCAGATGATGCTCCGTGATGTACAGTAGAAATTGCGAGGGATTTGTATAAGCAATCACCGAACGGCTTTTCCTGCCACGTGACCATTTTTGGACTGTTTGAGTTTGGCCTTGGTGAGAAGTTGAGAAATTGCAACAATGTATCATCCTCACTTTGGTTCGTATCAGAAAACGGACCTTTCGGTGTGAACATGACCTAGCATGATCTAAAATGAATCAATCAGGCCAGCCCTCATCTTTATTAATTTCAAATATCAGTCACCACCCAATCCTTTTGAAACCTTTGCAAGCTACTGCAAATCCCCCAAGTGACCCTCTGTAGGTACCATCATGGCTGTCAAATTGCAAACAGCAGGGACAGAGGGGGAGCTCTCCAGCAGTGTATATGTGTGTGTTTGAATGTGTTTTACTCATGACTATTTGTGGGCCTCTGCTAATTGCTGAAACAGCAAATCCTGATAAGTAAATGTCCCTCTGGAGATGTTGTCACCGTCACAATAAATCCACAGGGTTTAGCGCGGGGCGTCTGTGCCCTCTTTATGGAGCTGTTTGTGAACGATAAGGTCACTGGGACTGTAATTAATCTTGTTACATTCAGGGTGTCCCCGCATGGTTTGATAGCTGTCCTGCCCCAGCATTTTTCTAAAGGTTTACTGTACGTCCATATCTGAGGATATGCTGTGTGAGGCTCTTTGTGGTGGTGATGATAATAGGACCTTCCTGTGTGTGCGTTTGTGCAGGATCTTGAAGTTCCTTGTGGCGAAGAGGAAGTTTAAGGAGACCTTGCGGCCATATGATGTGAAGGATGTTATAGAGCAGTACTCTGCAGGACACCTGGACATGCTGGGACGCATCAAGAGCCTGCAGATGAGGTGGGTTTCAAAAAAGAGTCTAAACTAGGGACTGTGTTGTTTACAAGTTTGTGTCTTTGTTCTTTTGTCTGATCGTGGTTCTTTACTTGAAACAGTAATCCTCACCAGCACTTGTCTTTAAAAGAAAAAGTCTGTGCTAGGGCTGGGTGATAAAACAATAATGCTATATATCGAAAATTAATTTCCCTCAATATCAATACAAAACACGGTCACTATGCTTTTCGAAAGTCAGCATTCTGCCATGTTTTGGTAGACTATACGAATAGTCAATGAAAAGGGGAGTTGCTCCGGGTCCTCTTTGTACTGAACCAATCATGTGCTGAATTAGAACCAAGTAGCAAACAACTGCGTAGTATCAGGCAGCAGCTACACGCAACCATAGCACTTTAACATGTGAAGCCAACAGCACTGTTGGTGAGACAAAAAGAAAATGAGTGCTACTCCCGTCAGAAATGCAGATGAAGTCTCAACAGATGATAACATTGTCGACAACACTGACATGAAAATGTCGATGGTGTGGAGGTATTCGGGATTTTTGAGGTCGGACACGAAGCAGAGTAATGTGCACTACAAATTATGTTGAGTACATGTTCTCACAAAGTCTGGGAATACCTCAAATCTTTTTCACCACCTGAAGCAGTGCCACACGGCAGAGCACGCACAATTCAAAAGGTTACAAACCTCGAGCCGAGCAAGGAGCCCATAGCGCCTGTGCAGCTGAAACAGCCGACCGTTCAGTCAGCTTTCTCTAGCACAGGGGTCGGCAACCTTAAACACTCAAAGAGCCACTTGGACCAGTTTCCCACAGAAAAGAAAACACAGGGAGCCACAAAACCTCTTTGACATCTAAAATGAAGATAACATTGCATATATCTTTTTTTTTACCTTTATACAAAGTATATAAAAAACTGTAGCGAGTTGCATTTATGAAATAAATGAACTATTTCGGCGAGTGTCTGTCTTCTTCTGTAGTTAAACCGCAAGATATCAAAATCTACCCGGATACAGCAATGCTGCTTTTTGATTGGCTGTTCAGTAGATATACTTTATTTGATTGGCTTGTGCGTGGCACGCAGCTTCTGAACTCTCAGAGGAACTCGGTTGATTTCCCCCAGTTCCAAAGTTGAAGAAGTGCAACTTGGTGGACATCACCGTGTTCATTTAAATGCGTGAGAAATACAATGTGTGGTGTGTGAGCGTGTGAACGAGTGGGAATGCGTGTGTCACACGCTGAATGCATGAGACTTGAGAGCCCTGTGCTCACGCATCATCGATGTACTCCCGAGCCATGCAAAACGGTCTTTGCAAATGTTGCACTGAACGCCTTCCTTTTCAGTCTTGGTGAAGTTTTCCCACACCACTGATGTTTTAGGTCAGGATTTGGGTTGGGTTGTGTCCATGTTTTTCTCAGCCGCTGCCTCGGCCATGGCTGTTTCTTTTCTGTGCGTCCTGCTGATGTTTACACGCCGGTGTCCATGGACATATATAAAGACCCGACGAATCGATTACAGAATTTGTTGGCAACGGATTTTTTCGTCACGACGAATCTACTTAATCGATTCGTTGTTGCAGCCTTAATAGTTTATTTAATGTTACAAGAGCATTATAATCTTTGAATTTAGAATTACAAAAAAAAAATAATAATAATAAAATAAAATAAAATGCAATTAAGTATTTATTATTTATTTTCCAAATCCATTGGGAGCCGCAGCTTAGGGAAGAAAGAGCCGCATGCGGCTCCAGAGCCGCGGGTTGCCGACCCCTGCTCTAGCACAACGCCTTACAACAAAACGTCAAAGAGACACAAAGACCTCACAGATAGAGTAGCTTATTGTATTGCAAAAGAAATGCTACCAATAATCACTGTTAAATTACTTTTTTTATATTGTGATATATATCGATATTGACTGATATGAAAAAAATATATTGTGATAAACTTTTTTCCATATCGCCAAGCCCTAGTCTGTCCCCTATGGTGTCAAATATTGATATAACTTTTACCTTATTAACCAACATTTTCAAGCTTTATTCCGATTCATATTATGCTTTTTTATGTGAAAGAGTGGACCAGATCATCGGGCGAGGAGCGGTCCAGCCTGATAAAAAGGCTCGTCCTGAAAAGGGAGAGAAGACGCCACCAGAACTGGACCCGCTGGATGAGCTAAGCATGATGGGACGTGTAGTGAAGGTGGAGAAACAGGTGACAGTGTTTGATTTATGAAGACATCTATGTATGGAGAGTTGCATGTGATCAGACAAAGCAAAGACGGCTGTGCAACTGAAAGCATTTGCACACAAGTCTGTTTTTTTTTTTTCACCCACTCAGACGAAGGTTTCATATCTTGTGTTTAAGATTGTTTTTAAGTTATGTCTTATTTGCGTAGTTACAAAGTAGTCTATTTCTTTAAAAAAGCAGCATTGTGGTAAAATCTAGAGAGAAAATCTTTACATCTCATTATAAAAAGTATTGAAGATGGTGCCAGAGAAGCCTAACTCGTAGCTCTGTGTGTGTTTGTTCAGGTCCAGTCTATAGAGAACAAGCTGGACCTCCTGCTTAACTTCTACTCGCAGTGCCTAAAGAAAGGCTCCTCGAACTTCACCCTGTCCTCCCTCCTGGACCCTGACTTGACATCTGACTACCACAGCCCCACGGACCAAAGAGACCTCTTCCCCTCCGCCAACACGCTGAACATCTCCCAGTCCGAGAGCGGAAACTTGGAATGACAGTGAGCTGAGCAGTCTGCGTGGCTGTTCAAACACAAAGACCTTTACAGAATGTCTTCCTGCAGCTGAGTCCTCAACCTGAGCAGCCCCAACATTTCTGTCCCCTCTTCATTTCATATCAGTCCGCGATGATCCTTTTCTTCTCTCCTTCCTCTCATCCCTGAAGTGAATGTCTGAAGTCTCTGGAGCTGATTCAAACAGAGGCCACCAGAGGGCTCCACCTGTCAGGGAGCCTCAGCCAAAGCTGCTCAGTGCACACACGCCTCTCAGCCCAACAGTATGATGATGAAGAGAGGACGCATGAGGAACTATGAATGACTACTGAACCACTCGCACTTACTCATTTCATGCTTTATGTAACTACACCAACTCGACATCTTCAAATCAGACTTCAAGTTTTAGATTTTTGTACATTTTTTGTCGTCCCATGCATTTGTTTCTTTCTGTCTTTTGCTGCTTGAATCAACTGAGGGGGTTCTATTCTCAAATGTTTCATTTACACCTTAAAACCCGAAGGAGAGTTGTTTTTAATGAGTGAACCCTGATGTAAATGACTCAGACTGGATGAAAACAGATTGAAACGACTGATGTGTGCAGTTTTTGTTTGTTGTCATCGTTTCTGTCTTCAAAAAGCCCACATGCAAAAAAAAAAAAGGAAAAAATCTGGGATATTATTCCCTATTCGGCTGCTGTTTCCTATTTCAGATGTAATGGCAACAGTGCAAAACTCCCTTTTTGCTGAATTTAGAGGCTTCTGTAATTTTCCAGCAAGTTTTTCTTAAGCCTCTCTGTCTTGCAGCCCTCCCTTCAGACGTGCATGTTCCTCAGACCAGTCCTGTAGATAGACTGATCCTCGGTCAGAATCAAGACATCTGGCCTTATGCTGGCTTCAAAGTTCTCACTCCTCCAGTCACCGGATGCCATGTGCTCAGTCAGCTGCTGTGGAGACCTTCTGGCCACTTTGGTGCAGTTTTGATAAATACCAAGCCTGTGAGATGTCCAGGGCTCTTGCATGAACTCCAGGTCTTTATCATCATGAACGCACGAGTCTTAGGATATCCAGGACCCAGCCTTACAGCCTCACTCAGTTTGCAAAACTCTGCACCCTCTCATGAACTCTGTCAGTCCTCTACAGTCTCTGAAGTTTCTCTTCTGTCTTTCTTAAGGATTCTTGATGCACATCTGTGCTCGTGGACAAAACTGGAGAGTGCAAAGATGCACAAACACATAAAACACAATGAAAGCAATTCCTTTTCTTAAATTCTTCTGCACTTGATCAATTTCACACATTTTTGTCTGTGTTTTGATTTCTTTACTGTAAATCTGTTCCTGCACTCGATTTTGTGTAACCTATAGAAGCCGATTTTTTATGTTTTTTTTAAATGATTTTGGTTGTTAAAGTGAATGTAGAATTTTAAATTAATATATTTAATTCAGTCCGATCTTGAACTAAATGTAGCATTTCTCCTCAAGACGAATCACACCTTTAACGTCACACTGCTGATCAGGTTCACATCTGCAGAGATCTGTCTATTTTTTAATGTCCTCAGATTACTGCTGCCGTTTTGGACTCAGAAAAACCTCCATACTGCTGTGTCTAGCCAGTAAAAACACTAATTCTGTCCTCATAAGTGATTCATGTACATGATCCTGTCCAGCTAGTTACACTGAGGTGCTCTACTTTTCTATTTCACTCAAGTCTAGACTCCAAAGTTGAGCCTATTTAGTGCTACGATGGCACCTCAGATTCCTGTAGGCATTATGCAAGTTTTGCAGTCATGTAGAAGTGATAGATACTGTAGCTTTGGCCGAAATAATAGCAGAGATGCCTACCTATTAGAGGCATTTTTAGATTGCCATTTCATTGTCATGTGGAATGTGGAGCTTCATTAAAGGTCAGTGAGACCTCTGTATTGCATGTTGTTGTTCGTGCCGGCCCCAGCTTTAGGAGAAATTAATAAGACTGAAAGATAATGACCTGTGCCTTCTATGTCCTTGTTCTGTTACTTTTATTCAAGGTTTTTTTTTTTCTTTCATTTTTGCAAAACCTTCTTCAAAAAAATCCTTTTAAATTTGCTAACATACTGATTTCAGGGTGTAAGTCTTCAACCTTTGATATTTTCTGACCGTCCTCTGTGTCTGTACGTTCAGCACATCACCAGGACCTCCCCTCTCTGACTCCTTTACTGTAACTGAACACCAGGAGGCACAGAAATCTGTATTACCACAGAAAACTCTGCAGGCATGCCTCCTTTCATAAGCATGCCACATTAGTGAAAAATGGCTTCCACACAACTACCTCTGAGGTCACAAGGGGGCGCTAGTCTAGGAACCCGAGTAAGTGATTGTCTAACTGACTGAATGCTATGCATGACTTGATGTGCACGTTCTCTTCTTCTTCTTCTTCACTCTGTTCTTCTTCATGTCTTCCACCCGTCGTTCACTGACTTGCTGCCATTTTGACATTCCAGCTCGCTGCCCTTTAACCGCTCTTGTAGGTTTGTAGAAGTGTTGTTCAAATGAAACACAAACTGATCAAAGCAATAAGCAAACAAAGTCTTCCAACTCCAAGACATTTAGCAACCGGACATAATAAGAAATGGAGCTTATCTTGTTTTTGTAATCTAATGTTCACCTCTATTTGATCCTTAAAAAGATACAAACCTGTATCTGCTGAGGTTAGAATTAGCTCACTTGACTAACTTATTAATTTATTTGTTTCAATAAAGCTCTTTGGACTGTACACTGGCTCTTATCTCTTGTTTTATTTAGAGTTTTTCAACATTTTACCATGACATGTTCAGAGTAAAAAAAAAATCTAGCTAGTGTTATTAAGAATGTGAAAATTTTAACATACCCTGGTCTGTGTCCACTGTGGCACTAGCTGCACACAGGCCCTTGAACTCAAACACCATTTGTTAAGAAACACTACTTTGTGCCTCTATAAAGCTCCACAGAGGCGCCAAAGCTAACTGAAACAGCAGGTTCCTAACAGTTGAAAACACTGACCACTTGAAGACTCCGAACATCAGCAAAAAAAAGGACTGACAGGACACAGGCCTTTGTTTCACCTCTTCCCCCCTCACCCTGTCAAGTTTCCCACACCGTAGCGGTGGTAAAACAAAGTCACGTGTCTCTTGTAGGGATCCACTATCAAATAGGCAAACGTCTGCTCCTCCTCTGGCTCTCCAGGGAAACATCTCCCAGAGTCATCCTACAGAGGGAAAAATAAAGACATGACAATCACAATCACGAAAAAGTCAAGAGTGCAATGAAAAGTGAAAGACAGGTAAGAACTGGAACTTTTTTTGTTCTTTTAACTGTTTATAATATAATTCTTGATCATATATTTGTAACAGTTATTGATAGAGTGGTCTTTTTAAATAGAGCAGCTACACAGCAGCACAGATTCACTGGTGTGTTCTGTTAAAAAAAACCTCAAGCCTTAAGGTCATTTAAAGCTGGGTTTATGAGAGAAGTCTATCTTTAACGCTGTATTTTGATCACTCCTTAATTTGTAATATAAACATGATTGCACGTTTGCAAACTTCTGACTGGAATAGACGTACGAGCCAACACTCACATGGGCACAGACTTTTAGGACAGTGGAGACAACGCTGATCTTCTTGGTCTCTGGATCCTTCTGGACACTATGCAGCAAAGGTTAGACTTATAATTCAGAAAATAACTGAGCCTACTGGACAGAAGTGGTTTAAGGGTGACAGCAAAGACAGGTAGATTCAACCCACCTGATTAGGTCCTTATAGATAAGCTTTGTGGTGTTGATGTATGGATCCACCATGTCTTCATACTGACAGAGCTCTCCTCCGATGCACAGATGCTTGAAGATGCGAAACAGAAATTCTCTTCGCTCCTCTCTCCCAATCACATAGTAGCACTTGGAGTCTTCCTCCTGTAGCATCTGGAAAAACAGAGGAGCTGTGACCTCACTCTACATTGATTAAAAAAAGAAAGGCAGACACCAGTGGTTAAAAAGAAAAAAACAGACAGAGAGATTAACCTGTCTGAGTTCATCATAATCTGGGTAGATGTCATGAAAGCATTTGACTACATGTCCAGAGGGCCTCAGGATCCCACAGGAGTAGATGGGATCAAACAGCTCCATGGAGACCTGAGTGCAGGGCACCTGCTCCACATCAACACACACCACTGGCTTGTCTACAAAACACACAGAAAAGACACAAAACTGAATTATTGTCCTGCAGATGAGACCAATTTTCCACTTTAGGTGATTTGAGGCATACCAATAGGCGCCCAGGCTCCTTCTATTGTGGTCCTCAATGTGGAAACTACAGTAGGATCTTTGAAGAAACCCTGCAGATGTAAAGTGACAACAAAATCACTCTAATCAGACCAAACATGAGAGGACACTTTATCAAAACAGACAACAGGTATTTGGGTTTTTTAAGCATCATTTTCTATGAAAAAAGGAAGGAGCGACTTAAATATATCAGTCATTGTTATGGGTCGTACCAGTGCAAACTTTTCACTATTGTAAGGGTAAAAGGTCTGGTCAAAGCTGAAAGTCTGAGCTGACATCCTCCCAAGCATCGACCTAAAATGACCAAACACAAACACATCATCCATCACAGCCCCGGGTTAACATGAACACCTGAAGTGATGTTGTGCTGAAATCTATTACGCTTTAAGGAAGACAAACTTCAGAACTCACCATTTCATTAACAACGCTAACGTGTCTTTATCCTGTAAGAAAGAGGGCTTCTTCGAGGGAAGAGGAGTAAAGGTAAAGGTTTGCTCGAACTCGCATTTCTCTCCTGCCATGTTTATTCTCCTTCTGATGCTATTCGCTTCCTTAAGACGTCTCACTTCGGTTGAAAATAGTTTTTTCTTTTTATTTAATGAACCTAAAAGCCAATCAGCCAATGAGCGTACGACGTTCCTTTCCTTTCTGGTCGTGTGTAACAGGCCCAAGTGGTCCGTCTTGCTATTTTCAACATCTTTGAAGTTGTGTGTGCTTGTTGCCTTGACAACGCACGATCCTGACGTCCCAGCGTGCTACAACTTTCTTCTCTAAATGCTAGTCCGGAGCTAATTTTAACTTAGATTTGCCCTATTTCACTTTTTATTTCACGTCGTTAGTGTGCTTATTTTTTACTTCTAAAGTCTCTTATTACCTCACTGTCGATAAAAGAGTCAAATTATGTTACTGAAAACTAACTTTACATTAAGGAGGCGATACACCTCCACGACCACTAGAGGGCGGCAATACACTACTTTGGTGGTCATTGGAAATGTCGTGGGTTTCTTTTCTTTTCTTTTCTTTTCTTTTCTTTTCTTTACACCCGTCTGCTTCATTACGACTGTCTTGTAAGGATGCCGTTGATCCTTGTCGTCTTTTATTTTATACAACCTGTGACATAATGTTCGTAGGCAGGTCATTACTAAGTATGCTGTCAAATATGATTATCTTGTTCGCTGAGGAGGTAAAGTTTGGGCCAAGAAATTTCCTCTTACAGAAGGGGTTGATCTCAAGGTGAACTAACATGTATGGCAAGAAAAAAGAGTCAAAATCACCAAAATGCCAACAGTGGAGGTGTCCACAAAAGCAAAAGCTGTATATTGGCTATGTTTTCCCTGTAACTCTAACCCTAACCTTTTACTAGTACCTTTGTTTTTTTTATTTTTATTTATTTTAATATGAATAACTCTGATTTGTATCTGCTCTGACAGATTTTATGTCACTGTTGATGTCTTGACCAGATCTTCCTTAAGCCCCAAATGACAAAAGGTTCCCTTGTAAATTTTGTTCAATCTTGCCAAAACATCTGAGCATCAGGAGCAAAAAGGGCAAAGTCCCCTTTATGAGTCACCTTTCATTCATATTAGCACTTGTCTGTTACACCACCCAAAGGGCAGTGCTTCTTCTGAAGCTTCTAGTCTGTTTCTGATGAATAAGCTCCTGTCTCTGTTCCTGTAGCTACAAGTTTACTCCTACCTTCTACCAATATGGGATCTGTTTCTTACAGCTTTGTCACTCCCCTAAAAATTCCTACAAATATTCAGATTCATCCTGGCTCAAATCCTCATTTCATTCCCATCATTCTCAGCATTCCTGGATGGTCAAGGATGAAGGACCCTTATGATCCACATTCCAGTATAGGACGCCCAGACCCTGATATCCTTTTTGAGGAGAGAACAGAAAATATTTGGCATAGTGGGGGACATTGGGGGACACCCTGAAGTCATGATAGTGCTGCCATGTTGTGTTAAAGGTTGTTGTCTTTGGTGTGAAGCATGTGTTTATATTCCTGCCAAACAAGGCTCAACAATCATTACCTCTGCTTTATTCAGTTTCAGATGCGTACAGTCTGACATGAGAAAGGTGTCAATGCAATACTCCCTTAAATTGAAATGTTGGATGATGGCTTACAAGAGCAAATCGTTAAAACATTTTAAAATATTGTATAATTAATTGAAATGTGGGATTTTATTCGGCCTTTTTAAAATAAAAACACATCTAACCTAACATCACAGATGACAGATTATCAGGGAGTCCAAGAGTCCAGGACAACCTCCAACATCTTCAAGAATAAGTCGATTTGTGTCCAGCTCTTCATTTCTACAGGAAGGTTGTAAACAATAAAGGCTTAAGAGTCAAATGATGTTGTTTCTCGCAATTTTAGTCAGTCTAAGTCTAGGTCCCTTTTCACCTGTCAGCTCTATTACAATAGAAATGTGTGATGTTGTGTTGACTCATTATCCATAATCTGCTTTATTCATGACATGACTGAACATTACTTAAACTGAACCTTACGAAAATAAGCAAAAGTGTCTCTTTATTATGAAAGGTTTGGTGACAAGTACAAACTGCGAGGCCATATCCAGTTGTTACAGCCCAAAGACAGAATCAGGAGAGAAATTAAATATTGCCAAATTGATATTTTGACACTATCCAGCTGGGTTAAAACCAGACATACAGTCACTGAAGCCAAAAATGACAAGACTCTTATTTTCTGATAGCTGCTTTGTGGTAATTGCACTTGATTCATCAGGATCAAAAGTGAAACAAACTCGGAGGGTAAGGCAGGTGAGACGATGTAACAGCAGAGGAATGTTTTCAGAGGTGATTGCTCACTGTGATCACATGTTTTCATGTCAATCAGGCAGATGTAATAGCAGATATTAGACAGTTTTCAAGAGTTGCAAAACACCTTGTTAGATGATGATTGTGAAGGGGGTATCCACGTCATTAGCCTCTCTCCATGGACAGGCCTGGATGACATTGAAGCCATGTTCTTTTTCCCACTAAATCAGGGGCCCTTTGGGAGCAGATTACAGACCCTTTCCAGTATTTTTAAGGCTCAGCATGTTTGAACTGGCACAGACACATTGAGCCAATAATAGAGACAGAAATAAAAGATTTAGTAACTAAATCAAAACGTTTTGTCTAGACGAGTCAAGAAGGCCTGGGACTCTGTTCCATGGAAATATGTGATGAAAATATTGAACAAGCTGCGTCTTTTCTACTTCCAATCTGAAAAGCTTCACAGTTTTCTCATTTTTCATCTGTGCCTCTAGAAGCAGGATACAAATATGAATTGAAGTTTTCCTGTGCAAAAATGTGCCACTGTTTTAGGTGCCTGAAAACACCATGGATACAGATGTTGTGCCACAAATGATGTCAAAGGGTTGTGCCCAGGCTTGAGGAACAATGGAGATTTGCAGCTGAGGTATTTTGACAATGAATGAATGAGCATCTAAATTTTTCCTGATGATGTCATGGTGAGAGTCGACTTTGTCTCTAGGGCTCTTTTGACTCTGTTCAGGGTCGGGTGGCTCCAGCTCAGAGTCCCACAGGGAACCCGGTTATTCTTAGTCACTCTGCACTCTGCTGCTGTGTTACTTTCTGTCTTTGTGATGCTTTACAGTGGAGCATTTCAAAAATAGAATACTTCACCCATAGACATTAAAACCTCTTCTCCAGCCTTGAATCAACTTGCAGCAGTTTAGAGTTATTTTAGACCTCATAGTGGAGTCCACAACTAAAGATTGAGATCTGCTTTTTTTGCAAATGAGGAGAGAAAAAAATCAGTAAAAAGGAAGCATGTTATGTCTTCCTCTGGGCACACTCTCTTCCCCTATTTTTCTTTGTTTATTAATTTCTCCTGCACCATGTGATAGTGTATCTCAGATATTCAGAGAATCCTACAGGAGCCATGTAGGGACACGCCGTGAAGAGATGGAGGTGGAGGGAAAATAAGATAAGGCCGTCACTGATGTGGCTGTGCTTGGATGATAATATCTGTGGGAATGTCTGCTCTGAGCCTTATCGACACACTGAACCTCTTTCAAAAAACGCAGAAACTCAGTGTTAAATGTTCTGATGGAGAACAGGTGCTGTCAGCAGGTAGTGATAGTCCTGATGGTCTTAGAGGAGACCCGCTTTGGTAAAGGAGACAAAGAGGTTTAAGCTCTTCCAAGGTCAGAGGTCAGCGTTATCACATGTCATGACTGAAGGCCTGTGTCCACTGGTACCTATTTGCAAAACTAGTACAGTGTTTTTATTTCTCAGCATCCTGAGTGCAAAAATTCCTAAAAAAAATCTCTCAAAATAACAAAAACAGAAACGTAAAAACTATTTTCATCAACAAAGATAAAAGTAAAGCTTTTTCTTTTTTTCTTTTACAAAACGAACCAGAAAATCAATAAAATGAGAGAGAAAATGTTCTTTGTTTCCTCTTAGACAAATTCAGTCCTTCAGGTCTGACTTGAACCTGAGTGACAATTGAGTCCCTGTAATTGCAGCCCTCTCTAACCCATCAAAACAACCCTATATTCAGACTGTATAATAACTGGACATAGCTTTCTTTAAGCTAGCACTATATCATGACTCTATATCACCTGTTATTTCGTCATAACACTAAGAGAGATGCTCTTAACTCCATACATACGTGATGCCAACATTCAAAATCTGGTCAAAAGTATTCAAATGCCTGAACAACATCCTTCAGTAAAAAGTGAATCCCCTGTATCCCCAGATGAGAGGCCTTGAATGTGTAACTGCATGTGGGAAAAAACTTAGCATTTATCCACATGGACAACCTGATGCAGAAAAAAAGCAGGAATAAATGAAACTGTTGATATGAGAGCGATCCTATTTAAAACATCATGACACAAGAGCATGTTTCATTCAGTGCTTTTCCTATTAACAACTTTTTCCACTCTGTTTGTGACTCCCTCACCCCACTGACATTTCACCCTCACACTCCCATTGTCCCACTTCTCCACATTTCTGTTTATCCCATTTTTTTCCTAGTCTCCCTGGTAACAGTCTCTGTAAAACTCTCAGATGCGGAACATGATGCTCAGTGTTCTGCAGGCGAGCAGAAATCTCTCAAGTCTCTGCCAGCCTGTTGAGGCAAACAACAGTCACAGCCTGCTGCGTTTTACCATGGAGGCTCTGCAACAACACGCAACAACCTTGATGCTGCATGCAAATGCATTCACACCCACTTCCTGTCGCTGATGAGACCCTAAACTGTCCCATTGTATCTGAACACAAACCACTGAGGCTGGAGAGTAAACTGTCAACATGTTTCTGGACTTGGAGAGGAGTGGAAGAAAGAGGAAGAAGAGGTGATGTCCAAAACTTTCAGAGAATGTCTCCTGTTGGCCCAAAATAACACTCAGCAAGCCTTTAATTGACCAGAACAAACAAATAAACCAAATTCATCCTGACCATGAGATGTTTCTTCAGTCTCAAGTTGCCTTAAACATCAGTGTATGTCTTGTGTAACAGTGAAGTGAGTTGGACAGGGTAAATACTGTAGATTATAAACACAGGAGAGGAGAGGAGTGTTGCTGCCACCCCCGGGTGTCTCTGCTGGCCCTCTGACCCTCACTCTGCTCCAAATACAACAGAAAAGTCTTCCTCTGGGCTGAAACTGCCTCCACTCTTCATGGAAAACACACT